ATAGGAGTATGCCTTATATAGGAGCATAATAGGAAGCGACACCTAGTAGCCTACTACTTAAGAAAGATAACGCCTATAGAAGAGAACTACGACATCTATAATAAGGAGCTACTTACAATCGTTATAGTATTATAGTACTAGAGAGTCTACGCGGAAGGAGTACCGGGATTGACGATTCTTTCTAATTATAAGAATCTTACCTACTTCACTACGATAAAGTCGCTAACACGTAGACAGGTCCGCTAGTCGGAACTGCTTAGTTAGTACAAGTTCGATATCCGTTATACCCTAGGACGCGACAATAGTCGGGCCGACGTACTAAGCTAACGTAGCGACTATATAGAAGGAAAGGAACAAGTATAGTATAACATACTTAGAACAAACTAAGACGGGAGTCTAAGCGCTAACACGAAGGAATTTAATAATATTATCTAGGTTCTTTAAGACAACGAAGAATAATTCCTAATCTAATAAGGGAAATATTAGGTACTAAAGGATCGCGAGGAAGAATATATTCGACAATATTACGATAACCTAGAGTACGGACATCTAGGAGTTACGAAGACAATAGAACTAGTCTAGCGAAGTTTTAGCTTTCTATATATAAGGTACCGAATCGTAGTATATATTAAGAAGTACGTAATATATAATTAGAACAAGGCCTCGAGACACGCTAAATACGGACATATCTAGTTTAGAACTCTACCTACTTAACTATAGGACGAAGTTACAATAGACTTTATCGTTAAACTACTACCCTCGAAGGACAAGGTTAACGGAGTTACCTACGACATAATCTTAGTTATAGTAGATCGACTAACGAAATATATACACTTTATTCCTATAACGGAAAAGGCTAGCGTAGAGCAACTCGGATACCTTATACTAGACAGACTAGTACGATAGTACGGCATCCTAGAAGTGTTTATTATAGATAGAGACAAGCTGTTTACTTCGAACTATTAGAAAACACTTATAGCAATAATCGGGATACGCTATAAGCTGTCTATAGCCTATTACCTATAGACAGACAGCTAGACAGATAGAACGAACCAAACACTAGAACAATACCTTCGACACTATATAAATACTATATAAGACAATTAGGTAACACTCTTACTAATAGCGTAGCTTGTACTAAACAACTATCGTTCCGAAACTACTAGATATACACTATTCTTTGCTAACTTTAGGAAGAATCCGAAAACGTTTAGATTATAACAAGACTAAATAAGACTATACCCTAATGCGGAAAAGGTAATAATCGCTTTAGAAGACCTAAAACAGGTGTATAACTAGTTACAATCCGCAATCTAAGACACTTAGGACCGGATTTTAGGGCTATATAATAAGAAGAGAAAAATAGCGCCTTAGCTAAAGAAGGGGGATAAGGTCTACCTTCTTACTAAGAACTTAAGAAGTCGGAAACTAACGAAGAAACTGGACTACGTTAAAGTCGGGCTATTTTTAGTTAAAGAAGCCCGAGGACTAGTGAACTACCGACTTAAATTACTAGTAGATACGAAGATTCATCCCGTATTCTACATCTCTCTTTTAGAACCAGCCGACGCCGAGACACCTTACTAGGAAACATTTTTATATATACTAGAAGAAGAAAACGAATTCGAAGTCGAGAAAATCCTAAAGAAGAAGGGTTAGCGATACCTTATTAAATAGAAAGGATACGACGAATTAGAAAATACCTAGGAACCGGAAAGTAACCTTACGAACTACTACTAACTTCTCCGGCAATTCTACTATACGGATCCTAAAAGAAATCGGAATAACTACTAATAAGCGCCTAGTCGTTAGGAGGCATCTCGAGAATCTCGCGATACTCGGCTAGCTCGACAACCTCTACGCTAGACGAGTCCTTAATAGAGAGGAAGCGGGCTTCGACCGCCTCGGCCTCCTCTAACTCGTCTAACTCTTCGGCTACCGTAGTATCCGTTCGACGCTCGGCGACGCGTAGTTGTTTCCTTAGCCGCACCTTACGTACTTTTAACTTTATCTCCTCCTTCTCGATCTTCTCGATCTCTAGACGAAGCTTCTCCCTAGTATTACGGAGCTTTTCCTACTAAGGACGGGAGACGCGTACGTCGTAGTCCTTGTACCCTTTCCGGATATACTTAGAACACTTACCGGATCGCGGACCTACAATATACTTAGGACGATCGGGAAGAGGGTACCGGACTTTTCTATAGTTTAAACAAGGAGCTATTTCGATACCGCTTACTTCGGTTTCCGTAGCGAGCTTCTTTCGACGAGTGGAAGAAGAAGAAGACATCGTTACCTTACGGAAGATAAGGGACGTTATACTCGTTATAACTACGGAAGCTTCGGGACGAAGCTAGGCTAGAAGGGGGATAGTATTACGAGTTAATTAGACTGTTACCTACAGCTACGACCAATTAAGGCAGACATAGTAGAGTACTAACTAGGCAGTTAGTAAGGGAGTGATTAGTGTAATTAGTCTACTTAGTAACTAGTTTGATTAGTCTACTTAGTAATTAGTTTGATTAGTCTACTTAGTAATCAGTTTGATTAGTTCACCCGCTATAGGTAGAAGTATATAGGAACACTAAGAATGCCTTTAGCTTTCGGTATGTTTAACTTACTATAGTATCTTACTACTTAGAATACAATCCCTTAAGTTACTATACTACTCTATCGCTTTACTCTTCCTCTACTAGACCTCTCTACTAACGAGCCTAATACCGATTAAGCCTTGTATAAGTGATCCTTATACATTGTGAGATTATTAAGTTATAGACTTAACATTTACCTAGGCAATTTAGGAGTACTAGCTAAATAACTATTATACTAGTTAGTAGTATAAAGCCTTAAAATACTAAGCTCTTACCTATACCTATTAATACGATTATAAGAGTATCGGATTACGTAAAGATTAAGGATAGTAGGTAGTTAATCTAGATAGGCTTTAGCTTAAAGTTATTCTCTAGGTACTAGAGCTTTAATACTTTAGTTATCCCTTACTCGATAATATCGTAGTAGAAGTTCTAGGCTTCTAGGTATACGCTAGTATTCTAGATAAATTACTAAATATCTACTAGGCTTATATCCGTAATATAGGCGTATTACTTCTCGAAGAACTTCTAGTAATCGGTACAGTTTAGAGGTAGCTTAGATCGTATACTAAACTCTAGCTTTAATTAAGTAACTACTATACGTAGTAGTAGAACTTAGTATATATTACTATCCTTATCGTAAGCGACTAGCCTACTCTATTAGTAGCTCTATTATCTCTTATTCGCCTTGTCTTACTTTCTCTTCTACTTTATAGACATACTAGTTAGTATTTTTAGTAGAGTATCGAGAGTTACGATACTAGTCGTACTACTTACTTTAGCGTCGCTAGAAAGTAGAAGCTCGAGTAGTAGGTTAGTTAGTAGATAGGTAGTAGGTAAGTAGACGTATACGCGTAGGCGCGAAGTACTAGATTAGGCTCTAGATACTTAGAGGCTCGAGAGATTATTTGAAAGACATAGAGACTACGTTTAGTTAGTTGTTTATAAGTATCGGGTATCCGATTAGATATAGGTAGAGAAGAATAGTTAGATAGCCCTTCTAGGCTAGAACTAGCGCCTTTTTAATACTACTCGACGTATAAATACTTAGAGGTTATAGAGAATACTAGAAAGGTAGAGCGCGTACCGGTTTATATACGAAAAGAGGTAATATTTACTAGTAGTAATATAAGTAGGGAAGAGTAAATAGGTAGTAATAGATAGGTTTTCCTTTCGACTAATTATATATTTAGTACCTTTATATTTACCTCTATAGAATCTACGTTATTCTATTTAATTCTACGGCTACTATAGTACCTCTTATATATACGAAGGTATAGTATTTATATATAAGAAGCTATATTAAAACCTACTTCTTTAAAGGTAGGTAGATAGTATAGAAAAGGACCCTTCTACGCGTTTTAGCCTTAGGCGCTTCGCTAAAGCCTTAAACCCTAATACTATACTTAAACCGGACAAGATTGATTAATACGGCCACTAACGGTTGCCGTCCGCCGCTAAATATTAATTTAGAACACGGGAACACTCGGCACGATCGGCTTCAGCGGAGCGCCTGACTTGGGAGGTAGTAGTATTCGAGCTTTCACCTACCAGCCGACCCTGTGGTCGTGAATCAGATCATTCGATGTTGGCAATGTATTGCGATTGTTGGAGGCATATTTTTTCATGCCGCCAACAAGTATGCAGAGTGCTTCAACGAGGTGCAGGAGTTGGCTTTGCGGACCAGCAGCATACAGCCTTGCGACTCGATCTCTTCACCAGCTGTCGAGTGCTTTCGCGGAGCGCTGACAGTTTGAGCTGATCAAAAGCGAATTGCTCGTCCATGAAGGGTCCTGCAGTGTCGACCATGGATAATACAATTTACAGCAGGTTGTCGTAGCTAGTAACAGCACCAACATGAAGCTCCAACTTTTATACGGACCGGAGGTCATCCACTGGAATTCATTCGATGACATCGAAGGACTCTTCAGCTTCAGCCTGGGTCGCGTTTCCGGTGCTCACTCATGGCACAGGATTGAGCGCCAGAAGCTGTAGAATCAATGTCTTTCCACCCTCTTGCGATTCTCCGATGAGTCTCTCAAGCCGAAAACAATCTTTGATGAGTTTGACGGATTCGAATGTGCGGACGTGAGAGAAAAGCTGTATGCACTTCTGCCGTTGTTGCAATGGACGGACAGTATTTCCACGATTGCACCGGGCTACAGCGAATCTGCGTCAAGCATTCTATTAGAAATGGTGCCTTTTCTGCCTTCCAGCGGCACCGAGCGGGCTATGGACGTCCGTGAGATCAAAGTTTTGACTGATCACCTTCAGGGGCCTATCAAACGATCAGTGGAAAGGTTTTTGTAAGAGTCAAGTCAGTTTTAATATATCCCATCCTGATGTCACATTCTATTCACTCATACAGTCTCCAAATTCAAGCAAATATCAGAAGGCTTCATCCGTGGAGAACTACTCGGAAGACCCAACCTTGCGAGGCGGACGCCGAGGCTGTGCTCCATTGGAAGTTTGTGAAAATTCTCTCCTCACCTCCTCCGTCGTCTTTCCTTCCCTAGCAGCAACTACTTCAAAAGCTCGCTGCCATCGGTTGCTCAGAGTACACACGTGCAATGCTTTGTCCTTCCCATGAATCTCGGCCTGACGCTTCGCAATCTCCGTCAAGTTGAATGACTTCGACACCTGCAGCAACCTCTCTTGGGCCATCCATCTCGGGTTCTGCCGGAGAACTTGTTCGTCAGTCAACGTGCCTTCGGTGTAGGGAGGCACTCTTGCTCGCGGCACGAATTTCCGGCGTTTGGCGGTTGAGATTTCGACGAAGCGTGCTTGAACTTCTTGAGGGGTCTCGCCTGTTGCTTTGGCCACTGATCGCAACGCTCGAGCGTAACGTCCACGGAGAGCGGTAAGGTTGAGCACTTGTTCGCCGTGACGGGTGTTGATTGCCTGGACGATCTCTGTCAGCGACCGAGACTTTGAGAGTTGAAGAAGCCTCATGTCTTTGATCACTCTAGGGTCGCTCGCGAGGATTTCGTCGTCCGTCATGTCGGTATCGAAGGCGAATGTGGGATCTTGAGGAGTGGCTTGCTGACCAGCTATTGAGACTTCTGGTGTTTGTTGAGCTCCTTCCATGGTGTCCATAGCATCTTCTCCATGGTCAGTGTGCTTGGTGTCGTTCAGAAGGAAGGCCAAAGACATCTTGTTCGCCATAGGCTGCCGTGCCGGTTGGCTAGTCTTAACTCCGGCATCTGAGCCAACGTTAGCGTGAGAAGATGGGAGCAACATACGAAACCTCGCTACCTGGTCTTCAACGGAATGAGCATTCTGAAGCGCTTGGCTGCTCGGAGGCATGGTCAGATTGAGCGACCAATGCTCCTGAATGGCGAGGTTGATGGGAGTGAGTCGAATCGTGGGCGCCTGTTGCCGCTCGAAGAGCGACGGCGTACGTCCTTGCACAGCCCCATCGATGGGCGTGAAAGCGATCGTGGTAGGCTGTGGTTGGGCAATCTGATTCATCGTGTTCTGTGCGGTGGAGTCCATTCTTAAAAGCTGGATGGACTTGCTTGATGTCGTTTGCGATTGAATTGGGTGACTCGAGGATGGAAGCGTAGTGTCTGAGTTCAGCAATGTAATGCAAGTTCAATGGATGCTCTGGTAGTGAGATATGGTTGTGAGGAGTCGTGGTGTATACTATCACAACAGGATACTCGACAGTCCTTATAAGGGCATCCTGTAGAATTGTGCTTTGTGCTATACTGTGTTATGTTCTCGCACAATGACATTCATCAACAGCGCATGTGAAAGAACTCGCAACCAATGCCTTTGTCCGCCTTTGTCCCTCTGCAACAAGGCTTTGTTCGCGCTTCTACGCAGAACATTGCCCTGGCACTTATTGATGATACTGTTTGTCCATCAAAGAGAATGGTCTTGGCGGAAGTGACCTTGGTCGACCCTGTTAGTGAGAAAACTGAGCAATGACATAGTCTTCACGCTCATTTGTCGAATCTGTGCTCGATCGGACTCGCACAAAGCTGTCGAACTTGATATGGGGAGGAACAATGTGTCTGTTTAGATTCGAAATTCGTCGTTTATACGCGTGAGGAAAATCGCAAGGCTTGAGTTCATGTCAGCTTCTCACTGTACTATTGCGCTTTTACGGCGTACCTGTTTCATGCTTCCAGCCGCTTTCCAAGAAAGGTGTCTTGGCTAGAGTCCAGAGCTTCTCTTTGCTCCCCCTTCCCTTGGAACAGGAAGTCTTTGGCTTCCCCTTCCAACCGCAGTATGCCGCCCTCGAGGCTTTTCAAAAGTCAATGCAGTTTTCGTCGCCACGTATTGAAAGGCCGTGGTAAGGGCTTTTTGCAGGGTACGAATACTATTAGGCTCACCACCGTAGGCTTCGGTAACCTTTGCGTGAACTTCAGCTAATGTCCATGTCTGGCAAACCTGCAGGAATTTCCGGTTCTTGAGCTCGCCAGAATCTCTTCTTCCGTAAGACCCGTGTCCGAAGCCGTAAGAGGGTCAGGTTGAGCTTGAAAATCCTGCGCTTGATCAATTTGCTCAATGTGACCGGCAGATTCGGGCGTAGAAATATTCGCGTCGGCAAGGATCTGGTGTCCAAGAACAGCCGTTGACGAAGGCGCAAGAGTTCCAAGCTTAGCTTGAACATTCTATTTGCTTGAGCAGTAGGCTGGGCTTGGGTGAGTTCCTTGACTGCGAGAATGTACTCTTTGGCAGCGGCAAGAATCTCTTCGCCAGTAAGATGCGGAAAAGGAGAACGCAAAATTGGCAGGCTCGGGTTGATTTTCCTGCGCTTGCTTAACCGGCTCCGGTTGAGATACTTGCTAAGCTGGATCAATCGGCTGAGCTTGATATACTGGCTGAGCTGGATACATTGGCTGAGCCGAATACATCTGCTGCGCCTGGTATATCGTCTGGGCTGTATATACCGGCTGGAGTCGATTTACCTGTTGGTTTTGACGATAAACTTCGACCATAGGCATGTTAGCTGCATACTACTGTTAGTGCGCTTGTTCGAGCTATCTAGTAAGCCTAGTTCACAGTTTTCGAACCCGTGGAATTCCTGCCCAATGCAAGCACGTCCCTCCCTGCCAGGTTCTCGATTCTCAAGATGTCGTTCGGGCAATGTTTCGACAAAGATGTCCTGAGGTGTAGTAGTGGTACAATTCTTCGGTCTCGGGAAGAAGAGTGGAGCGATGTGGCGTCGGTCTTCGGGTTCCGGGAACATTCATCTACGTGGCCCGCGATCGTGAATCTATTCTTGGCGCCAAATTCTCATGTGCTCCAATTCCTGGATCCTGCCGCCGAGCGGTGATTGCTCCGTTCAGTGCAAAGTGCGATGCCGTGAGCATGCTGTGCCGCTTGGAGCATCGGCCATCGGGGCTCCGCATTTCCGTGGGCATGTTGACTCTTTCGACGTTGCCATGAAGCTGTAATACTCTTCACAGCCGCCCCCTCGTTTCTCGAAGACAGGGGGCTCATATTTTTTCCAGTGACGAGTCTTGGTCCAACCGCTATTCTGAGAAGTCCTGTCCAGCCCTCAGACTCTCCATGAGGATTCAACATGTCGCTGTAGCAGGCGTGAGTTGATAACCAATTCTATGTAATGATTGGAATATCGCTGATAGGTGATAAATCGCAGCCCAGTGAAACTCTGGGTCCTTCAGTCATTAAGCGTCTCCTGGATGCTGGCTTCACTGTGACAGCATTGACTCGCGACCCGAACGAGACCGTGAAGAAGTACTCCCCCAAATCTTTCAACACCATTCTCGCCGACTATGGCTCTGTGGACGGTTTCGAAGCCACTTTACAAGCTCGCAACATCGATGCTGTGGTCTGTCTCATCAATCGTTCGGAGCTCCAGGCTCAGACAAACCTCGTTGACGCCTGCATTGCTGCCGGAATTTCTCACATTATACCATCGTCATTCGGAAACGACCTTCGCGATCCAGCTTTACGCGGTTTGCCTTCGCTGAAACAGAAGGGAGAAATCGAAGACTACCTCAACGAGAGGGCTCGAGAGGGAGCTATCACTTTCACAATCATCAATGCGGGATTGTTCATCGATCGGGCTCTGGATGCGAATTTCTTCTTGAATCTCAAAGATGGTTCTGCGATTCGGATCTTCGACGGAGGTGACACGAAAGTCTCAGTTACAGTGCTCGAAGATGTAGGGCGAGCTGTAGCTTCTGCTCTTCAGAGGCGAGATCAGCTAGTCAATTCATACTGCTCTATCCATTCTGCCGTCGTCACTCAGAACCAACTTCTGGGATACGCTAAGGAGCTGTGTCCACGGAGGAAATACACAACGATAGATCTGAATACGCTGGAGATGGTCGAGGTAATGGAGGGGAGATTGGAGGACGGTCACGAGATGTCGGCGGGCAACGGCAGGGCGTACTTGCTCCGGGAGATGTTTGGGAAGGGTACTTTGCTGTTCCAGTCGACGCAGAACGAAACGCTTGGAATACACGAGTGGGATGAGAATAGATTGAAGGATCTGGTGGCGAAATATGTGAGAGACGACTAAGTGGAAAGCCGCTCAGGATAATGATTTGCTTGCGGTAAGTCGATGCGACAAATCATCATGCTTCGCTAATAAATGGGCTAGCTGTCGTCCACACTCTACCATACCGTCCTGCGATCTCGGCATACTTCAACTTGGTTCGTCTTTCATCTCACTGTCGATTCCATTATCGCCCTAGCAGACATCCGAACATCCACGTTAATCCTGTCCAACCATTCGGCGGCTGACATATCGACTCTACGTACTCTTTAGGTCATTCAGCTTGCGTTGAATACTTCTCGTTGGTGTAATCATTCTTCACGCGTGGCAATGCGGTATTGTCGCTTATAGACTGAGTGCTTTTGATTAGCCGTGTCAGCTTCTTCATGCCTAAAGTTGTTCCCCAGCGTTCCTCAGCCCTTCCACTTTCAGCCGCCAACAATTACTCCTTCAAAGAAGAGAAAGGTCCAGACATACAGCCTTAGCCAAAGCAGCCGCACTGGCAGTTTGGAGATTTTGCATTCGAAAAATGTTCTGGGACTCGGGTCTTGCACCTGTAATAGCATACCCAAATGCATAACTAATTGCCAGTAGTCTTCATTGCAAACTCTGATCGGCTTAGTCGCTCGCTTCACGTGAAATTACCACATTAGGAAGTAGTCATATGATCGGGAGGTCCGTGCACGCACCAACTCCATTCCGCTTCTCCGACTCCAGCATGCCTAAGGCAATGGATCTACGCAAGACTGTAACAAAATTCACAATAGTTTCGAGCTGTCCGACACATTGTGTCTACTCTACGAGCGATGATCCAATCAACCTCGAATGTAGCGCATCGGCAGATTACGAAGCAAACAATTGCCAACGCCAACACTCGTGAACATACGCCCAGTCCTGAGGAAAATAAGTAATTGGCAGAGTAAATTACAAGCAGATGCCACTAAATCTCGTAGTCGACGGTATTATATAAATACGGTGGACATCTTCTTCATTCACTACCGCGACTCACTGCCCGACTGCAAATATACACATCTATCTTCCCTGCGTCTCAGCCAACTCTTCATTCTCTTCGAACTCACATCAAAGCTCATCAATCACATACCAGACCCCTGATTCCAACCTTCATTAACCAAAAACCATGTCGACTCCAATCAACTACAAAGAAGTCACGACTTGCGCCAAACATGGATGCGCAAACTTTGCCGGCTTTCCACACATCTACTGCAGACCATGTAAGTAAGCCTTCTGATCACGGGGGGGAGTTGTCTATATGAGAAAACGCCAACGCTTTGTGCTGTAGGTCAAAAGCGGCAAGGGTTTCCCGGCCCAATGCGAGCTATTACTTCGCTCGAGCTGGCTTCTGAGCTGCCTGGAGATTGGAAGCCTTAAGAATTCTATTCCTAACAATTCATGCGACCACCAGTTGGTTTTCGATTCCGACAGTATTTCTCTCTCGGAAGGCACTCTCCTGAGAAGGCTTAGTAAGTTAAGCATTCTCATCATAGGTCCCTTTGCCCAAACTGTCGAGGGCTAAGCGCGATGAGGGCCATTGGAACATTACCGTAAGTTCACATTGAGTAACTATAGTACCGAGAAGCATTTACGCAGGCGAAGGACTATATTAGATTCTTGGTCGGTCTGTATCACGCTTCGAAAGACAGTGAGATGCACTGGAACAAAATCACGAAAATGGAACTTGACGAGTTGAAACCAAACATTCCTCGAGCAATTAAAAGGTAATCACTGCGTCTCGCATGCTCATATCTGTCGAAATATACTCAATGCCCAACCCAAACCAAACCAGACCAAACCGAGCCAAAGCAATCGCATTGTTGAACGCCATCGCTTCGCATGCCTGAACCCACATATGCCAATGCTGTGTATCGTAAGAATGAACCCTCAAACCCCGCCTCTTGTATGACCTGTTCTGTCCTGTGGCCCTTTCCATCCTGTTCTTCTATTTCCAGACCGAAAGAGACAACGAAGAAGCAGACCGCCAGGGTCCATTTTCGTCCACTACTCACTCGCATGAACGCCACAAAGCCAAAGTGAAAATCAATAACAAAGGAAACTTGATGATGAGAAGCTTCAACGTCCAGACGAGCCACGCTCCACAGTCGAGCTCGTCTGTCTTCTGCATCTTCTCATCGCAGCAAAGTTCGCGCTGGTGGAGCTCCTCGTCCCGGCGGAAGCCGGGACATGTGTAGGTGTGATCTGTTCATCTTCTCCCGCAGAACTCAATCCGGCGGTACTCTTCCTCCTCTCCTCACCAAAGACAGGCGCCAGACTCAATCTGCTCGGTGGCCTTTGCATCCTTCCTCCTACACCGCCACTACTCGAGGATGCAGGCGCAAGAGGCGGCGGCGGCATCCGGCTACTGCTGCGACTAACAGCGAGGCCATTGATGCCACCCGCGTCGAGCGAGGTAGAAGGCCGATGGTGGGCCGCAGCGACGCTACCGACACTCGAGCCGGATCCAGCACTGCTCTCTCGTCCACGACTGACGGGTCTGTAAGGCGATTCTCGTTCTTGACGAGAGCCCCTTGCAGCTGGTGAGGGCATGGAGAGGTCAAAGTAACTGCGACTAGCATTTCTCTCGCCTCCAAAACCGAGACCAAGGCTGCTTGCTCCAAGCGGCGTGCTAGCTGCCGAGGAATTAAGCAGCGCGGCGGGAGGTGTCATGGTGCTACTGGAGCTGCGTCGCATGGCATAAGCTCTTCCTCCACCAACGCCTGCGGCAGCGATGGCTTCGGCATGTTCTGAGTGACGAACAAGCTCTTCCGCCAGGTTACGAACCAATATGGCCGGGTCGTGGCGTTCGAGATCCTTCACTGCGTCAAGTAGCCCGTATTGGCGCAGTAAAGAACCTTGGTCTTCGCATGCCTCGCAAATACTTCTGATGACGCGGAGGAGATTCAGACGGACGACAGGCTTCTTGCCGCCAACCAGTCTCATTCTCACCCTTTCGAAGAGCGAACCTTGACTCAAGCTTGCTGCCACTGCGGGGGAGAGACGAAGCAATTTCTGCAACGGCTCAAGTAAGCCTTCGACAACATCGGCTTTGCTCTCATTGAAGCAAACGACCATTTTCTCTGCGAAGCAGATGGATGGTGCCAATAAGTGTTCTTCGACCTTAGCAGTCTCTTCTTGCAGCCAGATAAAGATTGCGTCCAAAGCCGTGACGGCCCAATACTGATCCGCAAGCAAGGACACATAGAATTGCAAACCTTTGTTTTGCCACAACACTTTGCGACCAACTTTGCCAGAATGCGCCATGTCGCAGAGGATTGGCAGTGCAAACTCCTTGAGCGGCCGCTCGGTCTGCACAATGCGTTGAAGTAATGGTATGACGCCAGAAAGTGCGGCATCCTCTTGTCGCGCTTTCGATAGTCGGCAAAGGTTGTACATGGTGTTGAGCACCTGATTCGAAATCTCGCGGAAGTGCTTCTCTTTCATGCTGGCGCCAAGCAGGTCGGTAAGAACCTCAATGGCATTACTGTTCTGCAGAGCGTCCAGGGTTGTCGCAAGCATGGACAAGTTCTTGATGAACTTTAACATCGTAATCTGATGCTGGGGTGTCATCCGTCGAAGGTCTTTCAGAACACGCTTGAGGACCATTCGATCAGCGACTATCTCTTTGACATGATTCTCCGCCTGCGAGAAGAGCAGGAAGATGTTAACGATGCGCCCTTCGATGATTTGCGCCAGGTTGCCTTCTTCGTCCAAGACCCGATTCAGAACAAGTGAGAGTGGATACAACACCGCGCTGCGAGAGAAGATGCGGCAGAAGTCGTTCTTGGGTGTCGGACCTTGAAGCTCGAATACACTCCAGATGCCATTGACGCCAACCAGGACCAGCTCGCGACCAGTGTCGACGTCGTAGTCTTCCTCTAAGAACTCAACCAAGACGTTCAGACCGCCACAGCTGATGAACATCTGCAGGGTCATTTGGTTTTGGTACATCATTCGGACAAAAGCGGCTGCTTCCACCCGGATGTCCGAGCTGAACTTCTTATGCGCAAATTTTGTGATGATTGGTATTCCACCAACGTAACACATGTTTTCCTGCACTTCGATGTTGTCGTGTAAGATGAAGTTGACCATCTTGAGCAGACGTATGATGATATGCGGTCTTACAGACTGCTCCAGAATCTCCAAGATGGGAAGCATACCATGACTGCTGACAATGACAGACTTGACATCTGCGGACTCTGTGAGGATGATTAAGAGTTGGTCGACGATGTCCATGAGAACTTCCTCAGACTGGCTGATCTTGAGCTCTGAGACAAGCTGTTCAACGTCGGCGCAAAGACGAGCGTGCTTGTCTCTTGCGACATTCGACTCTAGGTCGACGGCATCGAGCTCCTCTTCAAGAGCCGCGAAAGGGTCGTCCTCGTCTTCATCCTCATCTTCACCCCAGCTAATGGAATTCGTCAATTTGAGAGTCCCCTTCTCTGACGTGGACTCGCTCGCAGTTGACGCAGATTTCGGCGACAAGCGGCTCTTGGTCGTACCAGTCTGTGCTAAGTTCATCGGCTGCTCGTCGAATACCAGATCGGTGAAGTCCTCGTCATCGTCATCTTCGGCGTATTTCTGAATCTCAAGGAAGCTCCTCGTCCTTTTCATGGCAGCTGCATCATGGACTAGCTGGGTTGGTGTGTGCGTCCTACGCCTTCTCATGCTCCCACCTAATTTCGTTTGCATGCTCTGCAGGTCTTTCGCATTGAAGCGATTCGGGGAAAATCCAGCCAGCTTCTTGATGAAGGCGTCCTCATCATTAGGCACAAGATCAGAATAGTCTTCTTCCTCATCTTCACGAAACCTGTCCTTATTGGCCGCAGCAGGAATGATTTTCTTTTGAATCGGAGGCGGAGTCGCTCGAGGCTTTGGTATCGCAGACTGTTTCTGCGCAGGTCGCAAGATTTGCGTCTGTGGCTGTGAGCTCTGACTAGTCTTGCGCTCGCGCTTCTCGGTGGATCCTTTCCTCTTCGCTACACTAGATGGCGGAGGCGGCTGATGCTTGATTTCGTCGGATGTCATCCTGGACGGATAGAATGGCCGGACAGTCTCCACGGCGTCTCCTTTCGCCAACTGTAGAGGCGAGCGCACAGTCAAGTCACCTTCAAATTCTTCGTCCCATTCTTCGACTTTGCCATCTGTCTCCGGGATAGCGTCAAAGTTGGCATATCGCTTCAGCTTTTCAGAGCTGAAAAGACCAGCAAAATTGTCCTGAGGTTTGAGACGTTCCGGTATTTTCAGTCCAGCTATGCCAGAGGTTAGTGAGTCGAAGTCAGCATCCCAATTGTTGCCGCTTTCATCGTTTGGAGGCGACTGGAGAGCGTCGGCTGCTTGCGACTTTCTTGTGGCAAGTCTGAAAGCCGGCTTTGACGTTTGCTCAGGCCGTGTTCTTGGTCCATTGAGAGTTGTCTTCGATGTACCTCTAGAGACGGGTCTTGAGCCCGTCCTTGCCGATGGTCTCCTACTGTTGCCTTGCGAGATGTGAGCAGGCGGCGGACTAGCTTTGAGGGCTTCATTCCATTCCTGCACACTCTTGACTGCTTCATCATACTCAGTGGGCTTCTTTTTGTCGGCCTTCTTTGCAGAAACAATCCAGGGGTGCTTGAGGAGCTTCTTCGCCGACACTCGTAAATTTGGATCTTTTTGAAAACACTGCATCAAGAAGTCTCGAACAAGTGGACTTGCTCCTTCAGGTAACGGCGGATGGTCGTCATTCACGATTCGGAAGAGCGCGGGCATGGGTGCGAACTTGTAATAAGGCGGCCTCCCGTCCAGCAGCTCGATGACGGTACATCCCAAGCTCCAGATATCACTGGCGGTTGTGGCTCCAGACAATTCGATGACCTCAGGTGCCATCCAATACGGCGTGCCGACAACGCTACCTTCGGCCAATCCTTGCTGTTTCGTCGCCACACCAAAATCTGCCAGCTTGACCAATCCTTCCTTGGTAGTGAGGATATTCGCACCCTTGATATCTCGGTGTATGACGCCCTGTTCGTGCAAGAACAGTAAACCCTGCAGTACCTGCGCAATGTATAAAGCAACCAGGTTCTCCGGGAATTTGCCAAAGTTCTTGCATATACTGTGCAAGCTCCCCTGCTCGCAGTACTCCAGGATGATGTAAAGTGAATCGGCGGACTTGACGAAGCCATGATACTTGACGATATTCGGATGGTTGAGATTCTTCAGCAGGTCGATCTCTTGCATGATGACGTGCAGTTCGGTCTTGGGCATGTCGGAGAGGCGGACTTGTTTGATAGCTACGGTCTCGCCGGTGGACCAATTGAGGGCGCAGTAGACGCTTCCAAAAGCACCGCGGCCGAGACATTGGCCCAGTTGCTGAGAGATGTTAGCTTTGCCCATGGATGCAAGCGTGTGGTTGCAGAGTGCGCGTATGGAGGATGCAGGAAAAGATGGAAGGGTACTGAGACATGGTCTCGTTGTTCGCACTTCACTCCACCCCTTCCGTCCTTCTCTACCTCTCACTTCCACTCGTGTCGGTGTGCAGTGGGAATGGCTGAACCTACGTAGTCCTTTAAGCCCTCGACTTCTTTCGCCGTCCTCTGCACCGTCCCGTCCTTACTGGGCGGCTTCTCGCGACTTGCCAGCGCATAAGCAGCGCTGCCTCTTCTTGCCGCCGCAGCAGACCTTCCACTGTGTCCCGCATCGCCGCTGTTCTCTTTATCCGAGCTCCCTCGGACCTTGGTCGCCCTAATGCCGCCAGATGCTCCGCCGCTGGCCTGTTTCGGGGTTGAAGTTCGCGACTGCGAGACGGCGGTGCTCGGACGATGTGCATTGGCGGCGCGTGTGGAAGTGGGAGGAGAAGGGATGGGAGGCGGCATTGCTGTCTCCGACAGTCGACGGCGGCTACAGCTGGAGGTGGGTTGTTTTGGTCGCGGAGGACATTGGAGAGGAGGAGAAGTGAGATTGGTCGGTGCCCTGGGCACTCATGGTAGACTTGCAGCAGCAGGCGTTGCAATGCCTCTCTACGCCCCAAGCTGCTGGTATACTCCGGCGTTGGGTATGGACGAGCTCAGATGTTGCGTCAACGTGGCACGCGAGCGGTCACCGCGGCCAAGGTATGCGACTGAAGAGCGGCTGTTCCTGCGTCTGTGGAGCAGAGGGTGTGGAACAGAAATGGGATGGGAGTGGATGATATTACGATTACTAGTCGAATCAAAGCCGTGCCGTTACTGGTGGGGGGAGAGTTGGGAGAGTGTGAGAGGAGGACGGGAGGACAGAAGGAGCTGAAACCTGCTTGAGGACGTGTTCCTGCGCGCGTAAATGAGGTAGAACCTGGCTCCAGACGCCGGGATCCTCCCGGTCGCAGCTGCCGCCCTTGACACGCCAAATCCAGTGCTTGGCAACGTTAATTAACGTCAACTAATATATTCATGGGGACATTTCATTTGCACTACCAGACTGCCTCCTTCCCTCAACCTCAATCCAATCCTTTGATTGTCTCGACATCAACATCGGATGATCGGCATCATCGCCCACGGGGCGCTGCACACTGGAAAGGGAGAAAGAAGAATTCCATGGAAGAGCAGTCAACAACGTGCTTGCAAACCGTCCACACTCGGATACCCGGACCATGGCCCTCTACGATCAATGCAATCGTACAGCCCTTCCTAGTCTTCACTCCGGGCAGAATCGCCGCATTTGCAATCATCGCCTATCTCGACCAGCTCCGCCCATTCCACGTCATCCCTACGACTCTGGATTTCAATCTCATGGGTAATACTAACGTTGGGACCAAACATCCACCTATTACCGATTGTGACGACACCGCAGTCCAGGATGGTGAGATTGTAGTTGCTGTCGGATCTGGATCCGAGGGAGATGTTACAGCCATGGTCAATGTAAAAGTAGTCGAGCTCATCGGATGCCTTGAGCGTGCCTTCAACGTTGGAATCGCGGACGCTATTGATCTGGAACTGCTTGTGACTACTGGAGACGTGTACCTCGGAAGATCTTGAAGAGGTCTGGCGAGGTTGATGTATTACAATTCGGTTCTAACAAATTTGATCAATTCGACTGGACGGACTACGCTAGCAGAGGACACCGTAAGTGTTCTTCAACTTCTTGGATATTACTAATGATAGTATCCGCTAATCTGCCACTTCAAAATCTATAACGGATTCAATAACACTAAGGCTGTCCCTGGTCCTTCTAAGGGACTTATCGAGACAAAGGCGACGGCTGCCGTAACATTGTTATAGATTTCTCCTAGCAGATACCGCGATTGTATTAATTGCATTGTTCAGGAATAAAGTCTTTGTTATAGCACTTTTGCGGTCTTATATAGTATGTACTCTAGCTCATTCACTTATTTAAACTTCACGTTACAAAAGTGCAAATTCACTAAATAAGGACTAAGAAACGTAGCACTCTTGCTCATTCACTAGATAAGACTTCACGTTATAAAAGTGCGAACTCACTTAAAAAGGACTAAGGAACGTGAAGTCGAGGTTTATGCACCAACACATCCCCTCCCTATTTAGCATCTCCCCTTCGTGTCATGCATCCTCAATCAAACCTCGGCCTCCGCCTCTCATCGCACAGCATCACCTCCATCAAAAATGGTCCAATACCAAACCGGCCACAGCCACCATCCTCAACACTACTGGAAACTGCAAAACTGGTCCGCGGAACCACGTCTTCTCCGAGCTCAACACCGAAAAGGCACCCTCCCTTTCCCAGCACCCGCAGCAAAGACCACCCCGGCACGTCTTGCACAAATCGCCTCTCGATTCGAACGCAACCTGATCAACTATGAAGCCTGCGATATACGTGAACTGCGACGCTTTGTGACCGACAGACGTCTCAAACCGCAGCGAGGGGACGCGACCGATTCTGCAAGAGTGACCCGCGAAGAGCTCATCAAGAGGCTCGAACGCGCAGACGAGACCGCCAAATTCGAGCAATTCCTGGATCTGCCCGCGGAGCTGAGGGTGAAGGTATACGAATGCGCCGGCGAATTGTATAGCGAGAAAGAGATCGTGGCGGCACTGCCACCGCCACCGATCGCTGGAGTCTGCCGTCAGCTGCGAAAGGAATCACTGCCCGTCTTCTACGGAAAACAGCGCGTAGCCATATGCCTGTCCATCGACGATGCCGGCCATGCAAATCTGTTGCTTCGCTCAAAGAATTTCTTCAAGCACGCGAGGCCAGACACTTTCGCTGCGATCGTAAAACTGAAAGTTGAGGTTGTCCAAGGTTGTAAAAGGGTCGCGTGGGTGACAGATCTGCCGCGGAGAGGGCCAGATTGTCGGATCTCTGAGCCAGAGGTAATTGGGTCATCGGCGCATGAGACGCCAGACGACTCAGCAACCGTTGAGGAAATTAAGGAGAGAGAGCGAATTGAGAGAGAGCGAATTGAGGAGAAAGACGCGCTGCTGAATATGTTCTTCGGAAAGATGGCTCTGCGAGGAGAGGGGATGAGATTGCGTCGAGGGGATGGAGAGGAGTTGCGGGAGGTTTTGTCGGAGGTCTAATGCTTGGATTCTGTCGAGCTGATGTTACTGTAACGCGGAATTACCTGCTTTAGAGACTGTGAGTGCGAGATCTCGACGGCCGCATTTCCAGATAGTTGCGAAATGGAACAGACGATGGCCAACTTCTATGCGAGGTATTGCGAACAGTTCGCACAAGCTCTGAGAGAGGACGAGAGTACTGCAGATGGTCCTCCTCAAATTTTAACCGTTGCAGGAAGAATTAGCGAAGCTGGGTTTAGTAACGAGCCGACGAGGAGGTTGAGCCCTTCTCTGCACTTTTATACTCTCAATATATGCCGTTTCGCTCCGTCTGGTATCATGATGAATCTATCAACAATTAGCCGCACTCGTCTTGTCTCTCATATCTCGTTGCACATCTGATGGCCAGGCTAGGCTCCGTTTAGCAGCTGCTTTGCTTTCTCAGCGGCAGCCTGTCGCTCAAGCAGCTCCTTGTCGTGTGCTGCTTTCTCTCCAACGGCCTTGACGCCTTTCTTCCTCTGTCGTTCCTCATATTTCTCTTTGCGATCCAAAATGCGCTTTACAATCACACCAGTATTGAAGTTCGGGAATTGCACTGCATCGGAGTCGATGGTTCTAAGAACCCCTAGTGATCGAGCGCCTGCCAATTCTGTTGTCTCTGGAACACCCATATACCTCGTAGGACCATGGTAGTAAGTAGGTGGCTTGCCAGAAGCTCCGAAAAGCTTTCCCAGATTCTCCAAATATGCAGCCGATGGTGCATGCGGAGCGCCAAAGATCACAGAGTTGACGTATTTGCACTGCACAACGCAGAGGCCCCGCTCGAAGATGTTCATGATGGGGTAGTTCGCGCCCACTATGCGGTTGATCACGACATCGTCGTGGATTCCCGCTATGATGTAGGCATTTGGCTCAGATTTGGCGACCTGTTCCAAGAATCCAATGTGACCTGGATGGAAGAGATCCCAGCCACCGTCGACGTACACGAGCTTCCTATCATCCGGCTCTCGACCCATTCGAACAGGCGTGAAGCTTGCTCCTTGCGACACGTAGGCATACACCTGAACCTCTGGGTCCTTGCCATTGGCGGACGCGGCATACTCCTCGACCCTTGCCCGCATTTGCGATCCATTCTCTGCACCTCCAGCTTTGCCTTCTGTTGACTCCCGCTCTTCCATACAATCTATTAGATTGTTGATATGGTGGACTTTGGTACTGTTCAACATTCGGCTGACCAGATCTGTCGTGCTTATCCCTGGTGTTCTAGGGACAATCTTCATCCTTCCTGCTTTCTTCACGAAGCGGTAACAATCGTTTCCGCTCGCATCGCTCGTGATATCATCTCCATGCGTGACATATTTGCAGCCGTAGTGCGAGATCCAAGGTATTGAAGTCACGTACGGCGCGTGGGGCACGACTTTGGTGGAGAATCGGCAGGCGTCGACAGCAGCTGTTCGCTCCTCGAGGGTCATGACAGTCGGGCCTTTGTTGGCAGCAATATCCGCATCGTTGTGCAGGCCGACAAGAAGCTCTTGGCCAAAGCGACGGGACTGGAGCATGACGCCGGCATGGCCTGAAGAAAAAGGTCGGTCTCAGCCATCTCGCAGTCGCATATCAAGGAGGAGTTGGTGGGAGAGGTGTACCGTGGTGGAAGAAGTCGAAACAGCCATCGATCCATAATCTGTCCTCTTCGATAGATACATCTTCCTGCGGGGCGACAGGCCAATCTCCCGGCGCGGGGACTGTACAGCCTGCCTCGGGATCGATTGTAGCCATGTTCGAAGGGGTGGTTGTTGCTCGCTCTTGGACCTTTCGCTCTCGTTCCTCAATTGCGCCTCTCCGCCGCCATGTACACACTCGTGTGTTGTGTTTGTGGGAGCCGTTGGAGCTGCTGGGGGCTGCGCTGGCTGTCACGGTGCGAGGAGCAGTCAAAGCGATGTTTGTTGACGTTGTCTCGTTTCAAGCTACCAACGTCTTCTCAACAGTGAAGAGAGCGTGTCACGTGAGCGCGTCCCTCAATTGAGGTGAAGTCATGTGGAAGTGTTTCACCAGCTGCAGGGATGACGAGGGGCCGAGATCGACGTCAAGTTCAAGCTCGAATTCCTGCCACAGCTCCTATGACCAGAAGCCATCTACCGTTCCCTTCGAAAAGCACGCGCCTCTCCAACAAGGCCATCGTCACCCAAGACGCCATCGTCACGACCCTCTTCCTGCTCATCCACTTTACCACCGAGCGCATATCAAGAGCAAGACGGCCGCCATGATTTCTGTCATACTCGTGGTCTTTCTGGTCCAGCTCGCCCTGAGCTTGATCAGCTCTGTTGGCGCGCAAACAGTAAACGATCTTGTTCGCGTTCCCAAAGCAGCTTGTTTGCGAGGTTCAATAGCTAACAGATACATGACAGGCATGGTGGATATTCACCAGACTTCCTACCCAGCAGACGAAACAAGCCGAACAAAAAGTCAAACTACGAAACGAAGTCATCCGTCTGAACCGCGAAATGATCGGCGTGAGCGCGCAAGACAACTTCGCCAAATGGGCGCGACTACGGAGAGAACACGATAAGGCCAAAGAGAAGTATGAGCAGGAAGGTACGACATGGCAACACACGTTCAGATCCCATGCGCCTCGTAGAACACTCACTAACCTCGCGGCTTTGGATAGCTGCCGCCTCCCAATCCTTCCGCTCCTCATTCGACTCCATCGTCTCAAAGCTCCGCTGGCTCGGGACACAAGGCGTGAACTTCATCCTCAACACCTGGTACGCCAAGCAACCCATGTTCTGGCTCCCTCAGGGATGGGTGCCCCACCAAGCCGAATGGCTCCTTTCCTTCCCACGAGCGCCGCTTGGAAGTATAAGTGTGAACGTTTGGGCTATTGCGTGCGGCAGTGTGATCGCGATGATAAGCGAGGGGATCGTCGCGCTTTGGACGCTGAAGAGTGGGGAGGTCAAGACAGGGCCGAACAAGGGAGAGAAGCTGAAGATGAGCAGTGCCGCAGGTGCTGCTGCGGAGAGCGAGACGAAGAAGGAGCTGTAAGAGTATGTCCGTGAATATGACTGCCTTTGCAACAACAGCGTGGCGTTTGGGTGCTTGATGGACTCGCAGACAGCTCCAGCTGGGCTGGACGACACAAAAGACGGAAGACTGCAGTTGTGCTTTGATACCCCCGATTTACAGTCCCGATTGCGCTCTTGAAAGGTTGTACAAAGAATGGCAATGCCCTTCATCGAGCATAGCCTCCACAAAATCATTCAATGAGGTCCACAGGGAAATTTCTGAGTGCCAACGAAGGCTCATAACCTTCGAAATGAGTAGGTCATGTGCGGCAAAACCTTGACGCTCACCATCCGAGTTAACATCAAGCTCTTTGTCCTTGGCACACAAGGACCTCAACTCGTTGAGTAGCAGCACCGGAGTTGTCAAGGTCCCACGATGTGGCAACCAACTAGTGCGCCTTTCGCGACTAGTATTGTCGATCAGAACTGTTTGACTTCTAGCAAACGCGGGGATATAAAAAAGCGATCAACATCGGCCTTACGGCAGTGAAGCCATGTCTCAGAAGGGAAGGAGGATATGATCTGCTCGTCACTCCGACGCATATCAAGTCGCCTACACGCCGAGACCCTGCGCCATGGATTGAATATTCCCACAGTCCAGCGGCTCTCTACAAGGACCATTATTCCTTGAACTTTGGCTCTCACCATCAACTTGTTAGGCTTCCTGTCAACATGAAACCCTGGTCTCTGATCTCGCTCGCAGCCGGCCAGGCTGCTGCTTTCCCACAGGTCCTTCAACACCTCGGTCAAAGCCAACATATGCCCCGGGATGGCTCTACGGAGACCAATTGTGGACCAGTACCATGCACTCTGTTCAATGCCCAGGAACAGTTCGTCGATGTGTCAGAGGCAAGTGGCCATCAGTGGATGACACCCACAGCGGAAGATCAGAGAGGCCCCTGCCCAGGATTGAAGTGAGTACTAGATGCTGCGACTTTATAGCTGCAGTGGAGTACTGAGTAAAATATTGTCCAGTGCCGCCGCAAACCACGGCTTCCTCCCCCGAAACGGCATCCTCACTACCCAACAAACAATTGACGGCCTTGCGCAAGCTTTTGGCATGGCAGCAGACATCGCAGCCGGTCTCGCCGTCCTCGCGATTTTACTCGAAGGAGATCCTATCGCCCTGACCTGGAGCATCGGCGGCGCATATCCTTCCCCCCTCGTCGACCAGCTAGGCGAAGAACCACAGGGTATTTCCTGGTCACACAACAATTACGAAGGCGACTCAAGCGTAACGCGTCAAGACGCCTATCTCAACGAAGGAGACGCATCATCTATAAACCTCTCTCGCTTCCAAGAGCTGTACAATTCGGCAGAGCTATTCACCCTGGACACGTTAAGGGGACAGTTCAAGAATAATCAAGATTACAGCATCTCCAACAACCCATACTACTACAGCGCACAGTTCAGCGGACTCCTCGTCGTCCCAGCGGCCCACAACTTCATCATCAACTTCTTTAGCAATCATAGCGCCGAGCAGCCTAATGGCTATCTAGACCGCGAAACCCTCAAATCTTTCTTCGGCATCACCGGCGAGCCAGGGTCTTTCGTAGCAAATCAAGGACAAGAACGTATACCGGAAAACTGGTATCGCCGACCTTCTTCGAACCAATACAGTCTGGCGGCTGCTCTAGCGGACGTAACAGCCGGCTATACCAAAGACCCAAGCACGTTCAAATTCGGCGGCAATACCGGCAGCACCAACTCTTTCGTCGGCATCGACGTCGGTGACCTCACAGGAGGGCTCTTCGATGCTCAAAATCTCATGGAAGGGAACAATTTGGGCTGTTTCATTCTCCTGACGCAACAGCAGGATTTTCCAGATATCTTGAAGGGATTGGAGGGCAATGTTGTGGCGCCAATTACGGATTTGATTGGGCAATACTTCACTCCCCTCTTGGACACGTTGAGGTGTCCGCAGTTGGAATCGTATAATCAGGGGCTTTTCAATCAGTTCCCGGGGTACAAGTACCATCCCAATGCTACGGGGACGCCGGGTGGACTTGGACATGGGACGATTGGATAGGTACAAGAAATAGTGTCTGTATTGTTGCTTAAGTACTGTCGCAAATGGCGAAGTACCAGTTTCGGGATTTTTCAACTACAACACGTGAATTATATAGCTCCAGCCATAGGATTCTTTCCCAGAGCGCGTCTTCCGATGTTGCGTTGTTGTGAGCCATGTCGATACCAAGAGCCCTCCTGTTGGTGGTGACGAAGTTAGGTTTGGCTCTAAGACTTCAGGTCCTGATAGATGCTATGCCCGGTCATGGATTGCATTTTGGGGCTGAAGCACCATGAGACGTTTCTGTGCGAGGTATAGAGGTATGATGAGTAGACTCATGAAGGTAAGAGAAGACTTCTAGCAGCAAAGGTCCTTGCAACAGGGAGACAAACTACAGTACCGGCACGATTTTCGCGGACGAGCTGCTCCCGGAACAGCCGCCCAGGAGTAAGAATACCATTATCCTCAATAATTATGTATCTCAATATTTAGACGCAACGTCCTCAGAGCCAGGCTCGGACACTGCAACACGAGTGAGACGATCTTGGCAGACCTGTGGTTTACTCTGGGCTACAAATTGAACTGGTGACTGTTGTAAAGTCGAGGTCGCCCAGTCTTCGAAAGAGCCAAATAGGAAAGGAAAACTGAATCTGCTGTCAAACAGGAACACCGAGTCTGCTCGGAAAAGCTGAGCTAGACAATGTGCTCCTGATCAAACTAAGATCATCTGATGTATCGAGATTCCGGATATGGTTTGTATCGCTCGCCATGTGAGATGGCGCGTTCGAGTATCCTACTCGGCGCGGGTAATCATGCTGAAGCAGGCGACAGGCCATAGACATCCAGAGCAACAGGCATATATAGCATCTGATTTGTCTCCGGGGACACGCAAAGTCGCGAGTTGCAATGTTGTCGTATGATTGTGGGACCAAGAAGTGAACGCAAGCGCGAAAAGAATTTGTCGTGTCTGGCTTGGTCATCAGCGGCTCTCCCCGCTCTCTGCACGTGCTTGACGCGAGCGAGGCAGCAACGCGTCTTCCAACGCGCCTTCCCGTCCCGCAGAAACAAGTCTGGCGAATACATAACCTGCCGAGCCCGCACGCTCTCCTCTCAACTCTCAACTCACGACACAACCCTCTTCATTCCCTGTATTACCCCTCTCGAGCTTCTTCACTGCAAGCCCGAGTCGGTCTCCCACTCCGTCAGCCATCCTAGTCACCAGATTGTTCGTACTTCCCGCCACTGCGCCCGCAGCTCGAGGTTGACCTCGCTGCCATTGGCATGATGTACGTCTACAAACGAGGTACGTATATCAGCTCTTCCCCTGCTACAAGACCTGGAAGTGGTCCCAAGGACTTCAAACATGATTGCCACCACTCTCGAACAAAGATGTCATGCTCTCGCCTGCTATATCACGACTAACGCGTTTCTCAGATGGCCGCAAGGAGCGTGTTCAGTTCGACAAGATCACCGCTCGTGTATCGAGGCTCTGTTATGGCCTCGACCCAGACCATGTTGACGCGGCTGCCATTACCATGAAGGTCATCAACGGCGTCTATCAGGGCGTGACTACCATTCAGCTCGACGATCTGGTAAGCCACGCGACACGAGACGAACGCGATGTATGTCGAGTACTAACGTTCCCTCCAGGCTGCCGAGACCGCCGCATATATGACTGTCACACACCCCGACTACGCCATCCTCGCTGCGCGTATCGCCGTCTCCAACCTCCACAAGCAGACCAAGAAGCAGTTCTCGGCCGTCGTCACCGACCTCTACGAATATGTCAACCCAAAAACGAGGAAGCCGGCACCGATGATCTCGGAACATACATACAATGTGGTCATGAAGCATGCGGATGAGCTGAACTCAGCCATCGTCTACGACCGTGACTTCCAGTACCAATATTTTGGTTTCAAGACGTTGGAGCGATCATATCTTCTCCGGATCAACGGCAAGGTTGCCGAGCGTCCACAACAGATGATCATGCGTGTTGCTGTCGGTATTCATGGAGATGATATTGAGGCCGCCATCGAGACATACAATTACATGTCGCAGAAGTACTTCACACACGCGTCCCCAACGCTATTCAGCGCCGGTACACCCCAGGCTCAGCTTGCCTCCTGCTTCCTCATCGACATGAAGGATGACAGCATTGATGGCATCTACGACACACTCAAGATTTGTGCCATGATCTCGAAGAACGCAGGCGGCATTGGACTCAATGCCCATCGCATTCGTGCCACTGGATCCTACATTAGCGGAACCAACGGAACCTCCAACGGCCTGGTTCCCATGCTCCGTGTGTTCAACAACACTGCTCGCTACGTCGACCAAGGTGGCAACAAGCGCCCCGGTGCTTTCGCCATCTACCTCGAGCCGTGGCATGCTGATGTCCTTCCCTTCCTGGACCTCCGTAAGAACCACGGAAAGGAAGAGGTTCGCGCGCGTGATCTCTTCTACGCCTTGTGGATTCCAGATCTATTCATGAAGCGTGTCGAGGCGAACGCCGACTGGACTCTCATGTGTCCCAACGAGTGCCCTGGTCTTGCTGATGTCTACGGCGACGAGTTTGAGGAATTGTACGAGCGTTACGAGCGGGAAGGCCGTGGTCGTGAGACCGTCCGTGCCCAAAAGATCTGGTATGCCATTCTGGAGGCACAGACCGAGACTGGCAACCCCTTCATCCTCTACAAGGACGCTGCCAACCGCAAGAGCAACCAGAAAAACCTCGGCACGATCCGCAGCTCGAACTTGTGCACTGAGATTATTGAGTATACCGCTCCCGATGAGGTCGCAGTCTGCAACCTTGCATCGCTTGCTCTGCCAACCTACGTTGACATCGAAAATGAGGTCTTCGACTTTGAGAAGCTGCATGAGGTCACCAAGGTCGTCACCAAGAACTTGAACAAGATCATTGAGATCAACCACTATCCTGTGCCAGAGGCTAGGAAGAGCAACTTCCGTCACCGGCCTATTGGCCTGGGTGTCAACGGTCTCGCTGATGCGTTCTTGGCTCTTCGTATGCCTTTTGACTCGCCCGAGGCTCGCCAATTGAACATTAAGATCTTCGAGACAATTTACCACGCCGCTCTTGAGGCGTCATGCGAGCTTGCTGAGAAGCTTGGCGCATACGAGACGTACGAGGGCTCGCCTGTCTCTCAAGGCGAACTTCAGTACGACATGTGGGGCGTGACTCCTACCGACCTCTGGGACTGGGCTTCTTTGAAAGCCAAGATCGCCCAGCACGGTGTTCGCAACTCTCTATTGGTTGCTCCCATGCCGACTGCGTCGACTTCTCAGATCATGGGCTTCAACGAGTGCTTCGAGCCATACACCAGCAACATCTACTCTCGTCGTGTCCTGGCTGGCGAGTTCCAGGTTGTCAACCCATGGCTGTTGAAGGACCTCGTTGACCGCGGTCTGTGGTCTGAGAACATGAAGAACCGCATCATTGCCGATGGCGGTTCCATCCAGCGCATCCCCAACATCCCCGATAACCTTAAGGGCCTTTATAAGACTGTCTGGGAGATCAGCCAGCGCAACATCGTGCAGATGGCCGCCGATCGCGGTGCCTTCATCGACCAGTCGCAGAGCTTGAACATCCACATGAAGGAGCCTACCATGGGCAAGATCACGAGCATGCATTTTACTGGCTGGAAGCTCGGCCTCAAGACTGGCATGTACTACCTACGTACGCAAGCTGCATCGGCTCCCATTCAGTTCACTGTCGACCAGGAGATGCTGAAGGTCGCTGATACCAACGTCGGCAAGGCTGTCGGCTCCAAGAAGAGAAACACCTCCGGCGCCTATAATGCTGTCAGCTCTCCTAAGCCACAATCTCCCAAACCAATGTTCGAGAAGAAGGAGCTCGAGGCGCCTACACCTGAGGTGCCGGCGGATGTCGTTACTCCCGCCACCACGCCCCCACCTCGACCAGAGGCAAAGAAGCGGACATTTGGACGCACCTCGTCGGCTGTCGTCAACCCAAGCTTCCCTGCCGATCAAGATGAGGGCGAGAGCCCAGAGGTGCTGGCCATTGACGGCGTCAACGCTGTGCCCAAGGAGGAGCAACTCCCCGAACCGGCGCTCAAGGAGAAGGAGGGTCAAGAGGAGGACAAGAAGGACTCCAGTGATAACCGCGAGGGTGACATATATGCTGAGGCCGTGTTGGCTTGCAGTATAGAGAACCCAGAATCCTGCGTGATGTGCAGTGGTTAAAGATGCTGAGTTGTACTTGTTTGTGATGTTTTGTGTTGGCATCTGGACGGCGCATGACTTGATGGGAATGGACACGGGAATCAGGCATTGATGTTTACTGTTGGATTGTGCTTTTGAGCTGCCGCTAATCGTGGGCAAGCTATGTGTGTACTGTACAAGAATGAGTATCCGATTATTGCAAGGCACTATTGCTTGCCGAACTGGTCAACATTAAGTCTCTTGGTGTGACTCTGCCCGTCAGTGCTGTCATGCCCGGCCACGCGACTGGTTCCAGTGGGGTGGAAGCTAGCTATTGTAGCTTTTCACTCATCCATTCCAAAGCACCGGTGCACGCGTTTCCGGACCAGATGCCTAAGGCACCAACCACCCAGATTTTGTAGCTATCGGCGTTCAGAATCCCATTTCTGACATTGAAGTCAAGGATAGCTCTTCTGGAGTGTTGAAGACTCCTTCCTAGGTGCTATAGTAGGTGGATTATGTGTGAGAATAGGTGTGTTAATCCTATAAGAAAGTGAAGCTCGCAGTTTGGCCGAGTGGTCCAGAAACGCGTGCACCTGGGTGTGCCAAAGGATGGTGATGGCACGTGTGGTGACTGCGTGGTGGTCAAAACTGGGCGTCTTTGCCCGGGCGCTAGCGGACGTCTGCATCAGTCGCCCTCCGGCCCGATGCTTGGACCCTGAACCTTAAAGCCGACGTCCCGACTTCATCCCATCTGCCAATCTTGCCATTCGACCTGATCACCCAGCATCCCACCACACCATCACCTCTTGAGCTCATCAAGCTCCGAAGACTCGTACCCTCCATCCGCCGAGCTCGGCTGAGAAGAGCGTATGGAGGAGATGCCCTCGCTGACAGCTACATCGATCCCCTTGGTTCGGGAAACAAGGCGCTGTGGATACGGCAATGAGCTACAGATCAGGTCAAACCCAGCGAGGTCAAATGCTCGGAAGCTGCGCTGAACCTTTCACGTCGCCGGATGGCTTTCTGCTGGTACTTGGAAGATGCAGGCAGGCTCAATGGCAGTTGTCGCCTGAGGATGCGCGATGAGCGAGGCACTGTTTATGGTCTTTCTCTCTGGCCGTCTTACAAAAACTTGCAATTCCACTCTAAGCTGTCGCAACGGCCTTTCCGGAGCTGCAAGATGAAAAACTTGGTCCTGGATGGATTTTGACCGCTTGAAATGGAGGAAAAACATCTTTGTGAGACAAGCTTCGACGTGCTCGAGTAGTAGCTCAAGAACCTCCCTTGGATAGGATAATCGCAGCTGCGCCACATTGTAATCTGATCGCGTGTCACACGCACCTAGGTCCCCTATGATATCGGGAGCTACTGTACGGGTCAATTCGCGTCATATCATTACACTGACTGGCACATAGAGAGAGAAGGTTTCCATGGCGGTCCGGCGACCTGTGGTACTCGCCTGACTGTACTATGGACAGTGATATTTTTGGAATGTTCTCGCCGACATAGCACATGTCGACGCTCAATAGGAAGTCTTTGACTCAGACGAAAAGCGACCTCTCCCAGACGTTGCGAACTTTTGTCCCGACAGGAGGAAATAAAAAGCGGCCATTTCTGCAACCTCTCCGTCTTCTCTTCCCCAAAGTTTCCCTCCATGAGCACAGAATCACCTCTGCTTTTCGAGATCTTTACATCACACCACTCCTTCAAACAATCACTTTCTGCGTGTGTCTGCCTCACTCAAGGCCACGCTATACCCCTTCTCTCTCCGCGCACATCACTGCCCATTCCCAGAACGCACAAGACACGGTTAATGCCATTACCGGTTCCCACAACTAGGGACGAAGCATTTCACCTTTGGCCAACCTAGCCGGGTACCAGAAGCCAATTAAATCTCACCACAGCCTGTCAATTCCACGCCATCTCCTCTCGAAATGGGTGGTCCGTGGTGCTCTGGTCCTCCAGGTTGGCACAGCCAACATCTTTTCGGCGGAGACGATTTTCAGGCATGCATTGGGGGGTCGAAAATCACATCCTACCACAACGCCTTCGATAAGGCTCGTATGGAGGACCCTTTCATGCAGTGCATGGATCTCGCCTCCGTCCTTCCCCAAGAACCAGTCTGTCCGCGGTGCATGGGGCTCACCGGCGCAGCAGATCTCCGGACTCCGGTCCAAGAATATGATGCCGAGGAAAACCTCACTGGCATGGTGGCCTATTTGCCACACGAGATTGAGTTGCGCTCTGCCCTCCATCAGTCATGCGTCTTCACGCAGTCCCACATGAATCCTGGGGCTTTCAACCATCCATGTCTGATCCTGCAACAATCCGCGTGCGGTCACCTCGCCTTCTGTGCACAGATGACCTCTTTCACTCAGGCGGGCTCTCTTGTCAAAAAGCATGCAGCCAAGTCATTTGCAGCGAAGGAGAACATATTCTGGACCCACCTCGCATTCGAGGACGGTAGCAAGGGGCACAACGACCTGGGAGAGCTCCGCTTGGCTGGCATACCTTTCCAGAAGAAGTCCTACGTCAAGCTTGACCAAGGCTTCTGGATTGAGTACGATAACCTCTCCTACTTCCGCCAGCCCCGCAGGCACGGGCGAATTGATCTCGACAAAGAGTCGACCAAGCTGGCAGCGTGGGCCTATGCGGTAGCAGAGACTCATCGCCAGACCTTGGGAACTCTCCTGCCCACGCGCTTGCCTACGCCGCCGTGCGAGCGCACCCCGTCCCCGGTGGAGCATGATTCCTTCGGTCCCGCTATGCCCATTACGCCTCCACGGACACCCTCTCCGCTGCAGTACAATCCTGCTGCGCCAGCGTGGAGGCCTCTGACACGCTCGTCGGACTTGCTCTACTGGGGGTCGAACACCATGCCAGTCGCAACAACGCCGCCTATGGGAAGCGCACTCTCCTGGCGTCCTGGCATGGAGTTCCAGCCCTACATGCAGGGCAGCCTGGTTCACTAAGATCACAGATTGGAATTTGCATTTGGTTTGCTTTGAGTTGCTTTGCATTGGCTTGGATATATTGCTAATCGTTTGCAGTCTTTTTACTTTCATTCTGTTGTTGCACATCGCTTGGATATTTTTGGATAAATGTATTGCTGGGAGCTTGTCGTACTTTTGTTTGATCTATTTAAGAGATTGGTCCGGCGAGGCCACTCTAGGGAGATCGGTTTCGGGAGATGGCTTTTGGGGGAATTCTCAGAGACGGATGTTGGGAGATGGATTTTGGTATTCGGGTTGGAATTTGGCCTGTGGACTGATGATATGGAGACATTTATGGACCTGAGACTACGGTCGAGATGGTCGCAAGAGGTGGGAGCCGCGCTATGGGCAGCACCTTCTCGTGGTGCGCGGTGTCGTAGTACCCCGTCGCTGCACGCAAATTGCGACCGAGGGAAACTGAGACTGCCCCTGAATTTTACCTTAGCTCATGTCGATGTTGAGATCCGTAGCCGTTCTCACAATATCATCTACGGTCGTCAGTACTATGTCCACTTCCTTTCTCTTCGTTACCTCCTTTCCCGCCATGCTGTCGATTCCTGGATCGATCCTTCTCAAGCGCATGTGCGTGATCTACACCTCTCAGAGGAGCCACCAGAGACGATCGTAAGGCTCAGATCTACATTCTGCCAACTTCTACAAACCCGTGGGACGAGACATGTGCGATCGATCTCTCGTACCAGGTCCTGAAGCATTCGACACAGCTGGTGGCGAATCGCCGTATCCTCAGGCAGCGCTTATCCATCGCGCTGTCCTCACACTCAGCCCAACATCCGACTCCCGACCTATAAAGTCTACAAGAGGGCTTCTCAGTCTTCACGTATCCTGTCACGCCTTCACCAACCTTCGCAACTAACCCAGACTAGAACGCACCAGTCGTCTTCGAAAATTCCTACAGAATGCCGACGTTCCACGCCCACAACACCTCAAATCGGAATGCGACGAACGAAAGATCCTCCGTCCACCGAATCGGGCCTACGAGACTCCCCTTCCATGATTCGACTTCGAATCGATCTACTTCTCTACTGTCTTAATGTTCTTTACAACATCAGCGCAAGGAGATGGAGAAGTTCGATTGACTTCCATATCGATCAGGAGCTCCTCTACATCGAAGCCGGTCTCTTCCCAATCACGACCGAGACCCATCGTCCGCAGGCAAATCATGCGATTCCAAAGACTTCAGTCACGGAATAGTCTCTGGTTACCTACATGTTCCGTACAAGCGAAAAAGCTTGGAATCTCAGGGGTAGGACAGCAAGACACAACAACAACACGTTTCTGACGCTTTTTCTCCCATCTATATACCTCGTCGGCGAGACACATGGTTGGAGCCGGAGAAGTTCCAAAGATTGGCATTTGGAGAAGAATTCAAATGAAAGCTCTTCAGCAACGACCTTGCTCGTACGCATTTCCCTTCCTTCAGCGGACGATATATATCTCTGCGCTTTGGCCGTAGATCTCGAATGATTCGCTGCTTCGATTTATTTCTGGTCGAAGGTGTCCAATATCGCCCTCCCTGAACGGCGTACAAGCAACTTGTCGGGCCTATCCTGGAGACTTCGTAGAAGCGTGCTGCCACCACCACCACCACCACCGGAAGAGACGGATTCCAGCGAGGGGATACGAGAATTGTCTGCGTGGGACTGGAGATTGTGAGGGTCACCAAGTGGACCACGGGGAAATGAGGGTGTCATTTTCGAAGATGCGCGAGTTTGGCATTCCAGCGTGCTGTTCAAAGCGTCTCCCACGGTCGATGAGTTCCTTACGGAGTGACTCGATGGAAGGCTGGTACTGGTATGGATATGCAGAAAGATGTGTGATCTTTCCAATGCCAGAGAGAGAGAGAGAGAGAGAGAGAGAGAGAGAGAGAGAGAAAGAGAGAGAGAGAGAGAGAGAGACGGCACCGTTCCGTTGGTCTTCCCCATCGAAATCCACAAAGTCCAGGTTGAGGTTTAGATCTGGCGACGTGCATGATTCGCCGTAGCTGTTGAGCTGGAAAGCGCGGTGTTGACCATAGATTGGCGTGACGGAAGAGATTCCAGAAGTGCTGGCACGAGATCAAAACCTACTCGAGAAGGTTCTCACTCTCTTCGATCGTCTTAGCAACTCGTTCCTGGATGAAAACAAGAAGAATACGATGGAGCTTCTTGGCTTCGGAATCTTCGAGACTCTCTTCCGCCTTCTCAAGTTCACGTCTGTAGTGGAACCGTACACGATGAGGTGCATCAATGCTGATGTCTTTGGTGTAGGAAGGACACGTCTGGAAAATTTCTCGATGTCGTTCTTCAAGAGATTCTCCAGGTGCTAAGAATTGATCTGGACGAAGTATAAGATTCCCATAACAGCAAGCCAGGCCAGGTCGGACCAAGGTGATGATGGAGGAGAGGTATGTCTGCAGCCTAACCTTCTGCACATACTTCCTGCTATGTATGATCCATAGATCGAACAAGACATATAGCGAATTTGCTCCACTAGTTGATCTTTCAAGAACAAACCCCGTTAGCGGGAGACATTAAATGATAAACCATTCAAAGGGTACACCTGATTCGAAATCTCCTCCTCAACCATCTCCGCAAAATACATACACCTGTTCCTGCTCAGTATAGCTTCGATCAGTACGCTTCAAATGAACCTGCTTAGTATGGCTTCGATTTAGTATGCCTCAACTGAGCCTACATTCCGCACTCTCTCATCTCCTACAACTTCTTCGTTCGCCGTCTTATCGTCGATATCGGGCCATCTGGCAGGTTCGGAAACGCTAGCGGAATACTTGTACCTACTGCAGAAATTGCAGACTCCATAGCACAAAGGCAACAGCTTCCCCGGCTGTGCCTCGAGTCATTCCAGTTGCGATGCTCCACGGTAGTATGTAGTGTGTTTGCTCAAATCGAACAATAATGGTGATTGGAGAAGAAGAAGGTGCCATCTCAGGCACGATGGCAGCTTTCTAGGTTCATATCAGCAGCAGTAGAGGGGGCTAATCCAGGCAGGAGAATCAACACGCTTATGTGTGACCCAGCCGCGATTCATCTTGAGAGTAGTCTTCGAGGCACACATTGCCGGGCCAAGACGCATCATGTAATAGTCCCTAAAAGGAGAAGAAAGCTAGGCAACAGTGCGTGGGTCAAAGCCACAAGTCCACATATATTCCACTCGTTCTCACCAGAATAATCCACAAATCCACGAGATCCACACGATCTCCAGGATTCTACTTATATATACAATTTTTAAGTCATGGTCGACATGGTTAGTTAGCACAGGCGAGATGGCCGAGCGGTCTAAGGCGCCGTCTTAAGGTTTTCTGATTATTCAGGATAAACCGGCGGTCCGAAAGGGCGTGGGTTCGAATCCCACTCTCGTCACCATCAATTTAACCATCCGCTTCAAAAGAAGCGAGTCTTTTTGTGACTTTTTTTGCTTATCTGGCCAGGCGGTCTTGGTTAAGATAGGCGAGTGGGCAAAGTTTTTTCAAGTTGATCGATCGTACATGAGAAACCCGCAGATTTTGATAAGTGCCTTTGAAATTCGCTCGTTGTTTTTCGCATGTTATTTTGTCTGTAAGAATTGCTGCGCTGCTGGTTCGTTTTGTGCGTGCCAAGCTTCCACGCCTCACTGCATGGAATAGTTTGGTGAGACTCGTGTAGAATCGAGACCAAGTGCTCATTCCTAGTTCAAATCTCGTATTATCGAGAAGTTTAATTAACTCTATCCTATACACAACATTGTGTCGATGATTCGTCTTCTCATTTCTCCTCCCACAGTGGTGAGACCTGTACAAAAAGCTGATTTTTTTGTTGAAGAAGAATTGTTCGAGCAACACCGTGTCCTGCCCATTATACCAGGCCCGTCCCTCCGAATCTATCCTGTCTCCGCCGTAGCGATCGAAACACAAAAGAGAACTCCGCCCACAAATGCACAGTTTTGTTGATGTTGTAATGATCGTGTCGGTTGATAGTAATGATGATGAAGATGATGATGCTGAGAGTGGTAGGTACCGTTCATTCCCATTCGTCACGCTTAAAATGCAGGATTCAAATCAGTCACGTCGCCAAAGTCCTGGATGGTGATCTGCGGCGGTGGAGTTCGCGATCGCAGAGGCAAGTCCCACCGTGGAAGCTCCGACATTTCAAGCTCTTTCGTCTAGAAATTGCTTGCAGTGTTGACTCCGCCGTTCGGATTGTGGTATCGCTCCAGACCGTCGCCGGAAGCGATGCGGCTCTCCTTGTGAATGCTGTCGTTCTGAGAGCCATCCACAAAGTCGTCTTGTGGGAGCTGCTGCCTCTTCTTCTTGCCCCATAGCCTCCATGCGACAATCGCCAGACCGCCGATCAGAATGGCACCTCCAACACCGCCCACCACGCCTCCAATGATCTTCTTCGACGAGTCGCTGATGGAGCTGCTGGATGATCCGCCATTCTGAAGCGAAGGGCTGACGGTCTGCGTCGCGTAGCCCGTCGTGCTCGCAACCACCCGGTCAGTGGTGATGATGGAGCTGTAAGCGGTGCCATCGCTGGTCCAGAAAGAGGTAGTAGTGGTTGGTACGGTTTCCGACGCAACGAGAGCAGACGTGATTGTGGTCGCCTTGGAAAGGGTGGAACGGTTGATGGTTGAAGAGCCTACCACCACAAGATCGCTGGCCGGTGTCGTACTGGCCGACGACTGCACCTCCACGGTTGAGGTCGTGATTCGCTGTGTGGTCGTCGATCCATCTGAGTTGGTAGTAACGACTTCGATGGTCGTCGGGACGGTTGATGTCGGCGCTGCTGACGACGAGGCGGGGGACGAAGTCGCTGAATTCTGAGCAGTAGTCGAGCTGGCAGATGTGCTAGCAGATGTGGGAGAGGCGGAAGTGGGCGAGTTGCTCAATGGCGAATTCGACGTCGGCGTCGTTGTCTGTTGGGTGGATGAAGCCGGGGTGGATGAAGCCTGAGTCGTTGGCGACGCGCTTGTCGCACTGGTAGTCGGTGCGTCTGAAGTTGAGGCCTCTGAAGTTGAGGCCTCTGAAGTTGACATGGCGGTAGTTGTGGTGCCTCCAGTTCCAACCACCTGCCTCTTATCCTTGGGTAGGATGCCGTCGGGGATGCTGTCGGCGTGAATCTGAGCGAAGCCCAGGAAGATCCCGAGCATGGTGTACCAAGACCTAGTTGATGGATATTACTGGTGGGATCGGGTGGGATTACGAATGCTTCGCGGTCCGGTTAAGGGCAAAGCGAGGCAATCCTGGGGGGCGAGAGTACGGAATACTCCAACGACAAGAGATGAACAACAAGATGAACAAGCAGAAGGGGGCGAGAAGTTGGATGGAAGACTAGTAGAGCGAGCGTGATGGTGAAGATGATGGTGAGATGGTGAGACGGAGGAGATGGGAAGAACACGAGAAAGAAAGAAGGTGCGAACGACGGTGTGGTGCAGCCGCAGCCGCAGGCGCAAGCGCAAGAGCAAGAGCAGGAGCGTGCGGTGGTCGTCGCCGTTTCCCACGGTGCACGGTGACCAGGCGCCCAGCACAGCAGCGCCTTCCCAATGTGAGAACCGCGCGTGCAACGTCACCAAAATAACTTTGACGCTACTCCCCTTTCGTCCCTAGTCTCCGCCGAGGGTGGAGCTTTACGAAAAGCACCTGTGACCTGTCACCCGACACAACTTGAATACTGCACCCGTCATCCACTCACAAACAACATCTTCTCTCATGCAAAATCTCCTCTCTCATGCACATGCATAGCGTTGTATACTACGAGCAAAATCTCGGGCGTTCCGAGGAACACACGTGGGACTGGAAATCAACGCCACGTTTTCCACCCAAAGCTAAAGCGCCCTGGCGCTCTGGACCAAACCGCCGGTATCCACAACGTCTGTTCGGCATCTCCCTTCCGACGCCCACCTCGACGACAACGCGACGACACGACGACACGAGGACAGGCAAGAATTTTCGCTGCAGCCTGTTGCTCGTGCCACCATTCCAGCGACTTCCATCAGCTCACGACACACGACGTGGGCATTGACGAAGCCACGACCTGATGTTTCATCTCCACTACCGTGGAAGTCTGGATATGGAAACATATCTGAACTTTGCACTATCGAACTATACCGTTCCTTGACCCGGACTTTCAGCTTGACGCGCTTCCTACGCGCCTGATCACTCCAGGATCATTGTCATTATCATTGAAATCCTCCATGGCACTTGAACCGAAGAATGTATCAAAAGGTAGACACACGTCCAGGCACACGGCCCTGCATTAGCTGCGGAGAAGAATCCTGCACAACTGACGATCCCATTCAACGTTCTTGCACACACACGGCGCTGTAGAGGTAGGAAAACCTACAACAACAGTACGCCTCCGTCCAGAAAAAAATTCTTCTTCTCCCGAGCATGTCCTGTGAATGAATGAGCATCATCAGTCAAACCCCGGAGTGTCCACACAATTGGACTACCCGCACGCTTCCTGAAACACAGCACAGACACGGAACAGACGCCTAATCCATCAACACGCAACGCGTCCACCAGCCTCCTTCATCTGCAATGCTCGAAGAGGGCCTTGTCCCCAATAAAACTGCCTTGGAAGAAGTCAGGGCAACCAACCACCCCAAGGGTCCACAAAGCGAGAAAGTTCTGTCATCTGATATCCAATCTGCCACAAAACAAAAGATTCCAGGCTCATCCATGCCACCTTTTGCCCAGCTCAATCAGCCAACCACATCAGTAGTTTGCGGGAGAGCCAAGTCGCCTGGATGAAGCCATCATTAACGGTGAATTAAAGGAATCGACGCCGCGCAGGATCGAACGAGAATAATGTGCATCTTCACACGTCAAACATTTTTGCAATTCGGGTATACTACTACTAACGACATCCCGCTCTCGTCTCCGGCTACCTAAAATTCGGCAGCCGCCATTGCCCACACACAATCGTCGGCCTACGGCAAATGCTTTCCTTCCTTTCCTCTACCGTATATCAAGCCCGCCATGCGAAAATGCTGCTGACGACGCCAAGAGCCGTCTCGAGACAATGCATCTTCCAGTCATGATCGTAGTAGAGGCCTAGCCAGCGGGTTCCGTTCGCCGTCAAAGGACCAGGGGACAAGAATCTCGCGTGGGCATGGCCTTACAGTCCCAGCGCCTCGGCAACGTCCTCGGTAACCTCCCCTCCACGTCCTCTTGCGAGCTCAAGCTCTTGATCAATTCATAACTCCTCGTCATCAATCTCGCTTGGCTTGAGCAGACCTCCCACCTTGGCCATGCGCTCGCGCTCCTGGTCCTTCGCCTCTTGAGCGGCCTTCTCGCGATCCTCCTGGAAAAGCTCCGCGTTATCGCCACCGAACTCCTTGAGCTGGATCAGGAAGTCGCGCAAGATCAGCTTGAACTTGACAAGGTCCTCGGTGTTCTCGAAGAGGCTCCTGATGAAGTTGGTGATCTGTACGGCTTGCAGGTTGGGGAAGGCATTTGACAGGAGCGAAGCGACGAAGTTCTGCACGAAATCCTTGTTCGAAGTACCCGGGTGTGCTTGGTCGCCAGAGTAGATTGGACCGGAGATCTTGTTCGCGCCGACGAGCCAGAAGAGGCGTGAAAGGAGCATCGACTGGTATTTGAAGCCCGCCTTATGGTCCGTGTCCGTAAGCACGAAGAAGACATCCTGAAGGACGGTTGTGTAGAAGTTCTGGAAGAAAGCATCGCACGTCGCCTGATCCGTCTGGCTCGCCATGTTTTCGATCAGTTCGATGCACATCTGCAGACCCTCTCCCTCCACAGCGCGATTGTCGTGCTTGGATGCCCACATGCACGAGTCGATGACCAGCTTGAAGTGTGCTTGGTCGAGCTTGAGCAGGGCAGGGAAGCAGCGCAAGTTCATCGCGCGCAGCATCTTGAAGAATTCCACACGGTGTTCGGGGTACTCCGAGAAGTCCTTGTTGATCATGTCAAGCGTGCACTCGAAGACCGCGTCGAGGATCGCGGGTACTTGCTCGGTCATCATGCCCTGGCAATTCATGTCAGAATCATCAACTGTACCTTTCGTGGCGATGGCGCGTACAAGCATGTACTTAGTGGTCTGAGGGGTCCAACGTACCTGAAGTTTGGAAATGAGCATGGTGATGACAGCGAGCACCTCGGCTTCGCGCGCGTCCGGAACGTTGTTCTTGTAGTCAAGAAGAATGGCCTCCAGAAGTTGCGGTACGAGTTGCGTGTGGATCATCTCCAGATCGTCGGCCTTCTCAACGTAGGTTGTAATGAGTTTGAGAATCTCCTTCTTGATAGTCCGCAGACCGCGAATCTTGGGCATCTTGGTAGCGATGGCTCCATCACGCTGCACGGCCTCATCAATCAGTTGAGAAGAGGCACGATACATGGTAAGCATGTCCATGTATATCCGGCCGATCTGAGGATAGAAGTAGGATCCGATACTGCTGCAGGCGGCCACGTTTGTTTTCATGATGTTGCCGACGACCTTAATGGTATCGGGGTTCTGCAAGATGTTTGGATCTTGGTGAGCGGACTGGATGATCTGGTCCCATGCCTGGTTCGGCAGGCTCATCAATTCGCTGATCAATCGCTCCTGCGTGTTCTTGTGGCCCTGCGCGCTGATCATGTATCCGCAAGCTTCGTAGAATGTGTGCACTTGCTGTGGTGACAAATCGCACGTGATCTTGCGCATCGTCTTTACAATCTCATCGATGAAGGGCTCGGTCTCGCCAGGCTGTTGAATAACGAAATGCCGCTTGCACTTGTTCGCGATCTTGATGAATGTGTCGCAAGCCATGTCCTGCACACCCTCATGCGTTTCGTGCATGAATTCGAACAGCTTGTTGACGACCGTCTTAAGAAACTTCCAGTGAGCCTTCAAGAATCGCGGGTACTGGCCAACGATATACATGATATTCGAGGCCACGACGGCCTTGTTGTCCTTGCCGCGCTTCATCTCCGTGAGCCCGAGCAGATCTTTGATGACCGTGACCAGGAAGCGCTTCTCGGTCTCTTCGTTCATGGCGCCGGAGATGGAACCGATGGCCCAGCAGAGCGTATTGCAGTTGGCCCAGCTCCATTCAGTACCATCGACCTGTCGTGCAAGCTTCTCCGACATGATCTGCTCAGTGTCCACGACATCAAGATGGGTGAGGAAGACCAAGCACTCTCGCGTAGTCTTGTAGAGCTGGATTGTGTCTGACTCCTTGACGAATTCACGCACAATCTCGCCCTCGTCGTTCTCCACAATGAGGACTTCCTCCGGGCGTACCATCTTCTCGATCATGACCTGACGCAGGTTTGAGAGCACCTCCTGATACTTGTGTTTCCTCAGAGGGTAGTTCGCCATCACCTGTGGATTCATAGCACCGCCGTTCTGCAGGCCACCCATGCTGATCAATGGGTTCATCTCCGTGATCGGGATCTGCTGCATCTCGTCGTACAGCTCGCAGACCAGCTTCGTCCAGTACTCCAAGCAAATCTTGAAGATCTCGCGGTCCTCGATTTGGCTTATTCGAATGAGGTAGAAGTGGCCGTGGAGGAGGTAGTCACGGTTGGGAAGGTTCTCGATGATATTAAGATGATTGCTGAAAAAGTTGCAGAGGAACAGAGCCAGGTTCTGCACGAATTCCTGGTCTCTGCCATTCGAGCTCGCGTACGTCGATTTGAGGTCGAGCGAAAGCGGGATGATCTTGGAGATCGTGGTGAGAGTGTCGGTGAACATCTGGACCAGCTTCTCGCTCCAGTTGTGCTCGGTCTGTAGGCTGCCGATCTCTGTCAGGCACTTTAGAGTGATGTTTCGGAACTCCGGCGCTTCGAGGAATCGACTCCGCAGTGTCTCGATGAGTGACTGGCCGGTAGGAGGTGTCTCAAAAATGTAGCCCAATGGGATCCAGTTCAGGAAGCGGAGCAGAGTCTCCAGGGTGGCCTTGATAAGGCTGGGCTGGTCTGCTGTTCGCAAAATCTCCGAGCACAAGTTGTAGATGCTGGTAAACTCATCGCACATGCTCTGCTTGAGCTGGCGGGTCTTGGTGCTGGTCATCTGGTCTTGTGAGAAGTCGAACACTTCTTCAGATAATAGACGGAGGATGGCCATGTTGTTCTCGCAGATGGGAAGACTGCTGCGGCAGGAGGAAATGATCTCGTTGATGAATGTGGGCCAGTTGTGCGGCCATTCCTGCTTCAGGATGCTCACCAGGACGAGGTTGAGCTTGTTGAGCAAAGCGCGCTCTTTCCGCAGGTTCTCCTCAGTGCTGCTCTGTTCGATGATGAAGTTGACAACAAAGTTGCGGATGCCATGGCACTGATCTCGCGGCAACACCTTCCACCGCGTCATGATCACATTGTCGAGGACTTGTAGACCGAGATACTTGGTCTGGGGATACTGCGCCTCTTGCAGAATCTTGTCCACCATAAGCCATGCATCAGGATTCTCTTTGAACTGGTTGAGGCTGGCCTGGGCGGCCTTTTGCTGGTCACCTCGACCCTCGTAGAAGGCGCGCACGGTGGCGTCGAGCTCCTCGATGCTCATCGACATGGTTGTGGTGTCTCTCGGTGTTTCTGGTCTGGCAACGCGGGCAGTCGGCGGGCGACTGGGAGGATATGAGCTGGACGCGCGCAGACCGCTTCGGGATCGGCTACAAGTTTCTCATGCAGCGTTTGACGGTATGTTACGTGTGGTGTTCGCGGGTCGGAATGGCAGGTCTCGGTTCGAGCGAGAGAGAGAGAGAGAGGGGTGGTGTTTGTCGTCGGCTGGAAGAGTTAAGAGATTGGATGGTTTGGCGGGGGAGTGAAGAGATGAAGGCGCCGCCTCTTACAAGCCCACTCTTCGCCGTTGGTTTCCGTGGCGTCACGCGAATCTGTGGAGCAGCAGGTGAGAGTCGGATCAGCGAGTAGTCACAGACTTCTCTGTATGTACGTGGCTATTGATTGCGGTCAGCGATGCTGCTGCAGCATGCGAGAAGTGCGATCGTCCAGTGGCGGCAGCCGGGCGTGCAGTGTGGCATGGAGAGAGGCAGTATCGGCGGCGCTCTGGTTCTGCAGGTCAGGTCGCTTCGCTTAGAGTTTCGCTGACGGTTCGCGGGGCCAGGTGTGAGGTGTGGGTGCAGGCTAGCATTCTGACAAAGCAAAAGACGTCAACCCTCAAACATCCCATTCACCTTCAGTTGGCTTTCCTCCCCACTACACAACCATACCAAAAGTCACTCATTTGACACCGGGATTCAGCCTGCAGAGATCCACTCAAAAGGACCCATTGCCAACGTTGTCGCAACTCCCCTAACGAGACTACTGGGGAGGCACACACGAATCTCTTGGAAGTCGACCTAGGCCACAGTAATCTCGCTCTAACGCAATACCAAATCCATTCACCGAGGAACTCAACGCCAGGGGATCAGATAGTACGTCCAAATACGAAGGGAGAAGAAAACCATGGCGAACCCTACCCAACAACAAAGAACTCGCCTCCAAGAAGGCAGCTCCTCGGGCACCGCTACGCCAACGTCCGGCTCGCAGACTCTCGTCGAGCCCCAAGCTTCTTCATCCAACCCCTCAGCCACCCTCCGCCTTCGCGCCTCTCCCGATCAAGCGAGCGCTCGACATATTCGCTGGTCTTCCGATGTCATTGACAACGAAGGCATGGGCAAGAAGAGCAGCAAAGTATGCTGCATATACCACAAACCGCACGAGCCCGGCGAAAGCGATTCGGAATCTAGCTCGAGCAGTGACGATGACAGCAGTGACGATGAGCCGGACCTGAGCCGTGCACAGAGAGGAGGAGGTGGAAGAGGCAGAAAGCATGGCACGGGCGACAAGGGCGACGGTAAAGGGAAGGGTAAGGAGAGAAAGCCCAGCCCGAATGCCTACGAACGACAGCCCAAGTACAAGAGCAAGAACGATGGTTGAGCGAGAGAATCAAGGAGTCTTTGAACCAGACCAACCAGTCAAACTGGGGTCACGTTGAATCCTATCTCGACTGGCTGAAGGGGCACCAGTCCTTCTTGAGCTCTACCGACATGAGCTACCAAAGTTGCTCCGTGCAGTATCTCTCTCTCTCTTGTGGGCGGCCACGGTGCTTCGCCACCTCTTCCACCTAAAGCATGGACGTCCTCCAAGCCGATGAAGGTGCAGCTAGAGCTACAAGAAGGAGGCGTTGCCACACGCAAATCGCTGTGATCATTACCACTGTCACCACCGGCGGTCGAGTGCCTTGAATAGCGTTGCTACCAACGCACCCAGTGGTGGTTACAAGATAGGCAAGGAGGGAAGGAGGAGAGCACGAACATCGATAGGCCACCAAGGGCATGCGATGGCTCTTAGGCCAAACAATGAGGCCATCGCTGCAAGGATGCCACACGCATACTTCTTCTTGACTTTTCTTGACTTTCTCCAGGGGCTCGTTCTGAGGAGGTTGCAGTTTTTGGCGGGCTTCATGGATTATGCTAAGCATGATATAGTCGTAGACTCCTCCCCGCGGAGTCTGAATCAACGTTTTCTGCTGTCACATGTTTTAGCGAGCTCTGTGATACTGTCCTCGTTCCAGATATATAAGTCATCCCATCACATGTTGGTGGGAATAAATACATCGCAGATTTCTCGAATAAATCCCATTCAGATCAACGACATAGACGGTGAGGGACAACACGACAGCGGTCTAGGGTTGGCACAGGACAAGGGACTTCCATGGTCAGGATGCCCACCACCCGTGAATTCGAAATGCACAGGACTTCGCCAGCCCAAATTCATCGAAAAGTTCTGTGATTGCTTTCTGTCTCAGCTACCTCGTGTCCAGCCTTGTCCATGCCCCATGCTCAAAGCGCTTCGCCGGGTCACGAAGGGTGATAAGTTGCCACCACAAGTCTCCTCAATCGCAAACTGAGCGCGTATCTTTGTCCTCGGAACCAGGATCGTGCTGACCACCCAAGTAGATGTCGAACGTGAGACTGATAGCCTCAAGGCCGAAGGCACCGACGGAGACGACTTGCTGAATGTCCACGTAGATCTCACCACATCCTCTTAGAGATCTCCGCGAGTTGCTTGACTTCTTCAAGGACCTTGTCATGACCGTTTCGGAACTCCTCGCCAACATGGACCCGAACCATTTGCTGAATGTCCAAGCTGATCGCGTCACGACCACTTTGGAAGTCTCCACATGGAGACGATTTGCTGAATGTCCACGCTGATCGCATCATGACCATTTCGGAACTCGTCGCAGACAAAGCGGACGGCCCGGAGCACAAAACATGCTGTAACGCCGTGGCAGAGGGCACTCAATACCATCCACACCATATGGTGATGCGCTGTCTATTCTGAGCGAGATATCGACAGGCCAACGGGTCTGAAGTACTCGATGAGGAATAACTCGCGGATCTCAGCGCCCTGATAGCTCCACTTGCCGGGAGCTTCGTGCCGCCGAACTCAATGTGACATCCTTGAACAATTCCTCTCAAGAGCTGTAGGAATGTATCCTAGGCGATCGAAGTGCTCGTAATCCTGCAAAGACCTGAAGAACTGATGACTGCTACGAGGTCAGCTGGCGTCGTGAAAGTGCATCGCCACTAGCAACTCACTGAGACGAGCAGACCAGAACCTCCCCGTCGTGACTGCGATAGCGGTAGTTGCGGCTCACTTGGAAGAGGCTTTGCGGTGCTTTCATGTGGGCAGTGAGCTTCAGTCTCCACCGCTCTGCTGCTGCTCTTCCTCCTTTCGAGCTTGTTCCCTCTGCGCAGCCTCAGCCTGCTGGATCGGAATGCGAACGAGTGTCTTTGGAAGCGCCTGCTCATCACCCTCTGTCTCCTTCTCTCCATCCGCGCTCGGCTTCGGAATGGCTTGACTTGCCATATACACCGCTCTCAGTACGGTGTTCCAATTACCCATGACAGCTGCGACTGCCTCGGTACCATTGCTCAGCGTATTCAGCTTCTCTTGCAGCTGCTGCATTTGACCTGCAAGACCGGCTGAGAGGTCACGCAGTTGCTTGAGAGATTCAAGCTCGACCTTCTTCTCCTGGATGCGCGACTGAAGGGCGGATTGATTGGACGAGCCGAGGCCGAGAGCAGAGCCGGAACGGGTGTGTTGTGATGGGAGTATTGTTTGGCGCGTCGACGCCGGTTTGTGGTTGGAATACGACATGTTGAGATCGCTTTTGAAGTGCTCCAATGTGTGCTCGCGATGAAGTCGCGTGTTCAGGGACACGTGCACGAGATACTGCCGAAAGCACGGACTGCGGACGGTGCCGTGGCCGTTGCGAAGGACGCACGGATCGTGGTTGCTTTTGTTTACATTTGTTTACCGGATTCGAAAGAGGCGCTGAAACCGCAATCGGCAGGGTTCCCATATCACACACGCACATTTCTTAACACGCCCAACACGTCTACAGGAACAGCCTCCTTATCATTGCCACCGGACATCGCATGGACATAATACACAGAACACAAGGAATTCCGACTCACGACGTTGTATGCGACACACTTTGATGCATGGCGCGCCTGAACGAGCCGGGTGTCGCTCCTGCTACCGACAATGGTAACGCGATTGCTACGACTGCGACGGGAGAGTCACTGGAAGCTTGTAAGTTATGACACATTGCACAGCATCCCACAAGACGTGTTGATGGGAGGAAATGCGCACGAAATCACGTCCTGCGATTGAGAGAGCACCTACTAACATCGACGAAGTGAAACGACGCTTCATCCGACAGAATCGCGAACTCGCAAAGAATAACTCCTCACAATCACTCCGAATCCGAAACCTAGAACTCGAAGTCAGCAGGCTGCTCGTCGATAACCTGGATCTGAGGGAACAGGTGCTGAGTCTGCAGAATGAAGTGGAAAATGCGCGGAGACAGGCCTCGGGCGATGCGATTAGGCAGATGAAGCAGGATATGAGGATGAAGATTGCGGAGCTCAGTGGTCTTGTTGACGGATTCGCCGATGAGCTTCCAGATGAGCGATCGGTGCCGGACAAGGAGCGGATCCTGAGCCCCAGTCGACAGCAGTATCGCGAGAGGCAGCCTTTGGCGGATCTGATGCAGGAGGCGGTCATGCCCACAATTCTCGAGGACAAGCAACATCCGAGGAAGACCCTTGATCCAGAGGAGATCCGAGCGATCAGGCTCTCCGATCAGAGCGGTACTACTGGAAGTCCGGATCTGGGCCCACCGCCAGTGGTTCATTTCGACATGGAAGATCCTATCAAACTCAACAGGGAGCGAGATACGGAAGCCAAAGAATCCACGGGAATCTCGCCCAAACCAGAAAATGAGGAGCTATTACCTTCAGTGAACCTCGAAACGCGGAGAAGAAGGAGGGACTCCAAGTTGGACATCAGACGGCACTCCATCCTCGCTTTGTCACCAGTCAACGATGGCGAGAGTGGAACGACTATGCTGCGCACTGGAGCGAAGCGGAAACTATCTGACCGGGAGACTGAGAAGCCTATCAAGCCACCAAGCCAAGGAGACTTCACCTTCAGTCGAAAAGCGTCCGCCGATCAATCCTGCTCCGATGAGGAGAAACCAAAGCTAGATAAAGAACAGCAGCCGGACGAGCCAGAGCAATCGGTGGCCCCGCCAGTACTAGAGCCATCGAAGCCAGTGCGGAAAATCTTGGGCGAAAAGAGCGTGAACATGTCACCCAAGAAGACAACAACTAGGGCATCTAGGGGACTGAAGGAGGATATAGAAAAGCCAGCCCCTCCCAAGCCTGCTGCCAACAGGGAACGACCACCCTCTCGAGGCCGTAGAGCGTCATCCATCCCTACGCCAGCACCTCAGGACGACCCGGTGCCAACGTTCGAGGTCCCACCACCAGAACCGTCAACAGAAGAACAGCTCCAAGCCAAGACTCCTGCGCCGTCGGTTGATATCTTCTCCCCAGCCACGTCAGAGCCATGGACTTCAGGAAAGATGAACGAAGCCCGCGACACACCACCTCCACCCCAGCTGAGCTCAGCCAGCAACACCACGGAAGGTGGCCAGCGCCCTTCGCGACGATCCCGTCCACCAATCAGCTACACGGAGCCGAGCCTCATCGCCAAGATGAGGCGACCAGACGACAAGAAGGTGGACGCTATCACCGGCTTGAAGAACCCTCAGCGGCCCCTGAACCCCTCCGCGGATAGGAGATCTATCGGGGGCATGCCTCGTTCTTCCCTCTCGGGCTCCATCACCATCAAGCGCGAACCTGTCGAGGATGACAACGACTGGAAGGGCACATCACACCCTTCGTTGGAAGAAGGCAGTCCTCTACGAGAGAGGAGTACAGACCAACATCCTCCCGCCGCCGAGACCGTTGCTGAGAATCTCCCTTCTTCTTCTTCTTCTTCTCCTCCCCCTCCTGTCCTTCCATCAGCGCTCCCCGCCTATCGAAAACGCAGGGACCAGCCCGAGCGTGAGGAACCCGCTTCGAAAGCGTCCCTCACTACCACTTTCCAGGCCGAACCAGAGCCTTCTTCCCCGGACGCCATGGCCAAGAAAATGGAAGAATTGGAATTGTACGATTTCAAGGATTCCTCGAGTCCGGGTTCTGTTGAGGGAGGAGGGACGGAGAGGACGAGGAAGGAAAAGGCCGGGGGAGGGAGGCAGCGGAGACATAGTTCTGTGCCGAAGGATTTGGTGAAGGAGAAGGAGAAGGAAAAGGAGACTGGGTCTGATGCTGCGGCAGGGCGAGGGGGAAGCGCGAGGCTTGAGCGGTCGAGTCGGAGACGGAGTATGATGGTATGAAAGGAAGGCTTTTCTCGTTTTTCTCTGTTGGACGAGTTGATGGGAGGAAGGCATTCGTTGTTGTTGATGATGATGATGATGTTGATTCAAACTTTCTTCTTCTTCTTCTCCTTCTTCTTGGGGAGACGGGGTGTATGCATGGTTGAAATGAAGTTCTAAGATACCCACTCCTCCAGCAGGACACTCTATGTTTTCTTGTCGATTCTTCCTCTAAGTCGCTACATTTATTGTGGCATTTTGGATATCTGGTACTCGTGACATTCCAATTCTCGCTGGCGTTCTTGCCGTTGGTCATCGCGATTGTCGTCCAAGATCATCCATCCCGGCGCTTTTGCTGTTGCCGCACACACACCGAACAATGTTCGTTTCCTGTGCGTTGACTCTCAATCGTACTCCAGCTGATCACGCACATTGCGATATCCACCACTACCATAATGACCCGTCGTCTCTCCCACCTCCACGACGGTCGCCTTCTGTTTCCCCGGGTTGTCATTTTCCTGCCATGGCGTACGGCAGAGGGGACAGGTGACGTTGGCTTTGATCTGAGCCCATTGCTGAAAACAGCCTTTGTGGAGATTGTTGCTGTGAGGAGAAGAGTTATCAGCAGAGCACAGTGACAGATAGCATGGCTGACGGACCCGCAAGCAGCCTTGCACCAGACAATTTCATCGTCTTTCGTCCATTCCATGTAGCAGATAGGGCATTCTGCGTCTTCCAAGCTCTTCCGATTGCCGTCCTCACTGGCTTGCTCTTCCACGATCTGCTCGGGCAATGGTCCAGCATGGGTGAAGAGTTCTCTGAGCTCGGCGGTGAGGAAAGCTGGTTGGAATTTCAGATGCTCCGGTGCTTTGAGGACGTGATGGAGAACGTATAAGACGTGCTTGCATTGTTTGACTTCTCCCTTCTTGGCAAAGTTTCCGACGGGGCAAGTGCAAGATGTGATGTGCGAGATGCGAACGCGGTAGACATTACCACTGGAGCCGGCGATGGTGAGGGCCTCGAAGGGACAGTCGTCGTGATGGGCATGGCAGTCTTGCTCGACGTCACGCATACGATCGAGGATGAACATCTTCTGCGTGCTGGCGCTTTGGAGGAAGCGTTGATACCATTCTGGAACGCCGTCGATGTAGCTTTGGGCTCAGAGTCAGTGACATGGTTGCAGCGCAGGGAGAAGAGTGCTCACCTCCTCAACCGCTCCTCTCTCTTGCCGGGGCCAAGTTTAGGAATAGGAGCCTGTTCGCGAGCCACACGCTGTTCGGCGACGTTGCTCATCCAAGAGGTATCCTTCCAATGAGCAGACTTGCCGGTCTTCTTGGGAGGAACGGGGTAGAAGGTAAGCTTCCCGCGCTTCTTGGGGCGCTCGTCGACAAAGTCGTCGTCGTGCTCGTCATCCTCCTCCTCGACTTCAGCTTTGATGCGCTTCTTGCGAGAAGCCTTGTTCTTCTTTGGGGCAGCAGCGGCAGTGATATTCTCCTGCTCAGCTGGCCCTTCAGCATAAGTTTCGACTTGCTTGCGAGCACGACCAGAACGGCGCAATCCTTCTTCGGTCGTCATGTTGGCATGCCTTTTTGTTGGCCATGAGCTCAAATGATGCATTGAGAGTGAAAGTCAGGTCACAAGTGGACAAAGGGGAAGGAGGGCAGTCGCGACAAGGCAGCCATCCAGCGCGTCGGTGCGCGCTGCTTCCACGTCCTCACGTGGAGCTTCATCGTTCTTTCCCAAAAGGATCCCGACCACAATGGCCGCCGAATGTGGCAGTCGATTCTTGGACCTAGGTGACACCGAAACGTTAATGGCAGCGAAACGGAAGTAAAGAAGTATGTGAAGAAACCATGGAAGAAGGAGCAGAAGAAGGAGGAGAATAAAGTCATTTTTGCAACAGAGGAGATCGTCCAACCCTCTCTCACCATTTACTCTCAGAGAGCTTCAACTTACCACAATGCTTAGTGACCAAGGCTCATGGTTCAATTCACCAAGACTTTACAACAATCGATGTCTTCGAACAAATCATCCTCAAAGACGACTCGAAGGAATGCCAACGTCATCGCCAACAGAATCCACGAGCCAATATCCAGATAAGGAACTCGCCGACTTTCTCAAGACGCCGAGCGGCCATGGTAGGCAAGACACGATGTAGCACGCGCAAGCCTCTTAGTCGCATCCATAGTCTCCTCGATCTCCAATGTTCGGCGACCTTATCATCCTCTGGCCCGGCAGATGCACGAATTTCTTCCCGAACGGCAGTGAGTGTGTCGACCTCGTGCAAATGCACTCGTCGGTCCCTCGTATGCCAAGAGGCGCTTAATGTCATGATGCCCGAGTGATATGCCCGCAGCTGACAGGCAGCGGCGTCTTGCGGGCACAATAGAATCGCATTGCTGAAACACATCGGCCTCTGACGGCATATTTGCTATGCGTCTCATCTAGTTCATTGCTCCATTTCGCCGAGCGCCAGGCCGAGAGCGTCTATTGACGCCGCGAAGCGGCGAAGCGGCCGTCCAACACCTTGTCTCGTCCAGAGGGAGTGGTGCAACTTCGAATACGGCGACCTCGGGCTTGTATATCAAAGGAGGCACACAGAAGCCGATCTCTGCTCGATCACATCCTCGGCGACTCTTTTTTCTCAACGGCCGAAGCCTTCCGCTAGCATCGTCCTAAGGCTCCTCTAGCGTAGGATTATACGCCACGCAGCTCTCCGTGAGTCCGTGACTAGCTCCCCTTCGTATGTCGCGATGTCAACCTGGTCGAGGGATTTTCATCGACACCATGCATAGTGTGGGTGGATTGGCTAGGTTCTGCATACAGTGAGTGATACTGCCGTGCCCAGGATAAGATCTGAGACATATCTTTAACCAGGCCGAAGGCTTATACCTTCTCCATCAGATGCGGGCCCGAGACAGCGTCTAGTAGGATGCGGCATCTGTACCCAACTACGAAGATTCGGTTCAGAAGAAGTGCCGTCCACTGCTAAGGCTGCATTCATCTTCCGCTTCGCCAGACATACATTTCTGGTCCTTGGGAGAACTTCGCACCTCAGGATTGAGAGGAGCGGTCAGTCGGAATGTCTGCAGAAGGTCATCCTGATGGTGGGAAAAATGTTCGGTAGACACGCTTGCCGCGGTCGTCTCCGCGCAGAAGATTGTGGTCGTGTGGTGGAAATCGTGGGATGCGCACGAATGATGCCGGAGTTTCAGTCCAGCCCGGAGAATAGCCCAGTCCGGATCAACGTCATTCCTCGAATGCAGGATGTTCCTTTTCGAGTCTACCAATTATCAGTTCGCGTTGCATGGTGTGCGGTGCGGTCGTTCATAAGGTTTGGAGACCTTACACAGCCGTAAGAAGCCGAAGCACGTAGCACATAGACCGCCGTTTCACAGCATTCCACACCACGGAGTTGCGACGCAATCCGCCGCATGACAGCTGTAACGAACGAATTGAGCGAGGACCGCATATCAAAGGCGTGGAGAAGTAGTGGATGGCTACTGGGCGAGAAGTTATCTGTGAGAAGGCATGTCAGTAGGTGGGCTCTGCCTGTCCACTTTTGTCTTCACGCCAGCATCGGTAATGGGATGTGTATCTAGGCGAGCTTCCAAAGCAGCCAGGCTCTGTCGAGGGATTTGGGAGGATTGGTTGTCTGCACTGCCCGGGCGGCCTTCCGCGCGATAGTCTAATGCAGTGAGCGTCGGTACCTGCACTGGCAAGACTGACATGCTCCTATCCGACCAGTCTCAACGAGCGCGCAGGAAATCTCGTCTGTTTTGAGGCTTCCAAGCTGAGCTGCGTAGTGCTTTACCCCACGTGGCGCATAGTCCCTATTCGATCACAGGATGAGGCCTTGATTCATGGTTGTACAGAATGCGCACTCCACACAGTGGGATGCAGTGTCGCGAAAGCAACGAGCGCACAGAACCATAGCATTGGCACTTGAGTGTAGAGGAGACTGCAGACCCACTTCATGCGCGCCTCCCTCAAGAGGCGCCCAGGGCGATTGTGTTGGAGCTGTGCGAATGCCATGCACGTAGCCGCTGCGGTTTCGTCTACGCCGCTTCGTCCCTTACCAGTGGAAGCTCGACAAAGGCGAAGATGTCTGGGCGTGTCGCTCCCTCCGCTGATCACCATCACCGTTCGTACAAAGAGACACAGCGGTTGAGGGGTGGGGATCAGAAGATCGTCGCGACCATGTGGTTGCCCGCTCGAGCTCAGTCCTTTCAAAGCGACACGACTGTGACACCAAAATTGCGTCTTTGTGAGACTGCGGAGAGGGCACAGATCGTGCGATGGCGCGACCTTGTTCGACTCGGCTGTGCACCAAGCCCAGGCAAGGTCGCGTCGGAGTGATTGTTTGCTCTGAGCTTCGTGGAGATCGCTTGCTGCAGTGTTTCGAGACTGGAGTAGAGATAGGATAGATGGATGCATGGACGAATGGCAGCGGCAGGAGGGTGCCGAGAGAGTCGTAACCTTTTTAAGCATCTCATTTGAGAAGCAGTAGCGTGGGGGTGGAGGTATAGTTGCAGACAGCTCTTAGCGGGCAGCGATTGTGGAGGGAGAGGCCTGTGCTGCGCATGAACTGGGGCCGAAGAGCTGGGATGTCTGGTTGACGATGAGAGGCACGGTGGAGCCCGAGCGGCTGGGGACTACTGCAGTGACGGTGGTTGTAATGGTGGTTGGAATGATGGTGGTGGTGGTGGTGGTGGTTGTCGTCTGTACGCCGACACTGTGAGTTGAGGTCGTCGAACAGCGGGAATTGTTCAGTGGTTGTGAGGTGATGTGATGAGTGTGTGAGGGAAGACGGCGAGGAGGGGCACAGGCGGCCACGTTGCGGCGAAGTGATCCGAGAGTTGCGCCGGGGTTGGAGACAGAGATGTGATGGTACACTTTTCGCTGGGCCGAACCGCTGCCGAGGCCAGCAACCAGCAAGCGTCGCGCACTACAGTACTGGCACTGGCCGTGCGCACGGGGTGGATGCAAGCTGTTGGTGCTAGCTATGTACAGGAATGGAGGCAGCCGGCACTGAGGAGCATCCGAGGAGCCTTCCAGGTTGGGTTGTTGAGGAGCATCCGAAGAGCCTTTGTTGAGGCATTCCAAAGCGTCGACCGGCATCCTGATAGTCCTTTGAGTCAAAGCTCTTTCAGGTCTGCTGCGCTGCGCGTTGGAGAGAGGAGGCTCCTGCTCGTGTGAGCATCTCCAGCTGGTGGGATCGTCCGCCAAGTTCCGCCAGTCATCTGATGATGAGCGTGGCTGATGGCGAAGATCATCACCTTGCCCGCCGGAGCAAGACGTAGACGTGAAGAGGTGCTGCAGCGGTGATTATTCTACGCAGCGTTTCGACACGGACGAGGATCCAGCCAGCGCGATTTCGAGGAGCTTGGATTGGGCTTCCAGGTTCCGGCGGCAAGGCAAAAATAATGGTCATCATCATCTCAGGGTCACCATCATCACCTCAGGGTGCAGGTGGCAGGTGGCTTGGGTGGGTGTGCTGCACCTGCTGCTGCTGCTGCGCTGGGGAGGTGCGCTTCGCTGCGGGCCGGACGGTACGTATCTGGCTAGCGCTGGCCCTCCCACGCCTTGCCTTGCCTGGCCTGGCCTCTGCCTGGCCCTTCCCGTCACCGTTGAAGGTCTGCGCACTGCGGCCTTTCCCATCACGCCTTGCGTCTGCTGTTAGGTTAGGTTGCGATCATGCATTGTGCATGGATGGCATGGGCGTTGTGTGTTGTGTGTTGGGTGCACGAGGCTCGCTCCTGCTCCACTTTTTCCCTCTGCTGCTGCCTCGCGATTGCCCGCGCACGATGGTCGTGCCTGCCTGTCCTGTGCCGGTCTGGAAGCAAGCCTCCCTCCGCTCTCCGACTGAACTACTGACCTGCTATCTACATATCTATCCCTCCCCTTCCACCACCACCGCCGCATTTCCCTTTTCCCCTTCGCATACAACCTCTCTCCCATTGCACCATCTCTTCCGTCATCTGCAATCTCCATTCAACATACGCAGCAGACAACCCGTCACGCAGAGTGACCGGCTGTCTCACGCCATATCAGGGCACCATTCCACAGCGACATTGCGCCATAGTCCGTGCACCGCATGATTCACCACCACCGTTGAAATACCTTGAAATACTTCTCGCCCGCACTTCCATTTCTACAACATACCGTCGATCCTTTCCCTCCAATCCAATCCACTCCAACCCGGCCACCGACACCCTTCGACCGACGACTCTCATCCTTCTCCACACTGGCCAGCCATGGACTGCTTCCACGACTTCTGCCTGTTCTGTGACCGCGACTCACCCGACGCTCCATACTGCTCACAACAATGCAAGCTCGCCGATCTCGAGAGGGCGAACCACTCCAACCCAGCCTCACCTACTACATCACCCACCTCACCCACTTCACCCACATCGCGACGACCCTGGCACTCTTCCTCCTCCGCATACAAGCTGGACTCGCTCCACCAACAGACCACTCCTACCTACGACACTTCTTCCTCCAGTCGACCCCGATCGTCATACTTGAGCTTCACTCAGATGCACGACCAAGATGAACGTCTATTGACCCCTTCATCCTCGAGGACTTCCTTGTCATCGACCACAACCTCCGCAAGCCTGGGCTGCCAAGGCATGTCCCCGCACGCAAAGCAACAATTGCAAGAGTACTTCAGCTCTTTCGACCAGGCCAAGGCCGCAAAGCGACGATCGAGTACGAGGTAGTCGCTTCCCATGTCTCCTTGACCGGCCTGCATGTGGATGCACCTCACTCCTCACACCACTGCTACAAAACCTCTTTCGATATCTGTTTTTGACAACAATTACCTTTTGGCGCGACCGGCAACATCTACCATGTGCCAAAGACGGGCGCCAGACATGTACTACGCAAAGCCTGTACTACTAGAAGCATTGGGATTCTCCTGTTTCGGTTGGAGGAGTTTTCCCTGGATTTGAGTTTTAACGAATTGCCTTTGTACTCGGAGCAAAATCTGTTTTCTGGGATGGGAAAGGCGCTGACGTGAGAGGGAAATTTTTGGCGAAAAGCCAAGGCGAGGCAGTACGGTGTTTCAGAGAGCAAGCAACGGAATGAGGGTCCAGTCACTACTCTTTGTTGATGCTTTCCATGGGAGGGAGAGGATACCCTTGCATAGCGCCCCGTGTTATTCTCACGGACACAGGGGGGCTTTGTTGTCTTGCGCAATTTTTTGTTTCAGAAAAACCGGCGAGACTGCGACGAACGACACGACGGAGGTCCTGGGGAAAAGCTTCTCCGGGACCCGGCATGATGGTGGATGGGGAGGGAGTCTCGTTTCAGCATCCATCCGTCACCGGCTGTCTGGAAGACATGTGGCACGACGACAGGACGGATCGACCGGCTTGCGTTCTTGTTTCCCGTCCGGAGACTACCAGTCCGTCATGAGACTGGGACATGATAGCATATAGCAGGTCACAATCGAACCCAAAAAGACTCGTCCGTCCCCCAATAGTCTGCGTTGTTCCTTGTGACCAACATCACCATCATCATCATCATCATCATCATCATCCATCCGCTGTCAACGGTTTCACCGACTTCCACAAGAACCCGCCTGCCACCATTACGGTCGTCATGCGTCTTCAGCCGATATCTAACCTTCTACCTCATCAATGCTTCGGCCTACCAGTCAGTCAGTGATCGTCTCTCAAACGACGTACATGTACCGATAACCACCGCGCACACCGACGACATCTCACCTTGGACATTATTGCTACTTAGCGCGTGAGGTAAGTACTAGTAAACGTAGGTGTAGGTACAAGACACCGAAAAAGCCTGCACCCCGCCTTTTCTTGTCCCGTCCAACCCAGAGAAGGAAGCACACTCCTCACAGGCTCACACTACTTCCTGCCACTGCCACACACACACACACACACACATGCAACTAGGCAAGACTTCTTTTCTACGATTGGTCGCGCCTCCGAAGAAAACCAAACCTACCCTTCCCTCGGGTCTTTGGGACATGGTCTGGATCTCTCTCCTCTCCGCCCATCATCACCTGCCCTGCTGCCGTCTACTGCATGCACGTGGCGGCATCAGGTACCACCGTGCACACGATTCGGGAGCTTTGTTGAGGTTGTTGTCGATGTGCATGTAGTAGTGTGTCTGTGTGTGTGTGTGTGTGTGTGTGTGTGTGTGCAGCTTTTCTCCGCGAGAGAGAGGGAGAGGGAGAGGGAGGGAGAGGGAGAATGATCATCGCCTTATTACTTACACCACTACGATACCCTCCACCCACTGATGAACAAAAACCCCCACAAAGAATCTGATTCCTGATGCGAAAGGTTCGTCGTCACACACGAGTCCATCATCAAGCAAGCAAAGAGGAAAGCAAGCAAGCCATTCCCTTCGTATGTGACAGACACAAAGAACGACGCCACCGAGAGAGCCGCGCGTGCCGTACGGTGCCTCCAACCTGGCACTGGAACGATTCAGTCCCCTCGCGTGATTGGACAGACTCCAGCGTCCGGAATAGATCTTGCTTTTTTTGTCTTTTGCTTTTTGGTTTTTTTCCCTGGCGGTGCGCCATGGGCCCGGCCGCGCCGGCCGCGTATCATCACGAGGAAGGCTTGATGATGATGATGATGATGATGATGATGATGATGACAGCATATGTCCCCGCGACGACGAGCAGCCTGTTGTTGGGTGATGTGGTCGTAGGGGAGGAGAGGAGAGGAGAGGAGAGGGCAGGGTATGATTTACCGGTGATGGAATTCATACATACGATACCGACCCCAACCGGGGAGAACCTCCTCTTTAGATTCTTTTGATCTATTTATACACGGCTCTAGATGAGATCAAACAAAGTGTTAGAAATGTAAGCTCTCTATCCAGACTATTGCATACTCAACTTCCTACACCTTATTAGTCCGAGGTAAACATTCGTGAAATGTAAGAGGATACGAGAGCTAGACTTTCTAGTCAGCACGCACGTGATACGCTTATGTAATCGAACTTCCTGACTTTCCACTTCAAAGGATAGGATGTCCCTTGCCTTCGCTTCGATATTGCGACATACCTATATCGCTACTATTATGATACATCGTCCTCTATCATAGGTGTTGGTCTGATGATCCGGGGTACAACGCCGTGCCGTGGAGATGTAGTGATTTCCCCCAAAAATCTATAGAAAATTTCTTGGAGCGATTGGGGGTGGGTGGGTGGGCAGGCTTTCTGTAGAAGGGTGAAGAAGTCTTGTAAACCGAATCATTCTCTAGTCTAGTAGTACTCGTCGGGCTCGTCGTTCGAAATCGATATCCTATGTCAACACCAAGTGTGACCGAGACCCAGCTCGGTGTGGAGACGTCGTGGTGGCCTTGCAGACTGCGTCAGATTCATCAACTAAACATCATCACGAGGTGCTGTCGTTCAATCAATGATCCTTCCGAGACATCATCCATTCAGCCCGTCATGGTATCGTTATCAAAGGAAATCCGCCTGGTTCGCATCGGAACCGCTTCTTCCTATACCATGGCCTCACTGCTCTTGCGCTCCTGCTCCCTCCCAATTTGAGGAGCTTGTGAGGTGGTCTGTCCGATCAACGGGCTCTGGTCCCCATCGTAGTATTTACCATCGATGGCCACGGGTGGCTCGCTGGATTGATGCTATTGAGATCATCCATTGATTAGCATACTTGCTCACGAATAAAACTTGTTCTCCGAGAGATGAGCTTACCAAGTACCATTGGACCACACCAACAAACAACCCTCCGCCAACGATATTCCCGAGAACCGTAGGGATCAGACTCTTCCAGATATAGTATCCAACCGTAATGTCCGGGGCACCCACAAAGATCGCTATGCCCCTCAAACGTCAGCATCCATCAACACACACCCATGGGGCAGCGCAAGAGACTCACCAGTCGGAATGAAGTACATGTTAGCAACAGTATGATCGAGTCCCAACGCCACGAACGCGAAGGTCGGCCACCATATCGCCATCACTTTACTGAAGAACTCTCGAGCCTGAAAAGCCAGGAAACATGACATACAGACCAACCAATTCGCCCCAATGGCCCTCAGAAAAATCATATGCCATTCTGGCGTTACGGCTTTTGACTGGGCAAAACGTATGGCTTCGCCGCGGTAAGGCTCCTTGGAGAAGACGCCTCCGTAACCTGTGATGATGGCGACGAGGAAGAGGGACCCGGCAAGGTTGCCCCAGAAAACTATGAACCAGTGTTTGAGCATTTTGAGGATGGAAAGGCGGCGTTGCAGGACGGGGATGATGGTGATCTGGGGTTCCCCGTCATATGTCAGCATTTCTCTTCCTTCTTTCTCGTGCTCTACTCACCATGAAATTCGCCGTAACCAATTCCAGCCCACTAGTCACAATCATCACCAATCCGAACGGGAAAACAATCGCTCCGATCATACGGATCAGGCCAGGGGCATTGTGCTGATACCACGGAGCCGTCTCGGTGCTCATGGTTACCGCACAGGCAAAGCCTAGTAGCATGCCCGCTAGCACGGCGGAGATGAAAGCTTTGTCGGGACGCATGTTGGCTTTGGCTACGCCGGCGCGACCTGCCAATTCGACTGTCTGTGGCGGATTGTAGGCGTTTACCACGACGTTGAGATGGTTGGGGAGGGCCATCTTGGCGGTTGTTGCGCTGTGAGAGAAGAGGGAGTAAGATCGAATGTGAGAAGGATACACAAGGCAACAGACCAAGTAATATACCTACTCACTCACTCACTTACTCACCGACTACAAAACACGAGGCTTCGCCAACTTGTTGTTTCAGTCAGGGATCAGGGTCAGGTGATCCGGTAGAACCCTTGGTTTCCAGGTCCAGGTGCTGGTTAAGGTATGCGCATCTCCTAGGAGGAACCGGACCAGTTGAGGTTACAACGGTTGCGAAGATCATTCTGGCCTCCACCTGACACAAAGTCTGCGAAGCCTTATGACTGCCCGATGAGAGCGTCGGTACCAGTGATCCTGCAGTATCGAACAGAAGTATACTGCCCAACCTTCTCATTATAGCGGCAAAGCAAAGTTGCTTTCAAATCGTATCCTCAATCGCGGAGACATTAGCGGCGTAGGATCTTCCGCACTCTACTCCAGCGCGGGGGCGTCGGGTAGTGGTTGGTGTGAAGATCTGATACGCAACTGCCCTTCTGGGAGAAGATTTAATGACGTCCCTTAGCCTGCTTCCTCCAACCGTGATAAGAGCTCTAGGTTGACCACAAGGAAAGGCGAGGGTGGGAGTGGTCCATATCAAGGCGTGGCAGTTGTAAGTGTGCAGAACAGTTCGTAATCATGTATTTTGTGTGTTCGATGACACGACATCGCCAAGATTGTCAAAGGTGACCTTGTTCTACTTCTGGTTGGAAATACAAGTCCTTCGTAGGCCGCGATAGAGCTGGAATGGTTGTACATAAAGAAGTGGGCCCGTGCCAAGAACGCCTCAAAGGGCAGCTAGGGCCCCGGGGTACTGTTGTTATCAACCTCACTTGCGTCCTGCAGTCGTGCAGATGGACAATAAAGCCGGGGATTCGCTCGGTCGTACGGATCTCGGAATGCGATGCATTGGTGATGACAATTGTCGAACTGCGATTGCCAATATTCCCAGTCGCTGTGAGGCAGTAGCAGCGATTTCCAATTTCGAGATGATAGAGGGTAGGAAATGACATGTTTGACAACGTTTTGTGGCGTGAAGCAGGAATGCTGGCAACTTCCTCTCTTCCGTCCGCATGCCAGACGGTTCGGTTGGATGGGGATCTTGCCGGTGCTAATCATTACTGATTGATGCTGAAGCACCGCCCGCGTGCTCTTGCGCAACCAGACCGCGTGGAGACAAGCATGTGAGGGACTGACATGGCGTGGACAGACTGCATTGCCAACAACGCCGCTGGGCTTGAGGATGCGGTAGATGTCGTAATTGCATCTGTGCTTGACACGGACTGATGAACTGCAGCATGAACGTGGTCTGGGCATGCGTGAGGGAGTCTTCCTTGAGGCTTGTGCAACATGGTGTTTGGTGGCATCCAACAGCTGAGTCTGTGGATTTGGTATGTTACGCTTGGCTAGCGTCTTCAGCATCCCAGAGGCGACGTCCGTGGCAACGATGGGCCTCTCAGAAGATTTTTGACGGAGGAGAGCCGTAAGGGCGCCGCTGCCCAGCTCCTGAGTCCTGGACAATGGCAGAGGCGTCGAACGGACGGGCGGACTCGACCAGCTTGCTGACCAAGCGTCAGTGTTAGTAGACGTTCTCTTCTTGTATTCGCCGCCCGGCTAATGGTTGCCATTGAGTCTGTTCTCCTCATTACGGTGCCTCGAAAGCGGCCGTGAGATGCTTGCGTCCAGCAGTGGTAACCTCATCATCTTGCAGTGTCCAGCGACAGCTCAACATGGCTGGTCCGATGCCCGGAATGCGGTATTCAGCACTGACGAGCCTTTCGGCGTGAGAGATGGCAGACAGATTGACGGAAGATGCACAGAAGATGGGTGTGATGCAGTCGAGATGTCACGTTTGAAGCGGCAGTCATTGCCTGTGCTCCGATTGGGGTGATGACCGCATTTGGGCCCCACACTCAAGTCGAATAATGACGGCCCGTCGACGGGACCTCGGAGAGATGCGAAAGCGGAAGCATCTTTCGACAAACACCCCTCACCACCAACCACACTCATATCTACCTTCGTACATCCACTCCCTCGACATTCCTCCTCTACCACCAATTGCGGATCCCGGGGTTGCACAACATCTCACTCAGCCGCGTCGTTTGGCCCGAACAGTTTTTGCTTCCAATCCAAGTACCGAGGGCAATTGCGAATCTCCACACACCTTCTGTCTCCAGACGAAATACAGAATCAGGCACCCAGGCACCCGATACAGCCTCGCCGGCACCATGTCCTTCTCCAACTTGGTCCACGACCTGAGCTACCGCGACCGTCCTACTTCTACCAACACCAACACCACCGCCGACACACGAGACAACCGCTCCACCTACTCTCGAGCGAGATCTTATGCCTCGACCGCTGCGACCAGCGTCAGCATCAGCGGCGACATCTCAAGCCATCTCCATGGCGGCTACTCACATCCTCTTGCGCGAGCATGGCAAGCCGAACGCCAACTGACAAAGAGCATGCTCATCTACCCACTCTTCATCTCTGACGAACCAGACGACGAGACCGTAATCCCCTCCCTACCCGGCCAGAAGCGCATGGGCTTGAACAAGCTCGTCTCATTCCTCCAACCGCTCATCGCCAAAGGCCTCAAGAGCGTAATCCTCTTCGGCGTTCCCTTGGCACCTACAGCCAAAGACCCCCTCGGTACCGCAGCAGATGATCCCAAAGGCCCCGTGATAGCCGCTATCCGTCTCCTACGACGTGCTTTCCCTCATCTCTTCATCACCTGCGACGTCTGCCTCTGCGAATACACAAGCCATGGGCATTGCGGTATTCTCCACGAAGACGGCTCCCTGAACAATAACCTCTCCGTCGACCGCATCTCCGACGTCGCAATGGCATACGCCGAAGCAGGCGCCCACTGCGTAGCACCCTCCGACATGAACGACGGCCGCATTCGCGCGATCAAGCTGAAACTCATCGAAGCTGGAATCGCCCACCGCGTCGTCCTCATGTCCTACTCCGCCAAATTCTCCGGCTGTCTATATGGCCCCTTCCGCGACGCAGCGGGCTCTTGTCCTTCGTTCGGTGACAGGAGATGCTACCAATTGCCCCCAGGCGGGAGAGGTCTGGCGAGAAGAGCAATCCAAAGAGATATCAACGAAGGAGCGGATATCATCATGGTGAAGCCAGCCACACAATACTTGGACATCATCTCCGACGCGAAAGAGATCGGGAAGGATATGCCCGTTGCTGCCTACCACGTCAGTGGAGAATACGCCATGATCCACGCAGCGGCCAAAGCTGGCGTTTTCGATTTGAAGACTATGGCGTTTGAAGCAACAGAAGGAATTTTGAGAGCGGGCGCTACGATTGTGGTGTCGTATTTCACACCCGATTTCTTGGACTGGTTGGAGAACTGAAACAGTACCCGTTATGATGATACAAAGCTTCCCGCGAGAAGACAGAAGACAGCGTGCATGTATGATACCCGTTGTATGCAATTCTCGGAAAAAGGCCTCTTTGATTTCGAGTCGAAAACGCCTCTCCCGAGTCTGCACTTCGTTACTCAGGTCTCATTATTCATACATGCCTTGGCTACGATATGCCGCGCCAGTAACTAGAGCAACGCGACAATGGACAACAACACCTTTCTGAGCGCCAACGCTGCTGTTAAACCAACCCTTGCGCCTGTCAACCGTTATTTTGACATCCAAAGCATTCCCCGTATTCGATTCACTCACAAAGCCAACAGCCAATCAGGCCCTTGGCCAACGATCATATCATCAAGCAATCCACCAAATCCTTATCCACCAATCTTCGCCTCAGGCATTGAATTCTCGACCTCAGCGACCGTGGCAGTAACAGCACCAACCTTAGCCTCATTTTAAGGCTTGGCACTCATCTTCTTCCCCTTCTGCTTCTCAGCCCATTCGCGACTCATCTGCCGACTGCGCTCCGCAGCCTCAGCCCGCGCCTTCTTCGCCGCTTCCTCCTTCTCACGCTTTTCTTTCTCCGCAGCAGATTTAGCCTGCGCGGCGCGGTTGAAGACTTCCTTGCCCTTTGAAGTACCATTGGGCTTGGATGCTGGGGCAGCAGTGCTGAGAGGACGACCGGAGAAAGTCGTTGGGCATGTGTGAGCGATGGAAGGGCGTGGTCTGTTGGTGTGGCTTGCCATGACTGTCGAGGGACGCTTGTGGATGTTCGGGGCAGGAGCTGGGACGGTGGAGAGTCTGTTTGCGGCTTTGGAGGTGAAAGCCGACGAGGAAGGCTTATCGACGCTCGACTTAATGCTCATGGATGGTCTCGAGCCCGCGACACTACTCGCACGCTTGTGACTCGCTGCCAATGCGGATGTCGCCGGAGGCTTGCCGCCCATGAGCGATTCCCGAGCCTTACTAGTGCTCGTCTGACGCACCGCAGGCGCCTTTGTGGCGGCTGGAGCAGGCCGAGCCTTGAAGGTCTTCTTCTTACCTTCCTCGGCCTCTCTTGCGAGTCGCGCTTCCTTGGCAGCCTTGAGCTTGGCTGCAACAGCCTCTCCAGGCAGCTGAAACGTGCTCTTGGTCGGCGCCTTTGTCGACTTGGGCGGTGGGGGAGGAGCTGGGAAGTTCATCGACATTGGTCTCGGCTTGCTGTGTGGAATCACCACTTCCTTCTTCTCAACTGGCTCATCGGACTCTCCAACAGGCTTCTCACTTGAGACAGAGGTCACACGTCGGAGTGTCGATTGACTCGTAGACATGGATGGTCTCGGCTTGCCCCACGAAGGTACTCTCGGGGCGTCCTTTGGGCCATGGGCAAGGGAAATCCGGGCTTGACTTGCCTTGGTAGTACGGACCACTGGCGCTGCCTTCTCCTTCTTTGCCTTGCTCTGGGGTATCTCGGCATTGACCTTTTCTAAAGCATCGTCCAGGGCGTCGAGGGCAGTGATAGGATCGGCACCGGACTCCTGAACTCCCTTGTTCGAGCCAGATGGGCTAGCCGCGGCCTCCACAGCCGCGGCCTCGAGTTTGTCGTAGATAGAAGTCTCGCCAGGCTCGTCATTCGTGTCCATGCAGGAAGGCTGCTCAATTGCATTCGTAGACTCGACCTTGCTGGGAGTCGTAAACCGTGGAGAGACATTGCGTGAACTCTGCAAAGTGTTCGGCATCTCCTTCGCTTCGGTCGACACAATGGCCTCAGAAACTGCTTCCGCGCCAGCCAGTGCGTCTGTCGTCTCGGAAACCTGAACGGCTCCGCCCAGACTTGCCTTTAGGATCGTCTCTTCCTCTCCGTTCGGTAGCTTCTCGTCGACCTGCACGCCTGGCACTACTTCCTCCAGAACCCGGGGTGACTTTCTCAGCTGGCTCCTCGTCATCCGCAACGTAGACGACGGCGACTGAGATCTGATATCGTGAACAGGTGAAAGAGACATCTCCACTGCGTAGACCCCTGCATTAGCGTCAAGTGACATCGAGGAGACAACGCATTCTGATGTACAAAGCCACTTACACTCGGGTGTGTCCTTGACGAGGTCGTCCGAGGCGGCTCTGCTCGCTGGCGACGATTCGTTCTTGTTCGGCGTCACCTCAGCGGGCGCTTGTGCTGATAGTGTACTGGCTGTGCTTGCCGCCAGTCCGCCGTTGTCACAGATGTTCTCCTGGTCCCCGAGATGCTGCTGCTTCCTGTTGTCCTTCTTTGCGCCCTTGCTATTCTTGCTGCCTGATCTCTTGTTCTCGCCTCCAGCATTGTCGTCGTTGCAGATCTTGTCGCCGCCGCCGCTGTTGCCAGTGATTTCACCTAGTGGGTTGCGTCCAGTCGGCACTGGAGTGGCTTCACTGACAGTGTTGAGGTCGAGGGCGGCATCTTCGTCAATGTGCAAGTCCTCCGCTACCTCCACAGCTTTTGCTCTCGTAAAGGGCATCCCGTCCGGGGTGACCAGGGTACGCGACGTTTGTTCGCACTCCGCCTGTTGGTCAGTGCCGTCTGCGGGCTTAAGGAGGCGCGCAAATCTTCTTTCCAAGCGGAAGTCGCTGCAATGTACGATGTAAATATTATTGTTCTGTTTCGTGATCGTATGTTGTCGGAAGACTCATTGTCGCGTCCAAGTGCACGAGTATGAAACAGACGCGAGAGTTTGTGGCATTGTTTGTTTACGTCGGCGCTCGTTATGCCGACGACAGGGATCAGGGTTCTGCCCCGCAGCTCCCTTGGCGGTTTTTGGCTGTCACATGTCAGAGGTTTGAACGAGACCGAACTGCACGTAAAACAGATCGATTGCTAGGACCTTCAACAACTACAGCCACGACCCACTCATACGATTTTGCGAAACTCATTGTCATCATCGGCACCTCCCAATGCGGTCAAGGTATCGCATCTCCTGAACCTTTACTACGAGTACCTAGCTTTGATGCTATTGCCGACATTCCGTTGTCGGATGCAACTTAACAGAGCACAAATCTTGTGGAGCTCCCATTCGTATATAATTCTACAGGTATCATACTCCCTGACCGGCCGTGAAATACGGGGGTGGCTCAATCTCCCAAAAATCCATCCCGCACCCTCCGCGAACTCCTTGTTCACCTTCGCTATGCATGCTCAAAGTCTATACTCACAAAAGCTCTGCCTGTCGTTCTGCAGAGGTCAATCAAAGTTTCGCTTTTACGCTGTTTGCCCCATTTCCATTTGCCGTAGCGCTGGCTTCCTTGTTAAGTTCAACGCGACCATTGCCTTGTCCTTCGCCAAAGAAGATGACTTGCACGGTCAAGTCGTCGCGATACCTTCGGCTGTAGGGGGATGGCAAAGTTAGTAGCGCGCTGAGCATGTCTCTGTCCTTCCCTCCAAGAGCGTTGCGGACGAGATGCGTAGCGGCGTTCTTATCCTCGACCACGAATCTTTGGTCTTGACCAGATGGTACACCCCACTGCTTCTGGCGGACTGGGGCTCGCTGGCCGCTTTCGTCACCTTGGTCGTGGTGCTCAATAGGGAGCTGTGATGACTTCTGGCTACTGAACCACGACTGCAGCCAGCCACTCTTGCTTTCGCTAGCGTTGGAAGCCTGCTTTTCCAGCCACTGGCCGACTAGGCCCACGACTTCCTCGTTTGTAAGCATCTCCCACAGACCGTCAGTGGCCATCACGACGAAGTCTCCATTGGCAGGCTCGATTTGCGTGCGGGTAACCACAGGCTCTGCGGTAACATAAGGCGGCGTCTTCAGGTGCTTAGACGGACTTCGGCCAAAGAAACTCTTACGCATCTTTTCTTGTGTTTCTGCAGACCACTTGTAGATTGCGTCTCCGAAAGCTCGACTGGGCTCCAAACCGCCCAGAATGCGCCCATTCATGGTGACATACGGCTCGCCCGGGTGTTCGGCTCGGAGTCGAGCGTCTTCAGAAGGAGTGCCGCCGGTTTGGTCAACGGAAAGGGCGGTGGCCGTCCACTTTCCGCTGCTGCCTCTCCGACCGAGTACGGCCCGACTGTCCCCCGTGCATGCCACACGGAGTTCTTTGGAGCGGCTGTCATAGAAGGACAGCAATGCGCAGGAGCCCGAGAGAGCAGGCGCAAGGATCTCTGCTGCGACGACCTTCGATTGTGCTTTGAGTACCTTCGCGACCGACTCGTGTGTAATCTCATTGTCTAGCTTGACGAAGCCCTTCTTGATCGCGGCATCCACCGAGTCCGGCGATGGGAACGTCTGCTTCGGATCTTGCAGGGCCGATTTGTATGTCGCATTGAGCTCCCGCGCGACGTACGAAACGAGAGTCTGCCTCAACTTTGCGGAGGTCGTCCAGCCGGAGTGGCCGTCGAATACGCCCCAGAACATCCAGTCCGACCGCGTCTTTCCCTCGTCTGAAGCGGCGGTGGTGTTCGGCACCTCGACAATCTTCTCCACGTGGTCATCCTCGATGGGATCGTTGCTTGGAATTTGGACCACATCATATCGTACGACGCCCTCGCCTCTTCCGACCAAGTAACTCTCCTCATTCGTCCTGAGCTTAGCGCTTGCCTGCTCCGGTGTGAGCATCTCCAGCACTTTTCGTCCCGAGTAATCAGTCTCCTTGCTGATCGGCTGGTCTGCAGGTATTTGGGCCGTGAAAAGCTGGCCTTGTTCCACAATAAGGGCCTTCCTCACAGCTTCTGGTACAGCCTCCGGCTCCAAGGGAGTTCCAACGGAGGCCGGAGAAGACCTATGTGCTGGCGCTGCGGACGTCGAATAGCTCTGGCTGCCGGTCACAGCACTCGAAAGCGGCGAAACATCTGGTGCTGCGGTCGATTGCGTCCTCTGCTCGTAGCCGTAATATATCGCTGCTGCGCCCACACCAAGAGCGACGGGTACTGAGATTCGCCGGGAGATCCTCATCGACGATTGTAGGGGCTGAGGTGATCTAGAACTTATTGCGCGTTGAAAGGCGACATGGTGCGGGTTGTTGATGCGCAGGCTCTTCAGCGCTTTGCGGGGTGACGGTCGACGAAACGTTCGCAGGTTCTGGATTACCGCGCGACGCATGGAGAGAGTGCCTGCTTTCGCAAGCGTGTCATAAGAGGTGTTAGGGGTGAGTTGGAGAGATCGTAAGCTGTTGTTACAAGTCGCGCGTCAGGTGTTGGCAATGACGGGGATAAACGATCGTCTTCTGCCGCACGTTGAAATTTCAATCAAATCTTACTTGACATTTGCCGATCTTGCCCGGCTCCTGCCGATCTCCACGCACGGACGCTCATCGGCCTTGGCACGCACATTGTGCGCGGAATGACTTTTCGAGCTGGGGCTTGACCTCTTTGCAAGCGACAGGAGCATCGCCAAACCGACCATCGCCCAATCGCCCAGTCCTCTCCTCATCCCTCGAACACCGTCGCCATGCCGCCCAAGAGCAACAAGCCATCCGCTGGCAAGACCGGCCGCAGCGCTATCGAAGACGTCGTCGCCCGCGAATACACCATCCACCTGCACAAGAGAGTACGTTCAGTTTGATGAAGTCCAAGCAATGGTCTGGTAGAGATACCGGATATCGGGCGGAAGACTGAATACAAAAGAATACAATATCTGACATATACGATGGGTATAGGTTCATGGCGCAACCTTCAAGAAGAGGGCTCCCCGTGCCATCAAGGAGATCCGCGCATTCGCTGAGAAGGCTATGGTAAGACATTACGAAACTGAAGACACTCGATGAACCAATGCTAACGTACCGTGTGCTTCAGGGCACCTCTGATGTCCGCCTCGACCCTCAGTTGAACAAGAAGGTCTGGGAGTCCGGTGTCAAGGGCGTCCCATTCCGTCTGCGCGTCCGCATCTCCCGTAAGCGTAACGATGAGGAGGGTGCCAAGGAGAAGCTCTACTCTTACGTCCAGGCCGTCAACGTCAAGAACCCCAAGGGTCTGCAGACCGCCGTCGTCGAGGACACCGCATAAGCCAGTCGCTTGCGTGAGTGATCAGCATTGCATTGAGGGATAGCGACTCGGCGTTCATTTGGTGGTGGTCTAAAAGCTGGATGCGCCGGCGATGCGCCAGGCTTTAGTTTACGATTGAGAGTATGTCGAACAGCACCAATTGAGACCTCACTGTTCAGTCGAACTCAGACTTTCTCTCAGGTTTCTTTACACTTGAGATATCATACACTGTTGGAGATGCAAATCGCTCACGTCGTTGTATCGCTCTCTTACATTGCATCTGTGCTTCCACTTCCTGACTAAAGTAAGCACGGCAGGTGCCGTAAAGCGTCAGGTTTCCAGTCTCACGGGCGAGTATCTTCTTGCTGCGGATCGTTCCCTCCAACTTCAACCCTCCAACTTCAAATGCGACTTCTCCGGAACCGTGCAACATGACTACAACAACATCAGCTATCGTCCACCATGGCTACTGATGAGACGGCGGCTGTGTCGCCCATCTTGAGCATCCCTTTGGAACTGATGAAGGAGATCCTCGAGTCTGTGAGTACCAAATGCACACCATCACCTTCCTCGGCTGACCCAGACTTACTCAGAGCCTCATCAAACCAAGTGGAAGCAACATCACCCTCTCTTCCGCAGGGTTCGAGACTCATGCGCTGCTGAAGACCTGCAAACGACTCCGCTTTGAGGCTCTGAAGACATTCTACTACAAGAACAAGTTCGTCATTGCCGAGGAGGAAAATGCGGTGGAGGTGCTCATCAAATTCTTCCATCACCTGAAGTCTCTGGTGCGTACTGTGCGATGAGTCTACCGTGCTCTCACTGACTTGTAGTAGGGCCTCAAAGAACATCTCGTCTCCCTCGACCCCAGCGCTGTGGGCAGGGGGCTGTGGTTCAACGTCATCCAATTCTTCCAGCGAGTGCATCAGGGCTCCTTTCCCGGCCTGAGCGTCACGGCCGTCCATCGGCTCAGGAAAATCCGCAGTCGTCATGTGAAGGCTATGCTCAGGTACTTCACCCTCGCGCAGGCCAAGCGGAGAGAACCTTGGCAACGGGTGCGACGAGAGATTGACTGTCAGTGGTACATTGAGGCGGAGGCTATTAAGAAGGAGAAGAATCAGGAAACAACGACGCGGACCTGAGTGAGATGGAGCTTGCAGGCTTCCTCACTGTGACAGTGATCAAAAGCCTGGCATGTAAGGTTTATCGCGCCCCCAGACCAGCGTTGGCCGCCGTTTACTGGACCCAAAGTTTTCAAACAAGCGTAAGCGACTTTTCCGCTATCGAGATTAGTGCATTGTGGGGGAGATCATTATGAGTGACCTCGCAAATGCTGTAACGAGGTATAGGAGAGCAGACTTGAATCTGAAAGAACTGCTCGTGTATGGCTTACTGTACTGCATGGTTCTTGTGCCTGCGAGGCCTGTCGTAGCAGGATCTTGCAGGAATAGTACTTGTGCAAAAACATCTTTTGGTATCCTCTGATTGCAGGCCTGTCGTAGCAGGAGATTGCAGGGATAGGACTTGTGCAAAAGGAGTTTTCAGTATCCTCTGATTGCGGGTGAAATATTTGGAGCATTCCAATTCCCCTTGACATGGTACTTGGTACAGAAGCCATGACACAGAGCGGTAGCGCTTCTGAGAAGGTGGTAATTATGCACCACGGTACAGAATTTACATCTGATTCCGAAGTCCGTGCACGATCGGGATTCAGCCGCTCGCCGTTCTGCTTCCGTTGCTTTTTCAGAGCACTTTCCCACGTCGCACGGCATGGAACACTTGGGAATGAGTCACACGAGTGAATAGACGTCGACGACGATCGAATTCTCTATCGCCAATCCGTTCCCATCAAGAAGAGCCCGGCGAGATGGCCGCGGTGCGGTGCAGCCGTCGAAATGCTAATTGCTCTCAATCGCAGGAGAGCTACGAAACGAAATCTATCATGAGGTGCGGTCTCGACCCTATTTCCAATCAGCCTCGTGCGGAATACATGTAGGAAGTCGCGCAGCGAAGAGACTCGGGCTGCTTCCACTACCTCACAACATAGCTAACCGCATATAGAAAGTAGGCGTGGAAGACAGAAGGAAGTCATGAAGCGCGCCTGAGAAGGAGGTAGGTATGTTCTCAAACCGTCCACAAGATCTCCAAAGGGGAAAGACATTTACCAAATCAACGTCCATGTACGTCCTTACCAGCCCGAGCGACGAGCCATTCCGAAACGGTTTGCGACGACGCGCCCTGCTGAGCACCTGCAAATGAATCCGCCGCGAGGGGGTGAAGATCTACTTCTACGAGGACAGAATGGAGATATCATCCTCGACTTAGTAAACGTCGACTTCTTACCTTCTTCTCAGGCGCGCTTCTCGTGACTCCCTTCTTCCACACTCCAGTCCTACGCTATCTATATTTGGTTACTTATATGTGGAGCGGTAGAAGAAGTATCATGGATGTGATTAGCCAAACAAATCAAAGCTCATTACATAAGCCAATCGCATCGCACCTTCTAGTCTGCAAGAAGAGTCTGAGATGGAGATAGTCGACTTCAACTCCAGCCCGAAAAGATCAGCTACCAGATCAGGTTTCCACACTGGTGATGCGGAGCTCGGGCTAGTATCCTTCATGAATCATGAGGTGGGCGTGTACACAGCGCAGCCATTCAACAAGATTGCCGCAGATAGGCATACAGGGATTCCAGTTGAGATCGACTCGAAACACAACAATGGATCCGGATTTCTGGGTCAAATGAAGCCATTCCTACTGCCGACGTGTTTATGATTTGGTACTGCGAGAATTCTCACTTACATGTCCGCAATCGCATAATTACATGTCAGGCCGGCATTCCGGCAATCTCTTTCGATCCCAGAGATAGTGGGTGTTTGGCGAACGTATAGCTGCGCGGGAGCCTCTTACTTAGACACTGCAGCTTGAGGGCTCTTCAGGAGGAAGTTCATCGCTCCGAAGACCACACCGGACTTGCCCAGCCATCTCACGGTGATTGGAGTCACGTTTCAAGAACGAACGCTTCTCGAAGACCTTGCAAAGAAAGCTGAAGAGGGGCTCTCCGCGTGAGTACCCTGGCAAGAGCGAGAAGCTTTCCAGGGCGAAGATAGAAGATGGCTTGTGGTGGGTACCGCAAATGCAACATGCAGAGACTACCAAAATATCCGCTTCCGTAAAACCTGCAGCAGAACGTTGCGAGTCGGTGTACAAGGAGATCCTACGGGGCTCCACCATGATGATTCACCCTCCTGCAGTGCGCCGCGCGTTGCATTAGAAATTGGAAAGAGAGCCTAGACCGGAAACAGGAACTTGGGTGATCCGGGAGGTTTTTTTATCCATTGTTGCGGCAGGTCTCTCGGACGGCTAGCTCTGCTTCCCAACTCCCGTTCGAGACGGTGGAAAGGCAGCAAGCCAATTCTACGTGATACAGCTCGGGAAATGCATCGAAGCTTTGCGAAAACATGTTTCGGTGGCGGGTGGGTTCAGCGTTGGTCGTGCAGTGCTGTGATGAAGAAGCATTGCGCACGGGTTTGACGCATGGGTGGTTGGAAGCAGAGGGCACGTGGAGCCGAGGCACAGCAGGGATTGGGTAAGGTACTAGTAGCCAGCCAGTGGGAAGGGCGAGTGAAGCGGTTGAGCGGGGCGCTGTGTAGGTTGATTTCGAGGGGTCGGGTGGGCGTGGGCGTGGGCGGCAAGCGGGTCGGCGGGTGCAGAGATACAGTAGTGCTGGAGTGGGAAGAAGTGTCGTCGAAGCAAACGTTTAAGGTGCGAGCCCGAGCGTCGGCAGCAAGGTACTGGAGTACCTTGTTAAGTTATTAGGCGTGGTAGGCTGGTAGCACGATCCGAGACTCCATTTTATGCAGCTGTGGCGGCAAGTGGGCTCTGACTTTCTCGTAGCTAAACGAGATTGATTCACCGCGATGGCGACGGCGCTGAGTCTCACTCTCATCATCATCATCATCATCATCATCATCATCATCATCATCATCATCATCATCATGGTCTTGACGAATGCCGCGCATGGGCGAGGGAAGAGCAAGCACCGAGCCACTCGGCACCCCTCCACCGGCTTCGAGCTGGCTGCAGATCCGAGTACAAAGTTATGCACTGCATGCACAACCAAGTCCACCACCGACGGGAAGCGCCCCGATCCGATCCCCTGAGGGGTCTGCTGCCGAACCGAGCACGGCTGGTGGCTGCTGGGCTGCTCCCGGCTTATCAATTTGTTTGATCAATTCGCACCTCACTCGCCCACTGCATGCTGATGGTCTACGCATACGAATACTACGAGGTCGTTCTCGCACTCGCTCTGGCGTGCGGACCAATTGATGCGCCATCTCTCCTGCGGCCATCGGCTACTACTACGGCCACGTCAAGTCAGTCAGTCAGACGCCATCCATGGGAAGCGAGCCACACACGGCCGCCGGGACGGCCGCCACATGGCCAGAAGCAGATCCACTCTGCCATCTCCACAGATCTCGGATTTTAGCCTTGGATTTGCATTGCTCCCTACTATTGTGCCACACTATGTCTCTTATGCTGGACCTCCGTCATCGCATCCTCCCTCGTAATCCTCCTCCCGGAAAGCACTTCACCGCTGCCTTGGTGCGCCTCTCTTTATGCAGACTAACCCGAGAATGCGCTAGGCCTTCGCGTGCGCTCTCCCATACAAAGCCTTTCGCACGACTCCCCCGCGTTCCTCGTAACTTTTCGCGATCCCTCAATTATTGTTTACTCGTCTCCCACCCACCCTTCCCTCCGCCTCCACCCCCTCCCATCGCTGTACCACCTCACTCTCACGCCGCCGTCGCTGCTTCACCCGCACGGTTGCGCTACCAAGCCACCTCACTTGCGCCGACACTCTCGTATTCTATTGCCAGCTGGGAGAGGAGAGGGTTCAATACACAGGCAACATGTCCCTTGTGGGCAACTTCACCTTCGGGAATTATGACCGTACAGCAGAGCAGAGTGGCGCCGGCAGCACGGGCACTGCTTTCCAACGACGAACCAGCCTGACCGACCAGGACCCGGAAGGAGAAGCACATGCTCAAGAGCAAAGAGGAAGCCTGTTCGGCCGCAGGAGGCCTTCTACTCACCGTTCCACCACCCAGACCCATCCGCCCGTCACAGACCCAGCAGAGATCGAGAAGGCCATAGAATCGGAGAAAGAAGGCTTCGAGGCATACGAGACGCCTGATCCAAAGTTCGAATCCGACTCCGACTCGAATACCAAGTCGGATCGAGCGATTGCCACACTTGCACGAAGCCTCACGAAACAGTCAACATGGAGTCAGATCCCCTCGAATCCGTTCAAAGCGGAAGAGGGCTCCGAACTCGACCCACACTCCGAGCACTTCAGGGCGAGAGCATGGGTCAAGAGCATGATCAAGTTGAATCGCGAAGACGGCACGACACCGAGGACGGGCGGTGTGGCGTTCAAGAATCTCAGTGCATATGGTTTCGGAACAGGCACAGACTACCAAAAAGATGTCGGTAACGTCGTCTTGGAAGTAGTGGGCTTGTTCAAGAAGCTGTTCGGTCTAGCCAAGCCGCGACGGATAGACATCCTCCGCAACTTCGAGGGTTTGATTCAGAGTGGAGAAATGTTGGTGGTGCTTGGTCCACCAGGATCTGGATGCTCGACCTTCCTCAAAACTCTCACCGGTGAGATCCACGGATTCGAGGTCGAGAAAGACTCCTACCTGAACTACCAGGGCATTCCGGCCAAATGCATGCACAAGTACTTCCGTGGCGAGGCCATCTACACTGCCGAAGTCGATGTGCATTTCCCCATGCTCAGTGTTGGCGACACTTTGACCTTTGCTGCGCGAGCAAGAGCGCCAAAGAATCCTCCAGGTGGCGTCTCCAAGCACGAATGGGCACAGCTTTTAAGGGACGTCGTCATGGCCACGTTTGGTATTGCGCACACCGTCAATACGCGCGTGGGTAACGATTTCATCCGCGGTGTTTCCGGTGGTGAGAGAAAGCGTGTCTCCATTGCAGAAGCTGCTTTGAGCGGTGCACCACTTCAAGCCTGGGACAACTCCACACGTGGTCTCGATTCTGCCAATGCCATCGAGTTCTGTAAGACTGTCCGTCTGAGTGCAGAGCTTGGAGGCGCTGCCGCCCTCGTCGCCATCTACCAGGCTCCACAAGCAGCCTACGAGCAGTTCGACAAGGCACTCGTACTGTACGAAGGACGACAAATCTTCTTCGGGCGTACTGACCAAGCGCGTGCTTACTTCGAGAACATGGGATTCCACTGTCCAGACCGTCAGACGACTGCCGATTTCTTGACCTCAATGACTTCGGCGCAGGAACGTGTCGTGAGATCTGGGTACGAAGATAGAGTGCCTCGAACTCCCGATGAATTCGCTGCGGCATGGAAGCAGAGCCCAGAGCGCCAGCAGCTGATGCAAGAGATTGAAGCGTACGGCCAGAAGTATCCCTTCGAGGGCGAGTCATATCAGCAATTCGTCGACAGTCGCAAGCAGCAACAAGCCAAGGGACAGCGACTAAAGTCGCCCTACACACTGTCTTACGTCCAGCAAGTCGAACTCTGCTTGTGGCGAGGTTTCCGACGTCTTGTCGGTGATCCCGAACTCACCTTCACTCAGCTCTTCGGTAACTTCGCCATGGCGCTCATCCTTGGATCCGTCTTCTTCAACCTGGATAAGACCTCCAACTCCTTCTTCCAGCGCGGTGCTGTCCTCTTCTTCGCTGTGTTGATCAACGCTTTTGGTTCGGCTCTGGAAATTCTCACCCTCTACGCTCAACGTCCGATTGTCGAGAAGCATTCGCGCTACGCTCTATACCATCCGTCGGCGGAAGCCGTCGCATCCATGTTGACCGACATTCCATACAAGGTTGCGAATTCCATCATCTTCAACATCACGCTGTACTTCATGGTCAACCTGAAACGAACGCCTGGCGCTTTCTTCTTCTTCCTGCTCTTCAGCTTCTTCGCAACATTGACAATGAGTATGCTGTTCCGGACTATTGCATCCGTCTCCAGGACACTATCGCAGGCTATGGCGCCGGCTGCTGTGCTGATCTTGGCGATTGTCATCTTCACCGGATTTGCCATCCCTGTCGACTACATGCTTGGCTGGTGCAGATGGATCAACTATCTGGATCCGGTGGCCTATGTCTTCGAGTCCCTGATGATCAACGAATTCGCCGGCCAAAACTACACTTGCAGTCAACTTGTGCCTACTTATGGAAACACGGCGGACCAGTCACAAGTTTGCTCTGCCGTTGGCTCTCAACCTGGTCTTGATGTGGTTCGCGGCACAGATTACATTGAAGCGGCGTTCACCTATTACCCCTCGCATCGCTGGAGGAACTTTGGCATTCTGATTGCTTTCATGGTCTTCTTGTGCGCCGCCTACCTTACTGCCACCGAGTTCATCAGCGCGAAGAAATCCAAGGGTGAGGTGCTTGTCTTCCAGCGTGGACATCTCCCGACACAGCTCAAGGAAAAGAAGAACGATGAGGAATCCGTTGAAGCGGGAGGTAGCGATTCGAATGCGCTTGCGAAACAGGAGAGCTACACTAATGCGACCGACATCATCCAAAAGCAGACTGCCATTTTCAGCTGGAAAGACGTGTGCTACGACATCAAGATCAAGAGCGAAGAACGACGTATCCTCGATCATGTCGACGGTTGGGTCAAGCCGGGTACTCTCACTGCTCTAATGGGTGTTTCCGGCGCCGGTAAGACGACTCTCCTGGATGTGCTCGCTACCCGTGTCACTATGGGAGTCATTTCTGGAGACATGCTGGTCGATGGTCGCCAGCGTGACTCTTCCTTTCAACGCAAGACGGGTTACGTACAGCAGCAGGACCTTCACCTTCAGACCTCGACTGTCAGAGAAGCGCTCAACTTCAGCGCCCTCCTCCGTCAGCCGAAGAGCACTCCTCGTTCAGAAAAGCTGGCCTACGTGGAGGAGGTCATCAAGCTTCTCGATATGCAAGAATATGCGGATGCTGTGGTGGGTGTTCCCGGAGAAGGTCTGAACGTGGAGCAGCGGAAGCGTCTTACTATTGGTGTCGAGCTTGCGGCTAAGCCGGAACTTTTGCTGTTCCTCGACGAGCCTACCTCCGGTCTGGATTCCCAGACGTCTTGGGCCATTTGTGATCTGATGGAGAAGCTCAAGAACTCCGGTCAGGCCATTCTGTGCACCATCCACCAGCCCTCTGCTATGCTGTTCCAGCGCTTCGACCGCTTGCTCTTCCTCGCGAGGGGCGGCAGGACCGTGTACTTTGGAGACATTGGCGAGAACTCCCGCATCCTCGCCAACTACTTTGAGCGGAATGGCGCGCACAAGTGCCCGGATGATGCCAACCCCGCTGAGTGGATGTTGGAAGTCATCGGCGCGGCACCTGGCTCTTCGACCGACAAGGACTGGCACCAGATATGGCGCAACAGCCCCGAATATGCCGAAGTGCAGGAGCATCTGGAATACATCAAGACAACCCGCCAAAAGGAATCACAGCCTTCTTCGACACCCAACGACAAGGAGAGCTACCGCGAATTCGCCGCACCCTTTGGCGAACAGCTGTGGGCCGTCTCTCAGCGTGTCTTTCAGCAATACTGGCGCACACCCTCCTACATCTACTCCAAGCTGGCCCTCTGCACTGCTTCGGCGCTGTTTATCGGTTTCATCTTCTTCAAGGCCCCGGTCACACACCAAGGTCTCCAGAACCAGATGTTCTCCGTCTTCATGACCTTCACTATCTTCGGCCAACTCGTCCAACAAATCATGCCGCACTTTGTCACGCAACGCTCCCTCTACGAAGTGCGCGAGCGGCCCTCGAAGACATATTCCTGGCAAGCCTTCATGATCTCTAACATCGCCGTCGAATTGCCCTGGAACTCCCTCATGGCCGTCATCATGTTCTTCTGCTACTACTACCCCGTCGGCCTCTACCAGAACGCCGGCGACGAGGTCAGTTCCCGCGGCGTGCTCTTCTTCCTCTTCATGCTGGAATTCCTACTCTTCACTTCCTCCTTCACCAACATGATCATCGCCGGCATGGACAGCGCCGAAACGGGAGGCAACATCGCCAATCTCATGTTCTCCCTCTGCCTCATCTTCTGCGGTGTCCTCGCGACCCCGGCCACCCTCCCCGGCTTCTGGGTCTTCATGTACCGCGTGTCCCCCTTCACCTACCTCGTCGAGGGCTTCCTCGCCACCGGCCTCGCCAACACCCAGGTCAACTGCGCCGAGAACGAATTCCTCAACTTCAACCCCCCCCGCGGCCAGACCTGCGGACAGTACATGCAACGCTACATCGACGGGGGCAACGGCAGCATCGCCAACGGCGGCTACCTGCGCGACGCGTCCGCCACGTCCAACTGCGCCTACTGCACGTACGACGACTCCAACGTCTTCCTCGCCAGCGTCGCCGTCTCCTATTCGAATCGCTGGCGGGATTTCGGGATCCTGTGGGCTTTTATCATTTTTAATATTATTGCTGCCGTGTTCTTTTATTGGTTGGTCAGGGTGCCGAAGGATATGGGGAAGAAGAAGAAGAAGGAAGAAAAGGCGCAGAAGGAGAAATAAAGGCGAAGTAGAAAGGGGGTTGTTGTTGCATGGTTGCATGGTTGCATGGATGGTTGCAAAGCGGTTTTTGTTTTTAAGTTTTTGGCATAGATGAGTTCACACTCAAAAGAGTCCCCCTCCTCCTTTTGGGATATATAGAGATCTGATGGATTTGATGAATGATATAGAGGTTCTTTCTTTTTCTCTCTCTGGAATGAAGAGAGAGAGGGAGAGAAAAGGAACAGAACGAGAGATTTGCATCATAATATTATTATTATTACTTCGTTGACTTCGCTTCTTTTCTCTCAAGTACTTATCTGTCTTTGATTTTCTCGATCATATTCAATTCCATCTAATCTCCCTGTGTGTGTCTCCGGCCTCTGGTCTCGAGATGGGGGTGTCAAGGAGGAGAAGGAGGAGAAAGCTGCTCTTCCTCGTCCTCGTTTTGGCTCTGATATGCATGCTGCTAGTCGGAAAGAAGGTCGTGATTCGTTTTTGGAGAGAGAGAGAGAGAGAGTTCCGCTTCTTCTGCTTCTAGTCGAGACCGGATCCCTGATTTTCCACGGAGTCGTTAATTTTTTTCTTCTTTTCTATAATTCGCAAGTCATCCGGATCATGTCCTCCATTTTTTTTTTTTTTTTCTCGGGAGAGTATCGGCCGTGGTGGGGATGAGTGAGTTTACCGCGCGAGTGACCGAGTGCGACTCCTCGGGTTTTTGTTTTCCTTGCGTTGTGAATGATTTCATGTGGGACTGAGACGGAGAGACTCCCTCTCGGGGTTGGGATTTTTTGAGGATTCTTTGCTTGCTTCAAGATGAGGGAGTCATTGTGATGATGCCTTTGTCTGTTGGAAGGCCTGGTCTCATCGCCGCGGCGGAGGGATATGGACTTGTCGTTTGAAGCGCGCAGCTATAGATCGAAAGAGAATGTTCGTCTGCTCGGTCAGTGTCTCTAGAACCTCGTCTGTGTGCGCCTAGATCATGAGGACCTTTTGAAGGCGCATGTTAGTCATAGCAGGTGAAGGAATGAGAAGGTGAGGTAGACGGGAGGTCCGGCCCGCTGGTCTGTGTGATTCCGATACCGATACCGATCCCGATCCCGACGAAGTGAAGCCTTAGGGAACCTTGCTTCCATTCGACTGCTTCAACCTTGGACCAACTCCTGTGACGACTTCACATGCCACCGGGTAAATCCAAGACGACTGGAGGATCTCAGAGCACCCTTGATCTCTCACCTCTACGCTCCCCGTTCACCCCGAGCCGGAAGGAAGGAAGGACGGAAGGAAGGAAGCATCTCTATCTCTCGGTCTGTGAAGGGAGATTTTCATTTGCGATACTTCAGGAAGGGGATAGAAGATTGTGCGGCATGCTGTCCTTACCTTACCTTGACAAAAGACTGGTCTGGAGCTGATAGTCCGGTGGTTTGGTGGGTCTCTTTTCCAGCTGAATCAATTTCAGGGGTCGTAGCTGTACTTTCGCCCATTCATCTTTTCCCTATCACCTCAGGTCGCGAGGTTCGCAATCCATGCATGCATGCGTAGCTCTTTTCTCCCGGCTGACTGTTGAGCTACTACCCGACTCGATCTCTCTATCTGCTGATTGCCTTCTCCCCTTTCGCCTTTCGACTTTCTCCTCTCCCTTCCATTCCCTTCACACACGTCTTGGAGCAACAACACCCTGGCAAGACCTCTACCGAGTCCGCGTAGTCAACGACCTCTGAGACAGCGGCGGAAGCTCAGAAAAAACCCACCACCCTCCACCCCACCCTCCACCCAGTATTCCCGCCGAATCCAAGATCTCTCCGAACCTCCGCCACTGGGCGAATGGAAAGCTAGAAAACCATACCTAACTTTCCCCGGCGGTGGTTTCCCCGGTAGACTCGAATGCTTATCACCCCGACCGAGCGAGCGAGCGAGCGAGCGACCCGGTCATATGCGTTTCATTGCTGCCAATCAATGGTATAGCCGACAGACAGACAGACACAGCTAGCAGCTCCCTTCGCGCAACTTTCATTCTCGCCTTTTCTACAAGCTCTTCGCGCGCATCGCCATCACCATCACAGATTGCGGGCCGATCCAAGTCCAAAATTGCCGTTTGCGAGAGAGAGAGAGAGAGAGAGAGATCCGGACGGACGGACGGTTAAGATCAAGTTTAAGTTCGGTTCGGTCTGATTTCGCATTCGCGCTTTTTTCTTTTGGATAGGTGCGGCGTTCCCATTTCCAGGACATGATGGCCTGCTTCTTGGGGGGAGGGAGGATTGCTTCTTCCTCTGTTACGCGGATCCTGCAGGACAAAGCGGAAGCGGATGCGGCAGGCGATGTGGATGATGCTGCGCTGGCGGGAGTGGTAGGTCGGTGCCTCATTTTGAATCTCACAATCAATACCGCCGCGATGGCTGGACGGTCGCTCGCGGTATGTATGATGTGAGCTCAGGGTCGTTTGCAGGAGTTGAAAATGCCTGTGGAAGACGTGATTGGATCACGCCCGTGCAGCGGAGCGAGAATCTGCACAGAAAGATCCCGCATTCGGAATTGGTAGTCTACGAGAAGAGTGGTCAGCTGAGGCCCGCTCGAGGAGAAGACCAAGTTTGGCAAGGACGTGAGGGGAATCCCTCAAAGCGGCCAATATCAAAGGCTTGAAGGTCTGAAGCGACAATGGGCATACGACGAATGGCGAGGCTCCGGCAATTTCACAGCATCAGAACTTTTTTTTCGTAGAAAGCGTCGCATGGTCGACCACTGGCTAGCTACTATGAGACCCTCCAGATCGCTGCTTATCCCTCACAAAAGCCGGGAAATCCTTGCTCATCCATTGCATCATCTTTTCGTTTTCCTCTTGAATCGCATCGTCATGTCGGTCCACGTTGGGGCCGGATTCAATCTTTCGTTTGCGTACGGGTTTGGCGGGATTGCCTGCGACGACGGTATATGGCTTGACATCCTACAACATACATTAGCAACGGTCCAGGTGCATAGCCAGGGATGGAAAAGACACACCCTCGTCACGACAGATCCCGCACCAACCACGGCACCCTTCCCAATCGTCCTGAAGGGCATGATCATCACGTCGGCACCGATGAAACAGTCCTCTCCCACTCTGATCGGCCCCGCCATGAAATTGCCCCGACTGCCTCTGCGAAGATTGGCATCTACACTCGCGGTGATACAGTAGAACTTGACACTAGGGCCCACAATCGTTCGGTCTCCAATGACAACAGGACAAGCATCTTGCATGAAGCAGTTCGCGCCAATGACCACGTCGCTGCCAAGGTGGATATTGTATCCCAACTCGCAATCAAACGGACTCTCGACAATCGTGCGATGACCACAGGTCCCCGAGGGCCCCGTCCAGCCGTGCATCATCGTCCCACCGAACGTACGCGATTTCGGGTCTCGGATGTATTTGAAATGTCTTTCCTTTTCTGGTGTCGACATGGTGGAGTTGGGCGAGTTGGCGTTGTTGTAGGATTCGACTGCGCGTTTGCAGGATTCGCGATCGCGGAGGAGTTCGTGGTCAATGTAGTGCTGGTAGGGCTGGCCCGAGAGCATCTTGGTTCGTTCACTCGGGGCTCCGTTCAATTGCAGGGATAGCGGTGCTGCTCCTCCATGGCCACCAGAGTGGCTCGACCCGCTGCGCGAGCTGATCACCGTCGCCGGTGCTGTGGGTGGGGCTGGCGGAAGAAGAGGTGGTGGTGCGCGACGAGACTGAGAATGCGGCGGTCCGAAGGAGTCGATCGGTGTCGGTCGCTCGGGCGGCGGATAATGACCTGGATGTACGCCGGAGAAGTCTACTGGAGGCAGGCGTTCCGATAGATACGATGGCGTAGGCTCTGAATTGCCCCATGGCCGAGGAGGACAGGGCTCGCGAGTAGGAGGAGGTGGAGGATTGTGACTGCTCGGACCGGGAGGCGGAGGACCATATCGAGGCTGAGGTGGCGGGTATAGTTCTGGTCTGGCGACATGGTCCCAAGAGGGCGGCGGATGATGATAGGGGTTGGTATGGAAGGGCGGAGGTTCGTAGTAGTGACCGCCTGGGGGGTGTTGGGGAGGGTAGGGACCTTTTGCCTGGAGAGGAGGATCGGGCCTGGCGGCAGTCGCTTTGATTCCTCCCGGTGGCTTCGGTCCGTACCCGCCGCAGTCAAAGGCACCGCGCCTGCAGTTTTCACAGGTCGGTTTGCCCTCGTCACACTTCTTTTTTCGCGCCCTGCAAGTGTGACAGCCCGTCTTCGTGCGGTTGCTGAAATTGCGCTTGCGTTTCTTGGGATCCAGATCAAGGTTCTGGCCATCACCGGATGAGTAATTCGGGGACCGCTGGTTGCCATATGGCTCCTCGGTAGGCCGAGCGCCATCGCTGCTCTCAGCCGCTGCTGGCTCAGCCTGGCGCTCAACTCGCTGCTGCGCATTGAGGGACTGCTGCAATGACGCCGCGAGTACTGCTTCCGCTTCCGGTGGAGGCGGCGGCGGCGGTTCTGCTCGATCTTTGCGATAGTCTGGGGTCGGCTCGCTGTTCGGTCGTCAGCAAATGTAGCGAGTACGGACGTTCCTGAGTTGCACGAAGGGGAAAAGACAAGAATCACGAAAGCACGGAGCCTTCCAATCACGGTTGCGCAGTGGAGTCGACTCACCGAACATAAGTACCTGTTGTCGCAGGCGGCAGGCCCTGTCCGTCCGATGGCTTGGAGTGGGATTGATCTGGTCGTGCGGGTGAAGAAATTCCACCAGAATTCAGTACTGCCATGCGACGCTTGGGCGACTCGTTTCCGACGTGATGCTGGACGTCTTGACCTTCTTCACGTGGCCCGCCAGAAGGCTCGTTCCTCTTGCGCTTGTTGGATAGCGCAGTCTCGTAATGTTGGCGTTGGCTGTCATGATAATGCCGTTCCCCGGGTCGCCAGTTGTGAGGGTGATATGGGCCTGAGGGCGGACCATGCTCTGCGCCAGATTGACTGCCACGTTCGCCGTTCGCCATGGTCACTGGCGCAGGACGTACCGACTCGTCGGGCCGAGGACCGGGAGGCCGTTGACTGTCTCCGTTGACGGCAGTGAAGCCTGAGGAAGGCACATCGTTGGCGGGCGTGGGGAGACCATGGGGAGCGGTGCCATTCATCGGCGAGCCATTCGTAGCATGAAGGTCCTCACGCATTGGAGAGTCGGCACGCGTGTCCAGAGGGCTGGGTCTCGGATATCGGGATGGATTCATAAAGCATCGAGGGACAGGACCGAAAAAGTCCGCACTGGAAAAAGTCGGGTGCCCAGATTCGTGCGGTTGCAATCTTTCCGACACAGAGGACGTGCCACGACGCGATCGCAGGCCTGTGTGCTGCGATACCAGACCACAGACGGTCGATGGTGCTACGCAGAGCGGGCAGCGCGCCTAACGTCGCTTAATAGACGCAGTTGCCACCGATGAGGTGGGGTAACCGCCAGCGACTACCTTGGCTAGGAGATGATGGAGCGGAAGATGCAGTGTTGAATCGAATGTCGGTCGCCGCTGTCGACTCGACGAGCGCAGTGTCGACGTCGTCGCGGGTTCCTGGGGGAGGATGGCGGCGCGGTTGGCGAGCGGGTCAATGCAATGCTGGCCGGCCCTGCAGCAGAGCAGCTGTGATGAAGCTGGCCGAGCCCGAGGAATGAAACGACAATCGGGCTGCCGAGCGGAAGGCTGCGTCCCCTTGTCGATCGCGGATCGGATGGGAGGTCGCGGCCGAGGCGAGGCGAGGCGAGGCAAGGCAAGGCAAGGCGTGCGAGGAGACGATGTTCATGCAGAGGAGGAGTAGTGGTGAAGACGAGGAAAGGCAAGTGCAAGGCAAGTGCAAGGCAAGTGCAAGGCACAAGGCAAGCGGGCGGCCATCTGGGCAGCGCAGTGCAGCACATATGCGCTCCCGCCCGCATGCGCGCGTTATTATCCATCCATACCTACACACTACACCCAGAGGTGGAGACGTGCGCTAAAAAGGCGGTTCCCGTCACAGTGTGCAGGCTCTCAGAGGCCCTGCCGTCCGGCCAATCGATGCTGCGGGTCCTCCGTTGCACCTGCCTACATACGCCTGTTGCCCGAAGCTTAAACTAGGCGCTGGGCGGGATGGGAGGGAAGGCGCGAACGTGAGTGACGGACGTTGGCGACCAGCGACCGAATGAAAGCCTCGACCTCGACGCCCTGCGGCCTCTCCCGCCCGCCAATCAGATGAGCTGCTCAAGCGACACCGGCCAATGACACCGGCCAAATCATCGTGCCGTGCGGCGGGCGGCGGCGTTAGCGCAGCCGAAGCAGCCGGGATGCCTTCAACCATTTCCCCAGGCCCAGGCAGGCTGCTGCGTGCCGGGAATGGAAGCACCCGAACACCTTCACAACAGAACCCGCCGCACTCCTCCACCACCACGCACCACGCATTCGATGCAGAAGGTGCAAAGGATACCGCAGAGCCTGGCGATTCCGTTGCGCCAATGTCCGTCGTCTGATCGTGATCATTGCGCTCGCAACATTTACGAGGAGAAAGCCAGGCCTAGGATTGATTTACCCTTTTGCTGTACTGTATACCACCTGGTCTGCGTCCCACGCGGAGCATGGTTCGCCTCGCTCGCTAAGAGACGCACGCTGCTGCACCGACTGGTCATTCGCATGGTCTCTGGGCGGGAGAGCGAAGCGGCACGCCGGGAGTCGTCAAGTGTGCCCACTCGAGCTTCATGGCCGCAGAAGCCCGGCGATACGATCCGTGTTGGTCTCTCGACAAGCGCGCCTAAAGCTCGCCAGGACCACCAGCACCCTGCCACGGCAGAACCCAAATCCTGCGCTGCGGATGGCGCCCCGATCCGTTGAGACCATCGTGGGACCTCAATCGCAAGGAAGACGTGCCACTACTGCAGAACGCTGGAATGCCGTTCGTATACGCGTGCTTCTGTTGAGGGCGCCGATGGTATGGCTCTCCCGGTCCGGAAGACCACTGTCCATAACGCAAGTCTGGTGGGAGCACAGGGCACAGCGATCCTGCCACTTGCCGAGACGTGGGATGCTCACATTCGCCAGCATCTCTCTCTCTCTCTCTCTCTCTCTCTCTCAAACGCGCCAGAGAGCTGTGACCTGCCGACCAGTCGCATAGCAAACACGCCTTGATATCATAGCAACGGCCAGCCCATTTCGCTACCACAACTTTGGGTTACACTGACCCCGCGCCGAATGCATTCCCTGCGGATCAGTCGACGAGAGGTGCGGCAAGTGTCGTATGAAGAGAAACACCTGTGTTGTTGAAGACACAGATGTCAACGACTGCTAATGAGCTGGCCGCGCGCTTCGTCCTGTGTAGGTGTTGGAGTAGTACAATAATGCTCGATGCAGCCTTCAGCCACGCGCCCAAACACCTGGGAATATAACAGTCAGAGCAAGGATCTGCCTTGAATTCCACTTAGGCCACATGGGCCATCCATCCTTCAGCAGGTCATAGCGAAGGGGTCTGGCCAGCTTGGAAGGTCGGCAAGGACTTCCTTCACATCAGCTGCCGACTTACCTGGATATCGTCGATGCTGTACTCTCTCTTTCCCGCGTGGACCAGGGCATCAGTCGCACAGCGTCTGCCATAGCGTCAGGCTTACAGACGCAAACACTTCATGGGTCTCAATAACCGAGCACGCGCGGTAGACGCAGCTGCCCGACATCATCGATTGTGAACAGTCTTGGTGATACCGTAAGACCGCATTGTCGGAATAGCCGCGGCCTGCAGTACAACCAATGTATGGAGTTGTTCGGCGTGCCCGGCGTGTATGGTCTCCACCGTGCGGTGGTGCTATACGATCGGTGAGGAGTAGATCGGCTCTCGCTTAAGAAGACGAGATCGAAGATGTGACGGGTGAAGTCGTATGCAAGGGCGCATGTGTCTTATTGGGGCGGGAAAGAGCGAGCCTTGGTAGGAACTCTGGTGATGTTGATTAAGCTACCATCAATACTACATGAATCATTGAAGGCTCACTCCCGCGGCGAAGAATCGCAGGCTTTGGGCTCCTTGACCCCGACAGCTACACATCTCCATCCAAGCCACACACGCCTCAATGCCTCCCAGACCATCACCGCCGCTCTTCGCAGTCCCGCCACGCTTCCTCTGTCCTTCTGTTTCCCGCCAATTCGTCCGGACAATCCGCTCCATAGCCCCCAAACCGCGCGGCGGAACCCACCCCGAACGCTTCAATGGCGGACGCTTTGCAAAATCAGTCGGCTCCGGCCAGCACGCCGCCTTCGAACGGAAAGAACACGTAATGCCACTTCGAACAGGCGCTCTCGCAATAAAGAAGGGCATGACGGGTATATACGATCCGGTCACGGCCAAGCGGGAGCCCTGCACTGTTCTCCAGCTGGATCGGTGTCAAGTAATCAGTCACAAGAGAAGAGATGTCCACGGCTATTGGGCTGTACAGGTCGGCTGTGGAATGAAAGAAGCCAAGAATGTGTCGAGACCGGAGAGGGGGCATTTCGCGAAACGTGAGGTCCCCATCAAGAGGCATCTGGCGGAATTCCGCGTGAAGAATGAGGAGAGCCTGCCTGAGATTGGAAGTCTGATCACGGCGGATCTCTTCCAGGAAGGACAGTATGTTGACGCGAGAGGCGTGACGAGGGGAATGGGATTCGCGGGTGGTATGAAGCGTTGGGGGTTCTCTGGACAGCCCGCTTCGCATGGTACCTCGCTCACACACCGAGCAATGGGTTCAGCGGGTGCTAGTCAAGGCAGCGGATCACGTGTTTTGCCGGGAAAGAAGATGGCTGGTCGTATGGGTGGAGAGAATCACACGGTGCAAAACTTGAAAGTGATGAAGGTGGATGCCGAGAATGGAATTGTGGTCGTGAGCGGACCAGTACCGGGCCCGAAATACAGCATCGTCAAGCTTCAAGATGCTCTCAAGAAGCCGTGGCCAGTCGTGGAGCTCACCGTTGGACTCACGCCCATCAAGAAGACGGGCGGCGCCGCGAGGAAGAAAATCGACGCCGCGGTGGAAGAAGCTTGAAGACGGGAAAATACTACTTCTCAGCTAGAGAAAAGCACGCACCCTGCGACACTACCCCCTCCGAAATGCGTGCCGTTGCGTGCCACTATAATGGACAGCACTTGTGCCAACATCATTCTTATCGAACAAGCATGCACTGGTGCGGCCGCTCTGAGAAGCCAATGCGATACTTCCGCAAAGCCAAACCCAGTATCGCAGCATCACCATTCCCGACTCCCTGGATATGAGATGAAGAAGAAGGACCCGAAGCGCCGCAGAGTTTCGCAAGCTTCAAACTCTCCAGTGCACCTCAGGCGGGCTATGGTGTGACTCTTCTCGCGGTGCGCACACACACAGGCGCTGTCAACGCAGTATTATAGACAGGGATACCGACGTCAGCGTGCGGCGTGGCAGATGTGCAGGTACGCGCAATCCGCGATCTAGATTCGCGCGCGCGCGAGTGACACCATAGGGGGATCTCTGAAGATGAAACCGAAACCTTCGTGGAAGGTACCACTTGTACGACTTCTCTTTTTTGCGTTGGGATAAGGCAATGCGGAAGTGTGCAACTTCTGCTCCTGTAGAGCTGTAACATATCAGAATGACGCTTTGCAATGTATCCTGAAACTGCAGTGTTTGCGCCCAGAGCGTATAGGGAAAGTGTATAGCCGCATGCCTCAAATAACCGCGTCGAAGGCGGGTACTGCAGCTCTGCTTCTTTGCGCCATGCTAGTGTCCGGAGAAAGCACCATGCATCGTTCTCACAATTCCATGTCATCATCTTCATCTCGATACCCGCCCCCCCGCCCTTCCTCCTCCGCCTGTTCCCTCCTCGTCTCCTCCCTCGATCTATTGATCCTCCGCAACCCATCCACCACACCGCCCACAAACCCTCTCACTTCGGCGATTTCCATCCCCCCAACCCCATTCATCTTGACCCCAGCACTCGCCTCCAAAACTCGGAACCCCTTCCTCAACTTGCTCATGCGCACCTCTTTCAAATCCCGCAGCAGTCGGCGGATGGTATCCGGCTCGTCAAAGTCATCCGCTGCGTGTGCGAGGAGCAGATGCGAGAGCTCGTTCCAGTGGTAGGGCAGAGCATTTCCCGGGGCGCGCGCGGTGCAGGTGTCCCTGAGGTAGGGCGGGGAGAGTTCGAGCGTTTCCTGCGCGAGGTAGGCGTCCTCGGGCATGCTGAGTGTGCTTCGGGGCGCGGGGGGTTCGGGGCCTGGGGAGAAGATTCCCGCGAGACGTTCGTCGGTTTCGAGGTCGAGGATGCCGGTGAGGGCTTCCGCGCTCAGCCAGGGCGGGGGGAAGATGTTGGCGCGTTGCTGCCGCTTGAGTAGCAGGGCGAGCCAGAGGGGGATCTGGGCGGGGAAGGGCGGATTGAGGCGTTCTGTGGGTCCCTAGTGTGTGTAGTGTAGTATGAGTATCTTCGTCACGGTCGATTTCGATGGGGTCTTCAACAGTCTTACGCTGCTGCCACTGTACTACTCACACCAAGCAGCTCGAGTCCGTCCAGTCTCTGCCGCGGGATCACGGTGACCATTTCCATTTCGCAGAGGAAGCCGACTTCGTTGGGCGTGAGACCGGGAGGGAGCGGAAGTGCCATCTCGTGTCCTGATGCATTGCTAGCGAGTCTTGCTTCAGCAGACAGGAAGGAAGACAGAAGATATGGATGGCTACGGAGGGAAATGCGGGACGCGACGGGATAATCCGCATCGACGCGCCGGGCCAGCCAATGGAAGCGCGCTACACAAAGTCTAAGCGACTTCACTCTCCATGCAAGTCTCCCCTTTCTTGCTTTCCATTATCTCTTCTTCATCTTCTCATCAATGCCCACCCAATAGTGTCTTCAATAGTGCCTCCATGGAGCACAACACAATCCCTCACCGGTAACAACGCAGAATAGAGCATCACCATGGCACTCGCAGTCGCCGCACTCCTGGCACCACTCTCCAGCTGGTTCGTCACCGTCCAACACGAAGTCGGACAGCCATATCTTGTAGGTTCACGTCCTGCTCGGCACGGCAGAAAGGTAAGGACGTTCTTCTCATTCTCTTCACAGGACGAGGTCTTCCACGTCCGGCAAGCCCAACACTACTGCAACGCCCGTTTCGACATCTGGGACCCCAAAATCACCACGCCGCCGGGCCTCTACCTCCTTTCCTACGTCTTTTCTCCGCTCCTGGGATGCAGCATCTCGTCGCTGCGGCTCATCAATGCGGTCTGTCTGCTCTTCTTGATGCTCATGATCGGCGCCACGTATCATGTTCGCAGAAAGGCAAATGATGAAACAGGACGCGTGAGCCGCATCTTGATATACCACAGCGCTCTGAATGCTGCGCTGTTTCCGCCTTTGTTCTTCTTTTCAGCACTGTATTATACCGATGTGCCGTCGACTCTGTCGGTGACAGTATTCTATTGGTACTTTCTGCGGTGTCTGCAGGAGCAGTCGACCGCTGCCGGAGGCTTCATACAAGTAGCGTTGGGAGCGGTCAGTCTTATGTTTCGGCAGACCAATATCTTTTGGGTTGCTGTGGCGCCAGCTGCTTTGACTGTCATCATTGAGCTCGATCGGGGCCTTCGGGTAGTCAGGGAGTCAATGTACAGACGAGCGCAAGGATTTGGCGATTCGACGCTCAGTGTTGCCAAGACGAGCTGGAAGATGGATGTCCTCTACGACCCGCCTGTCCGAGACGCTTTCTTTGAAGGTACCTTTGAGCACTACAAACGTGCCCCAGGTCATGTAAGCTGATTCTCCGCAGACTACATTCGAACTATCGTCTCATTGCTCGTCTGTGGCGTCAAAATATTGACGCAACCGCAACGAATGCTGGCCATGATCCGCAACTTGGCGCCCTATCTAACGTTACTGGCTTTATTCGGCTCTTTCATACTCTGGAACGGCGGAGTTGTCCTTGGAGACAAATCCAATCACGTCGCCACCATCCATTTATCGCAAATGCTCTACCTCTGGCCTTTTCTGGCATTCTTCGGCTGGCCACTACTGCTTCCACACCTCGTCCTGGTACCGATGGTCGTCCTCTCTCGCATCGCGAGGACCACAGCTTTGGAGCAACTCCTCATCTTCCGCCGCCAATCCTTCCTGCCTCGCCTCTGGCTGCTCATCGCCTGGACCCTGCTCGCATGCCTTGTAGTGCACTTCAACACCATAGTGCACCCCTTTACACTCGCCGACAACCGCCACTACAATTTCTACATGTTTCGCCTTCTCCTCCGCCCTCGCTGGATGCGCTACCTCGTCACGCCGATCTACGTCCTCTGCGGCTGGGCATGCATCGATGCTCGCGGCGATCCACCCAACACCAGCCTCGTGCTCGCGGAAAAGGACGTCTCCGCGAAGCAGGAACTCGCTGCGGGGAAATCCTCCGACGACCCCCTGAAAGCCAACGCCGTGGGCGACGCAGAATACGCCAGTAACCGCAAACTTCGCATTCCGGACGGGAAGAGCACCGCCATGGTCTCTTTCATCATGGTCTGGCTCGCCACTACGGCTCTCTCGCTCTGCACTGCTCCGCTCGTCGAGCCGCGGTACTGCATCCTCCCTTTCATCATTTGGAGGATGCATTTGCCGATGCACTCGCCCAACAACCGGCATCCCGGCAGCAAGGAGAAGACTCTGCGGGAGATGATGCAGAACTATGACTATCGCATCGTACTCGAGACGGTTTGGTTCTTGGCCATCAATGCTGCCACGGGGTATATTTTCTTGAATCGGAAATTTAGCTGGCCGAGTGAGCCGGAGAACGTGCAGCGGTTCATGTGGTAGAATGCAAAATTAATCGTTTGACAAGGGTACAGTGTACAGTCTGTAAGCGTTGAAGGTACAGGAGATGGAATGTGGTAGCGCTCAAAGCGGATTTCCCCTTTCCCCTTTGAGCAAGCTGTGACCAAGGAAATGGACCCAAATGCTACCACCCACACGAGTACTGAACGTCGGAAGTAGAGACCAGCTCTCGATTTCCAGACAACCACGTTATTCACATTTAAGCATGCATTTCCCAACCCTTCACGGCTCCTTTCCCATCCCGCAATCATCCTCTCCTCGTCCATACATCTCGACGTCCTCATCCCTCTCCCTTCCACGACTCAAAGAACATCTACTCCTACTCCTCCCTCTTGCCCCCCGTCTCTGCTACGCGCCGGTTCGAAATCGATACATGCACTTCCCACACACCCCGCATCAGACCCCCTTCTTGCTGTTCCTTTCGAATCCGCTGAACATTCGCGACCCGCGGATGGTCTTCGAGAATCCAGACGTTGATCTCGGTTTCGTAGGTGAAAGTGGCGTTGATGACGCCGATTCTGATTCTGGATTCTCAACTACTTTATGGTGGGAGCACGATGTCGTGGTCGATTTGGGATGATTGATGATGATGATGATGATGATGATGATGATGATGATGATGATGATGATGATGATGATGATGATGATGATGATGCCTTGTGAGGGAGCGGTGTCGTTCGTTCGTTTGGCTGGGGGGGGGGGGGGGGGGGGAAGAAGGGGGTTGTTTGAAGGCCCATTTGTCTTTTCCGTGGCTTTCTGAAGAAAGGATGTTCGTGTCGGTTGGAATGAAAGAGTCATGGTTGTTTCTTAGTGATTATCGATTCTTAGTGATTGTCGAGGCCTGCCTGGAGAAGACAACGGGGAGAACTTTTGGGCACAGGGGGACTGTGTGATATCTTTACCTCCCACAGCCCATGTTATGGCATGTCTCGATTTCGTGGCTCTCAAGAACGTGAGTTCGTGGATTTTGTCTAAGACCCTATATAGCTTTACCATTCGGCCCCAAAATTTTTTGTGGAATTCCTGAACACCATGCTATGCTTCCCAAGCAGCAACCTGTCTCAAGCATGCCCATCCGCCCTTTCCGTCAAATTATTACTCGTCTCGGAAACAGGCACCACCTTGCCGTTGAGGACCGGCAGCAGTGCTCTCGCGCTCTGTCGCGCTGACTGAGCCATCACAGCATCCATCACCACCAATGCAGCCATGCTTTCCACAATCGGCACCGCTCGCGGGATGACACATGGGTCATGTCTTCCCTTGGCTTCCAGCACACCTTCTTCTTCGTCGTAAGTAGTCGTCGTCTGAGCCTGGCCGATCGTCGCCGGAGGCTTGAAAGCCACTGTGAAATAGATCGGTGCTCCGTTGGTGATGCCACCCTGAATTCCGCCGGAATTGTTGGTCTTGGTGATGAGACGCGGTCTCGCCCTCAAAGCCGCAGCGCCAGAGCCAGGAGCTTGAGCGGGAGCTTTGATGAAGGGATCATTGTGTGTGGAGCCCGGAATCTCGCATCCACCGAATCCACTCCCGATCTCGAACCCTTTGGTAGCTGGGATGGAGAGCATAGCATGCGCGAGCGTAGCTTCCAATTTATCAAAACAAGGCTCTCCAATCCCAGAGGGACAATTCCTTATCACACAGGTCACCGTCCCTCCGATACTATCCTGTCGATCCCGGAACTCCCCAATCAGCTCTTCCATCCTCTTATTCACCCCCTCATCGGGACATCTCACAGGTAGGAACCCATCCACCTCTTCCCTCGTAACCTTCCCGATCAACTCCAGAAACTTCGGATTCGTGCTCGGACTGGGATGCTCCCTCGTAGACGGGAAGAGATGCTCCGGTCCGACGGAATTCGTGAAAGCAACAATCTCCACTCCGTGCGCTATGCGCAGATACTTCTCCGCTATAGCACCTGCTGCGACCCTCCCAATCGTCTCTCGAGCACTACTCCTCCCTCCCCCCGAAGAAGCTTTCACTCCATACTTCTCCAGATAAGTCCAATCCGCATGACTAGGTCTCGGGAAACTATCCATCGTCCTCTTTCCCTCTTCCGTCTTTCCGTAATCTTTCGGTCTCTGGTCCTCGTTCATGACTCTCAATCCAATCGGCGTTCCGAGCGTTATGCCGAACTCTGTTCCCGATTGAATCTCTACGCGGTCTTTCTCGTTTCGCGGCGTGGTTAGGGCACTCTGCCCAGGTCGTCGTCGTGTCATTTGGGGTTGGATGTCGGATTCGGTGAGTTCCATGCCGGGCGGTACGCCGTCGACGATGCAGCCGACGGACTTTCCGTGCGACTCGCCATACGTTGTCACTTTGAAGTATTGGCCGAAGGTTGACATGTTTGCGATTGGCAGGAGGTTGGCGGTCGGATTCGAAGGGTCGGTGAGAGTTGCGAAGTGCGGTCTAGATTGTGGTATGCCAGTCCTGTGGCGGCTCTTTGTCTTGTCGTAAGTCACTTTCAAAGTAAACGAAGAAAGCCACGGAGCCTAATGGCAGATGTTTGTGCGTGTGGAAGGAGTCCTTGTATTATTAGTAGTTTGGCGATGACTCTTGGGAAAGTTTTTGTGTTTCAAAGCTGCGACGTCGCTGCCAAGACCAAGTCGATGCGATGCTTCAATGGCTCAACTGGAGCGGACGAATTCTCCTGTGAAGAATGACTCTAAAGCATCCGCTCAATGGCATTACGAATACACACGCACATCTGATCATGACGACCGCAAGTTCGGCTCCAATTCTGACTGTCCATTCGTTATCTCCTATCGTCGCATCCTACGAAACAACTGGTGAAGCTAATCACAGCAAAGCGTTCTAGTGCAGAGAAAGCAGAACATGCAGCAGCAGCAGAAGGACTGAAAGCAAGTTACTTTTCGCACCATCGACGGCGGCAGCGAGGTAATGCAAGGCAGACAATGGCGACGCGCCTGATATCGCAAAGCCAGAGATGAAGCATGATCCTCCCTGAAATGCCCGCGCCGATTTCCATGCTCACGCCACACCCGTTTCTGTAGAGTAATCTCGCCCCAAAACAAAGCAGCGTCTGCCACTTTTTCCAACCTTCCGCAGAAGAATACTTCCTCTTCATATGCTACACTTGCTTCTCCTCTCTTCTTCCGCGTCGCCTTCTTTTCTGCTTTTCATCGACTTTTTCCTCTCCGCTGCGGTCGACCGACCCTTCTCATTCAAATGCAGAAGTTCTCCACCTATCGCGCTTCCCTTCAGAACGCCAGCGCTCAAAACGCATAAACTCCAGAAAGTCGACAATCCGCCCTCGCGCGAAGATGAGTATCGGTACATCGTAAACGCACAGCAACCGCAAGTGAGCTAAAGCTCCGGGCCCTCGAGGCGAAAAATGGGACAAGAAGCGAAGGCACAACGGCGGGGTATCCATGTCGTAGGGTCATGAGATGTGTATCGTAAAGGTCGTAAGGTGCTGGTTTTGTAAAAGAGTTGAGATGGTCGTGGTTGGTTGTACCGCGAGAGATCCTTCATTCTTGTTCCTCGGAGATCTCCAAGGAGCGTCGTCCATCGCCGCTCTCACGAGTTCGTACTTTCTTCATGGTATTGTTGCTACCACTGCGAGACGACTTCTTCGAGCGCGCGGACAAGCCAGTGCCGCGACGTTCCTTGTGTGTGTCGCCGCCAATGGCAAGTGCGAGCTTGGCGTTGGATTTGCGGCGAGACATGACGAGTCCCCCGTCGCTATCGGAAGAGTCGGCATACTCGTCGTCTTGTCCGCTCTCGAGTGCCGTCTCCTGATCTGGCGTGTAGCCTTCGTCATCATTTTCTTCGGTGTAGCGCGCTTGCTCACCAGGGCTCAAAGTGTCATCTGACGGAGGGTCAGCCATCGTCTTCGAGTAGGTGTCATCTATTCCCTCATCTGGGTCGTAAGACGACGCTTCCGATAACACAGATGGGATCGAAGGATTCGAAATGGAAATCGATACGGCGGATCCAAGGTCCGAGGAGCTCGACACTAAAGCCGGCGGTAACTGACCTGTTTGGTTTGTCGGACTGATGCCTTCGGATGGCGTCTCAGGGTTTGAAGTGGCCGCTACCGAGGGCACTCGGGAGTTGCCACGCTTTGCTCTCATATCGTCGGGACTCGCTGGGCAATCGCGGCCGTCGAATGGAACAGAAAAGTCAAACACATTGGCAGGCGACCCCCTTTGACTCTCCATCACGTCTTGATGCTGTCGAACAAGCTTTCGAACTCGCTCCTCGTCGGCGCGCTTCAAATCTTCCGCACTTGACTCGACGGGTCGACGCGACGCGGACCGCGTCCGACTCGCGTTCCGAAAGACTTCGCCGACATGGCGTCCAATCGAGGCAATCGAATTGCTGGAGCCAATGCGGGAGAGCAGTCCAGGCTCCACTCGGTTTAGATGCTGGCTTTCTGAACTGAATGACTGCGGGCGAGATGAAGACGGACTGTTGCGAGCACTCGGATTTGAGGGCTCTCGAAGCGAGTCTGGCTGATGCATATGCCCGGCAGCTGTTGCCTGACTGACGGCTAGGCTTGCTTCAGCATGTGGATCGGACGATGCCACCGATCCTCTGTCACTTGAGCGTCCTCTTCCCGACGTTGTTCGATGTACACTCCTCTCTCGGACAGATTTCATGAGGCGGCCGGTCCCGCCCAGGAGACCACCCAGGCCACTCCCTCCTGGCGACAGGATGGCATGCGGAGTGCCAGGAAGCCCCGGTGAGGGTGGCGGAGAGTCCTTGGCCTCGGCAAAGCTGTTGAGGTACTCGCCGCGAAAATCGGACTGCTTTACTGTTCGCATAGATCCGGCGGAGGACGCAACGGTGTTGGCTCGGTATGGTGGGCTGGGCCTGGATGTCGCGCGAGCTAGATCATCGCCACTGCCGCACTTTTTTGGGACGATATCATCGAAGTACTTCTCACGCCTGTCGAGTTCAGGAGAGGCTGCCACGCTGTTAGATAGCGGATGTCCGCCATCCCGCGATAACTGAAGTGCTATGAAGACCGATTCGTCGCCCCGAAAGCTCTTCCCCGGCCCGTCTTGACTGATAGTAGTACTAGAAGAACCGGCCGATGGAACGGGTGAAGCATCCTTCGAAGCGCTTGCGTTGGACTGACCTCGCGTACGAGTGATACCTGTTTTTTCGAAAACCTTTTTCAGTCCTGACCTCATCCGCTCCACAAGATTGAGTGGTACAACGGCAGTGTTGACATCTTCCTTTGATACTTCAATCTTCTTGCCTTCGGCTTGTCGCGACGGATCAGTATCTTCAAGCCACTTAATCTTGTTCGGTAGATCCGCCAAAAGCCATGGATGATGTCGAACCTCCTCGAGAGTAATGCGCTTGCGCGGATCCTTTGTAAGAAGTCGCTTGAGAAGATCGTGCAACTCGTCGCTAATCTCTTCGTACACGAGATCGAGCTCGTGACGTCGACCCGATGTGAGTGGGGGAAATGCGCGTCCATGAGACCCAGGGCGAGATTTTGGTTTCGTGTCAACCGGTTGCAAGCGTTTCCGCGGCAGATAGATCTCCTCGTCCGCGATCTGACGCATTACCACGAACTGATCTTCGACAAAAGGAGTACGGGCGAACAGCATGCAGAACAGGGTGACGCCCAAAGCCCACACGTCAATGGCCTTAGTTACCGGGGGAGGATCTTCGCCCGTCGATTCTGAAATGCACAACTCGGGTGCGTAAAACGCAGGTGTACCCACAGTCTTGGCCAGTTCCTTTGCTTCATCATCCAGATCTTGTGCCTCCGCCTCACTAACATCTTCGCCAGGTTCACCGTCACGCACAGGTTTACCAAGGTAGGAAACGCCGAAATCGGAGATCTTTACGCGGTTGTCGATGGTAGCGAGAAGGTTCGGCGGCTTGATATCACGGTGCACAATTCCTTGGTAGTGAAGATACTGCAGACCTAAGAGGGTGTCCCTGAAAGCGACGCGAATCTGTTCCATCGTCATCACGGGTACGTACTCGAGCTCCGCATCCAGGTATGAGTCCAGATCTTCAATGGCTCTTCGGTGCAGTTGTTCCAGTTGTTCGATACTTCCCCTCGACGAAGTCAAGCTATTCAGACTCGCAACCCGGGAGGTCTGACTCTGAATGTCGTTGGCACCATTCATGGTCCCTTCTAAGCCTGTCATGCTGCTGTAGGCACTCGATGTTCGCCTCGGAAAAGACGTTTGGTCGTCATCACGGGGGGACGACATCTGTTGCGGCTCTTCTGTCAATGACAGAAAGCTGCCCGTGTGTGCATTCTCGATAGATGGATGGAGAGGAGATGGCGTCCGCGATGGCCTCCTGTCGAACGCGTCGACACTTAGTTTACCAACGTCTGATGGCGGGCCAGTCAGTGAGGAGATGCGCGATAGTCGATCGCCCTCAGAGTCCTCGCTTTCCGTGTCGCCAGCCATTTCAATACTCCATGCTTCTGGGTTATCGATAGCTCCTTTCTTCAAGAGTCGATAAGCCTTGGCTTGCCGTCTCTTTTGCCGTGCGAGGCGCTTCTGAGCTTCTGTTAGTATGACAGCATCCACTGCGAATCTCTGCTCGTCAGAAGTGCCTTCCAGCTCCTTCTTCTCCCTCTCATATCTACGAGATTCAATCATGCCAATCTCTTTGGGTCCCTTTGTCCGCCAGTTGATCTCGCCTCGCTCAACCCACTCCAAGACAATATACACCTTCTTGCGTGAAGGGTCGTCAATGACTTCCAATAAAGCAACGACGTTGGGATGTCGGGCTTTTTTGAGGATGGCGACTTCCTTCTTGACCTTGTCTTCTGTGGTGCCCAGTCTTCCGAGCTTTCGTCGCTTCGAAAATCGCTCGACAATCTTGATGGCAACATAAGTCGGTGCCTCCTTGGAACTGGTCAAGTCACGACCAAGCTTTACCTTGCCATGAGTTCCACGGCCTAGTTCATCAATAATCTCGTAGTGATTGATAAGCTTGCGGCCCGAAACAGGATCGACATCGACATCCGCCACATGAGTCTCCTTGGGCACGTGCGTGTGCGTAAAGTGTAGAAAGGGACTCGCGTATGTGCCGGATCCATCAGAAGACTCTGGAGCAGGAGCAGAAGGCGGCCCGACGGGGCTGAACAGACCGTTGCCTGGAGTCACGGCGGGCGAATTGTGCGCAGTTCGAACCCCGCTTGAGTGGAGCGATGCTATTGCTGAGGCAAAAGTGGAGATCTGGTGCGGTTGTTGTGGTCGTCGGATGCCTTGTGGTAGGTAGTACGGCGGGTACTGTTGGCTGTGCAAGGCCGAGTGGGCCTGGTTGGGATATTGAGGGTACTGCGGAAACGCTGGGCGCTGCGGGAGGGGTAGATTTGACAGAGTGATGGTGGATGTGCTCGTCGAGCTCTCAATACTGAGACTTGATTGTGTGGTGTGAGGCGGCGGTCGCCCAGGCACGGCTGGAGCAGTGATGGGAAGTGACGAGTGTGCGCCTGCCAATTGGATCTGGCCTTCCGCAGTCGCATCGCTGGTGCTGACGCCGGCCGCTGAGGGTGAATGGGTCGGCGGCGGCGGAGGTCGGTGGATACATGTAGCATCGGTGGGAGCGCTCGTTGGCGGGCCAGCAGGTTGTTGTGTGAAGTAGTCACTGCCGGTCGAGAGCTCTTTCCGCTGGCTCTGACCTGGAGTCACGACGCTGAGCAATGGCATTTCCGGTCTCGGAGTCTCCAAGGACACGCTCTTCACTTCTACTGCACTTGCAGATGTCGGTCTCTCGACGACAGCGCGCAGTGCCCGCCCTCCATCTTCTCGCGAGTCCGTGGACATCGCTGGGGTTCAGTGACAGGGCTCTGCCCCAACACAAGTGACGGCTCTTATCAGATGTTCCTAGGGCGCCCGCTCGACGCAGATTCGCCGACGAGGCAGCACAGTACTCTTGAGCCGCACTGAGATTGGGTGGTCATTGAGTGGATTTGTCGCTGGTCGTTGGCGAGTTGTGGTTGTGCGACGGTATCATCGATGCGGTCTCAGGCGTCTGATTCCGTTGGGAATTCGCCCTCGACGGTTGGATGAAGGGAATGTGAGCGGCCGGCCGGTGCGCCGGTGCAGCAGACTAGGAAACGAGGTGTTAGAAGGAATGTGGCATGGAAGAACAGAAACAACGCTGCGAAGGGCAAAGGCAATGGGCAGCGATGGAACGAGCAGCAGCAGCAGCAGCAGCAGCGGTGGTTGTTGGTCGAGTGTCGAGGGTTCAGTTCAGTTCAGTTGTGAAAGTAGTGGGGCGCCGCTCGGCGAGGAAAGTTGGAGTGAAAGCTGAAGATAACCAATCATCACTCTGCTGGGCTGCGGGCTGCCGGCCTGAGCCGTGCCTAGCGCTCGTCAAGTCCTCCCCATCCCAATTAATAGCATCATTATTCAACCTCACTAGGGCTCCTCGGGGACTATGCCGTCTAGCAGACCACCTCCGAAGGTACCGCCCTCGCCAGACACACCTTGACACCCTCCCAACGCCCGTCTTCATCACCCTCGCCGCGCCAGAGTACGGCTGGTGACGCTCAGACGCTCGTTCGCTCATGCTCGCAGCTGCCGACAAACACCACTACCCCCGATCCTGCCCGCATCATGCACTGCAACGGACCTGTCACCATCTTCTCCCTTCCCACGGCAACTTTGGACGAGCATCAAAAGTCCGAGCTTCCATCGCTATCACTGCAGCCTGCATTTCCGAGCTCTCTTCGGTTGCGCGCGCACAACCTCGCAGGCATGTTGAGCATCACACATCACTGTTTCTCACCATTCACCAACAGGCCGAAGAACACCCATTCTCATCAGCCCAACGCGAGAATAACCCACCGCTCCTCCCACATCACGTACTCTATTCTACGAATCCGTACATGCAAGGCGTTCACTCAGAGCATCGTACTTCGATCATCATCTCGCGCAAACAATGCACAGCCCCCAGCCCGAAGCCGGGAATAGCCATCTGCGAGCCGCGAGCGCATGGGACGAAGGCGTAATAAAACTCCCCAAACCAGTCTAGCCGCTTCTGTTTCCATCCTAGCTCTGCCTCTGCAACAGCCATGCAGCATGTGAGGAGGGGCGGGGTTGACAGACGATGATCTCCGTGCACTATACTGCGATCGTAAAGACTTGCACATTCGCGATGGTGATGATGTGAGTCGCTGTTCTTCGCAGTCTCGGACATATGTACTAGGCAAGCGGAGGGCATGACGTGTTTCGTTTGCAGATGCTTGATCGTGTGAAGTACATGTACGGTATCGGAAGGCTGTGATGAAAGAAGGTTGGAGCTCGGAGGCAGGCCCTGTAGGAGCTGGCGAGAAAACCATGACCTGAAACGATATTGACAACAACCACATGCCGCTTCCAGTCCAGCCACCACTCGCGACCTCGCATTCGTTATCAATACCCATTAGCCAATACTCCGACACAGCAAGCAGGTAGGCGGAAGGATTCTCAAATTGGTAAGGCAAGACCGGCAGCGCCCGTTCTCCTTGGGACTATGCAGCCTTCCAAGTCATGCACGCCTTCCGTGCTGAGCTCACGTGGAGGAGCGGATGGTCTACGCAGAAATAACATCGCTCGTGCGACGGCCACGGGTCCATTCTCCGCAACGTGCCCATTTTCGATCGTGAGATCGCGCGCAGGACGCTGTGTTCTTCGCTAAACCACATAGCTCGCGTACCCGCGACTGCCGGCGAGGAAAATCAATCGACTGGTTGATTGATTGTTGATAGAACCCCTGGTCCACAATCTTCACGACTTCCCTGTTTCAAACCCTGTATTTGCCCTGATGTGCGACCACCTCCAAAGGGACAGGATGCATGTCGCTTGCGTGAGCCATTCGCTCATTATTCTCTCCACCAATCCTAATTTGCGTGCCGTCCTTTGTCTGACCACCATTTTTGTGCGATGGTGTTGGTTGTGGTAGCATCATTCAGCTGCCATCCAAGAGCCCCTCCTCCTCTTCACGCTCCCGGCGAGCTTCCTCTTCATCCTCGCGCTCGCGCACGTTCGTCGCTTCGACAAGAGTAGTGCCTTCAATCCCAGCTGCTTCGTCATCTCCTCCACCCCCATTCGTCGTGCCAGCGGCTGCTGCGGTCCTAGCTTGCGCGGCTACCCGCTGATTCGAAATGCGTTCTCTCACAAGCCTCGCAATCGCATTGTCCGTTCTGACATTCAGGACTTCCAGCTTCCGTTCCAGATCCCTCTTCAAATCCCAATTAGGCTTCTTCGGTTGGAGTTTGAAGAGATCTAAAGGTTTATCTGCCTTCTCCTCCTCGTCTGTCTGCCGCTTGGTCTCGAGCGCAAGCGCTTCGGCCTTCCTCTCAAGTGTCTGCTTGCCTTCTGAGGGAGCAGATTCGAATCCTAGTTTTGCGCCCCGGGATTCTGAGTCGTAGTTGCGGCCAGAGAGGTAGGTCGGTTTGGGCGCTGTAGTGTTGGCATCCTGGAACACTCGGGCTGTTGGCTCGATATGCTCTCGTTGCTCGTCTGATTCTGGTTGCTTGCGTTTGAGTGATTTCAATTGTGCCAGCCGCGCCTTTCGGTCGTTCGCGGCGGCGTTGAGCGCCTGTGTGGAAGCCATGATACCTCAGTCGAGTTCGTGAAGCGGCCGCTCATCTGGTTATTTGTCCCGTGTGCTCGAGTGTTGTGTTGTCGCGGTCCAGAAGCCTCAGCTGTGAGTCTGTGGAGATCACGTAAGCTGAAAAGAAAAGGAGATACTTTCTTCCGGCGGTCGGCTTCCCACTCCACTCCCGAGAAGCTCATTTCGCAAACTTCGCGACAGCATTTCCTTGACCGTCACCAACACCAATGTTCGCCTATGCCATCATGCCACTTGCCCTTTTGCTCGCTTCTCCGTAGTCGCAGCTTTCTCGGGCTCGGAAGAGCTCGTGCTCTTACACCACGATGGTTCACTTCATCTCCAAGATTCAGCACCGTATTCTACAGAAGCCAAAGGGATGAAGCGAATCCACGTTCCGAGCTTGATCTCTCCAAATTACCAGCAGAATCTGCCTATCTCGACTTCATATTAGGCTCACCAAAGGAAGAGAATGCATCTGCGGATGCTCAGCCCGAGCGCGAAGACCGTGCGCATTCCGAAGAGGCAGAGGGCAATAAGCGTCCAGTGACAAAGCGATCAACTTCGCGACAGCGGCGTGCTCAGAAGAGTCGCTCAAGTGGAAATGGTAAAAGTTCCATTGACTCTACTCCTTGCGCTCTAAAATCCGGTGTGGAGGAAGAGCGAGTACGCGGATCAAACGCTCCGGACGCTGCTTCTTACCAACGCGGTTCCAAGGTGCCCAGGCCACGGCTGCATATATCTCGACCCCAAGCCAGTAAGCACAGCTGGCGTGTCTTGGTGAGATATATCAAGCCCCAGGAAGGTCGAGACCACGCTACAGGCCAGACGACATCTTGGATTCGCGTAAAGCGCACACGGGAGTCGCTGCGATGGTTTTGGAATCGGGAATTTGGCAAGCTACGAAAGCGCTACAACCCCAGCTTCGGTTACGAGCCCGACTCACTACAGCTTAGCCTGTCGACACATGCCGAGAGATGGGCCAAAGAAATACTGGAGGAGATAGGAGTACAGGATGACCAAGACATACCGCCAGATCTTGTACCAAGTGCTATTGGACTCTCCCGGTGGCAGCAAATTGCACTGTGGCTACTTGAAAATGAACCTCGACATATGCTGGCATTCCTGCGGTATACGCACACCTCTCCCTATCCACCCCAGGAATGCATCTCGAATGCTCTGTGGTATTTATCGGAGTATTTCAGTGGGCATGACAACTCCGTTATGTGGCAGAAAGAGATTTCGCTTCTCGTCGACCTTTTCGCTCATTTGTCTAAGCGAGACTCCCTTCCCGGTGGAGAAAGACGACGAATCAGAATGTTTAACTCCTTCTTCCGAAACATTCTCCAACACTGCAGCGAGCAGGAAGGCCGCGAGGTGTACCGTGCCGTCAAAGCTCACGATGTAGGGTTGCGTTGGGGCTCGTTCCTACACTTCACGACTTTCTTCGCACGAAATGGACAATTTGAGCAAGCCTTGGATGCGCTCTTAGAGGCTAAAAGTCGACACGCTCCCCTAGACTCGAATGGTTTTCTCAGCAATTGCGCCACGCTCCTTCGCAGCTCCGTCAGGCAAGCGGGCGGGCTGAGAGTATCGCTGCGTATATTTGATAATCTGGTCAGCATGGGACTTGCACTGAATGTCCAGCTCTGCAACATCCTCATGCTGAACGCTGTGGAGGCGCACGACGTCAACAGTGCGATGTCCATCTACCAGTCTCTTGTTCAGCACGGTCTTGAGGCAGACAAGTACACCTTTACCATACTCCTAAAAGGTTGCAAAGCGGACATAGACAATGCGGAGCTTCTCAATACGACGATCAGGAGCTCAATCGAACACGTCGACGTGCTTCATTCACCTGTCGTTGCACTTGAAATACTCCATTGTCTTGCGCTGCACCATACTAAGCACAATCTCGACAATTCTTTTCAAATTGTGGCCGATGCTCTCGCGCAGCTGTTCGATGTCGAGCCTCTCGAGAAAATTGGTATACAGCTGCCCAATCTGTCAAAGCCTAGCCACCCAGGTCAGCCAAAGCTACCGCTCACCCCGGCAGCGTTTGGAATCATTCTTGCGGTGTACTTGGAGCATGTGTTCCGGAGGACTCGATCAAATCTGACGGCGAACGAACTATATCAACGATACAAAGCAGCCGCTGACGCTCAGCTTGAGCCGTTTGTTAGCACAGTAGAAGAGGACTACATCTTCAATACCTTTCTGATGAGCTTCATCAAGACGAAGAAAGGTTTGCTCTATGCGGCGGGGGTCATCAAGGACATGCAAAGTCAGAAGCTAGGCCATGCGAGGCGGTGCAAACCCACAGTGCAGACCTGGTCCATATTCTTGCATGGCTTCACTGAGCACAAGCAGATGCGGCTGGCCGAGCAAGTGCTGAACTACATGCGCAGTAAGGGCATCGAACCGAATCAGGTTACCTGGAATATCCTGGTGACGGGTTACGCTGCCGTTCAAGACGTGGAAGGGACTCTAGATGCTGTTCGGAGAATGGAAGCCGATGGGGCAACGTGGGACCCATGGATGATGGCTGGACTGAGGAAATTGAAAGACCAGACGAAGTTTGGGGAGCATTATTCGAGCACGATGGGGATGCCGCAGTATGATTTCACGACTGACATCAAAGAGAGATTGGGCGAACGACTTTCGACACCTGACGAGATTGAGCTCGAGGAGAAGAAGCAAGATGATGGTTATGGCTCAGCGCTTGTGGGAGAGAGCGAGAGATAGGAGTATCCAGATCATGGCTCAGGCTCTCCAAGCGATTTGGCAGAGGACAGCTTTGTAACCGAGTCCAGAAGGCATTATAATTAGTAAATTGCAGATGCAAAGACCCGCGCGTAAGGTAGACAGCGAACAAGTGTAAACGCGTGCCTCAGGCAGCCAACGTCGGAGCTTACGTCCACCGACGCGGCTCGCGTCTGTGTTCGCGCGTCACTCATGTTATCCATCCTACTAACATCAACAAAATCGCATCTCTCGACACGCCGCCTTCGAGAACTAGGCATCCAATGGCGACACTCACATTTCCACCTTCGTCATCACCACACAATTTCCTCCCTCCCATTCCATCGCCTCTTTCACCGCGCAGCGCAAATATCTATGGCCGCCGCCCTTCGCGACAGGAATTCTCCATGTCGAATCACGACAGCGCGCCAAAACAAGATGCATCGAAATCGTCGCGGCAGACAGGCGCGACGCAATCATCATCTCCGTCATCTCGTGTTCCTTTCTCAAAGCGCCAAATCAAAACCGCGCCGAAACTTTCATCACGCGAAACACGACGCGGTGATTTCCTTCGCAAGGTCAAGGAGGGCAGAGACGATATGAGATTTGAAGCGCGAGGAGAGGATATTCTACGTGCGGATTGGGAACGGGAAAGAAGGAAGTGGGAGGAGAGCCTTTCTCAGACTGCGCCGATTTTGGATGAGGAAGTCGATGAAGAGGCGGAATTGCCCGGATGGATGGATCTCGGTAGTGATGAGGTCGATGAGGATGAAGCGGAGAAGCTCGCACGCGAAGAGGATAGAGAGCTGAAGGCGCTATTGGAGCATATGCCCGATGATGACGATGCCATGGAGGACGATGGCGAAGAGCAGAGTTTGTGGAGCGACGATGCGGATTATGATGCACTGTTCTCCGAGGTTTTGAGTCAGCAGGAACAAAAGCAAGGTCAGCAGAGTGTGTCTGCGCCTTCGTACGCGATGCATATCCAAAGTGGACAGCAGGCGCAGTTCCACGGAGAGGAAATGGATATGAGCTGAAGCGTGCCGATGACTGCATGAGAATTGCTTGAGAGTAGCGAGGCGTTGGTGGTATCTTTTCATACGAGACGACAGCAGCCGAGCTGCAATGTGCTTAAATGCTTTGTGTAATTCCCTGCTGTATCAAGGGCCTCGCCGTGGGTATCACAGATATACAGCAGATCCAATCCGACCACACAAAGGTCCCTTCCTCATGCCTCATTATTGTGTCGGGCACCCGCCATCTAGATCTCCAAGCGCTTCCTGCGCGGCGCTCATATCGCCTACCAGATCTGAAGGCGGAGAGCCTTGAGATTGCATCTGACAGCCTCTGTTAGCGACTACTGCAAGCCAGGAAACCGTCATATGTCATGAACTCACCTTTTGCATCCTCTCCACAATATACTCCCGATCCTCCTCATTCTCATCCGAATACCCCTTCCTCTCAAACCTCGCCACGATCTCCCCTACCAGCTTCTGCTGTTCCTCATACCGCTTCAGGTCCTCCTTGCTACAACTATCCTTATTCTTACTCATCCAATCCGGAAACTTATCGTGCAGTTCTTTCATGGGATCGTAGAGAATTTCTTTATTCGTAAGGTGTGCCATCATATTCATGAGCATGGAATTGAAATCTCCATCTCCACCTTCACCGCTCAACTCTTTCATCATTTGCGCTAGGAGTTCGTCTTCAGAATTGGAAGGCTGGGATTGGGAGGTGGAAGCTTTGGTGTCGGAGGCTTGCATTCGTTCCATGGTTCTGCGTATGGTCTCGTTGAAGTCCTCGCCGCCGCCGCCTCCCTTTTTGCTACTGCTTGCTCCTCCCGATGCTTTCGGTTTCGAGCTCTCGGTCGGTTGTGGTACCGCTGCTGCTGCCGCTTTCAGGTGTTCCCCAGCTTCTTGGTTCGAGCCCCCGCTACTGGCCGCTACGAGTTCCTGCATCATCTTCTCAAATTCGGCTTGCATCTGTGGATTGGAGTCTAGCTCGGACATGAGGTTCTGCATGCCTGATTGCAGTTGTGCGGCGAGGTCTTCCTCTTCTTTGGAGCCTGTTGCGGGGCCATCTTTGCTCTGGGAGGGCGGTCTACCGGGTCCTGATGGGGTGGGAGCGGTTGAAGCAGTGGGCTTTGGTTGCGATTGAAACTCGTCTAGAACGTCGTCTAGATCATCGAGGTCGTCCTCTTCGGGGTCTGGAATTGAGGAGACATCTTTCTCTAGTTGCTTGTCGGCCATGGTGGTCGAGGTGAGGCTTGTGGCGGGGTAACTGAGGCGCCTCAGATTAGGTGAACCGTCCGTGCGTTTTGCATGTGAAAGTCGCTGGGGAAGGAGTGATGTCGTGAGTCTGTTATTACATTGTAGTGTGTAGGTATCTTCAAGTTGGAGAGTGTCGGAAGGTCATGTCGTGCTTGCCGAGTCGTCGGTATTGCTAGCGCCAAGCTCGAGCCAATCACTGAAGCGAGCAAGCTACGAAGTCGTTCTGGAAGGGTTCCGCGCGAAGTTCAAGTCCATTGCTGTCGTGCGACTTTACGTCTGGAGCCTCACTTCGAACTGCATGACCCGATTGTCACGAGCTCGTCGCGCACGCTGCAACAATAGGCAGCAGTCCCCACTATAAATTCTCCCCAAAGTCCGACTTACTTCGCAAACATCGCCTCGACCACACTTTCGAACCTAGCGACCACAGACTCGCACAGACAGCAACCGCCAAGATGTCGTTGACTATGGCGCGCCTCCAAGAGGAGCGGTAGGCAAGAGCATGATCATGACAGGATAAGAGCAGAGTCTGACATGGCTACAGCAAACAATGGCGTCAAAACCACCCCTTCGGCTTCGTCGCAAGGCCGATGAAGACCCCCCAGGGCGCGCTCGACCTCAAACGCTGGGACTGCGCGATACCAGGCAAGGACAAGACGATATGGGAGGGCGGTCTCTTCAAATTGGAGGTGCAATTCCCGGACGGTGAGCAGGATGATGTGAATCAGACTACATGCGACAAGGCTAAGGAAGCGACAGAGTATCCGACAAAGCCTCCAAAGTGTAAGGCATTCCCATCCTCCTGGCTTTCCGTCGTGATACTGACGGCGTCTAGGCAAATTCACACCTCCTCTCTTCCACCCAAACGTCTATCCTTCCGGCACCGTCTGTCTCAGCATCCTGAACGAGGAGGAAGGTTGGAAGCCCGCCATCACGATCAAAGAGATCCTGCTCGGCATTCAAATGCTTCTCGATGAGGTCAATCCCGAATCGCCAGCTCAAGCCGACGCGTATAACCTGTATAAGAAGGACCGCGTTGCGTATGAAAAGAAGATTCGGCAGGTTGTCAAGGACAATCCCGCGCCGTAGGAAGCAAGACCACGCACATTAAGAGCACTTCGACTCACGTGCTTGACGCGAAAGCTTGAGCTTCTTTACGGGCGGCGTTCTGGATCTGACCAAGGACGAAATGGGATGAGGCATGAGTGGGGACTTTGCAATTGCTTTTAGCGTCGGCGTTTTCTGGCGTGAGAAAGAGAACAAGAACAAGAAGTTTTTACTGGAATAAGAGTTGTGCTTTGTACAGAATTACAGAAGCATGCAAAATGCAGCATTCCTGTCTGCATTAGACTTCACTCTACTCGACGTTCCAGGTTCTAAATCTCGTAGGGCACGTGCTTGTGGGCTAATACATCTCATGCATCTGATCTCTTCTGAGATTTCCTGACCTGGTTACATACTCGAAGTTCCTTTACACAATTGAAGTTGGTCTGATTTCCTTTGGATGCACTTTCCAGATCGTTGAAGCACGTGCATAGATTGATCTCCCTCGCGCCGAGCCGACGCTAGTTTGGCGTCAATGCCATCACCACAAGCAAAAGTTCCCGGGGAGTCGTTGAACTTTGGTTTTCCCAACTCTTCTTCACACGACAGTCCACTGCCCTCGGGGCATATATAGTTCACACGAGACGATGCGATGAGATCCATTCTATCGCCCCTGACGGCGATACATTCCTTGAGTCGACAAACAACTCCCTGGATCTGTCGGCAATGTCTTCACCAAAACACCAACTCTATTCCTCGAGCGTCGAGACAGATCGCACAGCATCGAAGCGGAACGAGCGTTCAACATCGCGTATTTTCAACGACAAAAGATCGATGGTACAGTCAGGCCGGGAAACGAGCATGGCGCGACCAAATCCGCATCCCGCGCGAACGGAGGAAAGTCGCAATCGCAGCCACGGCTGTCTTCGTGATCGGCATGGGCGGTCTGGCTTTCAGCGAGAATGTACGACACACATACATCGGCGGTGAGCGCTGTGGGCGCGTCGTTGTATGCCTGTATCTCTGCATTCGCGACTATCTGAAGATCTTGAAGCGCGAGGACTGGGATGATCCGCAATTCCAGGAGGAAATCAAGAGAGTGCATAAGAGATGTGCGGAAAGGACATTACGGGCGATGGAGAAGAATGGGAGCATATTTATCAAGCTGGGACAACATTTGACGAGTCTGAATTACTTGCTGCCGAACGAGTGGTGTGAAACGTTCATCCCGTTGCAAGATAAGTGCCCCGTTTCGAGCTTTGGCAGTGTCCATGAGATGGTGAAGAAGGATACAGGGAAATCGCTGGAGGAGTATTTCAGCGAATTCGAGCCGGAGCCAATTGGAGCTGCGTCGCTGGCGCAGGTGCACATTGCGAGATTAAAAGATTCGGGGGAAAAGGTTGCTGTGAAGGTTCAGCATCCTAACTTGGATGAGTGGGCAGCTCTGGACATGTGGCTAACGAAATACACCTTCCGGACGCTGCGATATTGGTTCCCTGAATATGATCTTACTTGGCTCAGCGAGGAGATGGAGGCTTCTTTACCGAAGGAATTGGACTTCCGGGAAGAAGGTCACAATGCGAAGCGCATGAAGGAATACTTCTCGCATATACCAAACACTCCATTGATCATCCCCGATGTGAAATGGGCAGAAAGGCGAATTCTGGTGATGGAGTTCATTACAGGCCATCGACCTGACGATCTTGCTTTCCTGGATGCCAATGGCATCTCTCGCGATGAGGTCTCTGCTGCTCTGGCCAGAATTTTCAACGAAATGATCTTCGGCAACGGAGCGCCTCTACACTGCGATCCTCACGGCGGCAATCTCGCAATACGAATAAACAACAACAGACGCAAGCCTCACAATTTCGATGTCATCCTTTACGATCATGGTCTCTACCGTGATATCCCTCTGCACATGAGAAGGGCCTATGCGCACATGTGGCTCGCAGTCCTAGACACAGACATTCCCACGATGCGAAAATACGCCTACGAAATCGCCGGCATCGGAGATGATGAGTTTCCGATCTTTGCTTCTGCTATCACGGGAAGAGACTATAGCGTCGTCACCTCCTCCGTCACAGTAGAGCGTAATTCTGAAGAGAAACGCTCTCTATCCGAGCAGCTAGGTCAAGACCTTGTCGAGAAGCTGGTCGGCCTCCTCGGCCGCGTGCCCCGGGCCATCCTCCTCATCCTCAAAACCAACGACCTCACACGCAGCCTTGATGAAAACCTGCACACCTCTCAGGGACCCGTGCGAAGCTTCTTGATCTTGGCGCGGTATGCGGCGCATTGTGTCTGGGAGGAACGGGTGGACAGCATACGAGGGAGTGTATTCTGGCCGTCAAATTTGGCGAAGTTGGGTTACGCACTCTGTGGTTACGCTAAGAGGGTCTTTGAATTGAGGGTCTATGAGTATTATCTCAGTGCGAGGAGGAGATTGGGGTATGCGAATCCGCAGAGTATACTTGAGTGAAGAGAGGAAGAGATTGAAGAGGCTGTGAGACATTGTCCAGGGCAGAATAGAGCCGCAAAACGTTACGGTGCGTGTTGCGGTGCTGCGCATCTAATAAAAGGAACACGACTGAGCAGGAATCGGAAGCAAGAGAGAAGACTGATTTCTAAAAATACTCGACGTTCGCCTCCGAATCTCGTTTCCGTCCGTTGAGCCTGGTCTGCTCTCTAATTCTAGGGCCTTTGAGTCGTCTTTCCGATGGGCGTCTCTCGGTACAGACCGCGTGCAACCTTGCTTCCATCCTCGCTGGATCGGGGCAGTCTGACTTCCTGCGAGGGGCCTAAGTAGGATTTACTGACCGATTTCATTGCCGCTGGGTGGTCGCGTAGGTGCGGTGCTGGTATGAGTCTGCTTGGGTGGTGCTACGCGTGTGGGGTGAAGATTTTGGTGCTGGTGATTTTGGGTGCTGAAAGTAGCCGTGCTGGGGTATTTGACGCGGTGGTTGCCAAAGGGGGACAATGCCGATGGTGATGGTCATGGGAATGGTCATGCAGGACCAGCGTGAATCAGGACGAGTGGTGGATGCACGTGGGCTATGTCGACTGAATCGCGGACAAGATCGCCTCCTTCTTCTTCATCTCATCTCGCTCGTATTCCTGAATGGGCTTATCATCCACCATGAACACAATGTGAGCGAGATTCGGACGTTTCGCCTGCTCATCTTTGAAGTACGAAGCAGCCTACATTACATTAGCACGTTTGCGGGGGAACAAACAACTGAACATTCAAATGCGTACCTCCAGAAGGGTGGGATGTCCCCGGCGGCTGTGGATCTTGAACGTCTTGAGATCTGTGAGCTGTTCAAAGGTATGCCACAGTCCAGCAAAGCCCCTGTATTTATCGATACTTTGATAGCCCTTATAGATCCCATTGTAGATCCCATTGTAGATGTCATTGTAGATGTCAGGGTCGATGTACATGTAGAGGTGATTAATTTTTGTAGCTTCTCGCAGTATTCTGAGTGCCTTCTTTGCCATCGATCGACGTCGACCATCGTAGTGGAATGAGATGGAGCGAAAGTGTTGGCGAAAATTTGGAGTACGCTGTAACAGCTCGCAGAGCTCCGCCAAGTTCGCACAGTGGAAGTGGTCCATGCTGTAGAAGACTGACATTGCCTCTTGCCAGATGGTTTTCCCGAGCCACCATATGCTGACTAAGTTCGGGAGCGTGTCAATATGTACCTCTGCCTCCTGCACGTGGTTCTCATCCTTGCAGTGCTTCCTCCACTTGTTCATCGCCGCCGAGTCTAGGCTGGCCTGACTCGGAGAGCGAGCGCAGCCCACGACACGAAATAGTTCAGTACTGTAGTCGGAGCGTCTGTGGTAAATCCTTAGACCTGTCGGCGGATACACAAGAGCCTTTTCGTAGATTAAGTCTCTCACTTCTCTGTGTAGCCCCAAGAGATTTTTGGAAAAGCCACTAGGGATTGAGACTGGGAGGGTGTTTTGCCGTAAGAAAGTGATGGCCGCGTCTCGGGTGACACGAAACGTGCCAAATCGGGCGTCATTCTTGTACCGGCCATCGACAGGGGTAATAGGGGCATTGTAGTTGTACAGCGCCGCCTTAAGATGCCGAATGGAGTCGGACAGAGAGCGATCGAGATCGAGGAGTGCAAAAGACGCCGCGCTGCGCCAGTAGGAAAACAGCCTCATGATATGATCCAATATGTTGTGGAGTTTCCCTTCGCCGTCGCAGCACACCAAACGGATGATCAGCAGGACGCTCATATCCCACGGAGGCTGCTTGCTATTGGTTCCGTAGGCCTAAATTGGAGCGCCCAGCTCCTGTGCGGTGTCCTTGTCCATAAGCATCCGCTCTCCACCGCGAGCTGTGAGACCGAAAGGCAAAGCCTTCCCCGGTGGCGGCGCCATACCGAGCGAGACACCTGTTGCTCTCCTTCAACTCTTACTCGGCTAATCAACGCACGAGAATGATACTGTCCGCGGGATGCTGGTGTTCGTTCAGGTGTGTTTTCTGAGCAACGAGGCTGCGGGAGATACTCAGTGGCTGTTCGGTGAGATTGTTGCCCGGATTTATAGAAATTCGGCTGCACCGTGCGCGGGTGCGCTGCTAGGTCTCGGCATGTGACACAAGAAGCCGGCAGCCGAGCGCCTCGGACTTGAGTAGCCTGAGGCAGGGCGTAGGGCGAACACTCGCAGAAAGAGGAATCCCTGTCGGGTCCGCTCTGAAAACAAGCAAACGCGGTGCTACCGGGCTTCAAAATAGACGAAGATGCGACATATCATTCAACAGACGGCCAGAAACTTCCACCAAGATAACAAGACTAGTAGCCTCATGCCATCATTGGCGCAACTTTATTGGGTCGTGCGCTGCAGACTCGAGAGCCGTAATGCTGGCTTAATCTTCTCGCAATCGAGCCGCGCACCAGGACAAATGGGAAGCTTCCATGATGTACCGGGCTGCCGGCCTTTCGAGAGCCATAATTCAGGCTGAAGCGGCAGCGAGCGAGTAGCCATGAGAGATTCGCAACGACTGATACTCGAGCAATGAGTAAATAAGGCCTCCAATTTCTAATGTCGAAGATAGTCTCGATATCTTCCTTGATAGACAGACGGTGCAGCTCATCTGTTTCGTCGTCAGACCTGAATACGGCTGAAGAAGCTCAAAGATCGAAAGCGACGAGCTTCGCAGCTTGTCGGCATGCTGTAGAAGATGATTGATATTGTTTCCGCCAACGCCTCCGGCATGAAAGAGAAGCCATCGTCTTGAAAATCCAGAGCGCCACGCCACTTGTGCCTGCGACTGGCGGCTCGATTCAAGGGGGCCAGTGGCCTTGACCGCAATTGCTGACAGCTTTATCGCGTAACTGAATGAGGTGCATTGGGAGATAGTGAGAGTGAGGCGAATGTTGCAGAGGATGTGAAAGGTGAAGGAAGAAGGTGAAGTCAAACCATGATGGCGGCCCGAGTACCCGTGCTCCACGCTTTCCCGAATCGAGACAGGTAAGTGAATGCCTCTTCCCTTCAAGTTCTCTCCCCCACTTTCTTCCTTGCACTTTCTTCCTTGATATGTCCAGCCTAGACCCAGCTGATGTATGCTACCGCTGTCCACTCTCGCCGAGACTTGTGATTAGCAATGCAATCACCATGACGGCGATGTTGGCAACGTTGAGATGCACCGGGTCATGTGCTCCAACGCCGAGCTCCACCGGTCAAGGAGGCCGCCTGCGAGTCTCGTAACTACGCCCAACATTCTGCGATACACGGCGAAAGGATTGCACAGGCCGCCGTTTTCCTGGGCGGCCTAGATGAGGAGTCTTCTCAGCATCGTCCACTATATCAATGTCCCCATGGTCAAGGATTCGGCGAAGGGGAACTACTAACTCTTGCTCTCAGCCCCTCCATCACAATGCAGTCCTTCGTCCACTCTGCTGCTACCTCACACGACAATACAGCGTGGAACACGACACAGGGAGTATGGAACGAGACACTCGACGAATTCATCGACCTCCAGGCGATGGACTTAGCAACCGGACACGCTCTGCTATGCTCAACGAATGATGGCCCATTGCATGGATTTCAGACCGCGCCAGTACATGTTCACGAACCCTTTGATAATCTTTCCTCTACCAATGGATTGCATCATGCGCAGATTCTCACGCAGCACAAGGCAGATTCACAGTCGCATGAAAGGCAGGGTTCGAACGCCGCAGCCGGCGAAGGCGACATGCAAAGCCAAATCAACGAGCTCAGAAAGGTTGTTTCCTCTCTAATTGCCGAGAAATTGCCCAGCAACGACGGTCCTCGACCTAACAGACAGGCTCGCCTGTTTGGATCATTTTCTTGCAATCAGTCAGACCAGGACAGTTCTCGCCTGGCCAGCGGCGTCAGCACACCTCTCGATGGTCTTGCTTCTCCGTTTGACCTTTCAGATGATTCGCCAATCTATTCTAGAAGAGGGTCGGCCGCCAGCGTTGGCTCTCTACCTACCAAGCGTGGGTCCAGAATACCCGGAGGATATCCTTGCGTCAAATGTAATGCTCGATTTGATATCCCAGGTGACCTTCGACATCATGAGCGGAACCACCTCCCCAACGAAGAGCGTCCCCATCAATGCTCTCAGTGTGACCAACGCTTCCTGTATCCGAAGGACGTCGCAAGACACGAGCGTCAGGTCCACAAAACGAGCAAAGTTGATCACGCAGAGCACCAAGACGCAGAATGCCCGACTCCGGACAAGCGGAAGGAGAGCCACCCTCTCGTATGTGCCTATTTCCCACAAGCACCTCGGGTATCCTCAGGTTGACTGTTTTTTTTTAGAATTCAAGACAGCGTAGGGAACGGAAACGACAGTTGCTCGACACTCAAGCGGCTGTCCGTTCACGTGAGAGACGCATACGACAGTCCCGCCTATCTTTTGAGCAGAAGAGTCCACCGAATACTCAGCCCAACAGCCGGAGTGGATCACCCGAACGCAGACGGTACTCCGCTATCCCTGACATTATTACCGAGGATACCGGCAACGCGAAGCTTGACCTTCTCCTGCCAGACCCAGAAGCCGATCTAAGCCAAGCCGTGAAGGATCTCCAGACTCAAGTCTCTGCTCAACAGGACACGATCAGCGATCTTGAGCATCAGCTAAAGGAGACCAAGCGCGATGCCGAGGTATGGCTTTCTGAACGAAATACCTTGGGCAACTTACTTGAGCAATACACCAGGAATTTCTCGTCTGGCAGTCGTCATGCGCCGCTCCATCACCTCGGGTCGACTGAGTTGCCTCAATCGGCTACTGGCAACACCGAGCCCATTGATTTCAATCAATGGGCTGACTTTGACATGGGCAAACCACCTTGACACCTGTTCCTCACTGGAATGCTCAATCCGGAGAAGGACCGAATCGAGAGTATGCCCACCGTCTGAATCTTGAAATTCTTGAATGAGAGCACTGTTGAAACTCGCAGATCCTGCACGATATCAGCATGAAAAGGTTGGCCTGAGTCCGCATACTCTCTGGGTAAAAGCGCTCGTCATAGACACCGGATACAACCAAACTATGTGAAAGAGTAGTTTTACAGCGCATTGGTCTACTGTATAGAAGCTCTACGAACGGAAACAATGCTCGCTGAATGCCCTTGGGTATCTCAAAGTGACTTTCTTCACAATGCCTTGCTCTCGTGGTCTTCGTCGTCGGGCTGCCGGGTTGAAAGAACATCGTGCTCAGACTTTGTTGATGTTGACTATGAGGCGCTGAGAGGTATCCCCACTGGCGGAGTCAATTGTCGTCGCTGCCAACGAACACCCGCTCCAGATCCTGTCCTTCGCACACGAGCCCTCATGCAGTCTGGGTATTGGCACAGCATCTGCTATCCTCAAGGAGAAACGGTGGCCGTCTCTCTATGACATGGGACAATCGGTCGGATCGACGAAGGCTTTAATGCCCTGTCCCTCCTCTGCGCACCAGCGACGAATGAAAGCCTCAGCCTTCTTGCCGTTGCTGGCCTTGACTTCCTCATCTGCGTCCTGCGCGAGCAGAAACTCGCCGCACTCTCTCTTCGTCATGGCTACAATGCATGGCTCCCCAGTCTCTTCGATCCTGCAGAAGCGGAAAGCAAAGACCATAGACGGTTTGATGGTTGCCTGTTCCTGGGGCATTACCGTGCCAAATTTCTTCCACAGCTGCCGAAGCTCAGCGACGGTGTATGGAGTCCGCCGCAAAGCCGCATCCCCTTCGCTCTGCAGCGCCACAGCAATCTTCAGCTCCGGCGGAGCGCTCGCTTCCCAAGCTGCCCTGCGCTCCTTGAACTCTTTCAACTCCGCCTTTCCCCCCGTGAGCGTCGCAAAGCAAGTCGCGGAGACTCGCACCCAGCGCATAGTCTCTTCCAACCACTCCATGGGAACGACACCCTCTTTCCGCTCCTGCATGAGGGTGACGTACACCTCCGCTTGGTAGAAGTAATGCCTCGCCACCATCTCCCCGACCAGCCCTTCGGCTTCCAGGCATTGCGCGAGGAGGACATGGTAGTGCAGGAACCGCGACTGGATGAGATTCTCCGCCACATAAGCCTGCCAGAGATCTTCCATAGCGATAGAGATCGTGGCATTACAAGTCGTGGTGAAGAGATCCGATGGAGGGACTCTGTCGTGTAACAGGCGAAATCTCAAAGCGCAGATGATCCGCCGCCTGTGATCCGACAGTTCGAGTTCCACGCCCGTCTTCTCGCACGCGCGACATTCGCAATCGAACTGCCACGCGTGCTTCAGATAGACTTGTCGCTGCGCGCGCGGGAGGCAGGAAGTATACCCAGGCCGATAGTCGTGGCAAATCTCCCTCCCCTTCTCAATCCGCTTCACGGCGCGAAGCACCCCTCCCTGCGTCCAGTCGTCGCCGACATCAAACTCCGCCGCATCGCGCTCGCAGGAATGGTTGATGCGGCAGAGGTCGAAGGACACGTAGGAGTGCTTCCCGTCCGGGGCTCCGAAGCAGTTGATGTGGAAGATGCGTGCTTCGCGGGTCGAATAGTGGGGGGTGGTGGTGCCTTCGTGGAGGGCGAAGAAGCGCTTCTGCTCGCCGGGGCTGAGGGTTTCGACGGCGGTCGCGATGTCTGCCTCGTCGGTTGTGTCGAACATGCCGCGGTTGGGCACGATGAGGGAGGGTTTCTCGTGCAGGATGATGGTGCCCGGTTCGATGTTCTCGGTTGCGAACATGCCGAGTCCTTTTCCGGGGGTCGCTTTGATTTCGTAGCAAGGCGCCATTTTGGATTCGACGGCTTGGTTGCAAGGGGTGATGCGGTTGTTGGGTTGTGGACTTGGGCTGGAGAGGACGCTGGGGAGAGGGGGTCGCTTGGAATTGATTTGATGGCGAGGGACGTTTGCTGTAGTGGAAAGTAAGTGTGAAGAATGTGCATTCGAGGAACTTGTGTTGTTGCGCGGGCGCAGTGACTGCGGTTGGTGAATGGTGCCGTGAATGGCCATCCTGCTAGCGTCGGCGAAACGTCGGATGTAGATGAATGTTGTGTTGTGAATCTTGCCCGCCATTGGTGAAGTGAATGGTACGGAAATCTGGGTGCGCACAAAAAGTATAAGGCAGAGCAAAGCGAAAAGTCTGAATATATCGAATCAATCAAACGTGCGATTTGGCAAGTTTTCTCAAGACCTGAACGTACATATATATACCTGTTTATGCAACGCCTCTCCAAAGTCGCTTGCTGTACAAACTCACTAGAAACATCCACCGAGACATCTTTCTTTAATTGCTCTTTCTGATTCAACAGATCAAAGCTTTCCCTTCACAAACGATGCAGAATCATCCTTCCTGAACAACGTCGGGCTGTTTGGGTAAGGGTCGACAATCGCCTGGTTCAATGGATTCAGCTCCGAGGCGCGGTAAAACATATCCTCATAGACCTTGCCGTCATAGCGACCAAGGGATGAGTCTGCGATGAGGTTAGTATGTGTGTTACACTCAAATCCAGGTGAGAACGTTGACTTACTCAACTGCCAGTCTGGGAAGTCCCAGCTATCGACCAACTTAATGGCATGGGGTCTGATCTCCTCCATCAACTGCATGACAGCCTTGTTACGAGCCAGTTTGATCTGCGCAACGGTACATGCATTTGAAGTGAAGAAGTCGCTCGATTCCTCCCCAAGCGTGTGCAAAGCAAAGAGGCGGAAGAGCTTGTGCATCAGTCCGAGAGTCTCAGGACTGAGGTCTGAAGTAATCGAAGGTGATTGCAGCGTTTCGTAGAAATTCTTGACAACCAGGTATTGCGAGTGCGCACGGGACAGATTGTAGAACTGCACCAGCAAGCTGTTCCAGCTCTTCTTCTGCTCGTCACGCGCCCTCAGAGCATCGAAGGTGAGGTTTGCCGACCGCCAAGCGTATGCGGCAACAATGTCTTCGTCCTTGCCGAGGATGTCGAAAGCTGCGCCGATGTCCTGGCGTTCGAGGTAGTGGTGCAAGATCTCGGTGGTATCGTTGATGGGCTCATTACCCTTCAAGACGGATCTTGCGGCCTTGAGAAGGTAGCGAGCGACTTGCTGAGTGAGCATGTAGTTGTCACCTTCCCACGTTGCGGTAGGCAGATAATCGGCATACCAGGAGCCGACACCCGAGAAAGTGGAGTATCCATGGCCACCCATGGCTCGTCGGCAAACCTCCAGGCCTTCAGCAGCAATAGAAGAGCAGAGCGACTTCAGACCGCAAGAAGTGCCGTGCAAGTCAGCAAGGAGCTCACTCCCCGAGTTGGTCTCCTCCGGGCCGGCACCACGCTGTGAAGTCTGTGGGTCCTTCTTTTGAGACATCTTCCTCTGATTGGCTTCGTACAAGGCCATCATACCCTTGCCAGTGAAGTGAAGAGCAAAGCATGCTGCAAGCAGGGGCAGCAGTCGAATCTGAACCATTGTGTAGTTCAGCGTCTGGTTCTCGCCCTTCTGGTCAATAGCGTCACGGTCTTGGAACTGTCGTCGCACCGCAAGGTATCGAGTAGCAATGGTGACACCACGAGCAAGGACACTGCCAGACTGAAGTACGATTGTGCTTCGGACCCATGTGAGCGTACCATATATCAGAGTCGGCGACGCAGGTTTGATGTACTTGTTCGTCTTTGGATCGATGGCAGAGAAGCGAGCCAGCATAGATATGTGTGGGACCTTGACCTTGTTGAAGAGGAGGAAACCGTTGTCCATGGTGTTGTAGCCGAACTTCGGACCGATATCTCCCGCGTAGATGTTGGGCAAAAGCTGATGGGTCTTCAGGTCTCTGATCTGAAAGACGAATGGGTGTGGTCCGTACGATTTGCCGTCGATGATCAGCTGTGCCATGACAGAGGCAAAGTTGGCCATCCTTCCGAGCGATCCAATCCACCACTTGGACGCCGTGAGATGCGGCGAGTGGATGGTGAAGGTCTTGTCGTCGGAGTTCCACGTCGCAGTAGTCTCCAGCCCTCTGACATTGCTTCCGTGTCCCAATTCTGTCTGCGCGTAACATCCAATGTTTTCGTAGTTCTCAGCAGGCTTCAGAAACTTCTCGTGTTGCTCTGGCGTGCCCTGATCTCTCAACGTCTTGAGGTACATGCTCTCGTGAAGACCATATGGCAGAGGCTCGCTGATGAGGTCATTGGCAACCTTTGACTCCTCGAAGCCCCATTTGTTCTCGACCGTGAGCTGCCTCAACCTCTTTGCCCTCGCCAATGCTCTCTCGAACTTATCCACTCTGCCGCTGAAGTAGTCCTGGCTCTTCTCAAAGACCGGCTCATTCTGAAGGACCCTCAAAACCTCTCGCTTCCTCTCGAGGCCCTCCTTGCCGAACAAGAACTTGCTCAGTTGGTCAACGTTGACGTCGGAACCTTGGCGTTCCTGGGAGAGGAGGTCGGAGCCCTGGGGTTCGGAGGGCTTGAGATTCCGCACCCATTGCGGTACTTGGGCCATGTTGCTGGTGTGGGGATACGTACAGGGCCAGATGTGACGGGTTTACGGATCTCGCATGAAGGTAATGTAGTGTATAAAGATCGACACGCGACTGACAGATGGAACGATAGGAATATATGACGGCGTCGATTCCCTCGGGAGCATAATGGCCAGAAGCTCTGCCGGCTAGGGCAAGATCAGCAGCCTCGGCTCCTTCCTGGATAGGTCTAGCGTCTGGCGAGAGATCCGGGGTGCGATATCGCCGAAGCCATCGCACCACTCGCGTCGAGGGCATGTGAAGAACAACGGCTTCACTGTCGGATCTCGCTCACTAAACCACGACCCTAGCCTCGGTCGCCTGTTTACAGTCTGCAAGACAGCGCTGTCCATCATCATTGCTCGAGCCAGCATGTGTTTCTTGAGCTGTGCTGTGTGCCAAGCGTTGTGGCCCTATCAGAGGTGTGTTATACCGCCTGCGGGCAGCGAAGGGTGACAGCCCCTACAAAGCAAACTAGAAAGCCTCCCGTCCTCTTCCATATGAAACGTTTTCCTCATCCCACCACGCTTTCCCCTTTCCAACATTGTCAGCGTCGATCGGCATGACCTCAGTGCAGCCTTTCGCTGCTCTCGACCATCATCTGATGATGCTCTCACCTGATGCTGGTGGGACAAGCCATCGTCGAGTCAACCACCAAACATTGGGAACCCAACCCATCGCATCGCCGCCATCCACGGCCAAATTACGGCGACAAATGACAGGAAAACAAAAGAAAAAGGCATCCGCACGGTGCGGCGGCTGCTGTGCAACAAAGATCGTGGTCGTGGGTCGTGGTCGTGGTCGCGGTCGCGGTCGCGGTCATGTGAGGCGGAGAGCGAAATGCAGACGACCCCTCACAGCAGAAAATGAAATGTGAGAGGCTTCTCCCATCACGGGATCCGATCCAGTACATGTACCACTAGCCACGGTACGGTACGGTACGGTACGGTAGGTGGGTGCTAGCATCCTACAGCTCCTGATGTTCACCGTGCGTTTACTTCTTCCTCCCCATTGTGCTCGGTAGCATTCCTACTCCACTCCACTACCCTCATCACCTCCTCCCGTCTACGCTGACCTCCCCTACACTACTCCAACACTGCTTGTCGTCCACCCCGACAGCTCTCTGACGCATTCCGAGCCTACCCATGGCGCACGACAAGGACACCTCCGCAGCCCATATCGAGCACCCCGAACACGAAGCCGTCCTCACCGGAGCAGTCGCCCTCGCAAGCCTCTTCAGCAGCTGCGTCGAAGCATTCGGCCTGATCCACCCGTCGCACAGATGGGACAAGGAGGAGCAGCTGTTGCTCACCCGATTGGGACTGGAGCAGGCGCGACTGCTGATATGGGGCTCAGCATTGGGTATCTCTGCTCCGCCTGCCTCGGTCACCAATCGCGCTGTGCCCAGACATCCGAGTTCGGCATACCCAGACGTGAAGGAACCCACCTTCTTCGACATCCGAGACCCTCGACTCGATGATCCGAACATGAGGACCATGATTGAACAGACGCTGAGTGACATTGTAGATCGCTCAGCAAGTGCAACAAGAGAGGAGATGATGGCGAAATATGGCCTGAAGCGGCCAAAGAGCCCCACCATGATCTTCGAGCCGGCCATGGACCCCAACCGCTTGGAGTCTTTCAGAGAGAGGTGGGCTCTCCTGCGCGAAGTCGCAGAATCATACGCGCAGATCAACACCAGGCGGAACAACTCGATCATCCATAGCTCGTGGGTCATCGCAGACGTCACCAAGTTTGGAGCCTTCGTCAAGCTCATTCAAGAGAAGATCGATTTCCTCATAAACCTCATGAACGTCAAAGACAAGGTAGATAGGGGAATGCGTATGGATATTCGAATGTTTGGTTGGCACATTGCGCCGGACAGAGTCAAGACGGCTCAAGATATTGCCAAGCTAAGGCTGTTGCAAGAGATCTGCAAGCAAGGTTATTCAGACTATGTCACTGCGACACAGCAAGCATTGGACCACATCGGTCGAGAGACGCGGGAGAACGGCATCTCGTCTGCACAACAGCGGCAGACACAGGCATTGCTGAGTCCACCCGCGGACGAAGTCAGCAATGGTCAGCACCACAAGAAGCGACCCGCGCTCATGAAGCTCTTCCGCCCTTTCGCCAAATCGAAAGACCACGGCCGATCTCAGAGCCTCAGTGCTCCTACTGCAGATGATGGTCCTGCCCGATCTCAATCCCATCCGGGTCTCACTACTGACACTTCGGACGACGGCGAATCTCTCGGACAAGTGCGGTCCAAGAGCGTAGGAGCATGGATCCAACCTAACATCGATGAGTCTCTTGATCAACAGCTGGGGAAGCTGAATACCACGGAAGACGATATGAAGCCCACACAGCACACTCCTGATTCGCCGTTGCAGGAGACCACGGGTACGGCTAAGCATCATCCAACTCCGATGGGTGTGCCTGGATCTATCGCCCGACACGATCAATATCGTGGTATTGCGAGGACGCCAACTCGGAATTTGTTTCAAGATGGTGGCAATTTTGCCGATAAGTGAGATTTCGTGATGAATGTGTTTGTGAGAATATGGTGTTGCTTGGTTTCTCCTTTCTTTATCGCCACTATACCCCGAATATTTTTTTTTTGCTGCTTGGTGTTGCTACCGATAGGATTCATGCGCGTTCCATTTATGGCTCTTTGCTTCGAAGAAGCGGATGGAGGGACTGGAATGTGCGGATTGTGGCCGTGAATGGAATCCTGTTCGGAGGAGCATGAGGATCCTAATTCGTTCACAGATGAATACATGATTGGTGAGAAACATGAGGGTGCGGGTGAAGGAGATCCGGAGCAGGCTGCGTGTAGGACGAGGTGGAAGAGGTTGTGGAACGAGTTTGTTAAGCCCGGTGTACACGGGGAGGATGATGGAGGAATGGATAAGCTAGTTCGGAGACCAGAAGGCACGGAAAGTGTCGACACAAATAGCAGTTGGGCGTGGCGGAGGGAGGGAGTGGTGTTCACTCGATCCCGGGGCTGATTCCACGATGGCTTGGAAGAGAAGTTTGATCTGGTAAGTGCTCGATGATGGCTCCAGAACGGCGTCGCTATACTGTTCATACCCCAGAAAATGTATAATGACCGCGGATTTCTCTCTCTTTCATTCATTTACTATGCGTGCACGGGCCGCTGGCGTGACCGTGCTGAGTTGCGCTAGGATCTTACTTAGCCTGACTCTATATATTAAAAACAGCCGCTAGTTCTACTATAACTAGCGACACTTAGGGTTCTAATCTAGATTAACTATAGTACTTTCGCGTATAGGAGGACTTACTCTTACTACGCCGACTAGACTTTTATAATAGTACTGTCCTCTAAAACTACCTATAACACGATAGTATAGCGTCCTGTTTCCTAGTCGAAGTAGACTAGAAGTCTAATATACTATAGTATATAGCGGTCGAAATCCTATTATCGAAACCTATCTAGACTCTAAATCCCCCCGCGTACGATATCTATAACCCTATGACTAGTAACTATTAATATCCTATAAGATAAGAGGAAAAGAAAATTAGCTCTTTACGATCCCCTCTAGGCTTTCTAATCTACGGTAAATCGGCGCACTTCTTTCTATTAGACTTTTAATAAGAAGCATTTCTAAGAAGAGGCCACGAAGGGTGAGATTGCCCTATTGAATGATGTGCCAGTTGATGGTGGATGCCGGCTTTCGAGACTTTTGTGGCATTGCTTGGTTGGTTGTATACGGAGGAGGATCGATCTTTTATGATCCGGGGTCTAAGGAATAGTTTGGAAGTGGCGACGATGATGATGGTGTGGAATCTGACGAGGGGAGTGGTAAGAAGCGGGACGGAGAGGCGGAGGATGAGGATGATGGGTCTAGAGACTAGCGGGTATTGGCTCGAGGGAGGGATGATGGCGAGATAGGGGTAGAGCAAATGGAAGACGATACGAAGCCAAAAGTATTGCGTCGAGGCTGTCGGGGGCCCATTAAGATGCCGAGTCGAAGGTAAACATAATAATTGAACCGTTCTTAGATGCTTTCGCTAGGGCAGAAAATCCCGCCGACTTGGATCCACCAAGAAGTCGCTGCCAAACCATCCGGGGATACGCAAGATTTTAACTCTCAAGAAGCCTGTTCGAAATAACCAGAACACAAAGCGCCTACTTAAGCGTGATGGACCGCAGATTACTGTCTCTCTGTACGACACTAGAAGTTCGTGATGTGATAGAGGCTTGTGTTGAAAGTGCGAGTCTATCCGTAACCTTTGGCAAAGCTCGTGTTTTGCATTGATTCATCTCGTCCGGCAAGTGAGGTAAAAATGCGGAACTTGGCTCGAAAGATGCGAGTGAGTAGAGCCTCTCCCAAAGCTTCAAGTTTGTGAATCCTGCATCCTTACATCCAGAGCCAAATCGAAGAATAGCAGCAGGCACTATCGAACCAGCCCGCGCTAGGTCTTTCCGGCTTTTTGGCCCGACGCTCTCTCTTTAGGGCCGTAAGTCCTACTCTAGGTGAGGTAGAAATACAAACTTTGCTGGAAAGATGCGAATAAGAGTAAGTCGTCTCCTCATATCAAATCTGTGATTTCATGACCGCCGGTCTCTGGAGCAAAATTGGTATATATAGTAAGAAATCGGAAAAGGAAAGCTTATGGCAGACTTGATGTCTTTTCGTCCACGTTTTGCTTCCGCTGGCTGTACCTTGACGATGAAGTGAGGTAGAAAAACGAAACTTGGTTCACGAGCCAGCCTAAAGTGTGAGGAGTCTCCTAATACAAATTTTGTAGTTTTTCACCGCTTAGAAGAGCGGTAAAACCAAGACGTAGGACCGGGATACAGCGGACGCGGAATCGAAAGGTCTCAATTGGCGTCGCCCAAAATTGGCCTCCCAGGGCTATATCTCCCCATCCAGGTGAGGTAACAATACAAGAATTTGTTCAGGAGTTAGCGCCGAGTGTGGCGAAACTCCTCGTACAAAGATGGTGAGGTTTGGCCGCCTGGAAGGGCAGCAAAATCGATCTGTACGAAGAGCTTGCGGCGAAAGCGGAAGTGCCAAACCCGCGCTGGCTTCACTCGAAATTTCCCTCCCATGGCCGTATCTCGCGCCCCAGGTGAGGTAAAAATACGAAAAATTGCTGAGAAGGTAGCGCGAACGATTGTGAAAAGCCTCACACCAAAATCGCCAGTGTTAGAAGTCTGTAGGTGAAGTGAAATCGATCCGCAGCAAGCGTGCGACCGAAAAAGTCACCTTCCGGGGTTCAGGGTCCGAACGTTCTTGCGAGGCCAGTATTGCTCGTATAGAGGTGGACCAAGGCGACGGGTCATCTCCAGAGGATTAAGATGCTCCTTGAACCACAAAAATCGTTGAAGTGAGCTTCTTTGGCCTTGTGCGGACTGTTAGGACAAAAAAGCAAAAAAAAAGGTGCTGAGCTGCCAACTCGCTACTGCCACTGCCACTGCCGCTGCCGCCTCGCTGCTTTGTGCTGGGGTAAACTTACTGGTCATTGGTTGAGAATTTGTGATATTATACGAGCTGGCTTAACGTAGATATATATCACTTCAAAGCCGCACTTCCGCAATAGGACTCTAGTTCGGCGAAACAGGGCAAATGGCATCTCAAGAGCTACAGAGTCTTTCAGACGGGCAAAGCCTGCAGGCAATCACGGTCGTTCGACAAAGCATCGCGACAACGATATCTCGCAATTAGAATACCTTCTGACGGTCAGATATCTCCGCAGATTGAAGTATCCTCAGTAGCACCGCAGACGCTACGTGCGCTCGGTGTTCAACTGGAGTACGCAGACGCAGCGACATCTCGCGGACTGTGGATTTCGAGACGCGCGAAGCAGCATGACAGCGCAACCCGAGCTCCAACCAGACATTGCAATTCACGCGAGCGCCATGAGAGACCAAGTCCAACTCAGCGTCACTGCCCAAGTCGTCCGAAACCTCGACAGCAGGAATACCACGAGAATGGCGCAAGCGAACATGAGAGAGGAGCGCAGGCAAGTCGAGACGCTATGCCGAAACCTCGCGGAAGGACGCGAAAGAGCTGGGAAGATATCGCGAAGCGGACAAGAGCAAGCAATGGTGGCATTCACACGGCGCCAGCGTACACACAACCAGCGCGTAGACTCGGTGAGCGACTTGTAAGTGCGGCGAGAAAGTACGCAAAAGACAGCTGCCAGATACGCTAGAAGTGTGGCCCGGAGAACAAAGAGCCATACCAGGCTCGAAGGACAAAGGGCCATTGCAGAGGCGCGACCGATGACCGAGACCAGCGGCAAGGCAGCAGAGATGAAGCGCAGACACCACCATAACGATATCTTTTTGCGCAAGCAGGGCACGGCAGCAGAGCACCGGCAGCGCATCGGCAGGGCATGAGGTTTCAGACCACACCAAGCGCCGAGCTGTGGTCACAAGAAGCACCGCGCTGTCATGGAAGAGATGGACAGCGATGGCGAGGCGGTCAGTGGCCCTTGAACAACCCATGGAGACGGCAGAGCAGCGTCGGAGGAGGCGGTTGTGCTGGTCCGAAATGCTGGCGTACTACCTGCAAGACGACAGAGAGATACACAGACTGGGAACACCAGGTGGTGAGATAGCGTCTGCATGAGACGGCAGGCGGCTTTCAGGATACTGAGGTAAGCAGAACTACCGCAATGGTTTCGTAGCCGAGACAAAGAACACATCCACACAATGCCCTAGTGGAGGGCTCGGGGGAACAAAGAAGGCTCCCATACTGCGCGGACCCTCGAGTTCGAGTTGTCGAGGACCTTACGTGACAGGACAACTAGAGTAGGTAGACCGCCGCCGGCACCGATTCAGAAGATGGGTGGGCTACTGGCTCGCCTCATAAGCTGCGTAAGACTTGCAAGCGTGCGAGTAGGATATGATGTGACGGCGAGACTGCGCAAGGTGGACCTAGCAGCACGTAGCAGAAGCTCGCTAAGGGGGTCATTGTACATGAGAGACCTTGACTATCAGACTCCATATCCCGCCGTAGTGCTTAAATGCAACGCTCTAGCAGAGTCGTATTTATCGTGCATGGTGAATGTGTAGGAGTGCTCTGACGATTCGGTGGAATTGGTGCGGGAAGCAGCCGCTCAAGCATGGGAGTGAGTGATTGTTTTCGCGGCAGCTTGTGAAGTTCCCCTCGACCGTCCGGACGTTACGACACGCTCTGCTTTCGCTCTGCAACGTAACACCACTCAGACGGCATCGTACCCAACATCATGTCGAGCAACTTCTCCCACAAGACCGTCAGTGCATCTCAGCCGCAGTAGAACAGACCGACTCTGTAACGGCCCACCATTCGCACCCTCAGCCGCACAAGCATGAGATGGCAGCGCCAACTGATAGCGTGACCGCCGGCCTCCTGCGCCTGTACGAGCCGTCCACGTCCTCCCTCCACGCATCCACAGCACGGCCAACACCGAGCGTGTGAGCGCCGCTCAGCATCCCGGCGCCGACAGCAAGGGCACAATCCGAGAGTCTGCGAGGAAACAGAGCCGCACTCGAAGGGATGGAGGAAGGCGGTGCAGAGGGCTCAGGATGCCTGACCGGCGGCAAAGCACGCTGGCCTGGTGTCGAAACAGCGCAGGAAGAAGAACGAGGTCTTGAAGAGGGACAGGGCATGAGGGCCCCGCCAACATCGTCAAGAGGCGTACATCTTATCCTGCAGGGCGCGGAGCTCTAGGCCATCGGATGACTGTCTGACCACAGGAGGTTGGAACAGCAACAGGAGAGCGAACACCAAGAAGGAGATGTGGCTGAAAACATCTCGTTTCCTCGGCACCAGCATACATGGTTTCACCGATTAATACTCGATCCCTCGAGGGAGGAACAGGTCCTGCGCTCGCTTTGAAAGAAGGAGGCTGAGCGATTGCGCAACTCTACGCGCCTTACAAAGCGACCGCCATCGGACTTTTACCAACATCATGCGAGTGTGCTTGCTCCTGCAATGGCGAGTCTTGCAGACGATAGTGGCAGTTTGAACGTCTCTCGTGTCAATCAGCTGTGGCAAGCTTAGCAAGCAGAAGGGTGCATGACCTGTTGACCTCCATGCTCGTGGGCGCCTGTCCGGACAAATGTCCTCTGCTCGGCGTGGATGAAGGGCAGTGCCGAGAAGATGCTGACGGATAGTGGGCATTCAACTCTCCCACGCCTCGGATGCTGCTATACAGCTTGGAGAAGAAGGTCCAAAGCAATCTGTGCCCAGCATTAATTGCGCTGGAGACAATCTCCGAGTGACTTCGAATATTGAACCAGGGAGTAACAACAGTCCTTCGGCACAAGAATCAGAACCAGCAGGGAATCAGACACCCGGCGCGCTTGATCAACAGGGTCAGACAAGCGTTGTGACCTTGAGACTGTCGGAGAGACGCTAGCAGGACATTCTGCGAATTCAGCTGACGTCTTGCAAGAGCTGGAGACATTCAGCCTCTCGAGATTGCAGCGATCTTTGATCAATCCTGCTTTCGCTTCTTCCATACTCTTCATATCGGCTCTGTCAGTTTGTCAAAACCGAAAATATCGCAGATCGCAGATATTGATGTGAAGCATCAGCGTCTGCATGAGCCGCAGACCTCGATGCTCTCTGGCGCTTCGGCTGTATCGTTAACCTCGACATCGAGTCTGGTTCGGGAAAGGATTTCGCGCTTATTAATACCAATGCTAAGCATCGAGCACGCATGGAAGGCCAATTGCCATGCCACACCCGCTTCCGCGACAGTCGTCAACTCCAATTGCTCTCTTGGGCGGCGGGTTCCCATCCATCAGATTGAGGCTCATCCTTCCGAGAAAACAGCGGGACAGCCATCCACCTGTATCGATGGCCCGTGGTCAAATATATGATTTTTCTGGCATATCAGCGTCTGCATGAGCCGCAGACCTCGATGCTCTCGGGCGCTTTTTACGCTTCTCAAATCGGCCACCCTTCGTCCTCCATCGCCCATATTACGTTCTGAATCGGTCCAAAGGAGATAGCAGAGCTTCTGAATCATCCAATCGAGCGTTGGAAAACGAGATATCGCTGTGGTTTGGTCCGAGGATGGCCGGGAATGTGAAAGACGAGGTCGGGACCCTGGCACCCTGGCGACCTCCTGGCTGGACTGAACTGGACCCACTTGGCGTGTGAATCCTGCAGTGATCTCCGAGAGCTTCAAGGTTCCCAGTCGGCGGGAAAGTACCTCACGTCTCTTTCATCACGGACATCTGTCTTGCGTCCCATTCCCATCTTTTCGAAGGGTTGTTCTGAGGTCGGGATGTATGCTTTGCGGACAAGATCGATTGCAGAATTTCTTGTCGAATTTCTCGGATCAATCTGAGCGTTGCAAGAGCCTGTCAAAGTCTGCAAAATGGTCATGTGTACTCCGGAAGTGCTGTTCTCGGCATTGTTCAAAATCCATTTACTGCCGGACGATATCCGTCGAACAGAGGGATTGAATGTATCGCATTCCCTTCACAGGATGGGGCACGAACGTCTCGCGGCTTGCATTTATATCGATCAGAGTGTCCTGAGGATACAGAAAAGCCCCACGCAGGACAAACCAGCTCCCTGGTTTTCATCTTCCCATGATTCAACCCTGGAATCGGTGTTGTCAAGAGTGTGTGGTGTATTTGGATCAACCTGGCGTATGAGTTCATCGTCTCTCGACCTGTCGCGATTACCACTTCTCTTCATGTGAATGGTCCTCAGCATCTCCAAATGCCGCGCGACATCCCGCCAGTGGACTCTCATTCGTCGCTTGACCTGGCGACATATCAAGCTGCGGTGGAGAGATCGAAGATGTGTCGACCGGTCTGACAGCGCTGTACCTCGACTCAATTGTGATGTGTACTCGGAGGATATCTTATCATGTCCAGACACGCTGTACCGAGGATTGTCCCAATGATCATGCTGCTGTCTCAGGACTTGGTGGCCACCTCATTCCCATAATTACCGCTCGTCTGGTGGAGATATCGCTCGTCCTTCTCTTGTCAACTACGATAGTCTGCGGCTAAAGCTGGTGCTGTTGTGCCAGAATCGCCGGTGCGCCCGACCCGCAGTCTTTCGTGGTATTTCGGCGCCTCGGTGTCTCGGTGGTGGTGCGATGTGCTCTGCTACTGCGCGGAAAGGCGCATCAGCATCCTGATATTTGCTGGTAGAGATACCTCGGCGTAGGCATTACCCTTTTCTAGCGAAGTGCGCCGTTTCTTGATGCCGCGCAGGTTCTTCCTGCCGCTGCTCGCGGGCGCGGACTAGATGGAAGGGCGGAGGTTGTCTTTCAGGCTTGCGAAAAACGCTTTTGCCGCCGAAAGGATGGTGGACAGCACGGCTGCTTCTGCTGCGGTGGAGACGTCGAGGTGCTTTTGGAAAGATAGCGGGTGAGGTCTGCTGATGTCCGCGTGGTGAAGCTGCTGGGTCGGCCGCCAGCTTCGAGCGCTGAGAGGCCGTGTTCGTGGCCGAGGCAGACGCAAGGCCGACGAAACGCTACCACGATGTCTCCGATTATCCGTTGATGGCAATATCACTAGGCAGAGTCTGATATTGCCGTGCACAAGAAGATTTCTTGAGATAGTGAAGCCCGACTTGAGAACAGGCAGCACCGTCGCGCTCTCCCAGCAACTTCCGCGGACAGCAGAACAACGGCACACAAACATGCACGGAACAAAGCGAAGACTCTTTCTTAAGATACCGCCGAGCAGCGGCAAAAGTGATGAAAAGCATGGTATGTACCTCATTGGACTGCGACAAGATGCTACGGAGTGCAAGCATGAAGCCAGCAGCCCACCACTCACGTATTGCGTTGAAAGACATCCACCTAAGGCAGGATACCCCCGTTCAGAGATGGACGATCTAATCTTGTAGGTATTCCCTTTCTACGATCTTATGCGAAGCCACTGTATCGTCACATTCTCAATTGCCTGACGAGATCTTCTGGGCAACATCCTCCTCCTCACACGATCACCACTCCGCTACAAGAATCACCACGCAGAAAACGCGCAGTCTCATCGGCAGCCGGACGTCAGAGCACTACTCCCTCCGCCCGTTTCCACAGCGCGTGCAGGGCCCCGTTCCCATCGTGGGCGGTCGTGTTTCCAACGCACGTGTGAGCCTCTCGAGTGGCAGTACGCTCACGCTTTGCGCAGAACACGAGTATACCGAGAGGAAGATAGGACAACTCAATAGATCAGATCTCACGTCAACAGCGCACGCACGACATTCTCAGTCTCACAAACAGTCTCCTACCACACCTACTCCTCATCCTCCGCATGCTCCCAAGCAAAGGGACTCCGCGCCCTCAATTTCGGTCCGTATCGCCCCAGAATAAAAGGTATCGGCGCGAGCAAACAACCCAATACCCCTAGAATCGTCCCGGCCCAGTTATACCCCAGCTCCTTGAACATGGGAACGCCGAACAGAGGGAATACCGCTCCGAATACATTGCGCGCGAGCCCGATTCCTGCCAGCGCGGAGGCGGAATAGACCATGTAGCTTTCTTCTGTGTACACCGCGACCATGAAGATGAGGGTGAAGAAGCTGAAACCGAAGAGAACGGTTGCTGAGAGCGGGATGATGGGGTGGATGTTGTATTGTGGTGGGGAGGTCCAGGCGAAGAGGAAGAGGGAGATGGGAAGGAGTATTGCGGCGATTGTCCCGAGCTGGACGCGGGCCTCGGGGATGTTGTGGATCTTGTCCTTCCTGGAAGATAGCAGAGGCTCGGATTCGGGGGTATTGGGGCGGCGGATCTGACGCTGGTAGTATCTCTCTTGCCAGATGCCGATTAAGGGACCCAGACTGATTCCCAGGACGAGGCCAAGGAAGCAGTAGCCTACGCCGATGGTGCTGAAGCCATGGCCTTCTTTCCCGAACACGAGGCTGAAAGCGCCGTTGAACATGAACGACAAGCCGTAGAGAAAGGCATTGTACGAGGCCCCAAAGATGACTATCGTCTCCGTGGTCAGGAATGTGAATGGCCGCGAGAGCGTCACCTTGAACAGATTCTTCAGACTCCGTGCTTCGGCTTCTTCTGGGACCTGCTTCCCTTCCTTCCTTGCTGTTCGCCTCAGGATGACGGAATGTCTTGTTTCGTTGTTGAAGGGGACAAGAACTATGAGGAGCTGTAGCCAGCAGACCCCGCAGATGCCGAGAAGAGCCCAGAAGACATCCCGCCAAGAACGATTCTCAGCAACAAAGGACATGAGAAAGAAGCCCATCGGACTGCCACACACTGCCGCCCAGAGGAAGACGTTCATCGCCGGTCCGACTTCATGCCTCGGCCAGAGATCTGCTATGGTCCCGCCGAAGTTTGCAATTGTCACGCTGGCGAAGGCACCGCTCAGGAATCTGAGAATCAGGAATCCGGTCACGTTCGTGACCAGTGCTGTTCCCGCTAGAAAGATCAGGTAGATTCCATATGGGATGACATAGAGTGCTGTTCGGCCGTAGTACTCTGACAGAGGAGCTATGAACATGGGACCGAACGCTAGGCCCAGGACGTAGAGGGATAGACCGAGATGGCCGAGGATGTTGGAGAGGTGAAATTCATCGGTGAAGGAGCCGGAGGCGGGGGAATAGCCTGATGCTCCGAAGGAGACTGTGAGGTCTATTAGACCTATGGATACGACTATCGTCCTGATATATTGGTCAGAGACTATTGGACCCATTGCGTATGTTGGCCGGGGCATACCATTTCCTCCAGGAGGGAAAGTTCCTCGGATTCGAAGGATCCTTCACTTCAAACCTCGCCACATTGGTGCCCGAAGCAGGCTGTCCATCCGCCATGTCGAATGATCTGCTGCTGGAGCAGCCGAGATGGTGAGAAACATTGAGAGCGATTGTAGGTTGGGTGAGAGATGCTGGCATGAGGTGACGTCCGATAAGATCAAAAGCAAGGAGTGGGTCCGCTGGCCAATCATGTAACAGCATGTGGGTCTGGCGCTTAGCGGCTTTTCTTCGCTCATACCGCGCTTCGTTTCCCCCCCCTCCTACTACCATCACCTAATCTCATCATTTCCCTTTTCGTCCACTGAAGCGCTGGAATGGGCTATACCAAGAGACTGACGAAGCATCACCAGGTCTCGCCATATCAGGATGACTCTTTTGTTCCACTTCCAGACTGCTCCAGATCGCCGACTTCAACGACGTGGCCATTCTGGAGCAGCAGATCCATCTCCGAGCCAAGAAGCCATTGTCCAAAAGGCGTACAGTTCCTTGCTTCTGCACGATACGAGCGTCCGCGACGCTCAGCGGTATGAGTACGTGGCTCGCGACTGATATGCCTGTACGGGACTCTTCCCATCTGGCATGCCTGGGCTGGAAAAGCGTTGGTTGGGGAGTTCTGAGTGAAGTTTCGAGCCCATATCCCCGCACTTCGGTGTTGTAGGAAGATGTTGCTATGGCTATCGTAATCGTAATTTACCAGCTATCCGGCACTGTCTACATCAGAGCCCAATGTGCGGAGTATCGAACTTCTTGACGGCAGCTGGCTGCCAGTCGATTGGCTGCGGACACACGTACATACCTCGAAACGCTCTTTCTAATCACTGGCGCGCTGGGCATTGCCTGCCAAACGACGTGATAGGCTTCAGCGACCATCATCTGAGTCGGGCATGCGTGGGCAACAGAGGTCTGCTCTCCTGCCTCCGAGATCGATCCCTTTGACTTCTTCCGTGGACTTCGCGAAGAGAACTCCGACCAATTCCATGTTCAGGGCAGACGATACAGGGGATTCTGTCGGTGTGGACTGTCGCAAAAGCGCGGACGGATGATATTGCACCATTCCATACCTTGACTTATCTCTACGGGTGGGGAAGCTGCCAAGCGCTGATGAATTTGGATAGGGATACCCTTGTAGACGTCGATACGGATCTTAGCAATGCCTGCTTGCATACCTGTTGGGCGGGCCCGTGAGTTTGGGACCCCGTTCGCAATCGCACTGCAAGACCGAGGTGCTCCCGTCTTGCTACAGGTCACATCTTATGCCTCGCAAAAAGAAACACCTACATCCGGCAATGCTGACGTACAAGAAGCGCTATGGTGGGGGCTAAGAAGCGCGGTAATGAAAATCACTGATGACGCTGCGCAAGTGAGATCCTTTCATCTGCACCTGGGGCACCCGTCGATGTTTTTTGCCAGAAAAAGTCTACGGTGACCTAAATCTCACGTGTACAAAGAGATGGTGTCTTGTAGTGGTTCCACTTCCTGGGCACATGTACAAGGGTGCGGCAGAAGTCAATTGACCAATCTGACCTGGACGAACGACCAACATTGGATGATGGTCCGAAGCATTTTGCCAATAATACCGGTGACATAAGTCCGGTGACATAACGAGCGGCGCGCTTGGGCTCTAACCGGGCATTGCGACCCATCCTTACGTGAGTCTATGGCGATGGCCGAAGACCACACCGCCAGCCGCCTTGCTAGCTCCCCTTGTGAACGGCAGGGGAACGCGGATATCAAATATGAAGGACTTCCATCCTCGGATCACCACTTCCTCCTTCCTCTGACCATCTTTGGCAACCATGGAAGTGCCGGCGCGGACTCACAACACGTTTCTCAAAAAGCTTCCGTTTCGTAAACGACATCAGCGTCACGGCAGACCGTACCAGGAACGAGTGGCTGCGGACCCACCACCTCGCGACAGTGTTGTGACGGCATACCATGTGGTGAGTCTGGAGTGTTCCAGAAGCTTTCCTCTGCACCAACTGAGTGGCGATTAGCGCTCCTTGAGCACCTCTGCCACCAGCGTACAGCATGCTACAGTCACCAATCAGCCGAAGGATAGGCCCATCTCCGCGGATGGCTCGAAAGAGTCTCTGGCCGACCCGAGACTTTCTCCACAATCTGCCACGGTACCTCCGTACACCCCCATGCCGATACCAACCCGAGTCTCTAGCGCTGCCAATATCAGGCCGGGCGACCAAGCACCTGGACGGACAACACGTCTGCAGCAACGGGATGTCCATGGAAATCTACCCAACGGCGATGGAGAGCCTGACGACTTGTCGTTGAACCTGCCTGGATTCGACGACGATGCATTTCAACCTAGACCATCAGTCTCCCGGATGGCAAGCCCGATCCCTGGAAGATCGCGGCCGACATCACCTCGCGTAAACAACCGGAATGGCCTCGTCGAGATGCCCTCAATTGATCAGTTCCCACGGCCACCTGGTGGTCCGCCAGGTCGACGCCAGCTTGTCTCCGATGCTGGCCCTGTGACACTTGGAGACGATGCCCTCCTCCAGCTTCAAACGCCGTCGCCGGATAAGAGCGATATTCAGAACACCGAGCCGAATGTCGCTGATGACGCCGAATCTTGGGATCTGATCAAGCCAGGCGAGCAATCGGGAGGGGCGAATCTATACTCCCTCGAAAAACGGGCAGAGCAGCTCTACAGTTCCGAGCATCTCCGTATTATTCTTGACGATCCGAAACTTCTTCTCAAATTCTCCACGATACTTCGAAAGTACCGGCCGTGGAGAGTTCCCGTCTTGAGCCACTACCTCGCCGCCTGCAAAGCCCTGCGAGCCTTGGATTACACCAATTCACTCACTCGGCTGCTGTCCACTATCCCGCATGACAGTGCCCTGTCTACCCCTGAGCTCGCCACCAATCCACAGTTGGAGGCTGTTGCCAAGGAGTCCTTTGCCGCACTGCTGAGCGACGATCTCCACTACTACATCACCCATGCCTGGATCAAGATTGTAAGCAGCATTGTTCAGCGCCGCATCACAGGCACTTTACCACCTCATCTCCTCGAGACCAGTCACGGCTTGGCCGAAGTCTTCTGTATTACCGACCCCAGCCGCCATGATAATCCCATCATCCTTGCTTCCGAAGCCTTCACCCGTCACTCAGGATGCAGTCTCGAATACGTGTTGGGCCGTAATTGCAGATTCATGCAAGGTCCTGGCACAACGATTGATTCTGTTCGCCGGTTCGCAATCTCTTGTCAGGAGGGCAAGGACCACACCGAGATCCTGTAAGTTAATTTCAAGTTAGCTTTCCGTGTCTCGCTGACAATTTTTCGCAGCGTCAACTACCGTCGCGATGGAAGTCCATTCCTCGCCATGGTGTTGAATGCACCATTGCTTGACAGGTGAGTGACGGCATGCGAAACGGACGTGAAGGCTTGGTGACGTTCGCTAACGTCAATTGCCAGTCGCGGTAAAGTTCGCTACTTTCTAGGTGCACAGGTGGACGTCTCTGGCCTACTCCGCGGATGTGGCGGTATCGAAAGCTTGCGACGTCTTGTGGAAGAAGAAGATGAGGCCAAGGAAAAGGGCGACGAGAACCAGAGCCAAGATCAGATCTTACCCAAGGAAATGAGGCCAAAATCGTCGCATTCTGAATTCAAAGCCTTGAGCGACATGTTCAACGCAGCCGAGCTTAATACCGTCCGAAAGACCGGGGGTTCTCTGCAGAGCGGCTTGGACTACATTTCGGATCCCACTAGCATCAAGACACCATCGCGTTCCAGCCGGGTACTTCTGGAGGATGGAACCGACCAGTCTGAGGAGGCCGAAGTTGGAGAACCAGTCCCCCCCGAGTGCGCTTCATCAAGCGTTTCCTCCCAAGGGCTCAGCTACAAGAATGGAGGCGGCGTACCGGGAAACCTGCCCGGTATCTACAAGCTTGTAAGTTGCGGCCTACTGGGAACGGCAGTCCCTTCACTAACTCGGTGTACAGTACCTCCTGATCCGCCCGTATCCATCCCTCCGGATTCTGTTCGCTTCGCCAACCCTCCGCACTCCTGGCATCTTGCAATCCCCCTTCCTGGACCGCATCGGCGGCAGCGCACGTATGCGCCAAGACCTCGAATCCGCGCTTCGCCATGGCCGTGCCGTCACTGCGAAGATCAAATGGCTTGGGTCGGCCAGTCAGAACGGAGAGGGCGAGGGCAAGACCCGATGGATCCATTGCACGCCACTCATTCACTACTCCGGCCAAGTCGGACTGTGGATGATCGTCTTGGTGCGGCCGAATCCGAACGACGATAGCATGTCTGTACTCCAATGGTAGGGGCAGGACGGCGAAGTCGAATGAGGGTCCTAGTGCTTGCTGCTGGAACCCAACGGGGTTGAAGAGTTAATGAACATGATGTTGATCTGTTTTTGGAAGGATGATGGGGGATTGGGGTTAACTACAATTGAGAATGCCCACGTCGGCGCAGCTTCTCATATTTAACGGTATTGTAATCATGAAAGGGCGGCGCAAGCCAGCCCATCGGCGATGGTGAGATCGGGCAATGCTTCCGCTCGAAAATCCGCTTCTTGCTCCAAGGCTCTCATTCTCTGTGCTTACCTTTCTATCTTGACAGTAACCCGTGTCCGGTTTTGCCTTTCGGACCCAGAGATGGCGGAATCATGCAACATCGCAACAGTACGTACTCCGAGACTGGCCGCAATCTCAACAGCAACTCTCCTTCCTTCCACTCTTGGCAAAATCCACTTGCTTCGCTGGCATACAGCGCTCCCCGAGAGAGACATCCCCATAATACACCATGTTTTCAGCTAAAAACTTTCGAAAATTCCCGACCCTCGTATCTAAGACTTTTATCTCCACTCCACGGCGCTCCTGGTCTCCTAGTGGGTGACTCTTCCAATTCTGGGGGAAAGCTTGCCTGCGATGAACAAACAAATGGAATAATATAACATTTTGCTTTTTTGGGGTTGGGAATGCACCTCCGACGAGCTCCTTATCGTACCATGCTCTGACGCATAGATATGGTTCGCCTGATTATCCCTTCCTTTGAGGAATCAGTCTCTTTTTCAAAACTCTTGTGGGGTCTGCGATTGATGATGAACTAGGATGGGAAGATTTTGGCGAAATCTTTCGAATTCGGAAGAAGAGGAATTACCAACGTGTGCCGTGGATTGTCTACGATAATTAAATTCAGTGAATCTATGATTTGGTACTGGGAGTCTCTGCCGTCGCGGAAAGTTTTCGAGAAGATGTTTTGTGGAGTGGATGTGAATCTCACACAGTAGTCTCGCAAGACTATCCCAGATTGGCGGTTCTCTCCCTCTGAGCACTGCGGCTATCCGCACTCGGTCGTGACGCCGTTGTTGCTTGCCTTTGAAAGGACTTTGTTTGTAGCCTTTTTGCCTGGTGCGGTCTGCGGCATTACTTACTAAGTGCAGTTGGATGGAAGATTGCTGTGGCTGTAGAAGAGGGAGAGCTCGACGCGTCTAGCGGTTGGCGGTCTATGCACCATGCCCATTATTGTTGGTGGCACACGCTCTGGCGTCGTATGCTTTCGAGCCGCGGCCACCTGGTCGGCATGGGGCTTTGCCACCGTGCCGGCCCAAGTTATGGTTCTGGCCTACAGGCAACACTCCTGTAGGAGGCTGACGTGGTCTCGCAATAGTAGTTTGCCCGGGGTCGGCAGATTGTTGCCGGTCGTGGGACCCTGGAAGAGGTGCTGAAAGGCGCAGAGACGATGGTCTTTGCTGGTCTCTGCGGTGGCTGATCTCCAACTCTGGAAGCCTGGAACGAATGGTCTGCTGAACTTGCTTGCGAGATCTTGGACGCCGCTAGCGCTGGCAATTTGGTCTCTGCCGGAATTTGGGCTGCAGTTCTTGGCTGACTACTAGATATATTGTCGTAGATTGCAGGCGCTGTGAGACCGCTGGATATGGCTACATTGCCGGAGGTCCATATCCAGGCTGTGGCTTACCTTCGGTGATTGGATTGCTCTTTCTTTGGAAAGTCTCATTCCTCACTGGTACCGTTGAAGTTGGTGCGCATCCTTGCTGTGCTGGCGCTTGCGAGGAGGTGGTCGGTCTTGACGCTGGCCGCACTTGATGTTTTTCAGAATGCTGTCCCCCACCATCGCTCCGACGTCTTTCCCAACTTATTATTGGATTTATCATCCTTTTTCGATCAGCGCTAGTAAAAGTAACCTTATTCCCAATCCTCGTGAAATGTCCTTTGAAACACCAGTCAAGGAATCCTCGGTCACCTTGCAGCTCCAAATCCCCTTCGTCGAAGATATAGCATGTGTGGTTAATCGTGTCCTCTGTAGAAGGAACCATGCAAACGATTGTACTCTGCTCGAAGATCCTGATATTCTTGCCGGGGGCTTGGACGAGTAGTTCGGAGGCTTGGTGTTGAGTCCAGCTGCTGCGGTAGGCTTGGTCGGCTTTGGACTTTTCTGAGGCAGAAATGCCGGCTTCGATCGCTTTGAGGGTCTAGAGAGTATGAGCAAGAGTGGTGATATAGGGCTGTGAGGAGAAAGCGAATCAGGGTCAGGAGCAGACGGAGGAGGAAAGCCATTTTGAGATTCAGGGGAGAGTCTGTTGATAGAAAGAGATGGTGATTGTTTCCGGAGTTTGAGCGCCAGTGAGAGGGAGAAGACAACGTGAAAGAAAATGGCGTTCAGCTGGTTCGAGATGTTTGTGGTAAGATTGAGCTGCCCCTTCCACTGTCTTTGCTCTGTTTCCACCATATTGCAGATCATCATCCATCGTCGGGATATGATCAGCTCAGCCGGAGTGTCGCTGCTCTCAAACCGAATATCGATTATCGTATCCGTAGCTGCTGAGACTGTCAGCTTACTATACTCCCAGACACGATATGCTCACCGCTCTCAATGACTTCGGCGAGAAGTGATCGAGCCGAACTTCTAGTACCTGCAGTCTTGTCGCCAAGTAAATATGCATGATCAGCCAATACTCGCGTGACACCGCTTTTTGTGGCTCGTGGCATCGATATAGTTCGTTCTTATTCCTTTTAGCCAAGATGCGGTCGTAACAGGAAGGCACGTGAAATGGTGTCCACGTGGCGATGCCCGAAGCTTCTCCGAAGATATGGATTTCTCTGTGCGTCTGTGTTTACCTGTCCACATTAACATAATGAATACCAATACCTACACCTGCATCTAAAGCTTGATGCATACCGTCAATTATGCCTCTCCTGAACGGCATTGCCGCGCACTGCGTGGTAGAGCACCATGCTCTACATGAGTACGCAAACCCGCTGGAACACAACTCGGAGCCGAATACTGTTACCAGATACACTGAGATCGCACCGAATGTGCCATTCACTGTGTCTGTGCAGGTGCCGCCCGACTTCGTCTTCCTTGGAGATGTTCTGGTCTTCCGGGTCTTCATGAACGGCACTCTGCAGGCGGACGTGTGGCATAAAGCATTACCAGCAAGTACAGACCAGCGCACAGGGGACGCCAGGAGAGACCATCAGGGCATTCGGGGCTTGTTCAGCAGAGACGACGGGCAGCTGATCCGGTTTCCGCACCTGGTGGAGCATCCCAACAAGAATGCGATCGGCGACATGAGCACGTGGCACGACAAGGAGATCTTATTCCAGGTCTCTCATGGTTGCCTCAGGGATCATAAGGCAGATCAAGCTTTTGGACCAGCAGCAGGCGTAGTCCAAGCGGTGGGTGGCCCTGAGTCAGTCCTCGCTTTCACCTTCAAGTACCGTCCAGTAGACATTCTCAAGTCCATCATCTCGCCTCCGCCATGGCCTCCGACCAACGTTACCCCAGAGACGCCCGACAGTCGCTACCATCCTGTCGACGACGCGTTCAAAGCTGCACTACAGCCCAGCAGGTCTCGCGATCTCTACTGTATCTGCCGCAAGGTCCGAGGTAGCCAGCGAGTAGCGACATGCGACAATGATTGGTGTCAAATTAAGTCTTATCATTGGGAATGTGTGGGCCTGAAGAGGGAGCCGGAGCGAATCTGGTTGTGTCCGTTTTGCATTGAGCTCAACGAGGAGGACCTGGTGATTGAGGGATACAACGACTACTACGAGTACAGCTATCCCGACCAGGAGTGCGGAGGCTGCAACGGACTCGACGAAAAGGGTTTTGTCGGGGCACACAAAAACAAGACCAAGGGCTGAGACCGCCCACCGCGTTACGCTGAAGGACGCATGATCGGTACGATTTGTTCGGAGTGTTGAGTCCTCCAGTACCATGCCATGGACCGCCAGCGAGGAGAAAAGGTCCAAGTATTGTCTACATCATTGCAAAGATCCAAAGATTGTTTCAAAGCCACAGTCAATTCCTTCCAGTGCGATGTCTTTTCGCGGTGCTGTAAGGCAAGTGCCTGCTCGCGATTGCTCAAGTTCGCCGGAGGACCAATTCTCCCCTCCCCTGGGAATTCCTTTACCGTGTTGAAGGCTCATCGCTAGACTTTCCAATAGCAAAGGAGGCTCCGCGACGAAAAATGGAATGCAAGAAAAATGGAGAAGAATGGAGGATAGTTACCTCGCTATGGCCGTGCGCAGTTAGAGTTTGATAGCGCCGAAGATTAGCCAACATATCCCCGCTGTCAACAACTTCCTCACCTTACCTCTCACTACGTTGATAGTCTTCCAATTCTACCAGTTGATTTTCTATTGCTCATCTTTGAACAGTTACGCGATAATCATGCATCTGGTCTGCGTGATTTCGCCCTTGTTTGCAAGGAATGGTCTTCATTTGCTACGTCTCAGCTCCATAGTAGCGTCAGCTTCACAGTGGTTAACGGAGACTGTCTAGAACAGGACGCTGCATCGTGTCAAGTCGTACTGACGACATACTCGAGCTCTCAGCATGTTAGACATTTGAACCTCGAACAGAATCAAGGCTGCGGAACGAGCATATTCGCAGCGCGTTATCTAAGGCTGCCGTGGACGAGAAACTTACGCGATCAATCTTCGCTTGCATCTCGATACCCAAGGGACTCCTCAATAGATTCTTCCAAGATTGAAACATGAAGCAGAGCTTCCCTCTAGTTGACGAGGCCCGAAGGTCGTTAAGCGGGTTCTTAAGAAGAGATTGCGAGAATGGATAATGGAGAGGTGCGTGAGAGATGATTGTTGGAATAACGTGACCGCGAAGGTTACTACACGGTCCTTGGGATAACCAGAAGATCAGGGGATGGCTATGAGATTGGAAAGGAGATTGAGCTGGAGGGCGTCACGGAGGTGTCGTACGAAGACTCTGCCCGAAGACAGAGGAGCACAAGGAGATTGGAAACGGAATGGCACAATTTTGCGACTGATCTAGCAAGTTAGTTAAACTCTTGACCAGGACGTTGTCTTCTGTTCTCGGTCATTCACCTGCTGCACGCTAAGACGCTTGTCGTGCGGATTTGCTAAGCATGTGAAATCGGACTGGAAAGTGGAAGAAGGCCAGCAATTTGGAGTGCTCTGATTGGTTCGGGGTTTAGCTGGAAGGTCCGGTACTTCTTGGCGTGCCTCATCGGTGCCTGTGCTTCAGTGTGCAGTGAGTTGAAGCTCGTGACACTTGAACAACCACGAACATCTCCAACGCTTTCTACTTCTTCCTTTCCTGTTAAACTCAGACACGGCGCCGACAATACCTCCTACAGCAGTCGTCGCCGACGCATCTCGTCGATAGATCTACCATATCGTCGCCGACAAGATGGACTCAAACCAGTCGGACGCCGACAAGGTATGCCGCGGTTGTAGCCACCTATCTTGAAGATGTGCTAATGAATGTGCAAAACAGATCCGAGCAAAGCGCCTTGCAAAGCTAGGTGGTCCTACGACTTCCGGATCTCCGCCGCCAGTACAGAACAACGCCGAACCGTCTTCCAAACCAACCACGCCTCCGACAACCGATGGATCGTCTGAGAAAGCTCCAGCTCAACAACTCGAAGTGCAGCAAAAGGCCGCCGCTCCCAAGATCACAGTGAAGCCGCGTCCCGCATCGCCTGCAAAGAGAGAGCGTGATGGATCAGAGAAGCCTCGAGCCAGAGCCGAGCGGCCACCTGAAGCCTTGGAAACATGGCAGGACAGGAATCTGCGCCAGGTGTTCCGGGTTACACTGAAAGAGCAGGAATTGAAGGATGCCCACGGGAACAGGCTGATATACTTGCCAAGCACAAAGGACGATTTGAAGGAGCAGAACCGCCCGCTTCTACTAAATGTTGAGGTGTTGGAGACCGCCATCACAGAAGCCGCCGGACAGGCACCAGGTGCGAAGGTTTTTGCATATCTGCTGCAGAGCTTCAAGCGCGTTGCGAGAGGTATCCGCAGCTTGAGGACTGGGGTTGATGACGCCAAGTTGGAGATTCTGAGGGAGACTCGGCGATTGTGCATGAGCTACTGCGTCTTTGCGATCACAATTCCGGATATGTTTGGCGTGGAGACAACTTCGAATCCACTGGTCGATCATTTACTTGCAGATCCCGAGTGCGATGTTGGTATCTGCACCGACTTTTTGACGGAGGCCTGCTCTCGATTTGAGGAGGACGAAGGCATCAAAGATGTCATCGTCGGGGCGGCAGAAGAGCTGAGCAGACAACTGGCCAAACTCGATATGAACGAAGGATTGTTCCAGCCCTACGTTACTGGCATTCGCAACCTTCTCCGGTTCCCGAAGATTGTTGAGGCCGTCACGCAATCTCCCATATGGGCGCCGGGAGACGTCGAGCCGCAGGAATTGGAGACGAAGTCCCTGCTGGGCCCATTCTTCCGGCTTTCGCCTGTACAACCTGCGGTGGCAAACAACCTATTCTCTGCGCCAAGATCGAGGGACAGGAACTCTATTGCGACAGCACAGGGCGCAGCGCGTATGACACTTCGGACACACCAGGCTGAACTGTTCGAAATTGTCAATGGCATCGTGCGCGCAGGGAAAGAACCGAAAGAGCGGATGCTGGACTGGTTCGCACTCACCGTCAACAAGAACCACAAGCGACGTGCTATGCGTCCTGACTACAAATCCATATCCAGTGATGGCTTCATGGTCAATGTTACGAATGTGCTGGACCAACTTTGCGAGCCCTTCATGGATGCGACGTTCAGCAAGATTGACAAGATTGATGTCAATTACCTGCGCCGGAATCCACGTGTCGACATCTCCGACGAGACCAAGATAAATGCTGACCAGAAGACGTCCGACGAGTTCTACTCTCATCAGGCCGAGGGCACCAACGGCTTCATCTCCGAATGCTTCTTTCTCACTGTGGCCGCTCACCACTACGGTACTGAGGCAGCGCAGGAACAGATGAGCACTTGGCGGAAGCACATTAAGCGCATGGAGCAGGATGTGGACGCCATGGAGGGTGAACGCCACAAGTATATCAATGTGAGTGCGACTGATTTTGATTAACGACGGTGCAGCTGATATAGGTCAGGACCCTCGATACCTGGCTCAGTACGAGAATGCCCTAAAGAAAGCGAAAGAGCGTGTCGACAATACGTGGTGCTATATCCATGCCATCCAGGGAGTGCTGCTGGACGATTTGAACCAGGCTCGCTCGATGCAGTTCATGAGATACCTCATTGTCTGGCTATTGCGCCTTGCTTCGGGTCGAAACGTTCCCAAGGAGCGTTTGGAGCTTCCTCTACCCGCTAAGCAGGCTGATGTGTTCAAGTGTTTGCCTGAATACTTTCTGGAAGACATCGTGGACAACTTCAAGTTCATCACGTCTCACATCCCGCATATCATCACGCCACAGCAATGCGACGAGATCGTGCAGATATGCATCACCTTCTTGCGGAGTACCGAGTACGTCAAGAATGCTGGCGTCAAGTCTGGCCTCGTCAGTATTCTCTTCTATGGTGTACAGCCATTCTACAACCACGCGCGGGGTGTTTTGGGCGACCTTCTGATTGGCTCGCCATTCGCTCACAAGCATCTTCTACACGCTCTTATGCGATTTTACATTGAAGCAGAGAGCACGGGCACGCATACTCAATTCTACGACAAGTTCAACATCCGATACGAGATCTTCCAAGTCATCAAGAAGATCTGGGTGAATACGATGTATCGAGAGAGCTTGCAGAAGGAGTCTGAGGTCAACACAGACTTCTTCATTCAATTCGTCAACATGCTGGTCAACGACTTCACCTTTGTTCTGGACGAGAGCTTGAGCAGCATGACTAAGATCCACGATCTTACAAAAGAGCTGGAAGATCCAGCAGCAATGCAGGATCTCGATGACCAGCAGAAGAAGGAGAAGGAAGAGCTGTTGGAAGATCACAAGGGCCGGGCGAAGAACTACATGCAACTCACCAAGGAGACGATGGAAGCGCTCATCCTCTTCACTGAGACGCTGGCAGGGGCTTTTACGCGTGCAGAAATCGTCACGCGACTTGCCGACATGCTGGACTACAATCTGGACACTCTAGTTGGCCCAAAGAGAACCAACTTAAAGCTCAAGGACGCGGCGGAGTACGGATTCCATCCATTTCAGCTTCTCTCGGACATTCTGTCAGTCTACATCAACCTCTCATCGAAGAAGCCGTTCATCGAAGCTATCGCGCGCGACGAGCGCTCGTACAAGGCGGCGAATTTCACCGAAGCCACTCGTCTTATGCAAAAGCGCGCGATGAAGTCGCCCGAGGAGCTGCGGCAGTGGGAGGCGCTGGGTGAGGCTGTGGCGGAGGAGAAGAGACTTGTGGAAGAGGCCGAAGAAGACTTTGACGATGCTCCGGATGACTTCCTCGACCCGCTCATGGGCACTCTGATGGACGATCCCATCACTCTGCCTCGCAGCAAGGAGACGGTTGACCGGTCCACCATTCGCAGCCATCTGCTGAACGATCCCACTGATCCTTTCAATCGGACTCCTCTGAAGATCGAGGACGTCATCCCAAATGCACAGCTCAAGGATGCGATTGAGACGTGGAAGGCGTCAAAGCGAGCGCAGCGGACGGCAAATCAGATGGATATGAGTGAGGGATAATTGTACAGCATCTGATGGATACCAGTCGACAGGAAAGCTTCCTGGTGTTTGAGGAAGAGCGATAACGAAGCGTTATGAAACCAATGGAGCAGGATACGGTGCCACGCATGTGTACTATCAACGATCCCAGTTTCCGTTGCCGTGTCTTGCACAATCTCTCTTCCCAACGCGACAATTCGAACCTCTAGTCCGAGCCTGATCTTGTGACGGAGGAGCCTGGCCGCGGAGCCAGGCTTGCCTCTATAAATCCTCGTGAGTGTTCTTCCATGCAAAGCCACTGACTCTGGTCGTATCATTCAGCATGGAGCAGAAGTTAGAAACACATCCGTACAACTAAAGTAGGAAGTTCCGTAACTTCTGTAGTGGAGAGCCTTGGGCACATGTGCAGCTCGACAATTGTGGGCGCGGCAACTGCGTTCCATGGGCGAAAGAACAAGACTAAGACAAAAGTTGTGAGGGGGAATGAATGACTTTCATACTTAAGCATTAGCGTTAGGCTTCTAACCCACGATATCTACAGGTTGGCTGTGCTTCGGCTTTCCGTCGTCGAAACCGCCAACTTTGCGACCGCCTTCTTTCCTCTTCACTCTGCACCACAGACCGACTTCTTTGTCCAGAATGAACTGCCAGATGACGCTAACCCAGCTGTGGTGGCATGGCAGGTCCCGGTAGAACTCGTTCGCGATTTGGTTGAGCTTCCACAGACGGGTCCATGGGATGGCTGGGAAGTCGTGATGCTCGTTGTGTAGGCCAACATTGTACGTGAAGACGTTCAACATGCCATAGTACGAGTAGGTCTCCGGCGGTGGGGCCAACTTAGCAGAGCTGGATGATGCAGCCTCTGAAGACCGACTGTGTTGCGAGAAGACGTAGTGCTCGGCAATGAAGTGTCCTGCACATGGGTGCAACGAGCCCGCCAAGAAGGAGCTCAGGATAAAGTAGCCGAGGGCCCGTGCTCCAAAAGCGCTGACAACGATGTAGTCGAAAGCAAGCTGTGCAGCGATATTGAAGGCGTGGATGCCCGTGAGTGGAAGTTTGTAGACCATCATTGGTCTCAGGGCGTAGAAGAAGATTTGGAAGGTCGCAAAGAAAGCCTTGCCGGCCACGGAGTCCAAGAACCACGCTTCAAGTGCGGTCGGCAGATCGGTGTCTAGGCCATCCACGCCGAGAGATTTGTGGTGGGTGAGATGGTATGGCCGGAAAGAGGCAGAGTATGGGATGCCAATTGGCAGGTTAGCCACGATCGCAAAGAGTCTGTTGGCGAGGGGTGATTTGAATGCCAAGTTGTGTGAGATCTCGTGAATGGCGAGGAACAGGTTCTGGTTCGCAGTCGCTCCAATCACGTATGCCGTGAGCAAGAAGGGCCATGATAGCACGGGCGTATCCCGCAGCAGGTATGAGCAGAGGAGCTGTAGTCCGACGACTGCCAGTACAAGTGGAATGGTCAATGGCTCTGGCCCGCAGAGCTTGAGGACCTGTATCCTTGCTTCAGCATTGTCCCTCAGCAGACTCTCGACGTACCCACCTCTGGATGTGCCTTGATGATTGCCTGCCTCCTCGTCCTATGCGGCTCTTCTGTGTACGTCCAGAAGAAGTCATCCTGGCCATTACGGCTGCTGCCATTATGGCTGCTGTCCTGGGAGGGTGGAGCCTGCTCGTCTCCCCTCTTCTCTGCTGCGCTCTTCCCACTTCTCTTGCTGGCGGTGGTCGGTGTGACGGTGGCGGTAGTGACTGAAGCTGGCATCTTGCTGGGAGGATACCGCGGGAACGAACGACGAGATGGTGGTGGATGGATGGTTTCGTGAAGCAAATCCAATCGAGACGAATGGCGGTGCTGCCGTCCCATTTCGGAGGCGAGACCCTGAATCAGCGCCCCGCTTTTTAAGCTCTTCGGCTATGATCCAGAGATCTCCACCACTTTCACCTCACCTCGTCTTCCACACCAACACATCTTTGCTTTTGACGAGTATTCTTACGAGCCATACATCCTCGAATCGTCCGGAGGAATGTCGCCGTGATCATGAACAACTTATCCGCGTCACACAATCAGTCACTGGGCGCCACGGCCACGCTGTCCCGTTGCTCAGGCATCCTTTGACTGACCGCAGCATATTCGTAGTGTCACCTTGAGAACGTGGATCCAATTACACGACACGGTTCTGACTACTCGACCTTGGGCGCTTGAGGTTCTGCCTCCTCTCGTATGGACTCCGATGAACCGAACATGCACATTCCAGACCGCTGGCTCGGCGATGTATTCAGAAGGTCGCCATGAGGTCCACTCACGGAAACCGATCCTGCTCGCAACTTTGGTTTGGAACTCCATTCAATGTTGCAAACGAAATGAATTGCCATGACGTCTACGGCCAGGCTGAACCAGACTCGTCTTCCATGCTGTACGGCTGCGCAGCTTCTATTCACGGCCGTGCTATTGTCGTGGCGTTGCACAATAGCTTCACCAACCATTGTAACGCATTCAATGATGAGCTCGTCAGCCTCTCTCAACTATAACTAATACTGTAAGTGTTTGTGACAAGTTCTTCTTTGCTCTGCAGAAAACATACAATGTTGTCGAAATTTGGACTACCGATCTCTCTTGCACTTAACGTCGCGACAGCCTACTCATCATCATCCTGCGCGGAAAGAATCCTCAATGCAACAGGTGTGCTCAATGATCGCTGGTATGATCCACAGGTCGGCCTTTGGGAACGACTTTGGTGGTAAGTCGATGACCGCGATTGGCGTAGCTGCGGGGCGAAGTGATGCTGACCAGTGATGACAGGGACTCTGGCGCTATACTGACTACGATCGCCAATGTCGCATTGGTCTGCGATGATTTCAGACCGACCGCCATGCAGATGTTCTCCCAAATCCTTGACAACGCGAGAGCCGCAAATGGCGGCAGCTATCTGGATGGTTACTATGATGACGAGGTAAGTGACGACGGTTCGCCCGAGGGATCGCGAACACGGCAGAGTCAGATAAGGATTGGTAGTTTGGCGAGCGGTCTGCCAGACGAGAAGAGCAGTGGATACGGCTCCTGTCCTTCGACATCGTATGCTGACATGACTGCAGGGGTGGTGGTCCACTGGCCTCATCAAAGCATACGACGTCTCTGGCGATCCGAAATATCTCGACGAGGCCGCGAAAATCTACAACGACTTTCAGACCGGCAACGATCCAACCTGCGGCGGAGGAATCTTCTGGTCTAAAACCCAAGATGAACCATACCCAGCTGCGATCGCCAATGAGCTGTTTCTGGCTACTGCAGCGTCTCTCGCCAACCGCATACCCGACAACTCGACTTACAGAGATCAAGCACAAAAGCAACTGGACTGGTTCCTCAGTACAAACTTGATCAACCCAGACTTCACCGTCAACGACGGGTTGAATATCTCAAACTGCTCCCAGCCTAGAGGATCGATCTTTACATACAACCAAGGTGTCATTCTAGGTGGTCTGGTCGAAATGCATAATCTCACTTCCAATGCCACCTACCTCTCCATTGCGTCCAGCATCGCCCACGCGACCATCGATCAACTTGCGACACCGTTCCACGGCATCCTCAACGAACCTCACTACCTGATCAACGCTTCTGTAATCGGCAATTACGACTCTCAGGATGGCTATGCGTTCAAAGGGATCTTTGCGAGGAATCTCATGGATCTCCACGTCGCCGCTCCGGAGCAGGCGTTCTACGACTTTCTGCAGAAAAATGCGGATTCCATATGGAACTCTGATCGGCAAGGAGATGGACAGCTGGGTGCGCTCTGGCAAGGGCCTGTCGTGGGTTTGTCGGCGGCGAGTCACGGGAGTGCGTTGGATTGTTTGGTTGCTGCTGCTCGGGTGCGGGAAGCCCGTCTCGAAGCTAGCAGCAGCTCTTCTATTAGAACGCTTGCGGCCATTCCGACTCCCACTCCCAGAATTCTGTCTACGCCAACGCCGACGACGATGTCTACGCCAGTCTTCTGTTCATCATGCATCGATATCAGTACCGCAGTGGTGGTGGTGACGGCCACTGTTACCTCCAAGAACGGCTGACTAGAAAACATTCGGTAGGTGTACACATTTCTTCGCACCGGAATACATTTTCATATTGTTCGCGTTCAAAGCGGGGCTGAACTGGTCAAACATTCCCGATTTATATAGACAGACAGATACCCACATACAAATCTCTAAAAGCCTCATTCCCATCTCCACCCACCAAGAAACCTTCACAAAGAAATTCCAAAATCAAAAACCAGGATATTGTGGTCGACGATTTTCTCAGCGACGCCACAAAAATCCGAAATCCCACGCAACGGTTGCCGCATTTCTTACAAGGTGAACATCTATCGACGGTTTGGTCCGCAAGGCAGGAGGAGGTAGCGGTTTCGCCACGGAAATCCATCCACCGAAACCGTCCCCGGTGGGATTTTTGCTTCTGCTACAGATTCCAATTTTTCCTGGGTCCTTACTACGCAACAACAGCCCGGAAGTATCTTCGCTTGCTCTTTTCAACTCCCGCTGGAGCAAAGACGATCATCGACATCACAAGCGGATTTTCGCATGTGGTCTACGAATCTCCGAGGTCGTATCATTCGGCCAAGTTGTCGCTGAATAGTGAGGAATAAGTATCGAGAGGAAGAACTTATTAGCTGTGGCATTCACATTTCCATCCCGGGGCTAGTGGCGATGCGTGCGGCGGTGAAGGAAAATTCCGGAGCTGGTTCCTCGTGGGCGTTTCTTTGTTCTTTCCTTTTCGTTCTCGGTGGATTGAGGACTAAACGATGGTGTGGGGATGAAGGACAGACAACATCGCTCTTGCAGGTGGAATTCGTACCTGGATCTCCTACCCCACGAGAAGCCCATTTGAATGGGTAGGTGGAAGGGACATGACCGCCGTGAACTCGGATGTGAATGGATCGTGAGTGAGAAGCGAAGAGATTCCTGAGGGGGATATTGTAGTTGCAGTTCACGGTGGTGGGCTGAATTTGAATACAACCAGCATGTTCCGTGCAGATGATGTCTTTCTGTTCTCTCGAGCGGATTAGCTGTCCGCAACGGACCCTGAAAGTGCCTGCCCTGAATCACTGCTTCGAAATCATTGAGTGATTTATGGTGTCCTACGAAAAGTGGTCCACAGGCCTCGACGTGTTGAGAATCGTTCGTCATACCGAGAAGGTTTTTGCAATTCGTCGCCGTGCCATTGGAGCACCACTGTTCCTTGCAGGGTAGAATCGGCCAGTGATATCGGCGACAAGGGCCGAAGAACTTCGTCATATCCGGATTCGACTGCTGAGATATGCCATTGATGGTGCGGTTGTTGTTGTTGTTGGTCATGCCCGTATCCACGGCCGACTTGTGTGCAGTGCAGAAGCTAACGCTGGGGTTCGCGGGAGATGTGGAAGTTTCGGATGATTTGCTGTCTCCCACCACGGGTATAGTTGTAGTTGTTTTGGACAGAAAAGCGGCAGTGAGAATCAGCAGTTTGAAGTTTGGCGAGAGCTCCGTTGTCGAGGGAGGGGATGATTGCTGCAGATGCCGGTGAGGTGGAGAGGAGGGTGAAGACTGCCACGAGGAGAACTCAGCCGATCCTTGGAGCTGATCGTCGTCGAAAGATAAAAGATGTCTTGGGAGCCAGAGATGCGGTGTTGTTCAATGAGATGCTTCCTCCGCGGAAGATTTCCTGTCGTGCGTGATTCCAGGTGTCGTTGTATCGGCTCTTCGCGCTAGTGTGGTCTGAGACGGATACCTGGCCCCAAGACATTTCGGGCGTTATTTGAACGTGCAATCCCCACATGAGCCGGGAATCTAGTCAACCGTGAAGTCAAGCCCAGTCGCGCGCACCACTCGACGTTACACTATCTCCCAGCCATGCCGATACCAGTGCACTTTCCGCACGGACATCACATGCTTGCTGACTAACCACGAAAATTCCAAGATTGGTGTCAGTGAGGATGATGTCCGCTGATAGTCTCGCCGCGGGAGGAGCATCTAAAGCTGTGTCTTGCAAGTCTTTGCGTCTGCCAAGCCTCGCTCTTGATGCCCGATGGGGGGCGGGGCAATATGGTCGGCAATGCGCATGAAGACGAGATTTGGCGCGGTTGTGCTGCTGACTACTGCTTGAGAGTGGTGTTGGCATTTCTTTTCTTCGTGAATTTTCAATCAAGTCGTGCGACGAGTAGTGCCTCATGTCAAGCTCCGCGGAAGAAATTGGGCAGCTGAGCTGAAAGGTTCTTGCAAAGCCTAACCGGCCTATTCAGCTTGGTTGTATCGTCTAGGGGTTGAGATATCTTTCCATTCAAGGTCTGTGGCGTCATTCACAAGGTATTCAGCTCCACACCAAAATCCCGACAAAAGGCCTGCTTCGGATCGACGCGACCCGTCGTAGCGTCCGATGGCGCTCGTGCCTGATTAACATTCGCAAGCGCACTCATCCGAGCAGCAGCCAACTTGGTGGTGTCGAATGCCAGGCTCTGCATATCCAAGAGCCGCCTGTAGCGGGAGAGTTCGGCGGACCACCATTCCACCTCCTCGTCCGTCACCGACGAGAGCAGCATCGAGAACATGAACCCCCCAGCCATGGCGAAATTGATGCGGGAGATGGGGCTCCACCAGAAAGCCCGCAGGCGAGTGACTTGGAGATTCTCCAGGAGCTTGGATATGGACATCACGAGCTGCCTTGCTCTCTCGCGGAGCTGGAGACAATTCGGGTCAGTCGGTGGGAGACAGCGGAGGAGTGCGCGACAGAGCACAATCTCGACTGTGTAATACGCTAGGAAGAGTGTGCCTATGATTGATCAGGTCGTGTTTCAGACGCAAATTCTCGTCCCACTGGGAGACTATGCATTCATGTTTCGGAACGGTGACAAGTTGCGGCTCTATGAAGCACCAACGAACCAAGAATCGGTGGCATGGATAGTGAACAAGACTAGAACTTACCCGTGGGGTCCAGGAATACATCTGTAATGTTTGCAAAGGGTGCCATGTAGCGGGCTTGGAAGTCGTGCAGCTGCAGCTCAAAGAACCCTTTGACACGGGCCAGCTCTTCCACTGTAGACAGCGCCGAGTGTTCCGCGCCCTTCAGCGTGTAGAAAGTCGTCAGGATAGCGGACAGAATTTGTGTAAGGGCCGCGATTGCGACAAACATCTGAGATGATGTTCTTGGTAGACCATCCTTGCCCACTGTCTCTGCCGGTATGTCGTCGACGGTGAGGAGTGGCACGTTGCATTCATCATCGTGGATATATGAAGGCCTCCCGAGTCCTAGCGCGGACCACTTGTCGGCGATGAAGACCGCATACCAGAGCCGCTTTCGTCGGCTGCGATCGGCAGTCGAAAGATCCCAAGATGAAGGGTCAATGTTGAGGCCGGCGTCATGACTTATCCCGACAAGGGCACCTAACTCGGCATACAGGCCGGGAGTCGTCGGCGCTCGATGGATCTGGGTGTGGCGCTGCAGAAACAAAAGGGAAGCTTCAATGGTCTCTAGACGAGGCATGCGCGATTCTATAGGCAAGGCCTGGAAAGCGAACGAGTTGATGGCGCCGTACGAAAGGTCTCTTGCCGCCGGGCAGTAGGGCAATGACAAGCTGTACATGGCTGCCAGCAGCGGGAGATCAATCTTGTTCCCTTTTACAAACCGAGTCGGATCCAGCAGGGGATATGAGGTGTGGATGACATCGAAGTAGGTAGTCAGAAGCTCGTGGTGGAGCGGATATGCCTCATCTAGCAAGCTGCTGTCAGGGTAGTGTGGAGGTCTTGCGTCTAAGTGCGAGTCTGGAACCAAGGTGAAGATGGCGGGAAATGCTCCATCGCTTCTCACCCGAAGGCAGGCCCAATCATCACTCTTGTAATAGTTGGAGCGGTTGAAGTTGCTGTGGCGCAGGACGAATGGATCCTGGTCTCCGGATAGCCCTACATATTGGCTGATCCATTCGCCTCCCGTGGCAGCCGAGAAGCCCGGTGTGGTGGTTGTGATGAGCGACTCCCGTCGATCACGGGAGCCATGGCGGCGAAGGAAGACGGAAGACGAGCTCTCCGCGTCCTCGGTCACGGGAGGTCCCGAAGCAGGTCGTCGCCGTCGTGAAGTTGGGCCTTTGTCGTATCTACAAGAAGAGTTCTGCATACGACAGAGCGAACAGGCGCCATCTCCGGGCTCTCTGATGCAGCAGACTTTCCTTCGCCGACAAGCATCGCACGGCCGTTCCTTGCGGCTCTTGTACTTGCGGCCGTGGCTGGGCGAATTGGCATCGCGCTCCATGTCGACGCTGTCTCCCGATATTTGTACATATATATATTTATATATATATATATGTACCCGCTTCCCGCCTCCGGATGCTCATCCAGATCCAGGTCCAGATCGGGCGGTGCGCCGCCGCGGGTCGTCCGGTGGGAGGGCAACGGCAGTCGCGCAAGAGGGAGTTGGCCGTCCATGGTTGAGGCTGGAAATGGAGGACAAGACTTGTAGCGAACGCCCGTGTGTCTTATCAACAGTTTATCATCAATTGGATCTTTTCGGCAAGAAGCCGCGCGCGGCTCGATAAGGACGGGACTGGCTACCATCTCGGCGTCGGATTTATATTGTGCCGAAAGCGGGTACTGCAGTGATTGATTGGCTGGGAGGGGCCGTGGGGACTGAGCGCTGGCCCCATCAAAATTTAGAGGACCACTCACCACCATTTGATGGCCGGCCGGCCGAAAGCAAGGCGACTGTTCGCTTCCATCTTCCTAGAAATCCATCTTACTTTCACTCACTCTTCATGCTGAAGATGCGGCCCCGTGACGCGACAAGGTGAGTGCTCTCGGGTACCTCAGGCGTCAGATGGCATCTAGGCCAATCGCTCGCGGGAGAGGTACGGCGCATCATGCGCAGCTCGTACGCTTGGAGGATAGGAACAAGTTGGTGCATCTCCACGGCGGCGCGCATCGTCAGATCCCTGTACCAGTCCCGGCTGCGAACGAACTTCTGGTCAAGATCCGGGCAATGGACGCTGATATCCATACTGAAGGATCCGAATACGTTGAATGTCGAGAGCACTTTTGCTGGAAGAATCGACAGCTTGCGAGAATGCCTCGACCTCGTGTCACAGGGCATCATCCGTCCACATCAAGACCCGCTCCGTCGAAGGCTTTCCGCAGAGTTCGAAAGACTTGGATGACGAAAAAGGACACAGGCCGTTGTGTGCTTTTACCAGATTGGAACAACATTCTTGCTGAGACTTAGGGTGACTAAAGACTGCGCAGCTTACTGTCGAGCAAGAGTCAGCGAGTGCCTTGCGGATGAGCTACTTGTCCAGAACAGCCGCTCTGCATTCTCCAAACACCAACAGTCTCTCTCTTATTCTGTAATTGCGACAATAGTCGTCCGCAACAGCTGGCCACGTCCGAGCAACGGCATCTTTGGATTCGTTTTTGCCCGCGCTAGTTTCGATGCATGGCTACGGGTTTGGTCTCGCTCTGACTCTGTTGAAGCGACATTGCCACTTGCGCGGTTGCGCCTTTTCAGTGAGGTGGCTCTTGCTCGTAAGCAGAACCACTATGAGACTCTTTCTTGCACCTCGGCGTACCAAGCGAGCACTCATTGGCAGAGCGGCGTGTCAAGGAAATATGGCAAGGACTATCCTTGTCACCGCTTCCTGGCGATCGCGAAGCCGGAACTCAGGACAGACCACCTACTAACCGTTAGGAGGCGGCATTAAGGCAATGTATCCTTCGCTGTCGTTGAGTCGTCGTGTCGGTGAGTCGTTGATTCCGTGATAGAGTCCACCGAGTATCGTTGAGCAGTCTGGTTCGTGTAGACCGTCTCATAGACAGCGTTCTACAAGGCCTCTTACCTGTTCGTAAGATCTTCGGGAGACGGTCAACATCAACTTCCGCTGCAGGTCATTGAAATTCGCGACAGTTCTTCGAGGAAAGCTCAATCTGTTCAGCAATCATGGCGCAGGCTCAGAGATACGACTTCGAAGACCAGTTCCGGCTCACCCCACTGAAGGATAATCCAGATGTCTTCACGAATACGTATCCGCTCTGGAGTTGGCCCAATCTCACCAGAGTGGCTGGATCCATAACACTAGTGCAAGCAGCACGAGCAGGCTATTGCACGGTTCCTGACGACTATGCGATGCACGGTCTCCAGGCACACTTTCTCAAGCCAGGCTTGCTGGAGACTCCAATGCAGTACGAAGTGGAAAGAATCATGACGTCTCAGAAGTTCGCTTGTCGTACCGTCCGGGTGCGGCAAGAAGGGGTCATCAGGGCTTATCTTGTCTTGAACTTCCAGAACAAGGCAATCGATGAGAAGAGACCTGCGCCTTTCGATTATATGCCATCTGTCGACAAGGAGACCCTGCGGGACGTAGCGAAGCCCATCGACCCGCGACTTGAGGATTTCAATCATAGCAGTAGCGCAGCAGGGCCTCGAATGCCTCCCGACTGGCCTTCCGCTCCCCGTGGTGCTCAGTATCCAGCTATTCGGACGCAGAGACTCAGTGTCTCCGATGAAGCCGAGATTTCGGAACGAATCTATCGCTGCAAACTGGGCATCGCATCCCCCCTCTCCGGCCCGATGGCACAGATTCTAGCAATCGTCTTTCTGTCCGACCTCTATACCGGGGACGGTCCCCTCACCATTCAGCATTTCGATTTCGGGGCCTTTTCGATCGGAGACCTGACCAAGACTCCCACCAAGCCTTGTACGACGCAGTGGGCTACTCTGAACCATTCGCTTCATTTCCGGAAACTGGATGGATGGGATGCTTGTGAGGATGTGTTGTTTGAGGTGAAGTTGCGCTGGGCGAAGGGGAGGAGGGCTGTTACGCAGTTGACGATCAGAGATAAGAAGGGAGAGGTGATTGCTACTGCGGAGCAAGAGGCGAGTCTCCCGTCCCGGAGGCCAAATGATGCGACTGTTCTAACGTCTTTTGCAGGGTTACTATGTCTTCATGCCGGGCGCTAGGCTCCGTAGCAGCCTTTGAACGAGGTGAGGACTTCGAGCATGACTAAAACCATCGGTATGTCCTCAAACAACCAAATGAATCCAAACCGCACCATTCAGCAGTCTCTCATCACGTGAGCTACATCTCCACCCTCAACCACCAGCCCCGGCATTCGCCTGCGTAATCGAACCCTGCAACACAAGCATTCGATTCCCAATCCGCCATCCTTCCCTCCCCTTCTCCAGAAAATCCAAATAATACCCCAGCAGCGTCGTCACATTACTCCCCATCTCCGGAATCAGAGTCGCCTGAAAATACGTCGTGCTATTAGCCGCCACTTCCCCGGTGATGTCAATCACCGTCGTCCCCAGGAGATGCTGCGTTCGCAATCCGGTCACGGCGCCTGCGAGACCTCTCTCGATGGCTGGGAGGCCTTGGAGATGGGAAAGCGCGCCGGTGTAGTTTGCCAGGGCCTTTGGGGAGAAGACTTGGGCGAATTCGGAGTAGGTTTTTCGGTCTATGATGAGCGGGTAGCGGTGGAGGGTTTGGTGGATTTCTTCCCATGGGGTGAGGTTTGTTGTTGTTGCGGTGGTTGTGGAGGTTATTGCTAAGGCGAGGAGGAGATGGTGGAGGCGCATGGTGAGGTTGAGAACCGATTGGAATTGAGAGTTCGATGGAATTAGTTGTGGGGATAGAAGGGGGGTGGTGGGATGCCGCAGCACAGTGTGTTATGTTATGCAAGCTTTGTTCTTGTAAGAGAGGGCGGAGGTATTAGGTACCTAGCTCTGGTGGTTGATAGTTGGAACCTACGTCATCGCTCTTGGCGAGAGTCATGGTCGAAGTCAGTCCTGCTCGGGATTTTGGATAATGGTCTTCACACCTGATAAGCTGACGGGCGACATGCCAGACCAGGTTATTGGTGGCTGAAAAGTTGAGGCGACAAGCAATTTTTCTTGGAATGCTGATTGTTCAGTCCAGTAAGACTGGATTCGGAGTTTGTTATTCAGAACTTGAACGAATACGCATGAATGCTGAATATCGTTCGGAGACCATGTGTACGAGGTGTACGAGTATTCCAGCGAAGTTCCATCTACACTGAGTCAAATTGCCTCCAAATTACTTTGCCAATGAGCGCTCTTGAGGGGAAAAATCAAAGGCAGCTTGTTGTTGTCGATCGGAGGCAGAGTAGCGTCTCGCAGGGTAGATAGACGGCGAGGAAGTATCCAGACGAGCTCTACCCTCGTCGTTAGATCGTGCCTGAATCTGAAAATCCATGTAGAGTGTAAGGTTGTGTCCTAGGATGTAGGAGTTGAGAAAACCCAAAAACTTGCGCAATTTCGTCATTCACTCACGCAGACGCGCTAGCTGTGTTTGGACTAGTCGCGTCAATAAATGGAGCTAAATCTGACCAAAGACATCACTGATTATGTTGAAGGTGTTGTTTCTGTCAAATGTCATCCGATCGTGTCTTTGCGTTTCTGATGGATTGTAGGAAGCGGATCGCAATTTTGGCCAGCAGTGCTCCGACAATACGGATTACTTGGCCCTGACATCCTACTCTCACATGGTACCGGCACTACTAGGGAAGAATTCAGATGGATGAGAGACGTTCGTACCGCCATCACCTTGACACCAGGTATCGAACCTAAAATGGCTCATGGAGAGATCGTGGGCTTCAGAGGCGACGTAAGATGATGCCTGGGCGCAGATTGTACGGCTGCCTCCAAGGGCACATTGGTAGCCTTGCTGATTTCACAAGTCAGTCCTCAATTCATGCCATCTTCGCATCGTAACTCAAGAGCCCTGACTTAGAGTAAGTCTCCCTTACGTCCAGACCCAAGTACCTTGAAGGCTTTCAACCTCGCGACCATCGAAGGAGCTCGGGCAAGCCACTGGACGATAAGAGCGGAAGCCTACAAGTCGGGAAGAGAGCAGACAGCGTCATTTTCAATGCTGATAGTCCTTCTGTGACATGATCCGCTAGTCGTTATTGTACAACATGCTTCTAATTATGGAGTTGAGGCCCTCATAGTTGATGGAAACATTCTAGAGAGAGATGGAGAGCTGCTTGGTATCGATCGCTGAAGTCTAGGCGTATTTCAGGGCTCGCAGCATGTCCAGGACGCTGCTGTAGATGGAGACTCGTCTTGGTCAAGAGTGGCTCCGGAACTTCGACGGAGTCGACAGGACGTCCAAGAGCGCATCGACCAGTGCGATGTCAACGCTGCCAGACGGAGGCTAATAGAGATTTGGGGCTTCACGGGCTACGGAAAGACCTTCTTATGAAGCAGAAATGGGATGCGGAGTAAGATGTGTACAAGTAGGTCATTCTGCCGTAAGGAAAGAGTACATCGACAGACAAATGACCGGCGTGGTGCTGCTTGAGTTTTGAAAGGTCTTGTGGTTTTCAAAGTGCTTTGGGACGATGCAATCGTTCTATTCTATAGAATAACACTGTCTTGGACTCTAATGCCTCGACTCTTCGGGTATCTAAAGCGCCATCCGATGCAAGCTTGTATAGATACACATCATCCCCAACGCATATTATTCAATGATTTGATTCATCTGCACTCAGTGTCCGAAGGTCTGTTGCGCCTCTTTCTTCTCGTGCTTGTGTTCTTTCTGCCATTGTTTGCTGTAGCGCAATCCAAATCCATGCTCAAACACATCTCGAATTATCTCCAATGGCATACCCTTCACGTCTGGATAGCAGAAGAGTGCGAATAACCATCCGACGAAGCAAATACCGCAGTAGAAACCAAAGGCGCCAGAGGGAGTGATACCTTTCATCATGGACAGGAATGTACTGCTGATGATGATGTTTGTCGACCAGCAAGTGACGGTGATAAGCATGGTCCCCAGTGCTCGTACTTCCATAGGAATGAGTTCGGTTCCGATCCAGGCGATCGTAGCCACACCAGAGGAGTAAAATCCGACGTAGAGAATGATGACCACGAGGACGAGTGCACCGGCCCAGCTGATAGAGTCTGTCGTAACTTCCAATGTCGAAAGATCGATCGGGATATAGTGGAACGAGACAGCCGCGATGAGCATGCAGATACTCATTCCGAGAACCGTTACGGTAAGCAATTGCCTTCGTCCAAACTTGTCGACGAGGAACAAATTGACGATTGAAAAGATGAAATTGGTCCCGGAGACGACAATAGCGACGGCTGTGGCGTTGTTGAATCCGACAATGGCGAAGATTTTAGCGCTGTAGTACATCAAGGTATTGAAACCACCAAGCTGAGATATGGCCATGGTGACACAAGCCACGAACACGGCACGGCCTGTCGCAGCTGTGGAGAAGATGCGCTTGAAGGTGGTCCAGAGAGCTTCTCTCTGGATGGAAGAAGTTGCTTCTTCGAGGGAGATCTCCACACTGCGGATCTTCGCTAGCCGTTGATCGGGTGTCGAGCCGGGATAGAGGCGCAGGAACACTCTTTCGGCTTCTTCGACTTTGCCGTGAGCAATGAGCTGTCTTGGAGACTCGGGGCACCAAAGAAGCATGATTGAAAGTAGAATGGCTGGTGCCGCTCCAATTCCTACTGTCGCTCGCCAGCCATCCGGTGTGACATTAGCAAAGCCTGCGCCAATGGATGAAGCGACTAGTTGGCCGAAAGTGACGGACCTAAGACAAGATCAGCTATTCATCCAAGTGGCTCTCTCGATGACGATTGCTTACATGTTGTTAAACGCAATCATGCGGCCTCGATACTTCGCAGGCGCCAGCTCTCCAATGTAGAGGGGTACAATCATAGCTGCCGATCCCACTCCCAGGCCAACTACAAATCGACCCACGGCGAATTGTGGAACAGAATATGAGGCAGTCTGGAGGACAGTTCCGATGACGAAGACCACACATGCAGCCCAGATAGGCCATTTTCGTCCGTATTTGTCGGCACCTAGACCTGCAAAGACTGCTCCAACGAGAGCACCCCCGGAGGTGAGAGATGTAACCAATTCTTCTTCGCTTGAGGACAATTCGTGACCCAGGGCGCTGCCAATGCTCACGAGCACAGAGGAGATGTAGCCAGTATCGTAGCCTGAGATGATTTAGCTACGGCTCGACCAGCTGAGATACTCTCATTTTCTTACCGAAGAGGAAGCCTCCAAGAGATACTGTCAAGGATATGAGCCAGGCTGCTTTCGATGCTGCTGTCGCCTCGATGGCAGAGAGAGCGGTGATTTCGCTTGGAACGCCGGCCTTGAGGTCCGCCTCTTCAATGCGCTCGGCAGCGGCCCATGTCTGTTTCTGCTTCTCGTCCCAGTCGGCCATGATGGGTGTCGAAGAAAGGTAATGACGCAGGAGGATTTTCAATGTCGCGTGCTTTATTCGCGATGGTCCTTTGTTCGGGGCAGTGCCTTCTTCGGGTGCTTTGACCCCTTGCTGGGCGGGAGATAGAAGAATAACGGCGTGCTGGTAAGATGATGTAGGGGAGATGAAGGTTGTAGGTTGATACAAGGGCGAGAAGAGTGAGAATATGCAGACCTTTTAACTTCAGTAGGCCAAGTGAGCCTCATCCGCTTATGTGCCGTGTCGGCAATCACTAGCCGGACTGTACGAAGAGACCTACGTAGTCTTGAGCACATGGCAAGTCCTTGGAACGCATCCCATGGTCGGGGCGAGTTCCCATGCGGAGAGCGGGGAGACTCCATGTTGCTCCCGCCCACGCACCCCAGACGCGGTCTGAAGCCATAGACGTTAGACTGGCTGCACCCCATGGGGCTTCGGAATCGTACCGGGAAGGATGGAGCCACATTAATAAAGTCGCATTGCATCTTGGCTCTAGGATCAGTGAGGGGAAGGCGTCTTGGCGGACCGAAGAGGATTGCCCTCTGGTAGAAATACGGCAAAACTGCGTCAATTGCCGTCGAAAGCACCAGAATTGTCGAGACGAACGGCGGCGTGACCTTCTGTGAATCAGATGAAATGAGAGTGGTGGTCGGGGAAACATCCCCTGTCTTCGCCGGATATGTCCGTGTTTCCGGGTAAAATGTCTCGTTTCCTGTTTAGGAAGGACGGCTCGGCTGCCGCACGAGTCAGGTGCTTCAGCTCCTCAGCAAGGCAAGAGTTTCCGGGACGCGTCTCAGCTTGGCATTTCCGATACGAAGTGGTGTCTTCCTCTGAATTCTTTTGAGTGGGAAAGTGCCATCTTCTTATACCACTGAGCGCGCCTCATATGAGTTGCGGCAGTATGTTCCTGAAGTGGTGCGCCGCTGTCCATTCAGGTGTCCAGAGCGGTCTTTGTTTCTCAGCAGTCAAATTGTTCTCTCCATCGCCTGACATACTTCACCCATTGGTGTCATAGCCGACTGGCCGACAGTCACGTCTCGTTTCTTTGTGGACAGGGCATTGTCGATGAAAATACAGACTGTTCGCCGGATGAACTGATGGAGCTGGTTTCTGGATGGAATCTTTTGAGACTGAACTTGATCGGGATTGTCCGACATTAAAAGCCTTTTCCAATGGCTCTTCGAAAACGACTCGGCATGCGGCAATGCCAGTATTTCTAAGCCATCGATCTAGCAGCAGACGTGGGCGCCAGCAAGTTGAACTCTCATAGGCCGGAAAAGTCTCACTCTATCGCTTCGCTTCCGGTACAAGTCTGGGAGAAAAGATCAGACAGGCATCATGAGCTCATTGCAGCTTTCGACGTCATCGAGGTAGCGAAAGCAGACGTGTTCATTACGACTGCATCCTCTTCTCGTGCCAGATACAAATCGAACGTAACAGTGCATTTCGATTCCTAGCGATCAATCCGTACTTCCGATCAACTCACGAAAATGTCCGGCCTCATCGACAAAGCGAAGCAGGTCCTCCACCACAAGGGCGACAAGGAGCATGGCAAGCCAAAAGTCCTCTTCGTGCTGACCTCTCACAAAGACATGGGAACCACCGGCAAACCGACCGGATGGTATCTCCCAGAATTCGCACACCCCTACTACAAGCTTGAAGGCAAAGCCGACATCGTGATCGCATCGCCAAAGGGCGGAGAGGCTCCCTTGGACCCAGCTTCGGTCGAGATGTTCAAAGAAGATGCCGAAGCGACCAAGTTCCTGAAAGAGAAGGAGACGCTGTGGAAGCACACGGAGAAGTTGGGAGACTTCCTGGGGAAAGCGGAGGAGTTTGATGCGATATTCTATGTTGGTGGACATGGACCGTAAGGATAGCTCTTTTCTCGAAAGCTTAAATCAGGAGAGGCTGACTATATGCGTGCAGGATGTTTGACCTCGCGACCGATGAGAAATCTCACCAATTGATCCGCGAATTCTACGAAAAGGGCAAGGTCGTTTCAGCGGTCTGCCATGGTCCAGCAGCTCTGGCTTACGTCAAGCTGGCTGATGGCACATACTTGATCAAGGATCAAGAAGTCACCGGTTTTACCAATACGGAGGAAGATCAAGTTGGTCTGAGTAGCGCTATGCCTTTCCTGCTGGAAACAGTACTCGAGACCAACGGGGGCAAGGTGGTGAAGACCGAGCCATGGGGACCCAAGGTGGCCACTGGAAGAGGCGGAAAGCTGATCACTGGCCAAAACCCAGCATCTGCTGCGCCGATTGGCGAAGCCATCTTGAAGGCTATCGAGAGCCATTAAGGGCCAGCTGAATTGAAGTGGAGCGTGTAATTGAAGAGAACGCCTCAGGAATTGTTAGATACCCTGACTGAGAAATCGTAAATGTGGATCCTCATCTCCAAGTCCTCATCAGATCCAAGCCTTGTTTGAGTCCAGCATCGAGATCTTCATCTCAAATTCACCTCATCCTCTTGGAGAGATTGTCCCCGAACTCATCAGGATTCCTCTCCCACTTCAGGTGTTCTAGCTCCCAAAGCCAACCGGCCTCACGAGAAGTTCTGGTGAGTTGGCGACCACGATGCTTTCTAGCAGCATCGAATGCTTTGAGGGCTATGTCCACCTGCTCTCCATTCTAAAAATCGGAAATGAGACGGTTCCATACGTAGGCATCTTCGATTGCCATGCCGGCCCTGCTGCCTTGGTGGGACGTGGTAGCGTGGGCAGCATCAACAAGCGATATTCCCGTTATAGAAGGTACGGGCTGCAGGATAATCAAACAAGGCTCAGACATCCTCATCCGCATCTTGCCGATCATCTTCTGAGCCGGGCCCCGAAAGTCGGCGAAGTGTTGATTGATGTCTTTAAACGAGCCAAGAACGACCCAATTTCCGTGATCCCAGGTATCGCAGCTACCGAAGGCGACAACTGCTCGACAGGTCAGTACGATTTGCTTTGTTTCTTGGCTGACGAGGTATGTGCTCACCCTTGGAAGTCTTCCCGTGGTCAACGGGGAAGGTCAAGATGTGTGCGTGGTGGTCCAAGTACACACGCGAATTCGTTCGCTATCTCCTCGCCCAGCTCTGGATCGCTTCTGACATTGGCACTAGCCCGCGATGGCAGTACTTGCCCGAAAAGACTGCATGGGCGGCAGGGTCTTCCTTCCCAGACGAACTTCCTCGTCTCGGAGTGCACGCCATCGCATCCGATTACGCCGTCGTGCATTGCATCCGATCCTTCTTTGAAGGCGAGATGAACTTTCTTTCTATCCTGCATAAATTGCATCGCGGTGATTCGCTTTCCGAAGTGTGCAATGCCATCCGGAATCAACTTTATGAGCTCGTCCAGGAAATGAGCGCGTTTGGACACCAGCGTCATGCTCGAGGTTCTCGACACGGCCTCTGGCGATTCTCTCACCGGCTTGCTATCCTGAGCCAAAGCGAAAATCGAACCAGAGGCCATTGAGGTCGTCGCAATTGTTTGTCGTTGCGACCTCGTAGAAGCCTTCCTTAATGGCTGGATCGATTGATCTCATTGCTCGGATGGCGGACGGTCACCTCGAGATGCCACCGCCAAGCTCGCCGAATTTATGGACGGACTCATAGATGATGATTTTGTTCTTGGGCTGCTCAAGAAGACCGATTGCGAGGCACGACCCGGCAATGCCGCCCCCCACGATGGCGATGTCAGGACGTCCGCGGTTGTTGGGGCTTGCTGAGGAAATGCAGATGGCTTCCAGTCAGGACAAAGATTAGCTCGGCTCAACGTCCACTCTGAAGGTCTGTACATTTGTTTTTTGAGGATCTGTCGGCTGCATTGCTGGCTCCTGGCTACTTATCTGCTGGATGGTGTTCGCCATCTTGGTCACAAGGGTCCTTGGCACATCTCTATGGCAGCATATCTGCGTTGTGGTGTACGCCGCCGGCTGGATACCAGTCTCACTGCTTCGTAGAGGCCGACTGCCGCCGAACGATGGGTGGATGTGTGATATCGCATGTGTCGCCGAAAAAGATGTTCAACCCGTAGTCTCGGTGATGTCGGCTCGAGGTCGGCTCGGGAGCTTCCGTGCCGAGCCGAGGTCTCTCTTCCTAGTCCTCTTCTTCAAACACCTCGACATCTTCACCAACCATCAAACATCACCCGAAGTCTCCGAAGACTATCGTTGCAGCTCTCGCCGGCCTCAATGCATCAGAATTGCTGACCAGCATCTCCGCGATAGCCACTCCGCTGCCGCCGGGACTGGAAATGAAGGAAGACGGAATTGTGCCATCGAAGTCTAGAGAAGGCTGATATCGCACTCCTTAGTACACCGCGATAGACTTTCAGTGCTATGTCATGGGTCGCGAAACAGAGCCATCGATCACAGATCGCTTCACAGCTTGGACGGATAGGTCCTATCCAATGGATCGGGCTCTCGAGAACTGACCGTTCTGAACTCTGCCTGAGGTTCGATAACGGACCTCTCCCGCAGCGCAGAAGGTCTTGCTACAAGTTCAACGCAGTCTTGGATGCTCCCTAGTACCACTTTGCCACTGTTCAGTATCTCTGGAGGCTTCATGGAGAAGGAAAATATGAGAACACAAAACGCTGGTCCACGAGGTGGCGATCGCGGATGCCGATCACCCAGTAGCAATACGGATGATCCGGTACTGCATGAGAGGTCCTGCTTTTCAAAGCCCTACCACGAATGTCAAGATCTCGAAAGCAATAAGTTCTGTTCATTTCCAGGATTGCGGGCGAACTCCAAGATGTCAAGAGACTCTGACATGTCAGTCAGCTAAGGGCCAAGTTTCAAAGTAGGTGAGACGAATCACGTACCGCGAATCCGCAAACCATAACCATGCGCCGTAGCGAAAGGATACTCTACCATTGGCTGACTGCCTATTTTTGAGACACTGACGAGATGCTCCGGCGTGCTATTTCCATCTCCATGGCTGCGGTTGTGCCAGCAGCATGCTGCAACCTTGGCTCGATAGGCAATGTTAATTCGGTTCCTTCCTGCAATGGCAATCCTCCATATTCTGTCTTGCCGCAGTATCTACGCTCGTTCGGACTCTCGCCTGTCGCTGACCCATTGGAATTCCGACAACAACATGCCTTCTCCTCCAAAGCTCAAGCGGCTCTCGCCATTCGAATCCGCCTTCCGTACACCCCCGCCAACATATCGAGCTGAGAATCCAGGCGTCGAGGTACCTCCACTTCGAAGGCCGCGTTCTGCAGCTTTCAAGACGAATGAGGACCTCAGCTACATGGGTACTAGCAGCCTTTTGGAGCATAGCGACGACGATTGCAGTACAAGAGCTATACGTTTCAGCGTCCACTCTGAGGGAGCCACGATACCAATCGATGATAGGAGGAGAGCTTTCATCACAAGTGCTCTGTGTCTGACAAGCTTCTTGACTGGTCTAGAGCTGGCGCTCACCAGTACCATCCTGCCAGCCATCGAGGACGATATATCGGTATCTACGACACAATACTCATGGATTGGAGCTGCGCAAATACTGGCCGGAGTGTGTCTATTGCCGCTGTGGCAGACGATCTCTGACATATTCGGGCGCAAGTGGATACTCTCCGCGGGACTTTCTTCATACATTGCTGGCTGTTTGATATCGGCTCTAGCTCAGTTCGCACATCAGCTCATCCTCGGCCAAGCAATCCGAGGCATCGGAATGTACTGTTTTTACGAGCTCGGAAACGCTGCCCTGACCGACGTCACACCTGCAGCTCAAAAGCGACAGTCGCAAGCCGTGACTTTGGCCTGCGTGTGCATGGGAGCCTCCGTGTCTACCATACTAGGAGGCTTGCTCTCCAACTATGCCGGCTGGAGATGTAATTTCTACTTCTGCATCGCGATAGCGGCGCCTTGTCTTCTGGTGATGTTGGTGTACTTTCCGGCTTCGATTCCAGCTCAGCGCTCTAGCAAGAGAAATATCCTATCCATGGACTTTCTTGGTGCTTCTTTGGCTGGTAGTGGCGTGATTCTAGTGTCACTCGGCTTGCAGCTTGGCGGGATAACCTTCGGCTGGAGCTCTGGAAACACTATAGGATTTCTCACAGTTGGACTAGCGTGTTTGTTCGGGTTTCTCGTTCAGCAGTATTTCACATGGCAACCAATATTGCAGTACAGTCTCTTCAAAGACCTTACCACGGCTTCGGCTATCCTGGTCAGCTTTACCCATGGATTTACGACTTTGGCCTGCTTCTACTACCTTCCTCTCTATTTTCACCTGGCTCTGGCTGCTAGTTACATACAGATTGGGCTATGGCTCTCTGCGACCGCGATACCATCTGGAATTTTTGCGTTTGGCACAGCCGCGGCTATCAAGAACACAGGTCATCATCGCCTGATCATCTTCATTAGCACGGCTGCACTGACCATGGCCTGTGGATTCTTCATTATGTATGCGTCTGACGACCGGGACTGGATTAGGCTGATTGTCTTCCAATTGATGATTTCGATTGGCATTGGTAGCCTCTTTCCTGCCCTTCGAATCATCATGCACAATGCCGTTCCTTCCCCTCTTGTAGCGAGCTCTGCAGCCATGTTGGAATTTGTTCGAGGGTTTGGGTCTGTTTTGGGCATCGTCGCTGGCCAGGTGCTGCTTCAAAACAAAATCAGAGACCGTTCTGGTGAACTCCGCCGGGCCCACGTACCCGAACATCGAATGGACAACCTCTCTACGGACTGGAGGTCGTTTAGCGATACTATGCGGCTTACCCCAGAGAAGCAAGGTCTTCTCAAGGAGGTATTTACGGAATCCTTGAGCAAAGTCTGGATCATGTGCACTGTCGTTGCGGCTGTTGGGTTTCTCGCTGGATTCTTGATCCTGAAAACACGGCCTGACCAGCAACCGACGATGCTCGCTACTACGGACCATCACGAGATGCATGGGAGCAATAGCGATAAAGATATCGATCTTTTGGTTCCGAACAGTGCCTTTGAAGCCTGAGCTTCCCATTCGTGACCAACGTGGCTAGCCGCAGAGCACAGACGGAGGAATATTACTACGGCGGCCCATGTCACTATCTCGGACATTGACAGCATGACGGAAAACCCTCGGGAGGGAATATATCAATATTGCTTATTGCCGTTTATCGCATCAGCATTCCTCTCTTCATTTACTTCTCAACGACCTTCCAGGATGGTGGACTTCGATGCCGTTCGGACGATGAACGCCTCTCTCATCCAGTCGAGATCATTGACGGCAGCCTTCCCTGGTGGAAAAAGTGGTATTGGAGAGTACACCATTTGTGCACTCGCCAAACATCATGGCTCAACTGCTCAAGACCTTCGCGTTTATATTGTCGGACGGAACGAAGAAGCATCAGCCAAAGCCATGGCAGATGCTCGGAGATTTGCCCGGCCGGAGAGTTCCTCTTTCGCAGAGCAAAAGATTTATCGCAGCTCGGATTTCACAGGATTGGTGATGACCCCCGCGTTATACAAAGTTTCCAACGAACGGTGGCTCAAACTTTCGATTCGAATTCTTGGACCAGTGTTGAAGTTTTCCGTTGCCACTGGCCACGAGGAGATTGGTGAAAGTATGTTGTCCCTGGCTTCGAAGCGGTTCCCGGCTCGCGGGCAGGAGAGTCCTCACGGGGAGAGAACGATGAGTATTGGTGGCATCAAAGGTGGAAGAGCTTACTCGGTCCTTTATAAATTCAGGTCGATGACGTCGGAAAGGTCTACTGTGAATTGCGTGTGGTAAATTTTGGAGAGCAGGTCTGCCAATATACGGACGAAGTCTTTGGAGATATTGTAAGTTGGGCCCCTCAGATGATGTTGAAAAGAAGGTCGGCTCGCGAATGGAAGCCTCGACGACATTCAGATGGTATCAATGCTGGCTCAGGAACATCTCCTCGAATGTCGCTCTGTGTTGACGCTGTGGCGTTTGGAGTGTGGTACTTCATCCGGCTGTCTGGTTTCCGCGAATGGTATGTCTGGGTTGGGAGTCGCAGCCATTAATGCTAATCAGCTTGTCATACTGAAGAATCTCGGACTTTGTTTTGTTTTGTACGGATCGTGTCTCGTTCCTCTTAATTTTTCTCTTGACAGCTGAGCACTTATCGGTGGGAAGTGTTCTAATATAAGGCGCAGGGGATCATTATATACATGACTAACTATTTAAGAACCTAAAATAAGTGGGATGAGTTTCCTCTCTGTAGGTGCTGAGGCACTAGACCCTTTATTAATTAAAGGTAGGAACCCATGGCCATAACAAAAAGAACTATGGTGTCCTAAACTATATTTACGAGACAGTAGTAGCCGGGGTACCTCGCATGGATACAAAAGCTATTTAATATAACTTGGCGGTGGCAAGAAAACTCGCGAATCGCTGGAAGTTGGAACGCAACCGTCATCTTTCCGACTCCAAATATGCAACTCCTTTACGCTGTTCTTGCTCTGACGACAAGCTGTCTGGCAGCAAGCCATACCAGCGCTCCTGCAGGTGCTTTGATTGTTGGCAGTGGAGGCTATGGCACGATCCAGGCTGCTGTAAACGCCCTCTCGTCGGCGACTGAAAGTGCTCAAACGATCTTCATCAAACCTGGCACTTACAAAGAGCTGGTCGCAATCAAGAAACTGGCTGGACCATTGACGATTTATGGATACACTGAGGATACGAGCTCCTATTCTGCAAACCGAGTCATTATCACGGCTGCAAACAGCGCAGCCTCAGCTGGGGGCGATGATGCTTCAGGTACATTGAGAGTGGAGACTAGCAAAGGCTTTAAGATGTACAACATCAATGTCGTGAACTCCTATGGTCCAGGCTCACAAGCAATTGCGGTGTCTGCGAATGCTGATGTAAGTCTCTTCTCAATCCTCACCACATCTGGCCTTCAGTTGACTCTCGCTTTCGCTTGTAGAATCAAGGCTACTACGCTTGTTCCTTCACGGGCTATCAGGATACCCTGCGCGCCGCGAAAGGCCATCAGCTCTACGCCAAATGCTACATCGAAGGTGCCATCGATTTCATCTTTGGCAAGACTGCATCCGCCTGGTTCGATTCTTGCGATATTGGTGTCCTTCCCCAGTCGTCTCAAGGCGCCATCACCGCTTCTGGCCGCTCGTCCGCCGATTCCAGTTACTATGTTTTCAACAAAGCCACCATAGCTGCAGCGCACGGACAATCCGTTGCCGCTGGGACTTATTATCTGGGACGGCCATGGGGCGACTATGCCCGCGTTGCGTTCCAGTACTCGAGTATGTCCAGTGTGGTCAATGCGGCTGGGTGGCAAGTCTGGGATTCGGGCGATGAGAGGACGGGCCATGTTATGTTGGCGGAATACCGGAATACTGGCACCGGAGCGAAAGGGCAGAGGGCCAGGTTTGCAACTACGCTGAGTAGAGCGTTGGTCATCGGCGAAATCCTGGGCGGTGGGTATGCTAGCGCCGTTTATGTCGATACGTCGTATCTTTAATTTGGAAGCTCGCCTCGTGGTCACAGGTCGGCTGTAGGGCTGTGAGACGAGAGCACTGTACTTTGAATTGGACAGTACTCTAACAGTCAGCTTATTGATCGAGTCAGAGCTCTACTCCTCACTTACGTTGTCCCGACTTCTATCCACATGACGGTACCCTTGGTAATATCGACAATAACGGTTGCCCCTATGACATACGCATTGAGGTTCAAGGAGGCTGTTCCGACGAGAGAGTCTGATAAGAGATAATCTTGCAATGACATGAATGTCTCGAATTCCCTCTTCTCAGTAAGCACCGTGATAAGGAAATAATCCTTATACTAGCTATCACATAAGAAACAAAGTAAGAAGCCTGTTTAGAATGCTGTAGTCAAAGGTTTTGCTTGTCTCTAATTCCGCTCTAAGATTCGTCTGAATTCGACAGGCTTAGATAATCGTCCTATGATACTGCCCTCTTGGGACTAGCCTCAAACCTTCCGCGGTTGAGATGAATAACTGTCAAGCACTGTGTAGAGCAATGAGGACCGTCCAACTCTAAACCTTCCACGACTGTATAAAGTGGCTTTGATATGTCTGGTCGTAATACAGCATACATTACCCTCGCTCCAACCACGCCGGGATTTACCCGACTCCCAGCCTAGCACACGCACGGAGCACGCCAAATTCTTTGCAGACTTCACTACTCGCTACTTCCAAGCTATATAATTTAGCTAACAACACTTTATCTTTCATGTCAAGGCGAGATGGCCGAGCGGTCTAAGGCGCCGTCTTAAGGTTCTCTGTATACCTTACAGCTGATCCGGCGGTCCGAAAGGGCGTGGGTTCGAATCCCACTCTCGTCACTATCGACAGTATCTTGTTTTTTTTTTTTGCCTAATTGGAAGAACTTCTCACCAATTCTGTCTTAGGCTCGCCTGAATTGTGGTTCTAGACCTAGTTCTGTGACTCCTTTTTCTGTCTCGTCACGGCTTTTGATTGGAAGAGCATATGCTCTACGGATAGAGGTGCGTTTTCTATCAAGTTGCAATTGGACAAAATGGACATCGTATATAGCTATTTGCAGCTTTGCAACCACTGCCGTGCAGCGGCTGAGTCTTTCCCAGTTCACGATTGGAGTACAGGAGCAAATGACTGACAATAAATTGTCCTCGACCTCACCATCTACCATTCTATCCGATGACGGCACTCGCTAGGAGGCTCAGATTTTCTTCAACATGCGAACTGCCGTCCTCTTCTCTCCTAATCCTTTCCAAAATCCTTCCAATCCCAGCCTCCACCATTCCCGACGCCTAGCTCCCTCGTACTTCGTCAAATCTAGGCAGACGCCGAAAACTCCTTTGTAAGAAATAGTCGAGACTGGCTTGTTACTAGATACTCCGCAAGGCAAAAGGGGGAGCGGATCTCCAGCAAACGCCTCAAGAGCACATTTCCATGTCGAATGAAGCAACACCCCACAAGTCTTCGTTAGTGATTCGGTTTCGATTGCACATACGTACTCAGTGCGGGGGTACGGGCGGATTGAGATTTGAGGACTGTTGGTTGATCAGCCGATATAAGTACTGTTGAGACACAACTCCCCCCTTCCCCCTTCCCCTTCCCCTATGAATCATGCAAGCCAAGAAATGCCAAGCCTTTTCACATGGGAAAATCCGCGTGCGGGTGGGGTCATAGGTTCTTTGCAATGCACCGCCAGCGATGGATGTACCATCTGTGAGGAAATACAGTTTTCGTCCCCTTCATTCATTCATTAGAAAAAATCTGCCTGGTTTTAAATTTCTCAATCCAATCAATCAATCTGAATAGCCCTCTCCACCGTCCGTCCCTTTCCATTCCTCTCCTCCCAGCCGGGAATTCGAACCACAATCGCAGCACTGCTGTATTTCACTTTTAATTCCGCTTGGTTGCCGTACTACATGGACGAAAAAATGAATCAAAATCAGCGTCTTCGAAATCTCACGAAATACGAAATCGAAGAGAAAGGGTAAGGGATAAGGAGTACTAACCGCCAAACACGCCTTCCGCATCTCCCTCCCAGCGGCGCCACATCCTTCATTCAACCAGACCACACTCCCCTGAAACCGCTTCCGGACTTTAACATCCCACGCCTCCGTGTACGGGTTGGGAGTCATGCCCCCTTCAAGGAGCTTTCCATGCTCGTCCTCTTCCAAGTCATCTTCGACCTCATCAGAATCGGCGTCGTCTTCTTCGTAGCCCGGATTGAAATCCGTTTCGAGCGCTTCGAGGAGGTTTCCTTTTTGAAGGCGATAGCTCTGGTCCGTGAAGGGGTAGGGCGTGAGCATGGTGGGGAGATTGGCGGCGGCGAGGGAGATGTAGACGGCCATGTCGATGCCCTTGAGCATTTTGGGGACGAATTTGTGTTTATGGGGGTGCGTGTGGGGATAGGAGTGGGCGAGGTGGAAACCGAGGTGGCCGCCTTGGGGCATGAAGTGCTGGGAGGAGAGGCTTTGGGTGAGGTGGTTGTGGAAGGGGAGGTTTTCGGGTTGCAGGCTGAGGGGTTTGGGGCTGGTGAGCAGGCCTGTGCCCGGGGAGAGGAAGAGGTTGTAGGTGAGGGTGATGCGATGGCCCGACGTGACGGGGAGGACTTCGTGTTCGATGTCGCTGTAGAAAGCGGCCCAGTGGATTGCGGGTTCATCGGAGGGGGAGGGGGTTGTCCAATCGTAGAGGATTTGGTGGCCTTGATGGCGGACGGCGAGCTCGCCGCCTAGACGCATCACAGTGTCAGCCTTTTCACGTATATCTTTTGGAAAACAGCCAACCTTCGAAAGCCACAGGCAAGCACACCACCAAACTCCCAATCTGCTCCTGACTCCTCGGCGTATCGACATGCTTCTTGAACATCCCACTCGGCCCTGAGTAGACATTCAACTTGTAGAGCTCTGCTCTGAGACCCCTGAAGAAGGCTTTTTCCTCCCAAGCTGCACGCAATCTCCTTGCCGCCTCCATCTTCCTCCTCAGGATAAACTGCTCCGCATGACAGTGAAATTCTGTCCAAGTCCATGGCCGCATGTACCCGTCAGGAATGGGCAGACCTAAACTCTCCAATGCTTCCACCACTCTAGTGAGAGGAATGGCGAATTCATCCCTTGGTGCGAAACGCCAGAATGCTTCACAGATTTGCTCTCTTTCTGCTGCGGTCATGATCACTTCGGTCGGAGGTGCGGGTCGATCTAGATCGCATGAAATATCCGGGACCAGCATCTGCGTGACAACATCCATGATGCCGGCCTCGTAGGGGCAGAAGTCGGACATGAAGTTTTCCGTGGACATGGCTCCAGCACGACGATAACTCTCATCATAGACGTCCTTCCCCTTTCGGCCAAACGTCGCGGGCTGACAGTCTGAAACGAGATGTTGTAGAGTTCCTTCGCTATGGCCGGGAAAGCTGACGAGTCGACCCATCCCGTCAGCTCCCCATCGAATGGTGATGGGTTTCGTCGTAATTCTCTGTTCGTGGACTTTGGCATGGGTTCTTGGTGTCAAATTCCCGGCCTCGTCACGGGTTGAAGTCAGAACCATGGGAATCTTTCCTCCACAGGTAAAAGTCGCTTCCCGACTCTCGACATCGAGGGTTTCGCTCAAACTACGTAAGATGTCTTTCTCTTCAGGAGAAGAAGGTCCTCGACGGGGAGGCAGACGGGGAGGCAGGTGAGGATGCGGTGAGTCGTCTTCCATTTCCTCATCGTCGTCCTCGTCCGACTCATCGCGTGCGCCGAAGTATCGTTCTTCGTTCACGATGTTGTAGCTTGCATGCAGGGGAGCAGCAGCAGCTCGAGCAGGTGGCTGAGGGTGTAGGCTCTGAAGACTGATGTTGTTCGTGTTGCTTGGCATGCGGGTGAACAAGTCGCCAAAGGGGTCGGCCATGTTTGAGTGAGGTGTCAGTACCGAGAAAGTATCGGATCGAGTAGACGATTGATAGACGTGCCTGCAACATTCAGCACTTTCATTCTCTTTTGAATGCTCATCGTGAATGCCCCTCTCGCGATCATTGTGCGACTGAAAGGCCACTCGTGTAACATGACCCGGCCGTGAGCGCCAATGTCTGGCTCCGAAGCCTAAGCAGGCAAGATATTGCCGGCATCAAAGCATTGGCTGCAAGGACTCATTGGCGTTGTGGCCTAGAGATGCCACCATCCAGGTAGTTGCCTAGAAGCTGCACAACTGCGACTATCCCTTGCGAGACGCAAGCAGGCGGAAATTGGAAAAACAGCTGAAGTGTCAACATATCGCATTCAGAAATGTATCGAAGAGACAATGGAATCGCCGCCCAGCCATCATTTGCCCTCGTATATCGTTGATTGAAGTGGTGTTTGTTAGTGAAATTTAGACTTTCGGGATGATGAAAACGAAAAACTTGCACAACTTGAGGCCGACAAGATCACGTGAAGGGCAGACCATGACGGACTTAGGCCTCACCCTCTTCGCCCATGCCAACAGTACCGACGCCGTCGGTGCGGTTCTCGCTACTCCGCTCCTCCGACTCCTTCTCGCGCTTGAGGTTGAGCGCGGCATCCAGCGTCTTGACGTCCGACTTTTCGGTGATGAGTTCCTTCAACCACTTGTTCTCCATCTCCAACTGTTGCACCTTGCCCTCGAGCAGGGAGACCTTGTCCGACATGTCCTTGGCCTGCTTCTCGAGCGCCTGTTCCCTCTGCTTCTTCTTGACTCTGAAGCGCGCCGAGGCGGCGGTGTTTCGACGACGCTTGTCTTCTTCGGCCGCGAGGCGGGAGGCCTCCTCGAGGTCGGCGGCGCTCTGCATGGCGACGGAAGCCTTGCGCTTGTCACCAGTCTGCGGAGACTGGGAGAAGTGCTGCGACTGTGGAGACTGAGAGAAGTGCTGCGGCTGCGGTGGGTAGCGGCCTTGGAGGGCGGTGGGAGAAGGAGTGCCATTTATGGGCGAGGTCGCGTTGGTACCGGGGAAGGATTGGAAGTCGTTGAAGCCGAAGTGTGCTCCTGTACCATTCAGTGAGCCGTGAGTACTCTTCCATATGCGACGTGCACTCCCGTCGCAATCATGACGTTTCTTACCATTCTTGGCATTGTTTCCCTCCTCGAATTGCGGCTGGAATGCGTCGAGATCGAAGAAGTCGGTGTTGGTCAACAGATCCAGGTTGCTGTCGAGGCCGGAGAAGTCGTCCTGCTGGAGATCCTGCGGACCGGGGATCTGGTTGAGGTTGTGGAGGTATTGCGACACGTTGGGTGCGCGGCGAGCGTGGAAGCCCGACATGGCGGCGGTTGGTGCGACTCGAGGTGAAACTCGGTCGGAGGCGAGGACGGTGTCGCGAGCGGGGTGGAGAGGGAGTGGTGGTGGTGGTGGTGGTGTTGGTGGCAGTGGTGGTAATATGACGGTGGTCTTTGACGGGTGGTGTCTTTGTCTCGCTAATTGGGCGGTGGCGTCTCCGTCATGCAGTGGGTGCCTGTGGTGTACTCATCAGAGGGTACTCATCACACATGGGAGGGTCCAGGTCGCTCGAGTCGAAATGGGCGGTCGGGTCGGCAGGGACGATAATATCAGCAGTGAGAAGGCGAGTGTGTGGGTGGGGGCGAGTTGACGATGATAGTGCAGTGGGCGGGAGGGGCCGTCAGCACCAGCGGCCGCGCTTTGTGCTTTGAAATCCGGAATCAGGTGGAGGGTGGGGCCATTTCTCGGTTCATCGCTGGCCAATCATCCGTCGGCTACTGCCGGCAACACCCATCAATCATCTGCCCGTATCCTCTCGTCAATCTCGTCAATCTCGTCAATCCCGTCAATCAATCAATCAATCAATCGTCGCCGCGCTTCATACCACGTGCAAATTCTCATCCAACTGCTTCTGTGCTATGTTAAATGGTATGCAGCATCACGAGGCGCAAAGTGGTGCATCAAAACTCAGTAGCAATGAGGTAGACAGACACCCGACGTCATGGGGAGCGATGAGCCAGCCAGCTCGGCCTCATCAGGCCGACGATGCGACGGTCTGTCTCTATTGGTCCGTATCGCCGGCGCTTCACTGTTACTGTAGGCGTATTATCCAAAAGCAAAGGGTAACAGCGACACTTCCCCAGAGACTAGACCGAGACGAGAGAAAGTCTTTCCTTTCTTCGCCGGATACCGCGGCTAAAAAGTCCTCCCTCCCACGCGATTCCTACCAGAAGGAAGAGCAATCCTTGTTGTTCAGTTGGACCACCTGGCGCTGCGGTATTATTGTTATTATAGCAGAGACAAAGACGACGGCCTTTCTGCGCCCCCACTACTGCTCCCCGGCCCTGTCTGGTTCCTTTCATTAGACGCCTTCGGTGGCTGTCCAGTGCTTGGAATGAGACTTCTCCCATCAGCATTCTCTGGCCGAGCAGTCTATCCGCCTTCACTGATCAAAGCGGTCCTTTGGATGCATGCCCAGCCGCCTGTGAGTGTTCAGCGGCCGATGGAGGACCTCTCCGTCCCAACAAACACGGCATTCGACCACCAGCTCGCGCCATCGGAATCCCCGGTCCTGCTTTGCGACCACCCGCGGCTCCATACCTCACCTACCCATTCTGGCACTCAACGCCGCGTTGTATTCCTCCAATAATCGACTGCACGCCGAGCCCTCGTATACTAATACTTTCTCACACGAGAGCATTTGCGTCGCCCGTGATTGCTCAGTCGACTTCGTGGAGCCGACAGTCCTGTATCGCAACGCCGCTGGGCATCGGCTGCCGGATCTAGAACCACACTACAGACGCCGGAACGGCCATTTCCTCGTCGGCGACAGCACAGGCGAGGCCTGGAAAGATGGTAAAAGCAACATCTCGCTCCACCAACCTTGCACCCTCGTCCTCAACCTGCAGATCCGCCTCGCGGCACTGCCTGCAGCTATACCACACCCAGTCCACTCTCCCTCCCAGGACGTCCAACCATCCACGCAGCTGCAATGCAACCTCACACACATCCTGCAAGTCTTGTATCAATGTACCATGCCACTGTGCGTCTGCTTGATCGAAGAGCTCCAAATGGTCGTGTAGAACGAGGCGGAGATCAGCGGCCACTTCCCTGGCGCATGGCCTCAACTCAGACTCCAGGAAGTCTCCATCGCGAAGCTGAGCTGCTGCAGCTTCTCGAAGCAGGACGCGCGCCTCGGTATGTCCTAGAAGCGGTGCAGCGTACTTCTGGAACGGGCTGTCCTCCCTCAGCAACGCGAGCGTCGATTCCCAACCTACACTTGCTCCGTCCAAGACCTCATCGGCGAGGAAGGCTGCAATGAGGCTCTGGAGGAAGGCGCTTGCGGGCAAACGACGTTTCGATTTCAGATACGATACGGTCGATTTCCAGTCTGTCCCGCCGAGGGACTTGCCATAGAGCGCTCTGAGGTCTGCACTCGGGCGGAGAACGACGTCTGCTGATTTCGACGGGTCTAGGTCGATGAGTGTGAAGAACGCAGCAACGGCGGATTCGATTCTCTGCTTCAGCTCCTGCACCCAGCACCCAATGTCTTCGCCGCGAGGCAGATTCAACTGCAGCTGCAGCCGTGAGGTCGCATCATCATCATCGCCACCCTCCGAGATCCTCATTTCTAACCGAGCATTCGAGCCATCAACAGCTGGTGCCGTACTACCACTCGGATGACTAAAGCTGGACCTCCGTCTCCTCCTCGCCTTTCGCCGCTGTTCTGAAGAGGTCTGTGCTTCTATAACCTGATCGTCACCTTCGCCGCCGGCGTCGGTTATAAGTTGAATATAGGACAGCTTCCGCTTGGACGTCTTGATCTGTGCGGTGCTGCTCAGCTGCGAGTGGCTGTCGATTGAGACGACGCTTCTGCGGTCTTCAGATGCTCGGGACGTATTGCTGACCTCGACAGCCGCCGTCTCTCTTCCCCCTGGTGAAGGAGAGGTACTGCTATGCCTCCGTGATGCCTGCGAAACGGACGCACTGGACTGCGGTATAAAGCGAAGATCGGCGTGGTCTTGGACTACCTCTGGCATTCCCTTCAAGTAGGTACTCGTCTCTTCCTCCGCCGCGGCGACACGACAAACCCTAGTCCTCGAAACAGGTACCGCCGAAGACTCTTTCCCCCCTATCCGCCTCGCTCTTGTCGTCCTTCTCAATTTCCTCCTCCCAACAGCAACAGGCTCATACTCCCCATCACTCGAATGTTCATCCTCCAGAATAGCCCTCAACTTCCTCTCTTCTTCCACATCCACCGGCTCGCCCGTCCCATCGTCATCATCCTCTTCCTCTTCTTCGTCTTCTCCTCCACTCTCCAACCCTCCCCCAGCAGCAGCCTCCTCAACACCCCTCACAAACCCCTCCATCAACACCCCCCGTCCCTTCGCAAACAACTCATCGATCGGCTTCTTTCCCGGTGTCACTTCTACTCCGGGGGCTTTGCAATTTCGCATTATGGCTACCAGAGCGGCGCGCAGGGATTTCGCGTCGTGGGACGTGTGGCCGTAGGTGGGGGAGTAGTAGGGGAAGTTGTGTTGTCGGGTGAGGGTCGTTAGGTAGGCTGTTTGGGCTTGGCGGGTTGTCAGGGTGGAGGGGTGGGTGTCGATGTGCCGGAGGAGGAGGGAGAGGGGGTGCGCGAGGGCGTGGGCGGTGGTGGTGGTGGCGGGCATGGTGGTTGGTTGGTTGGGTTGGGTTGTTGTCTGTCAGATGAAGGGGTTTTTGCATGCATGCATGTATGGTTGGAGGGGGAGAGGAAGGTGTAGGAAGTCCATGGTACCGGAAGAAGGAATGTTTGCTACTTTCTTTTTTTTTTAATTTTGATTGATGGTCGTGGATGTGTGGGAGGGACAATGCATATCCACGGTCCAAATTGACGGCTCTTTCAGGTGGTGAAAGAAAATTCTCTCCTATCCTCTTCAGCCGCCATCCCATCCCGATCCTCTTTCCGAGCATCTTCGTATCGCCGTCACACGCAATGCGTAGCGAGCGAGTAATCCTCACTGTGAGCATCTTCACCTTTTGTCACCACTAGGCCGCCACTGTTGCGTGCACTTCGTTCTCACACTGATATCAGGGTGCGTTGTGCGTGCTCTCACGAGCGTTCATGACTTACTTACCAATCACCAAGTCGATGGTGCTTGGACCTCGTTCTCGCCCTCGCGGATGAGAAATGCTTGCATGCTTCTGGTGCATCCATCTGTCAACCACCCAGTCCATAGTGTTCGGCTTTTGGTCTACAGATGGGTGCACTCTTGAGCATCCATGGTCTGTCATGCTCCCATACTTGGGTGCGAGCGTGTTCTTCAACGCGGCGGAATGTCAGTGCCGTGATGCATGCTCTTGGAGCATCCATCTGTCAACCACCTAATTAACAGTGCTTGACCTTTGTTCTACAGATGGGTGCTCTTGTGAGCGTCCGTCATCTGTTATGCTCCAACATTTAAGTGCGAGCCTGATCTTGAACACGGCGGGATGTCAGTGACATCTCCACTGCCTTGTTCACGTGAATGCGAAGAGCTCAGCCACTCTCCAACTGAAGGATCCAATACCGAATATCGCCAGGTGCAATGCCACGTCGCTGATGTTCTGGTAGAGAAACCATCAGTGGCCGATAGTCTCTCGTCGAGTACACACAAGGTAGCCCTTTTGAGATACAGTAATCACATGTGTGGAGCTGTGTCTCTGTAGTCGTTTGACCATGGACACGTTGCTGCGAGCAAGTGGACTGCACCTTCATTGGTTTGGCAGTCAAGCGGCCCCAGTGTATGTCGCTCTGGCAGAATTTCGCGAAGCCAGGCGCCAGTTGAGCCTTGAGACTCTCGGAAAGCTCTTCTCCCGATCGCCTCCCCCCTGGCGCAGACATGTCGACAAAGTCGATCCGAGACCATAGATCTGCGATCTGATGTGCGGAAGCTCCAGCCGCTTTGGCCGTTTTTGATGCTGGTGTCTTCTTCTTGGGCGGTGGCTGCCTCTGCTTCGCCTGGGGTACCTGCGCTACTTCCAACCCTAGCGTGGGGTATGATGACCGATAATCAAACGAAGATGTCGTCGGCGGAGGCATTGTGAACGAAGACCCAACACGCTCCTGAGGTCTCTGACTTCGTCCAACCGACCCACACGAAAGAATATGTCTGAGTGGAGGAGGCACACTCTGTTGGCTCACAGGTCCTCTTCTCTCTTCCGCATCGTTCGAGTCGATCTCGCTCGAGCTCGCGATCTCCACATCAAGCAGGTCAATGACTTCGACCTTCTCAGCGACCTGATTGGTGTCGACACGCTGTTCCACTTCAGCGGTGTGGACAGCTCGAGGTCGTCCCGCTGTCTGGCTCACGTGAGTTGTCTCTGTCATCTTAGCAGCATCATCCTCATCGGACACGTTTGGGGAGTGTGTTCGTGGCTTCTTTGCTGGATAGCTTGGGGGCGTACGTGGACGATTTCTTGGCTGCGCCAACAGCGACGGTTGCAGGGAACCTGGAAGTGTCGCGCTATGGTTCATACGCATGGAAGGGCGCTTGAGGAGGTGGGGTGTCTCGTATGGCATCGCTCGCCCTTTGAGCTCAGATAGTTCCCCTTCCAACTTCCTGATCTTCTTCGCGTACGCTGAGAGTCGTTTATGACTTGATGCGAGCTGTTGATCATTCTCCATGATTGTGGTTTGAAGGTCGAAAATTATGGCCTTCTCTTGATCATTCTGCTTCAACTTGGCTTCGAGCTCAGCAATCCTCGTTGCGTTCTTCTGGTGTCTTGTCTTGGCGGCATTCAGTTCTGCTGCCTGCTTGGAAATCTTTGACTCCATCGACTCGAGCTGTGGAATCGTCTGCATCATGGTGGCTTGAAGATGGCGAATCGTACCCGGGTCTCCTTGGTGCCTGGCCTCATCGACGGTCCTCTGCTGCGCAAGACGTCTGCGCGTCGAGTCAAGCTCTTGAATTTTCCGATCCAGGTCGGCTCCACGCTGAGCAATATTCCTCTCGTCCGGCCTGTGTATTATCTCGTCCCTCTGGCGAAGACTGCGAGCCCCAAGGCGGACGGCTTCCGCTTCTCGGATGTCCCGTTCCAATGCTGAAAATTCCTCCTCAGCCACGTTCTCGCTGTTGGAGAAATTATCTGGAGCAGGCCGCAGATCAGGTCCACGACGACTGACATATGGCCTGTTGTTTCCGAGACTCGTTGGTCTGAACGTACTCGTGTCCGCAGGTGCTTGGCTTATGCCGGCCATCGGGTCGTTGTTTGTGTTGTATCGTTGTTGCGTGCCTTGTGGTCCTCCACGAGATCGGGGCTCTGGCGGAATGCCGGCCTCTGTCGACCACTTCCGCATCTTTTAGATGTCGATACAAAGATGCGGGGAATTATAGAGGAGAGGAGGAGGGGAAGGGAGAAAGAAATGAGAGTGCAAAGAAAAGCAGGGCACAGAGGGAGAGGTGGGAAGGAACGGGACTGGGTCGTACTTTCCTCTGATATCTGTTCTGCTTAATGAGACGAGGCAGCGACGCTCGACCTACATTAACCTACGTTATACACCGCGTTATTGCTCTGCGAAGTCCCGTCAGGCAGGCACGGAGCTTTTCGTCGCCTCCTGTTATGTCGGATACTGCGCGCTTCGAGTCGACATTAGACAGTTCGATACATGCATTGATCTTCGTCGTGAAGATACGTGCTCTGAAGTCGCCCCACCTCACGCTCTTGTCGTCCCGGTTCGGCCCGTCGTCCCACTTACCGGTGCACGGGCATTCCCGTGCGTCAGCCCAAAGTCGACGCTGGTCCGCCATCTTGCGCGCATCAGTGAACAACATCAGTGATCAACATCAGTGATACTGATGATACTGGAGCCCGAATCGGAGCAAGCGCACCTCGACTATGATGATGGGGCCGGGCTTCCGAGGCAACGTCCTAATTTTTGCTAGCCCTCGTGCGCGTGGTTGATGGGGCAGTGAAGATGGCATCTGCCACATACGAATAGGCGGCAAAGGCACGATGGTCAGGTTGAGGGACTTGGAAATGAATCTGAATCCATGAGTCTTCAATGCTGTCCGGGAGCCGTGGTGGATGGAGTCGTCAATGTCGTGATGTCGGTGATGTCTCAAGGAAGCAGCGGCCACATCCGAACGTGGGTCAGCTAGCCTCGTGAAGCAACTTCACCTCCTCCTGAGTATTCACTAAGCCGGCAATACCGCGTCTACACGCCCTGTGCAACCTCTGAGACAATAGGTATAGAACCTGCGAGCCGGATATGCCCTCCAGAAGGAGCGCGAGCCATGCAAGAGACGCGTCACGGAAATGAATCTCGGGCGCGGCCTGGTAACACGAGCAGGACCACGGACAGAGAGAATGGGAAAAAGCTGGGAAACGCTGGAAGGATAGACTGGGTCATACATGCTACTGTATTTGAATAGAGCGCTCGATTGGAAGCTTTGGCGGAGCGAGAACAGGTTGGTGAAGCAGGTAGGGAAGATGGAGACGTCGAATGTGGAGCTGGGAGGTGTCCAACGTCTGCCCTCCATTTCCAACGTACCGAAAAGAAGTACAGCCTAAAGCTATGCTCGCCGTAATGATAGATCCAAGTATTCCCTTGAACAAAGAGAGCCTCTCCTCGGCTGGAGAATGTTCGGAGGATTGCTGGATGTGTTCTGACGAAATTGCGAGACACAGCAATCATGTGTTGTAATGAGGACTGGGACGTGTGAAAATGAAGATACTGCCGGTCATGAACTCGCCGTTGTGGCTGCGATCCTCGGTGGCGGTGCACGGGAGGGACCGGCGCTACACACTTGGAAATCTTGCCCCGTGAGGTTGAGGATTCCTCTCATCTTCACACCATTCAACATTCTCTCCACACATGAGAATGGCACCTGGCGACAACAACAAACGCCCACCCTCCTCCATCTCAAAGAAGAACGACAAATCAATGAGTTCCACCGCGAATTCCAACACAGATAACGACCAAAACGATAATAACGGACTGTCCAACCGCGGCGCTGTACCACCCACCGTCGCGTCCCAATTCACGAGGGCCTTCGAACAGAATGGCGGCGATAACAACACCAAGCCTGCCGCTAGCGGCTCTTCTCCTGGGCCATCCGCGCCAGAACCAGCGTCGAGCCAGCATGGCCACCGGAATGGCGGAGACAGGTCGAAAATCGAAAACAACAAGAAGAACAAGCAGCCTCAACACCGGCACACTGAAGGTCAGAGGGAGGAACCGAGTCGGGAAGATGCGGAAGATCTCTTGGGCTCCCCGTCCCCTCTATCATGGCGTCGGAAGCGTGAGTCGCGGCTGCATTCGTATATCGAGACACGGGTCAAGCCACTTGAGGAAACCATGAAGCAATTGAAAGACAGCCAAGTGACTCGGGACAACTTGGACGAAGTCTTTCAAAATACGATTGGAGCCAGTTTGCTTCATGAACAGAAATGCTTCGTTGAAACGATGACGAATGATCTAATATCGGCAACGGTTGCATCCGACAACGCGGCTGCCGAGGTTCTTCAGCTACGGCGGGAGGTCAAAGAGGCAAAGGCTGAGGCAGAAGCTCTGAGGAGCCGCATTGAAGCACTAGAACGTTCACACAGCCAGACTGAGTTTTCAGCGACCAGCTCGCAGCTCAGCACGCGCGCCGCCGTCTTGTTCGCACTGTCCCAGACTTTCAGCCTTCAGGCCGCCGCATCCGACAATGCAGCCGAAGCCGACACCCATTGCGCAAGGGCTGAACAGATGGATATTGCCCATCAGAGCTTTCTTATGTTGCTGGACGATCTCAAAGGCGAGGAAAATCCAAACATCCCCCAGCTTCGTCCCGAGGAAGTGATCCGGATGGCCCAGCAACGGCAGCGCGATCGCCGAGAAGAGGTAGCCAGGTCTGAACAGCGGTCTCGGCAGCAGTAGCCTCCTTCTGAGGTGTTGGAGGTCGCGGAGGCGTCTAGAAGTCATCGCTTTCTTTGGCCTTTCTACGTGCCCGTTCTGCGAGCCTTGGCTTGCTTGTCACCCTGGTAAGACGCATAGCACACTGCTGGGCAGTGGTTGTAACACAAAGCACCGCCCAGCAATGGCTGCAACGCATAGCACTGCCCAGCAATGGCTGCAACGCATAGCACCGCCCAGCAGTGGCTGCAACGCAAAGCACTGCCCAGCAATGGCTGCAACGCATAGCACTGTCCGGCAGTGGTTGCAACACATAGCATTGTCCATCAATGGTATGACCCAAGCACTGCCCAGCAATGGCTGCAACGCATAGCACTGTCCAGCATTATCCATCAATGGTATGACCCAAGCACAGCACATCTCTGGGTGTGGTATGCAGATGAGGGTTCTAAGTGGGAGAATAGGTGATTTCATGCCCGCATGAGATGAGTCAACAGACCCCCAAAGAACGCTCTACCGTGCGCAATGACAATTCTGTCAGCTGTATGTCTGAGCTCCACTCACAACACTCCGACCACAGAAGGAGATCCATCTTGGAGCGCAGAAAGTGGCACAAGGCAAAAGTACATGGCATACAAACCGTATGGCATGGAATCAATTGGCATAGATTTCTATGGCAAGAATATCGAACCCGGCACATATAGATCGGTGGCGGATCAACAAGCAGACTACAGGATGCAAGCAAGTCAGAAACAACGTAGATAGCAGCAAAATTGGGAAGCATTCTTATCAGCGTCTCTGGTACTCGAACATTCTCATGCCCCAATCATCCCCTGTGCGAAGACCCGCGCGCCGTTCACCCACTGTTGATATCAAATTTTTCGCCGCCTCCCGAGCCACTTCTTCACACGGTCTTCGAAAGAAGCCTCCTCTTCCACGACCTCTTACGCCTCCGCATTGCTTCTTCTAAGCTTCCTCGGCAAGTTGATCAGCCCTTCTGCATCAATGGGCCCCAAGTCCATCTTTCTTTTCCCCGACTTGCTTGATCTCTCCTCCCGTCTCCTCCATAGCTTCTCTCAGCATCTTCCATTGAAACCATCAAAGCCCGACTCACACATTCCTCCATATCATCCGTGTTGAGCCAGACGGGGCCAGGTCTAAGCGTGAAGGCCACCAACGCGGAGTCGATAGACTTATCATCCGCGTCCATGAATTTGTCATCGACAGGCTCAGGATGGGTATCCCAGCGAGGTTGCACTTTCTCGTTGCTGACCATGAGCATGCCCTTGAGTAGCAGGTCAATTTCACACAGAGACCAAAACCAACTACTCTGCCATTGAGCTGCTATGCGATCAAGATGCTCTGTAAGCGTAAGCATCATCCGATAGGTCAGAAGATTGGAGCGATACGCCAGCTCTCAAGTCTACAATATCTCTGTAGTCTGATCGAAGTTGACCAAGCGGCTGTTCACGCTGCAGCGCGGGACTCCGCTCTTGATGCCGGTGTGAATCAGGTTTTGAAATGTGTTATCACCGAGTGAACCAGCTGAATGACCGTCTTCCCTGGGCATTGTCACTGGAGTGGTATTAGTTGGATATTGCGCATTGTCGACCTTATTTTGATTCAGATTAGCAGAGTCTGCCATATCATCGTCGGCCGCTCACGAGCTTGCTCGGCAAGTATATGAGGCGGAGGTGTCGGATGGTCCAATTCCTCGCCCGCCCTAAGATCTGTCTGGAATTGCCGCTGCTAAGTGCATTACGATCTGACGGCGCCGGATCACGCGGCTCAGCCCCATGAATGCTATCAGATTGCGACTTGGTAATTCACTGTTCTGAGAAGCTATTCTTGTGTCCATGAGATCGTTCTGCAGGCTCAACAGGATTTCAAGAGGGACCTTTCCGACCTAAGTTTTCCCCGCCCGCAACCTCCTCTTCGGTGTTTCCTTGGCTGAGCAAAATTTTCGGAGGCTGAGTGCTATTATGTGTGCGGAATGCATTCTTTTTGGAGGCGATCGTCGACTTTTTCGATGCTGAGAACTCCTTTTCCGCTGTTGCAGGTCGCCTGCGCGAAGTCTGCTTGCCGCTTTGCTTGCCAGGATTGTGATGCTGGGGCAAAGAGGGAGCCGCAAGGTCATGATCATCATATTTGTCGAAAGAACCCTGTGACTTGGTTGCTGGACATTTTGGTGCGGATACCTTTGGGCCGCTCTCCATCTTGATGTTGGATTGGGATGATGCCTTCTCGGCGAGATCTGTCTCCTTTCGTTTTCCTCCACGTTTTGGATGTAGACCACCATGCAGAGCTCCTGGCACATCCTCGGGTGGCATTAGTACTTGATCGTTTTCCTTTCGCTCAGAAGCTCCGGATCCACTGCATGGTCGATCAGGCTCTGAGCCCTCCTGTTCAGGAGTAAGATCTCTACTCACAGCTCGAATCCTTTCAGCATATTCTGGGTTAAGCACGCGAGGTCCGCGAGTTAAAAGTGCGCGAATGCCTTTCACCTTTGTTTTTATGTTTGGCGGTTGCTCTTCTGACTAAGTCAAACAGCGTTAAACCAGTGTGGGGATGATTGCAGTCGTAGCCAGGTTTCTGTGTAAAAGTGAACTTGTAATGATTCGCAAATTCTCCAAGAAATCTTTCCATCCCTCCCGGCGTAGTTGGTGCTGGGTTAGCCTCATCTCCAGTACGGTCGAAGACTCTGGCCATGACCTGGTCCTCAACGTGTGGGTCCGTCTGTTGTAGCATCGCGTTGGTCGATGAGGAATCGTGTCTGTGACTGGTGCAGACTGAGCCTCATTGCAGCTTTCTATACCTTGCTTCCAAACTTTTCTGGATCTGACACAATCAGTACGACCTTACAGAACGTGCAAAGCGCAATCCAGCCCGCAGGCAGAATTCGATTCGGCTCTGTCTTCGCTCATAGGTCAGTTTGGTCCTAACGTTGATACGGCTTTTGTCCGCATTGTAGAGCAAACATTGTGATCTGCGCGGATTCGAGTGAAGCAAATCAGTCGCTGAGCATCTGGCAAGTCTGCTTTTTGTCTGAAGACCATTCTACCGAACAGCTCATCTTATAGGGTTTAGGCTGGAGCTGAGGCTCACACTTCGTGACGAGAGGAAGCTGTTGCGAAGTCAAATGGCCTTGATTCTCTGCTTCAATCAGATATTTGACATCTGCGTTGAAATCATTGCATGAAGTGATGTTGAGAGGTGAAGCTGAGGAGGTCGAATCGAGAGTCTGTGCACGGCCTACGGGAACTGCCGGCGCTAGCAGGCCACCCATGGCCAATCTGGAATCAAAGTCAATACTAGCCGCTCGAATCCCTCTACGGACATCACCTCCATCACATTGAAAGATCTATTCAAGATGCCGTGAGCCACGAATACCACAATATCCAATCTAATTACCCACGTCGTAATGCCTCCCAAGACCAGTCGACATGCGCAGTCCGACCAGCCCGTTGATTTGCGGCTTCAATTAATCGTCTTCCAATTCGTTTTATTTCCACTCAGGGTCATCGCCAGCCTCTACGTCCAGACATTTTTTCAGCCAGATGAATACTTTCAAGCTCTGGAGCCAGCATGGCAGATCGCTTTCGGAATTCAGAGTGGTGCTTGGCTTACCTGGGTATGTGACGACATTGTTGTTCATCACCAGGAATACTTACTGATGGAGATGTAGGAATGGAAAGAAGGATTGAGGACATCATTTCACCCTTACCTATTCGCAGGTCTTTACAAGATCGTTGATATCATCTGCTCAGCTCTGAATACTAGCGCTGCCACCAGAGCAAGTGCGCTTGTTATTGCTCCTCGCATCCTCCAAGCGTTCGTCGCAGCGCAATTGGACCTCGCGGTCTGGAAGATATCCGCTCGATCTTACGGCAATGGGAGTCCTGCTTCTTGGGCAGCGCTTGGTTTGATTGTCTTCAGTCCTTGGCACTGGTTCTGCGGCATCAGGACCTTCTCAAACTCCCTCGAAGCGACCATGACCGCAATTGGACTTCGCTTCTTTCCATGGCAGTGGTTCTTGGAGCCGGATAAGTCGGATAAGACGCCGCTTTCACTCGAATCATTCAATAATGTTAGTTGGGACTGGAACTACCTCCGCTACCTTTGGGACGCAGCTCCCGATCAGCTGTTCCCAGCGCTGGCTTTTGCGGCACTCTCTACCTACTTGCGACCCACAAACATCATCATCTGGATCACCATCAGCGCGGGTATCATCGGATGTAACCGAAACTATCGAAAGGCCTCAATCTTGGTTCAAAGCGCAGCCTACGTTGGATCTGTTGTTGTCGCCATACTTGCAAGTCTGGATTACTTGTATTACGGCAACTGGACATTTCCGCCTCTGCGCTTCTTATACTTCAACGTCGTGCAGTCACTGGCCGTCTTCTATGGTACGAATAGGATTTGCTACTACTTCACCGAAGGCTTGCCGCTTCTTCTGACTACGGCTCTCCCTTTTGCTATTGTGGGTATCTGGAAGAGTTTGCAATCAGGTCAAGCCGCGAACCCAAGCGATTATGTTAAAAGGCAAACTCGCTTCATTTTCGCTTTGGCAATAGTGGTCAGTGTCGTGACTCTATCTACGATTGGCCATAAGGAAGTCCGATTCATCTACCCACTCCTGCCGATGTTGCTTGTTCTGGCAGCCGGGCCGCTCGCCGATTTCTTTCACCCATTTCCGGCCCCGAAGTCTGTCTTCCGCAAATTCCTCCTAGCAATGATGGTAACGACGAACATTTACATCGCCGGATATCTCAGCTCTACTCACCAGCGCGGTGTGGTTGATGTTGTCCATTATCTTCGACATCGGCAAGAGGCGTGGTTAGAGACTGTATTGGCAGATGCTGCGGGCACTTCAAATATCACGGTTGGATTCTTGATGCCATGTCACAGTACTCCATGGCGAAGTCACCTCGTGTATCATGAGATCGACGCTTGGGCGTTGACGTGTGAGCCGCCACTCAATATGACCACAGAAGAGCGGGCGTCTTACCTCGACGAAGCTGACATCTTCTATGCCAACCCAACTGCGTGGTTAGAGCAGAATATGATGGATCAGGAGACGGTATCTCGTGGAGTTGACCTAAGGGAGCTCGCGGAGAAGGACACTGGAAGAAGGGAATGGCCGCATCATCTTGTCTTCTTTCAACAACTGGAGCCTACGATGAAGACTGTACTGGCTGAGAGCAGATACAAGGAATGCCGTCGCTTCTTCAATTCGCATTGGCATGAGGACTGGAGACGGAAGGGCGATGTAGTGGTTTGGTGTTTCCCGCGGTAGAAAGACAAAGATAAGACGCACTTTCGTCTCTGCGTGTGACTTTTCCCAGCGTTCCCCTGTTCGAGTGCAATTAAATTGCTCTCTCCACGACTTGAATTCAAGTTTTGCTCTCGTTATGTAGTTCGAGCTGATCTCGAACGGATAGGAAAACGCTTGAGAGAGGATCAAAAAGGAGGCATTGCCTTCTCGATGGCTGTTCGTGAGTTCTTCTTGGATGATTATGATTCGCTTTGTCAAAGATCTATATACAATGATTCGATTTTGGTGCTCATCCAATCACAAGCGATCGCGCTTGCGATACATCCTCAATGGTCTAGTGGCTATGATTTCCGCTTGTCATACGACAAGCCGCGGGAGACCAGGGGTGAGTGCATACATAATACGTTTCGATGATCATCGTCGCTAACTATCTGTTCAGTTCGATTCCCTGTTGGGGAGTTTCACGAAACTTGCCAGTCATTCAATCTGTTAAAGCTCAGATGTGGTTGTTACTTTTTTGCCTCCGCCCTCAGTTTAACGCCGAGCTTTGGGTTCGATTCCTTGATAGGGAGCAATACGTGCACTAATTTCTTTTTGGTCTATGTTTCTATGGTTCCCTTTGCCTCTGAGGCCATATCTTGTTGCTGTGTTCCTGTTGTGGCCGAAGTTTTCCAGGTTTTCCAGCTGACTAGCAAGCGGGGGAATAACTTCTCGTCCCGAAGCTCTGCCGAGCAGCAACTTCCAAATTCTCCTGTTGCTCTCAAGGACTGAGAATTGCCAGCGACGCTCAAGCGTGCTCATCACCAAATAGAGGAAAGTAAAGTTCGAAGATCAATATTTTCCTCTCAAGGCTGAACAGAATTGATTACTAATTTGACAATTCAACTTAATTTTTCAACTTCACTTTGAAGTCCGTTACTCACTTTCCTCATGTTCATCCATCTCCTGCGCTCGTACCATGGACTCTGCGATCGGCGAGGACATGGCTTGCCACTGTGTCTTATTTTGATATGCCTGAAAAACTTCCTTCTCTCACGCCACGCTATGGATTCGCACACTGGAGATTGCCGCGATTTCGATATCTCATACTCTCGAATCAGAACATCGTCCCCAGCGAGACCATGGCGGTCGAGAAGGGAATTTGGGCACATGCTAATACCCCGATAGACTACGATTACTCGCATCCAATGTGCTCTCGAAATGCTCTATCAACCTTTAGCTCTCCCTAGCCAGCTTACGCCCTCGCAAGGAGTGCAATATCCCGCTTCGGGCCCGTACATACCTGGACAGAATGCTGAACTAGTTCACATGGTATTGGGGTGCTCTCACAGGGCTCACGCCAACGCATCTCTGGTGTTGATATCGATAAGTCGGTTGGACCACACTGCTCTGATATCCCATCCTGGAACCCGTATAGCCACCTTTGACGGCCTGCATGTGCTGTTTGGGACCTTTCAGCCTACGAAAACGTTGAGAACTGGCCTCAAGGATAAGTGATTCATAGCCTGTGCTCATGGGTAATCCTGATGGATCTGCTGGCTGGACTCGATTAGAAATGGTATTCGGACGAACGGATCAGACCATACTATAAGGTGTCGATGGTCTGTAGCGATGCAGCCGTTGAGTAGGACGTCTCTTAGTCGACATCTCTGACATTCAGCTCAGTGACAACAATGCCTATTGATTTCTCCCTGACAGCCGAACAGGTAGCTCTCAAGGCATCTGCTCGTCAGTTCGCAGAGAACGTTCTCGCTCCCTGCCGAACAGCCTATCTCAAACTACCCACCCAGTTCGAACGCTTTCGAGCTACTCGAGATGCCTACCGCCAGATGATCGAAGGTGGATGGATCAAGATGCAAATCCCCGAGGCCTATGGCGGGACACGGAAGAGTCTCGTTGACGTCGCCCTCGTGTGCGAAGAGTTCTTTGCACAAGACTCTAGCCTGCCCATTACTTGGCTGGTTACTGGTCTTGGCCTCAGTCCAATCTTCATGTAGTAAGTCCGCCCTGTGCCAGAAGCCCATTGATCATCATTGAATGCTGATAGGACTTAGTGGAACTGCTGAGCAAAAGAACGAGTTTCTTGCTCCTTTCTTGACCTGCGAGGGAACGCCATTAGCGGCGCTGGGCTTCTCTGAGCCAACTGGCTCTGCCAATTACCTTCAAAACGAAGGAGGGAAAGGTATCCAGACCTTGGCCCGTATTGAAGGCGGCGAGGTTGTCGTCAATGGTGGTAAGATCTGGGCATCCAGCAGCGGCGGCGTATGTACAGCTGCCCATCATGTCTCCCAAATAATACACTAACGTAGCTTGAAACACAGTGGGACTTCAAAGGTCCTGAAATTCTTTGCTTCGTCTGCCGCTTCGGCGATCGAGGCGTACCGATGAATACTATCGGCATTGTTGTCATCACACGCAAAGAATTTGACTCGCCCATGAACAGGAGCAGCTTTAGAGTTGGTACCGATGTCGAGACCCATGGCTTCCGCGCACATTCTGGGCCAAGGACTCATTTCACGAATTTCCGTGTCCCGGTCAAGAACCTTCTCGCTACACCCGGTAAAGGTGCCCTCGTCAATGTAGCAGCCTTTACCGAGTCGGCAGTCCTGGTCGGCGCGGGAGCCGCAGGCCTGATGCGATCCTGCTTCGTCCATACTCTCAAGATCGTAACGACGGACAAGAGAGGCGGCTCCCGTCCCACCATCCAATACCAAAGCGTCGCAGACTTCCTCATCAGCATGAAAATGCGCCTCGAAACGACGCGATACCTGACGTGGAAAGCATGCCACTATCTCGACACCACGGGGGAAGCCGAATTGGCCTACCAAGCCAAAGTGTACGGCTCCGAGACTGCGATCCAGTGCGTTTTGGAGGGCATGCAGGCGGTCGGAGTCACGGCGTACGATACAACGCAACCTTACGGCTTGATGATGGACGATGCGATTTGTCTTCCCATTTTCGAGGGCTCGAATACCGGGATCCGCAGGCGCCAGATTCAGAAGATTTTCCAGGCCGAGGGCTATGATGCCGACTCGTGTGCGAGTAATACTGTCTGGAGCGAGCCGGCTGTGGACTTTCCCTATCATCTGAAATGTCATTTGTGATCTGAAATCACATGGAAGATGAGCGCTCTCCTGTGTCTGTGAGTGGAGTCTGGGTCTTAGGTTGCAGCTCTTTGGTCGAATCCAAAAGCGTTATAAGATTGGTATAGTAGCGTCGTTGATGATCTCGTTGCGGGTGAGTTGCTCAAGATGAAAAAAAAAGCACTAGTCGTTCAATCTAGATCGTACGAGCACAGCAATACAGCAGCTTTCACATGAAGACCTAACAGCCGCGCTAGTGATGTCGAGCTTGGTACTAGTGCACAGCACGGACCTGCTATCCACGACTTCCGAACTTTCAATGCAAACGCTGTCGACCTTCGCCACACACTCGAATTCTCTTAAGTTCAACTAAAATAGAAAGACTGAGCGGCGATCTTTGTGTTCGTGTTATCGTTACCCTATATTACGTGATGTGTGGGGGTATCTGCTTGGCGGCTTAGGATCTGACCTTGAATCGGAAACGCTTTTCGATAGTTCTCTTGATTCAAACTTGTTCGTCCGTGTTCGCATCCGCTTTGGCGAATTCATCATGGAGATCTTTCTCTTCTTCGGCGAACTTCTCACCCTGGTCCTGAGCCTCCTCGCCAGACTCATCCTCGGATTCTCTCTCGTTCACATTTTCGCTCTAACTCCCATTCTTCTACGTTCTTCTCATGCGCACTGCTTCTCGAGTTTCTCCCCTACACCCACTTTCCGTATTCGGTTAGGTCTGTGTGGTAGTGGAAGAAGAAAGTCTCTACAGCCCGACCAGTCCGCAAAGGTCATATTGCAGCCCGCCAACGTCCTCCACAGCACGAAGTCCCGCATCCAAATTCGTGCCCAAATCGAGAGCAGGAGACCCAGGATCCTGATACCCTGGCTGATTCAGAAAAGTATCAAAATCGAAATCGTCCAAGACATCGTCCTCCTCGGCCGGACTCAATTCCACATCATCTTCCTTGGCTTCTTCCTCCCTTGGGGCCCCATACTTCAACATCCAGCTCCTTTCATATTTCCTACCGAGTGATTCGTAGAGATCCTGTAATCGGATGGGTCCTCCTCCGGAGACGGGGTTCTCGGTAACGACGAAGCGTTTCGCAGTCATGAAGTTCCTCATGCGATGCTTTCCACGCCGTTGGTAGAGACGGAAGAGTTTGATGGGGATCGCTTTTAGAGCGGGCTGGACTGGGACCATGTATTGCCACGATTCGATGATGTCCGGGTGTCGGGGGAGGGAACGTTTGTAGAGCAGGTCAGAGTGCCACGCCAAGAGGGTGGAAAACTCGGCTGGCTGGCCGATGTCTGGCGCTTCGTAGATATCGGGAGAGACTTCGGAATGTACACTGAAACCGAACCCAGAAGAAGAAGAGGATTGGGAAATGAAAGCTTTCTTCGCGAATCTCTTGTCCTGGTTTCGGGGGGCGAAAGCGGTGGATTCTAGAAGTGGGTTGAAGACTCTCGAGCATAGATCTCGGCCTGGCGGTGGATCTGGAGTGAGAAACATGGTTCGTCGGAGCTGGAGGGAGTTTTGGATGGTGTTGTGGAATGTCATGTTGGTGCTCTGCAAAACGAAGAGTTTGAACATCGGCAGGTAGGAAAGGATTCGTTCCAGTAGCTCGACGATGCCCAGAACTCGCGCTGCAGCATTCAAGTTGGTGTCTTCGTCCTCCATCGTGAGACCGGTGAAGCAGGCCGCTTGTCTGAGGCCTAGAATACCGCTCCTTCGCTTCGAGCGTTTCCGGACGTTGAGATGGCTAGCGCTGAGACGGATGGAGAAGAATCGCCTGCTCGCCGTTTGATTGCGCCGTTTGATTGCAGGTCGGCGAGTAGATTAGAACGACGTTCTGGAAGTTGGCGGTCACACCTGCAGCCTCGCATGTCGTGTAACTTTGGCAGGAAGGTATACATGCATGAAGCTAGGATGCAGCTTACCTAAGATTCTCAGGTAGCGCCAACGTGATGTCTGGTAGTTCACATGAAAGCAACGCTTCTTCCAACAGACGCTTGATGCATTCCCTGGTCTTCGTCCGCCTCCAGCATTGTTCTTCACTTCTCCAAATCTCGAGGGGCTCGATAAAGCTTCCCTTCGTAATCAAAGGCGTAAAGCAACACGTTCCCACCGACCGTGCTCAAATGTAGCCCCTTGAACATCCCATGCGGCTTCTTTCCCACAGACACACTCTCTTCCTTCGCAGCTCGGTCACTCGGTGCACCCTAAAACTTGCCACCCTTTCCATATTTTATAATGCAGTACTTCTTGTACAAGCCCTCTGCCAAGTCATACACATCTCCTAGAGTAATCTCTCTACCGAGGCTCTCCTCCCTCAAGATCTCAAGATCGTACAGGGACGAGTAGTCGTATGGAGACTGAGAAAAAGTGGCCCCCGAGAAGCGATGTGCCAATCCCACAGTGAGGGCGGTTATGGCGGGCTGCACGGGCACCATGCGCCTCCAAGGCTCGGTGATGTCGTCGTACAGCGGAAGCTGTGGTTTGTCGCCCTTTCGCTGCCATAGAGAAAGATCACGCTGAGACGCTTCGGAGTAGATCGTGAAGGCGAAGTTCGTCGAGCGTGGATTTCTCAGGAGGAAGAAGCCATGCTTGGAGATCATCGACGCTTTTGTGGAGACGTCTGGAGAGAAGAGTGTACCCATCAGGACCGGGTTGAAGACTCTTGCGCAGGTTTCGGGATTCGGCGGCGCTGGCTCGGCTGTGAGAAACATGTGACGTTGCAGTCTGGTCGAATCGCGAATCGTGTCGTGGAAGACTTTGCAGGTTTGCTGGACGATGAAGAGGCGGTGCATGGGGAGCTCTAGCAGTATTCCTTCGAGAAGCTCGGTGATCTTGAAGACTCTGACTGCCGCGGATGGAGGAGGCGTCGATGGATCGAGTGTGCTACTTTTGTGTATCAGCATATGCGCGCAGGTGAATGTTGGTGTTTGGCTGCGTACCTCTCAGGAGCGTGCGCCATATTGGCGGTTGATGTAGAGCCTCCTACCTGCTCCTCGAGATGTGCTCTGTGTCCGATGAGTGTGATGGTGATCTGGTTGGTGTGCGGTGAAGTGGTTAAGTGAGGTTAGAGAAGTGGAAGCTCGGAAAGTCTTGGCTTGATTACTACTCGCTAGAGGAGGGTCAAAGCGCTTCCATGTGGAAGCCACAATTTTCATGCGCAGGACAAACGCACAATCTTACATTCGCCTTGGCCTCAACGAGCTCCAGCCAGTTTCTTTTCAGCCTTCTCCTTACGCTCACGCTCTACAGGCCCACCTTGCGCCTTCCATCCTCTCCCATACATGAGCTCGCTGTACTTCCGGTATCTGCCCTCCAGGATGTCATACATGTGCCCCAAGGTGAACCTCTCCCCGCGGCGTCTCTCGTCCCGAAACAGAGCCTTCCAAGTCTCGGTCTCCACCCAGCTCGGGAAATCTTGAGGCTTCGATAGCTTCACAGCGACGAAGTCCAGAGCGGGTTGCGTAGGGACCATACGCTGCCAGGACTCGATGGTTCTCACGTGTAGTGGAACTTGAGGATTGCCACCCTGCAGAGTGCGTTTGCCCTTCAGAAGACCAGGATGGATCTTGAAGTTGAAATGTATCATCAGAAGACCACGGGTCTTATCCTGAAGAGAGAAGCCGCTATTTGGGTCCATGGATTTTTTGGTGTGCACAAGTGGCGAGAACAGCGCACTCATCAGAAAAGGATTGAACTTCCTGGGGTAAGTCCATACACCTCCTGGCGAGGGCTTGGCCTCGAGCCACATATGGCGTCGCAAGCGGAACGAATCGCGCATCGTATAGCTAAAGGCCTTGCAAGTGCGCTGAATAACGAACAGGTGGAACATGTCAAGGTAGAGCAAAATGTCTTCGAGTAGCTCTGCAATGGCGAAGACTTCAGCCGCAGGGTTGCGCGCTGCGTCTGCTGGACCGTCCAGTCCGTCGCTGTCGCATGGTTAGCGCTTGCGGTTTCGATAATTCATCGGATTTTTACCATGGCAGAGCCTGCTCTGTCGGCTGCACCTCGTCCCGCAGTAGTGACTCCTCCATCTTGTCGTCGGGTGTCGCACGATGTGGTTGTAAAAAAAGAAGTCCTGGACGTTCAGGGCACAAAAGTTACAGTCGCCTTTCAATAAGCCACAAGTAACAGGCGCCACAAGAGATCCAAGCGTTCTGTACGTGAGTTGCAGTCTAGGTCAAGATGACTTGCACTTTGTCAGGGGCGGTATCAGCTCAGATATCTTTTCAATTCACAAAGATGTGGGTGTCGTCCGCGAATTTATAGATCTACGGTGCATCTACAGGATCCCAATCTGCGTGTGTTGTAGTCAGCAACCAATCCAAAAATCCTGATTGGATCAACTCACCAGTAACAAGGTACTCATCCAAAGCATCCATCCTCTTCATGTTGTCCTCACTAATCTCAAATCCACTAATGTTCGCATTCTCTCTAATCCGTTCCTGTCTCACACTCTTCGGCAAAGGCACGAATCCATGCTGTAGAGACCATCTCACTAACAGCTGGCCGGAGGTGCATCCATACTTCTCGGCGATCTCTACGATGACAGGATGCTTCATCCGCAGAGCTCTGGCCAGAGGAGCGTAGGCCTCCACCACTATATCGTTCTTCTGGCAGTGAGAGGTGATTTCGGTGCGGGTATTGAAGGGATGGACTTCGATTTGGTTTACGGCGGGCTTGATTGTTGGGTTGGAGGAGAGGAGTTCGTCGATCTGGTTGGTGATATGAGAACGGCATCTGGTATGTTAATTTGTCGTGTATGAGGACTACTTACATGTTTGACGCCAAAGTTACTGACGCCGCCAGTCTTGACTTCTCCACTCTGGATGGCGTCCTCGACGGCTTTCCAGCTCTCTAGTCGAGCTCTCGTCCCGCCGTACGGGCTATGTAGCAGGAAGAGATCGATGTATCCCAGACCACACTCCTTCACACTCTTCTGTATACTCTTTCTGGCCGTGGCATAGTCGCTATTACTTGCCAACTTGGAAGTATAATGGATATCCTCTCTCTGCAGCTCCGGATGGGACTGCAAATACTTCGAAATCGCCCGTCCGACGTCTTTTTCATTGTGGTACATCTGCGCCGAATCAAAAGCTCGATATCCAGCATCTAGTGCATATCCTACGGCCTTGGAAGCCTCATTCCCACTCATCAGGTACACTCCGAGGTGGATTCGGGGCATGGACAAGCCATTGTTGAGCTTGATGCGGGAAGTCAGGGCGAGTGATTGATCAGCCATTTTGCGGAGCGTCAACCGCGTCGACATGTAATGCTGTGTTACGGGGGAGAGATGCGATCGCGGCGAAGGCGAATGCTAGAGAGATCTTGTGAAAAGGTGAGGCATCGGAGGCCTTTTGAATGTCGTTACTCATGACGTTGATCCTCCCAGGGAGCTCCGGCTCTGGGCGAAGGGTCACGTCCCCCTGTCTCCTACCACGCTCTTTCGCAGTGTGCAGTGGCCGTGCAAGCACACTGTGCAAGTGTTCGCAAGGCATGTCTGGAAGCGCGGCACAGTGTGTGGTTGTGGTGGATGCTCTGTGGAGTGTTGTCAGTTGTGTTGCATGGAAGCCTCGTGCTTTCGACTGGGAACTCGGATCAGTCTTCCGGGCGCACGATGACAGGTCCCATGAAATGCAAGTTGCAGGGGTTTCCCAATCGATGGGGCCTCCCTTCAAATTTCCAACGGCGTGCGACGCTCCTCACCTCTATTCCGTCTATTCCCTCGTACATCTCTCTCCACCACCAACACGCCTCTCACTGCCCCGCGAGAGCATGTCCGTCGATGGTGTAATGACTTCATCATGGGAAGGGGAAGAGATTGGTCAGGAGATAGCCCGACCTTTTCCAACCCACTCCAATGGAACGCGAAAAGTTATATGAAATGTGATATCCGACCGACCCAAAAGCTGATCAGCCGCCACGCCTTGGCTTGCATCGACGACGACATTGACTTTCTCTAACATTCTGCACAGGAAAACCATCATCACTGCTTCCGCGGCTCAACATGGGCAGCATCCCTCCCTTCTCCTCCTACAACCCCTACTCATACGACCCCCACGGCCTCTACAATCCCGCCCCGAATGCTGGCTCCTCAGCATCGCGAGCATCCAGCTCTTCCCGTCCACCCCACCAGAGAAGGTTCATTGACAGCGCCATGGACAGCGAACCTCCTCACCTCAACTCCACTTCCTCCGCTCCTCTACCGCCGCGCTCCTTCGACGACGGCAACTTCGATATCCTCGAATGGCATCCCGCATACCAGTCTTGCCAACGTTACTTTCTCGACCACGCGCAGTTTGAGCCCGGCACGCAAGCATTATGCGCCTTGATAAACATCCGCCTACCGTTCCAATGGCTGAATAGCCCTGTGAATGGCTCTTCGCGAGACCATTCCCAGCAGCAGCAAGGCCTAAGCTTCAACTTCAATGCCTTCTCCCGTGCGAGTAGCAGCTACAACAGCCCCGGCCGAAACGGCAACGACCGCAATACCACCGCATTCGTCTCTCCACTTCCCTACATCCGCCGCCTCATCGTGACCGGCTTTGACAAGCCCGCCATCCTCCACGGCTTCTTCGGCGACGAATGGCAGAAAGGCATCATGCCCCACGTTGAATGCGAAAGACGCAACTACCTCTTCGCAGCCAAACACGGCGGCTGGAGAACTTGCAAGAAGCAATACGACGTGGGCAGCGGAGGTGGGGGAGATGAGAGCGTACCTTTCATGAAGCCACTGGAAGATTCGAAGCAGGAAGAGTTGACCGCGGCAGAGAAGGCATGGAGTCAGTGGCTTGCGATGGAGGATTGGATGGTTGGGCCGAGAGCGCCAGAAGAGGATGATCCCGCTCCTACGGGCGGCGCAAGGACGGGACATCGAGGTGGCGGTGCAAGTTTGAGGGATAGTGGTATGCCGGACGGTGTCTAGGAGGTCCGTAAACGGCAGAAGCTGGCTCAGACCGAGCACCTGGGTGGGCAAGGGAAGAAGGAGATAGGAGCGCCCATGCGGAGAAAAGAAGATGGGGCTGAAGATTTCAGGGTAAAAGGTTTCCTTGGCCACCAGTTCAAAAAAGCCGGCGCTGGCGTTAAGAGAAAGGTCGGCTCCAGCCAGCAAGGTCATAATCCATATCCGCCATCGCTTCGAGAAAGGGAGACAGAAGAGGTGGCAGCTGTTCGCTCACCGAGCTCGGAAAGTCCTAAGAGGGGATGTTCATCTCAACCCAGCTTATTGTTGAAAGAGTAATTCGGAGCCTGAGACATCAAATCGGCAGAAAATAGGTGGACAGCACTCTCGACTCCGATAGTCAATATTTTGGTAATTAAAAAGAATATAGTGCGGGTGGAATGTACGATACTGGAGACTGATTATGGAGGTGGTCTTTTTTCCAGCAATATATTCTGAACACTGCTTCGATCAATGCAGTACTCTCTTCTCCCTCTGGTGTCGCTAAGCTACGATCATGTGCAAGCTAATCGTGCACAGACACCTTCGTGGCTCGAGCTTCCCTTGGGAGCTCCTTCCGTTTCCAACTTGTCAAATACCTCGACTTCACGTCAATCGTCCCCACGACCACCGCCGTCAACTCATTAGACACAATACCTGCATTCGACGCTATCCGGGATCCATCGGGCTCTGGAGAAACAGGAATATATATCAAGTGACTCCCCGCCTGCCTTTTTCAACCCAGAAGCGGCAGAAATTCACATTTTTCAGCGTAAGTGCAGTCGAGACTCGATGCCTTTGACTGCGTCTGACAAGAGCTGTAGTGCGTTTCTCATCATCGCAATGGATACCTCTTCCACCCCAGCCGACGCGCGCGTTTCCGGTGTACCAGAGGATGGTGACAGCGGCAGAAGTAGCTCGGCGGAAGGCTGTGTTCCGTCCGCTTACTCGCGCGTTCCTGACATACCAGAGGCCGATGGCAACAGCGGTAGCAGCAGCTCGGCGGAAGACCCTCCTCCATCTGCGGCCACTCGAGTCTTCGGCATTCCGGAGCTGTTTGAACAGATCTTCCTCCGCGTACACTTGGAGACTCTCCTCCTCGCACAGCGCACATCCCGAGACTTCCGCAGCAACATTCAGGGCTCAAAGAAGCTCTTGCGGAGGTTGTATCTGCTTCCTAGTGATGAAGCACCGGAACAGGACGACTTCATCCAGAGCGTCGAAAACACAAAACTGGAACGGGAGCGCGAACTGCTCCTCGAATGGCTCGATTTCTCTGAGGTTGATAAAGTCATGATCGAGGACCACCTATCGTGGCGCAAGAAAATAAGGGGTCGCTCGTCTGTCATCTTCAATCCCTTTCTGGAAAATCTTCTGCTCCAGCGAAAGGGACTCGTTATCTGGCCCGAAGCCTCGAAATACGGCCCATTTGTCGGCCGTCTTGAGCCATGCATTGACGATAGCGACAGCGACAGCGAGAGCGACAGTGACAGTGACGGTGACAGCGACAGCGACAGCGATCATGCTGTCCTCGGATTGGAAACGGATCTCTTGTACGAACAGCGATCTAGCGTTCTTCAACACATGCCGGAGCTTGATCAAGGCAGGCCAACTCCGTACTCTGCGCCGCGCAAGGAACATTCCTTGTGGGAGATGTGCCTGGCTCAGCCTTCGGATCGTATGGTAGAAGTAAAGTTGAGGCGTCCAGGCACGTTCTTTTCCCGGCGAGATTTTTCAGGCGGCAGTTCAATCAGAAGCTTCATGAACTGGATCGAAGGAGAGTGTGAGCAGGATACGAGAAACATGGAGCTGCCACTGCAAGATTACACGGAAGCCGACGAACGCCAGGATGAATAGATGGTTTTAACCAGGAAGCGACCCACTGTTCCCTCGAAGGTGAAGGGAGAAGCGGGCAAAAGGGCCAAAGCACCGAAGAGACCGATCTCCACTCCAGAGCAATTATACAGAAATGGAGGCCGCGATGTCATGTCATTGGAGCCCGTCTATTGATGAGCTTGACGTGCCCTGTGATCTCTCGTCCTCGCTATTCCATCATCACCACACGCAAGCTAATGGTGCACGGACATTTACGCGGCCTTAGCTTCCTCGTCTGCTCTTTCTTCCCAGCAACTTCCAATACAATCTTTTCCAGAGATTGCACATTCACAGACAAACATTAACATCACGCCGCTGCCGCCGCCTGCCTGTATTTCCACTGTCTTTTCAACTCGATCAATGCAGCCAAGTATAGCGAGTATATATGTTGCAAGCTGGCTTCGACGTGCTGCTAATGGAATCTTAGTATCGTTATCATGGCCGACAATCTCCATGGGCACTAGACTAGGTATAATGAAAGACAAAGCCGATCATTGTGGAGTACAAGGTATGTTATCGTCCATGAAAAATCCTAAGCCCGACACTAGCCAGTACCAATTGGAATATACACACCCCCAATAATCTTCTCACGGGTTCCAAAATCCTCATCCCACTACTCTTTCACCCCGAGCTCGCCCAAAAGCGTGCCTTTCAATTTCTCCAAAAAGTTCTCAGGCACATCGCGCCCATAGAAGGCTTCATTATACGCCAAATTCAGATTCAACTTCCCTCTAAACGTCCAGACAAAACATCCCATCTGCCGAGTCAGGACCTCCGTCTGCAGCATCACGCTTTCAATCTCGATATTTCCATGGCGATGGGCCAGGAGTTTTCCGTCAAGCACTCCGATACTGCTAATATCCACATCGCTCGAGAGCGGCGGAGAGTCTTCCCACGGGGGAGTCTGCTTGACGAGTTTCTGAATGTTGATGAAGTACTGTCGCAGGACGTGTAGGAAATCGTCGCTGAGGCCTGCGCGGTACATTTTGTTGACTGCTTGCGAATTTGTTTCGAAGCCTTTGCCGGCTTGCAGGGCTACTGAATAGCCTGTGGAGTAGTTTGCGGCGGCGTACGCAGACGTGCAATACGGTTCGGGTAAGTAAGGACGCAGACCAATCCGGATGGTGCTGGTGTAGTGTCTTGACTTTCCGTCTGAAGGTGCGAAGGCCCAGTTTGTTGCTGCAATCGAGGCGTGCACTGCCGAAGTCACGCTGATCTGGCGAGTCTTGCATGCGGCTATGATGGCTTTGGTGTTGGTTTTCGAGAAGGCAAAGCCAACCGTACGTGTTCCAGCAGGGACGGTCTCCTTGGCCGCTAGGCATTCGACGCCCACACCGCCCGTCGCTTCCACGGAGGACTTGACATACTTGCTTGCTACCGCTTTGATACCTTCAGTCGCTTCCCTCGGTGAACCCGTTGCGTCTTCTGCAGCTATTGTTAGACGTGATGGCTCCTCTCCCCATGCCAGGTCACTCGGGTCTGGCAACGGTTTCTCCGAGCCAGCAAGCTGAAGTAAGTGATCCAGAAGTTGCATTACACCAATTCCATCCAAACGCCAGTGAGAGCTGTGGAGCAAGATCTTGCTCTTTTCCGGAAAATAATGGAGGATGGCATATGGAGTAGGCTGATGGCCGGCAGCAACATCAGCCGGACTCACACCTTTCTGAACGAAAAATGTCTCAGATTACCACTGCTGCAATGCATTTGCGTCGGGCACGGTGTATCCGATATACTGAGCTCCCGCAATCGCTGCAATAGCCGGATGGTGGAATCGAAGCGTCTGCCAAGCATCTTTCAGTTGCGCTATGAATTGCTCTTGGGATGTCGATGCCGTGTGACGAAAGGAGACTTCTGTGTTGATTGCCCAGTGCTCGCGTCGAATGGGAGCACCGGTATCCCCGACAATCTTGACGAGTTGCTCATTTTCGCCAATAGGTCGTTGGAAATAGCCCTTGGCTATCTCACTCCAAGACACCTTAGGCGCGTTGGGGTTGACAGGCATTGGAACGATTGGACTAATATCGAAGCCGCGGGAGGATTGGAGACGAAGCAGAAGGAAGGTCGTGAGGGATCCATTCAGGGAAATACTGTGCCTCCGTAAGATGTGACGTTGATGTGATTGACGCTGCTGTGCCCCACGAATCCTGAAGCCAAAATTCCTCCATTTGTACAAGCGGCACAGCAAGGCAGAGCAGCAGCTCGTCCGTTCATGATTGGCGTGTCCATGATTGCTTTGCGTCTGGACGCTGAGATTCTCCGTGTGTTGGTTGTTCCTGCATGCACATCTCACATCGTTCCTGAAGGAGTAAATGGCTGCCTGCGTGTAGATCATCAGCTCCTACCTGACTATTCGGCAAGAAACGATCAACGTCGCTGATCAGCTCTGCATTGAAGGCATCTCTTCGCGAGCATGCTCGGCAGATGCTCTTCTTCCAAATATCGACCAGTCGAGTCGATAGAATCGATCAACTGTTCTTCCCCAGGAAATGGGTCGACGAGGCTGCAGCACTTTTAGCCGCCTAACTCAACTGCCACACCAATGCAGCATCGAGAACAACTTGATTAGTTTTCGATTGTTCAAGACAAGCGCTTTGCATCATATGGTGTACTTGCTAGTGGTGGATGTGAGGAGGATCAAAATGCAGCTCCGCCATCACTGATGATAGTATCGTGATCAGGCTCTGTACCCGCTGTATGAAGTCCGTATGACAGTAAACCTCAGTCTCCGTGGCCATAACAATGCGAGGAGGATGTTGTCGACAGATAGAGGAGATGCTCGTATCGACCCACTACACTTCTTACACTAGTCAAGCATCGTCTCTCCATTATTCTCTTCGGGTGAATGAAGATCGATAAACCGTTTTTCTATCCAGCGTGTACTCGATGCATTCTCTTCGTTAGCAAAACACAAGCCGGACAGCAGTTGGTGTCCGCCTCTGCTGGGTCTAAAGTTTCATAAGTGTAAGATTGAGACCGTCCAGCACATACGGCCATAGGCGAATGAATACTCGGAACCCCGTCCGCTCTCGCCTTTGTTGACTGCCCGATAGCCCACCACTACCCACAGGATCCCGTAATGGCATCGCTTCCGATTCCAGTTTCCCGTTCTCGGGTTGTGTCTGCGCGCATATCTCAGCACGCCGCGTATGATTAAAAATGTGCTACGAGACGGCGAAGCCAACCCTCGTAATGCGCCGAAAGAACGATGTCGACCTCGCTGCCTTCGAACAGCCTTGCTGTCTACGACCTTGCTGTCTATAACCTTGCTGTAGCGGCCTCGCTATCTTTAAAACCTCGCTGTCTTCGTTTTCGAAACCTCGCTGTCTTCGTTTTCGAAATCTCGCTGTCTTCGTTTTCGAAACCTCGCTGTCTTCGTCTTCGAGACCTCGCTGCCCTTAGAGACCTTACTGTCTTCGAAGCTTCGCTGCGCTTGGAGACCTCGCTGTCTTCGAAAGCTTGCTACCCTTCGAAAGCTTGCCACCCTTCGAGAAACCTTGCTGCCCTTCGAAATCTGAAGATAAGCGGGTGTTCTTCCTTCCAAGGGGAGACCCCTTAAACCCCCTTGTCCTCGAGCCGGACGGCTTGCTACTGTCGATAGGCTGTCCTCGCTCGTCGCGCCTCGAGTGTTCGCAAGCTCACACGTCGGCTACTCGCTTGGTTCGAGGTTTGACTTGCCTCCGGCGGGCTCAGCGAACTACGCTTGAGTGTTCGCAGGCTCATACGTCGCTGCGGTGCTGCGCGGTGGATGTCTTTATTCATGTTGTGTGGCTACTGCGCACGGCCTTGCAAGCTCGGCCTGTGCCGCAGTCTCCACACGACATGAATTCAGCCAATCAACGCTTCGCTTGCTGGGTGCAGCTGAGCGCATGGTAAAACGCGCCTTCGGCGCAATCAGAACGCCATGCAACGAGTCACCCATCAAGCGCCGCTTAACAGGTCTTCGGCATCGTGGAACTGGCCGAAATGACTTGCTAAGACTTTGCTGAGCAGGATCTCCTTGCCCTTGGCACATGTTCGTAGTTGATCAGCATTTGATCAGCGTCGTGGCTGCTCTCCCTTCATGTGTTGTCCAATGCGTCTGGAGCGTGGCATATCCCTCAACGACTACAGAAGATGGCCCCGACTCATGCCTCTGGCGATGTTCGCATTCAAGAACAGCACACCTGGACGAGTCCACTTTTGCTCTCGCCGGATTATCTTGGGAACCAAGCCAGTATCCCTTAGCTTTACAGCTCTCACCCGGCTCGATCCTATCCGTTCCATCGCAGTCGGTAATCACATTCACGACATGGACCAGAAGTAGCCTTCGTTGCGCGTACTCTGACACTGGGTGATCTATGTCGACTCTCGCTTTGTCTCTTGGTCCCCAGCGATGGCGGTTCAGATTGCGTCCCGTCGAGCACTGCTATTGTTGAAGTAGTGCTCGAATGAATCATCCACTCGCTCTACATCGCTTGCTGACATTCCTGGATGCAGGGACAGGCGCAGTAGCTGGCTACTAGCCTGTGGAGCCAGGTCGTGGGAAGTGATATATCGACCTCGGACTGAGCCAGCAGTCGTGGAGTGAAGTGGCACATAATGGGATTCAGACTCAATGTTCTCTTGTTTGAGGTGATCGTGAAGGTCTTGCTGTTAATCAGAAGAGCCAACTCTGATGTAGAATAGGTGGGCATTGCTCGTCCCTTTCGGCGGCGCAGGGAGATGCAAGATTTTGTGCGCTGCCAATAATTGAAGACATTCCGCAAATTTCCCGTACAGCTTCAACCTCTTTGCTTGCATCTCATCAAGGGTTTCAAGCTGACTCCAGAGGATAGCAGCCATGACTTCCGGCATCATGGAGTTGTAGCCAGGGCCTGTTAAGGCGTACCTTGGGACCGAGGCCTTGACGAACTGCGCCCTATTGGCCCCATATCATTTTTTGGTTTCGTTGAATAATGAAACAGCTGGGGAGTCCCATTGAACCCTGCGGTGGGCCATCATAAAACGATCCCAATGCCTGTGCCGCATCTTCAAGGACGTACCGACCATGGCTTTGGGCCAGTTTTGTGACAGCATCCATGTTACAAGGCACTCCAGCGTAGTACACGACTACGATTGCTTCGTTTTCTCTGTTATACCTTTGGCGAGAAGACTAACATCCATATTCATGTCCGCGAGATCGACGTCCAGGAAGACAGGAACGGCACCTCGCATAGCGAAAGCAATTACTGTCGAAACGCATATATACGGTGGTAAGATGACTTCATCTCCTGGTCGTATACCACTCGCCAGAGCAGCATTCTGTAGCGCAGAGGTTCCACTGGAGACGAGGAGAACCTGCAATGCCCCGATCTTTGACTTCAAGTAGCTCTCACACTTCTGCGAGAACGGTCCTCGTCTGAAGGCCTACGCTCAGCAAGTACTTGGAGCACATACTTAGGGGCGGAGTCTGAGCGGGTATATCGATTCGCGAGGAGAACATTTTCGTGTGTACAGTAAGATCGCGCAGCTCAACCCCGAAGACGTTGTTCCGATGCTATCTGGGCTCGCGAGTAAGCGGTTTGCTACCACTGTTGGAGGGCAGGCCTTTGCATCGCCATCATGTTTGCCTGGAATCGTCCAGTTTCTGCTCCGCAAACAACACGATCTGGACCTCTACCGGGAACAGGATGCCGTTCAAACTAGTTGCCATTCCTCATTGGCGACGGTGTTGTCCTTAAATTCACCAGCGCCTCCGCCCTACTACTCGGCACAGATGCGATTCCCAAATCTGAGTTGGCCGGCCGTGGACCGCTCATCTCCACCTCGTAGTTCATCACGACATGAGCCAACATTAGCTTCATCTCTTGCGAGGCGAAGAAACGACCTGGACAAGCGTGCCTTCCATGACCAAAGACGAGAAAAGTGTTCGACGTGGTCACCAGACCCTGATTCTTTTGGTGAAGCAACTCACGAGCTGCTGAGTCCAAGGTTTCCTGGCTTTTTTCCGCTTCAGGCTTGCCTTGCTCTTTGCATGTTGTCGTGCCTCGAGCGTCCGAAAATCGAAAAGTATCATATTCCAATGGTCGCGTGTAGAACTGTGAATCGCGATGGATGGCATCAATGGGGGTACCGATACGAACACCAGCAGGAACATGAAAGCCTTCTTTGAACGTCACACCGCGCTCGCCTGTCACCTGTCAATATACTAGCGTCAGTATGGATGACATCGATATTGAGAAAGTTAGGCAAGAGACAAGAGGATGACTTACCAATCTGTTCGTGCCCACTAAGCCAAAACTACAGAGCCTCATGGATTCCTTGATGGCCGAGTCAACACGAACGAGGTGGCTCACTGCGTTCTCCGTCCATTTCCCACCATTTGCAGCTAAGACTCGATGACATTCTTCGCGCAAACTTTCGACAATGTCATTCCGGTCAGGAGAGCTGTAAACATCAAGGAGAGTGATCGTGATTGATATGCTCGTCGTGTGTATCGCTGCCATGTTCAGCCGCAACAAACGACGACAGATGAAAGTAGGATCAAGCTCGGACGAGTCACCTCGCTCGATACAGTCTTCGATCAACCATTGCAGAGCATCACTCTAGTTAGAGATATCAGCGGATGCGCATGAGGAGAAACCATCAGTATCGCTGCTCACATTTGCATCTCTCTGAGAGTCTGCTACGTGCGTGCTCCTTAGCCTCTCCGCTATAACCGGTAAAGCTATTCGTTTGCACGCTTCGAGTTCTCTGCGCATAGCGTAGGTTGCGATCGGAGCCACCACCGTTCGTGCCCAGAGTGGGAAAAGATTGATGACGGCTGCAGCACCGAAGACAGCCTCAGTATAGCGTCGTGAATGTTCGAGGAATTCTGGATTACGACCTAAACATCGTCAGATCAAAATCGCCAAAAGCGGAGGACTGGCTCACACAAGTCTTGTCCACAGAATACGCGATTTGCCCCTCGGCTTACGATTTTCATGCAAGAGCTATACAGACGCACACTTGTCCAGTTGCCAGGATCCGTCTGCCACTGCTCCTCGAAGCCCAAGCTGAGCTCGGCTGCCACGTCTTGCGTAAGAGATGGCAGCTTTCTAGTGAGATGCTGCTTTACTAGGTCCACGTGCAGAGGGTTTCGAACAATGTGCTGATCTCCAGTGTAATATGCAGCCGTATTGTACTCGGCGACTAGCGGGAGGCTGACTTCCTCATCCGACTTGGAGATTAACTCCGGAACGTACGAGGCTGGTAGAAGGAGGATAGGCTCGCTGTTGAACTGCGACAGAGCAAAGGGTAAATGCCGACTGGAGTGCTGCTCGAACAAAAGTCATCAGTGTGTTATCGAAGGAGAGAAGTGAGGGCACTCAGGGCATACCTCTTGGTAGCCTTGGTGAACGAGTTGGCGAGTGTTGAACAGAGAGACGAGACGACGACGAGTGCCGCCGAGGATCCATCGACTATGAGGTCCTGCCCATTTTTGAGCGCGCCAAAAGCGCCCTTGGACCGAGAAAGCGGACCGCATCAACAAGTAGGCCAGAGGGACAAGGAGGGCAATGCTGCCAGCGATGGAAAGTAGCATGACGCTGGATGGGGTTTCGGTTTCTCAATACCAAGGTACAGAGGATAACATGTAGTCGATGCAAAAGCCGATGGAGATGGGTGCAACTAGACTAAGTCTATCCCGTCCGAGCTTGACCGATCTGAACTTCGCCTCGCTCTCGGCTATTGCCCATGAGGCACAGCAGGACCCATTGGTCGTGCTTTGAGTTTTCTTATCCCTTTGAGGTTTCCCGTGGGTAGCGTCTTTGGTCTCCCTACAATTGGAGCTACAGATGCCCGTTAGCTGCCGCTTCAGTGTCGTTGACTGATTCGCTGTGACCTTGGAATTTGCTGGGATAGTAGGTAGTGCGGACGCTATACCAGGGCTCAGATCCACTGCTCGTTGCTGTGTGCAGGGGTACAGGGTTCTAAGCGATGAACTGCCAAGCTCGAATGAATTTTGTAAGGGATCGAGGAGATGAGATGGCACCTAGTTTGGCAACAGAATCCAGAAACGCAAGTGACTAGATTCTTTCACTGCATGCGGCGTTGACTAGTGCAACGTTAAGTATAGAAAGTACGGCGAAGGAATCGAATGCTAGAAGCTATTGTAGGAGGGTTTGACTGTTAAATCCTACCTCCCAAGTCAGACCCGGTAATCGAGGATATTTTTGTCGGCGGGAGCCGAATCCTCGCTTGCGAGGGTCTGAGAAGCTTTAGCGGTGGCCTAAGCTTACAAATCCGCAAAATGGTTTTGCCGACTACCGAAGCGGCACTCGCTATAAGTCGCGACTCACTCTACTACTATAATAACAACTTACGACGGCGACAATGAGGCTCTACGAGTGTCGCGTACCGCTATTA